TCAATTATTATTATTTTTGCCTGCCAAAATCATTATAATTATTATTCTCCGAATACAATTTTTAATTGTCTTTTTCCGATTGAATAATTGGTGGAAGGAAATGTGCAAACAACCGCTACAGAATTTATATCCTCTGCGATTTCTCTAGTTTGGTTCTCAAAACTTATTACATATGTACGTGTTCTTTTCGTTTCATGTTGAGCAGGAAGTTTACCGAAACTGAAGAAAGGGTCATTGTAAGATCAGCCAATGATAAATGCTCCAATTTTCTGCCGTCAGTCTTGTTTTCTTCAATTTTTTCTGGCTGCCAATTCCGCGCCAGATATCGTTGTCCGATGGAGCTACAACTTGTCTAATAATTTATAACGACTCTTCCCATTGGTCGCCTTTTTCTAAAAGAATGTTCTTGTCCGCGGATCGGTTCGTACTCAACTAACAATTGTTCTATTGATTTCTACATTATTCGCAATTGCTACTCAATGTGATCCCCTAACATTTTTTTCTTCCCCTCAACTGAACAATTATGCTCATCAACGTGAATGTAATAGCATTTGTCAGGAATTAATCAAGGTTGCGTGAAAGAAAACAATGAAGCACATAAGTCTTGCAAATCATGTGTTTTTTTTTCACTGAAAACAACAATTTCCAGAAGCATTGAAACAAAAATGTAATTTTCTTTTTTGATTTTCTCAATTTCGCGCACCCTTCAACGTTCGAGTATTTAATCAAGTCATTGTCCTGTTCAAGCGTTTTCAACAATGAAGCGCTTTCTTCCAAAATATAGACGGCGTTGTTGTTGTTCTTTTTTTTCCGCTTCCATGTCATTCCAAGAATGTAACAAAAATTAATTCAATTTTGTGAATATGTTTTTGAATAAAGTGAAAATAAAATATCTATCTAAAAATTTTAAAAATTTCAATGTTTTTAATATCAGATTTGTTTGTAAATATGAACGGAAATAATACCAATGAGAATCTCTGCACTTTGTTGTTCACTACTATCGTCAAAGAAAAAATTTTTAGGAACTCCAGTTGTGTAAAACTTGATATTGTAAAATCGTTTTTTCGTAGAAAATTAAAACAAAATATTTGTATACAAAATTAGAACAAGATGTTCTTTTGACACAAACCAACCCCGTTAAACATCATTGCATATGTAGATGTGAAGTATTCGAAGTGCCGGTGAACTTTTGAAATACATTTCGCCGATCTAACATTTTTTCTTATAAAATTTGGTAAAGTTTCTATGGCTCTTTGAATTTTACTATTTTCTATGGAATATGAAATTAACAAAATTTTGATTTTAACAGAATTAGTTAAAATTTCAAATCTATTATCTAAAAATTAGTTAATTGATTATAATCTTGTCACCTTTTTCTTCTAAAGTTCTCCGACATTTTCTGCCTTTTCAGTTGAGCATTTTATGCTAATCAAATTCAAGAAAATCACGTTTTGCAACGCTGAACGACTTTGCCATTTTTGTTTTCTCTTCTTTTCGCCATCACAACTCAACTTTTCTTGTACTTCATCTTAATTCGACATTTCGCCAATGTTTTTTATTCGTTGTATTTCTTGGCGGGAAGCAATCAGCTGGGCGGACATCAAAACTTGTGGCAAACATGCGACATTTTGAGTTTTCATCAATATATTCTTGGTCATCCCGACAAAGGCGAAAATGTTAGGGCTGCAAAGAGAAGAAGAGTATGACGGAGAAGGAGGAGAATTTGAAGAAGTCTTCGGTGCACTACTCAATCAGCTACAAGTGCAGACTTCCTCAAATCATGTCTAATTGTCCGCACGCAACTGCATTAGCGTGACGACGCTCGAATAATTTAAGGAGGCGCAATTGCTTCAGTCCCCTCAACCCATTTTCATATTATTTCTTTTTTTCTGCAGTTTTCCACACATTTCTCGGTTTATCACCTTCAAACATCACTGATAAAATATGGCCTCGAAAAAAGTTATTGTGTTTTCCAAATCCAAGGTATTTTTATTTACGCTATATCTCCCATTTTACGACATTTCACCACTCAAAAGTCTGTTCACCGATCAAGCTCGTTTGATTCGCGTGGCGCTATTTTAGTTTCAACAAACTGAGTTGAATAAATTACATCAAAGTAAATACCAGAACATAGATATTCAAATTTGCTTCAAAACGTGTATCAATAATGAAGAAATTCCAACAACACGTTTACTATATTGGAAAGTTTGTAATATATCAAATTTTCCGGAGGTAATATTTTCTTAAACATTCTCGATAAAAGAACTGATGTTGTACACGTACTTTATTCAGTTTTCAATGCATAACAATATCAGTTTGATGCGCTCCGTCTCGGGTGTGCACCCAATTTGTTGCGTTCAAATCCTATTTGGGACGCGTGGACAGGTCGCCGAGAAAAACTCATCTACATTTTAATATATTCGTTTTTCGTTCCTCTAGGGACCATCATCACGTCGTCATTTTGTACTCATTTCAAAATTGCCTTGTTCGCAAACGAGCACCCTCTCTCTCTTGGCAACTTTCATAACTAATGTAATTCCAACGGCAATCAACAGCGTGCTTCGAATTCCTCGTTTCCAATATCCATAATTTATTATTTTTTCTCCTATTGTCTAAATTTGACGCCTATGTGTTTTTGACTACTTTTAAAGTGGAATTTTTTATTTTTGTTGTTTTCAGCGAAGCGAATAATCGAAATTACGAATATCGCTTGTTTAGGAAGGATATTGTGTCATGTTCAGCTGGTAGCTGATATTCTCGCTATGCAGCTGAAGGTTCGTTTTATTTGTTCGTTTTTTTTGTATCAAGAAAAATAAAAATAAAACAATAAAATCGAATGAATTGGCCCTTTAAAGGGCACATTATAAGGCACAAAACTTTCGAGAGGTTGCTTTTCAAATAATTGGAATGCGAGAAGTTATGCTAATCAACTATTGTTATTCAACCAATTCGAAACCATGATAATCAGGCCATTTGTTGGTTGAAAGGACAAGAATATGGAAGAAAATTGAATTTCTTATTCGCTGGTTATCTTTTTTCAAAAGTTCTTTGAGACTTCAAACTTCGAATACATTTTTTTGCGTTTTGTATTCATTGTTGGGCAGCTGCGTCTCTAATTTTTCATCTTTTATGGTGTCCGTGAGAATAATTGTATTTGATTTGCGTTCAATAATAATTCACAACTCGTCGAACGTTCCCAACAGCTGCTTCATTGATTGATCTGCGCTCGAAACAAATTTTGAAGCAGCTTTTTTTTCTATTCTTCATAAGGAAAGCGGCAAATGTTTCTGGTTGTTTACATTTTGAAAGTTTTTGAATTGAAATAAACATTTGCTCACAATTTTTAAATTTTCTTCGTTTTTTTAGTCACAATTAATTTACGAATTAGTTAAGCATTTACAAAAATAAGATAAACATTCCAAAAAAATAGTTTTAAAATTTTACGAGTTCATCAAAATTCATCAATAAGGATGGGGTTCTAATCTCAAAAATCATGTTCCGGGGAAAAATAATGTGATTAACATTTGTATTTTCGGAAAATTAAATGCACAAGTCCGTAAAGCCATTTTCAGTCCCAATTCAAAATGTAAAGTTTTTTTTGCATATGCATTCATTTTCTAATTGGTGTTAATGAGCCGCAAAATCTGAAACTGAAAAGCGAAATTCCTTAAATGAGAATTTCGCGTGTTTACACCTAATGCATTTTATTCCACTAATTTAAACGTCTAATTTTCACGTGATTGAGCATTTTGAATGCCAAATTTTTGGTGTTTCGACGTCTCAAACTACTAAGAAATATCAACAAAATAACGTAGATATTTCTTTTTTTTTTTTCGAATATTTATCTAGTTTCTATGATAATTTCAGGATTTTTGAATATTATCACCCCGCAACCTTATATTTCATTTTTCAAAAAACTTTTGAATTCGCTGAAGTTTGTCTGATTTTATCATTAACCTAACATAAAATATTTTTAGGTAATTCTTTTCAAATATGATGTCCTTTTGAAAATTTCACGATTAATTCATATGTAGTTTAAATTTAAATCAAATGATCGTCTTACGTACCATAGTAATACCGTAATGCTTTAGCCTATTTTAAGCATTAAGCAGATAAGAAACCTTTCATTTTCAGGACTTCTGGAAGATTATTTATTATTTTTCATTTGCCAATATTTTCGTCTTTTTTCCTTTCAAGTTGTTGTATCTTCAAATTTAGCAGCATTTCCAGTAAAAAAAAGATTGATTTGATTTCCTTCTCGACGCTACAGAGTACTTACTTCCTAAATCATATTAATATGCTCGCTTCTTTATTTCTGCTTGGGCGGAGCCGAAAAATGCAACATAAGGAGAAGAGAAGCCGAATATGCCTTTGTGATTGTGTTTACATTTTTTGGCTACAACTCTTTCGAAAAATTCCATATCTAAGCAGGTTCGACAAATAGATTCAGCGCATTTTTTTTGAGAATTATATTTCTTGGGTTGTGCCTACTAACGGAAAAGAGTAACATGCACTAGAAGCACAAAAAAGGCAACGATAAGAAATTCGAAATACGTTTGAATTCCCTTGGTAGTTTATATCAAATAGGCTCATTTATTCAATCGTTTTGCGTGTGTTGAGAGTATCAAATCCGCCTTAAACCACCCAAAAAGCCAACATTTCTTCTTTCTTTTTTATCATTTCGAATTGCATTTTCAACGCGTTTTTCCATGTTCAATTGTGTAAGGCGAGTATAGAATATTCTTGAAAAACATATTCCGACAGGTTCAAACGTGCAAAGAGACGACTCATGCAAGTTTGATATTTCACGTAATAAAGTATGGAAAACTGATTCCTACTGATATTAAAAATTAATACACTTTTCTATGCAAATTATACTATGGCAAGCTTTCGGGCCAAATATGAGAAATATTATTATATCAATATCATAAAGCATATCCTGTTTTCTCAGCTATTTCACAAGCGTATTAATTTCTTGATTATTCAGTGGTGAGGATAGAATGCCTGTGCGGAAAAAGCATGGACCGTACGATATCATCGCCGACGACGTGTATGACTGCCGGATACCACTACACAACGAACTCGCCTATCAACATGGAATTCATTTTGAAGCCAAGGTAATTTTTTTTGGTTCTTCGTTGATAAGCTTATTTGTCTGAAAAAAGTATTCATTGACAAAAAACAGGCTTAAAATGAACATTTCTCAAGAATAATCATAAGCGATGGCCCCGAGGGAGAATGTTGGCTCTCACGGAATAAGCATTCCAAGTGAAAAGTTGTTGACGCGTCAAGTAGACGCTGATGCATCCATCTTGGGATTTGGGTTGACGCCACTGGAATAAAGAAATAATCACAATTTTTGAAAACAGATTTTGAAATCAAGTAACCGAATCCAGTTACTTTTTCACATTCGAAATTTTTACATATCATTTGAGCATATGAGCATGTCTTTAAAATAATTCTTTTCGACTGTACTGGAATTAAGAAAATAACTACTATCACAATGTTCTTACTTTTTCTTTTAAACTCAGTAATTATAGTTCTCATGTTATTTCAATTTCTTGCTAACATCGTAACATTTAATGAAAACTGTTAATATGAGAAGTCGGTAACGACAAATCTTCTAGTTTGCATGCTTACAAAATCAAAATCAGTTTTGTTCACAAATCCTATTGTAGTATGTCGGCAGCATGGAAATACCCCGACCGGGAACTCGCATCGAAATTGTTGCTGCAATGCGGCGAGTTCGGGTAATAACCTCAGACCATCAAATTACTTCATTTTACCTATCTAATTGTAGTATGAATTCAAAGCCCGAGGTATCAAAAAGCGCCCAGTCGACATTACGGTATCCGTCGACGGCGTCAAAGTGGTTCTTCAACGCAAGAAACAAAAAGATAAAGGGTTGTCTTGGGATGAATCCAAATTGCTTGTCATGTTTCATCCAATTTACAGGTAACAACTTATCGTGAACTTGAGGCAAAATTTATTTGCAGAATATTTTATGTCTCTCATGACTCTCAAGATTTGCAAATATTCTCCTACATTGCCAGGGACGGGGCAAGTAATACATTTAAGTGCAATGTATTCAAATGCTCGAAAAAGGTCGGCTACGTTTTTTTTTGTTGATTTGTTTTGGTGATCATTGGTTGTGTGCAAGAAATGCTGCTCCGGAAATTGATCCGCTTTCGTAAAAACCAGATGTGCTTCTTGAAATCTATTTATATCCGATCTAGATTTCGAATCACCAAGTTCCGATTTGCCCGCAATATATTTTCATATCGCCACACGAGGCCAATTAACAGCTTCGTTTTTTTTTCTGCCGCTCAACAGACAATTGGTCTTTTTCTCGCATTCGTTTGCGATGCCACATTGAAGGCCGTCAATAATAATTAGAAACAGTTGGTTGCTCCCACTTTTCACTTACTAACTTCTCCTTCTTCTTCATCTTTTTTTTTGCTTGCTCGCAGGCTTGAGCTTCAACATTGTCATCGTCGTCATCATCATCATCATCATTCAGCGTGCGCGCTCGGTCGTCGCAAACCGCCGGGTTGTGCAGTTGGAAAGACAACAAAAAACTGAAGAAACGGCAGGCAAAAAATGAGTCGGAAAAAAATAACATAAACATTGGATATCGAAATCAGCAGTGATCTTAAAGACAAAAAAATAATAATTTTTTGGCGTCAATTTTGCACTCACAGAGATTTATCATTTCGAATTTTGATCGCAAATTACTTTGACTAAAAAATTGCGATTCCTCGACAAACAGAGTGCAAACTAACAACTGGGATGAAGATAAACGACGCGACAGAACGTTTAAATCATATTTCGGAGATAATGTTGGTGTAAATGAGAGCTCGTTGAGTTTGATTTATGAGGGCCTAAGAATAATGTAAACATTAACCATATTTTGAAAAGTTGGAATGTAATTCCCAAACTCTTTGTATTCACTTATTTTGCAGACATTTCGTAGTTTTATATTTGTAGCTCATACAACCTATTTAGTATCATTATTGAATGTATCAAAATTAGGTGTTTTATTTCCAAAACAATTGGAATCATTCGCTCTTGATTTCGTTAAATCTAACTGGTCATTCGTCGTACTCAAAACCACAACTTTTGACAAATTGTTCTCATTCTCGTTTATTTTGATTTCGTTTCGATTCAATGTGCAGTGTGCAGTCACAATTTTTTTCTTTGTCTCTTTAATGTTTTGAATGCTCACGTCGTGATTGCTCCCCTCCTGCGGGACGCGTATCGAGATGGAGAGAGGCAGTGGAGCGTCTTCCCACAACTTATCGTCAACGTTTTGCTTTTTTCGATTCTAGCCAACGTCAGCTGCCAGCCAGTTGAAAAGAGAAAAGAATCAAGCTCGATCCGCAAGAAGCACGCCTGCATTTTTCCGCCAACACTGAAAGAAGCTTGCCTTTCGGGCGCCAGTCGCATTGATTTTGTGACTGTTCATAACATATTTTGTACAATATCGTCTGATTATAAGCTATTCGTTTTATTGAACTTCTGTTAACTATTGATCCATTTTCTGGTTGCTATTCTTCATCAATTTTCATCGCACTGATTATGATCATACGAATGTCGTGAAGTGGTTGCCCAGTATTCCGAAGAGTTCACTGACGAACCAGTCATGATTCGGTTTGATCCCGATGAAAGCTCAGAAATGAGCGAGGAGAAAAGGTTTTACTACCTTCGTCTCATGGCCAAACCGGGCGGAAAGCCAATCAAGACTAAATTTGTCACGTGGTCACGTGATGGCGATGCAAATGCATCAAGTAGTAGCGATCAACAACTTGAGGTAACTTCTTTAGACTTTGCTAAACAATAATTTCTCAATTGCTTGTTAATGATCTCGTAAAATCAGGAACTAGCAGTTGTCTATATAGATGTTGCAATGTGTGTTTTAGTTTAAAAAAACTGCAATTTTTTTTTCATTTAGCTTGAATCTATTGTTTGTACTTTAATCAAAATCAAATATAATATAGAATAAATAATGTGAATAATAGCATGACATCAGAAAGTAAAACTATTTAAAACGAAATTTTAATATTATAAAATCATTTCCAAAATTTTTTAAAATTAAAACTAATAATATTTACTTTTTGCCACATTGATTGATTTTGGAAAAATATATCATTTTTCACAAGCGTCCCAAATTGAATTGAACTGCTTATATGAACTTCAACTACTTTCAAAATTTGGAAATTTCATTAATGAATTAAAATGTTTTACACAATTTTGATTTACGGTTTTGAGCTTTTGAATTTTCATATAATGCACATATTCTCGCATATTAAAACCACTTGTTCAATACTCTCGAAATCTTTAATCTTTCGGATCGATGCATCAAGGCATCTTCTGCGGCGATTAGCTTAATGGATTTTATTTAATACGAATTCGTGCGAGTCAGCATTTGAAATCGACATCTGGTTTCACACGAAATGTGTTTTCTTTTTCTCATATCTTCCGGTGCGAATTTCGAGTGAGTATCCGCACAAACTAATGAGAGTCGAGAGAATCAAATGTTCGGGTTGATCTGAACAAATTGAATCAATTGGTGAATTTCGGAATTAACAAATAATGTTTTTTTAGAGTCAGGCTATGCGAGTGGTACGAACAATCGGGCAAGCTTTTGAGGTTTTCAACTTTTTCTCATTTTTTGTTGAGAATAACATTTTACACAGGTGTGCCATAAGGTTGCACAAGATCAAATGCAAGAGAAGCATGAAGATGATGCAGCGAAGAGTAAAAGTGCGACCCCACAATCATTTTAAAAATTGATTGGTTTTTTCAGTATCTATGCAATCCGAGGAAGAAGCTGGACCTGCTCTTGACGTCATCGAAGAGCGTGCAACCAAAGAAGAAGATAGTCGAAGCACGTCTCCCACGGAGGGTCCACCAGTCGGAGGACCACTTTATGGAAAACGATTGTCGCTGGTTCGTTGAATTATTTTCTGCCGAATTATTGTCAAAGAGTCATTCGTGTGTATATGTATGTTATACGAAACCGAATACGCCTTAACACGAAAACGATCTGCGATTTGAAATTCGATCGGTATATCTCTCCAGCGGCGATATTCCGCGAGTAAAATGACTAGGTGTTTTCTGTCGTTTTTATTGATTTCCGTGAGGTCTTGTGGTTTTGTTTTGAAGAATCGACAGACCAATAGAAAAGTGGCAATTCAGCATGATGTTGGGAAATGCATAAGATGCGCAAACAAAATGAGAGGAATCACAACATTCGGAAATATAATAACCGAATAAAAACATCCTGCACGTTCAACGCCTCAAACTTTCGTATATGAAAAACAATCATCAAAGGAAATTGAAAATCTAGCTACTCGATTTTGATGACATAAATTATGTTTTCTGTAACACCAATCATACCTTTACTAAATAATTTGAAACAACAACGAAACATTCCCTGTGTAAAATTATTTGCCTAAATGTCTACTTCCTTGGTTCATTAACATATAATTAATTACTCAGTTTCAGTTTCAGCCTCGTAAGGCCTCAACAGCAAGTTCCTCTGGAGGAACTGCTATCGACACAACTGTCGTTGGGGAGCAACTCTTAGAAATATCAAATACACTCAATCCCGTTTTGAATTCAAAAGCACCGGAATCAGTGCCGCAAGTATTACCGCAATCAACAATGCCATTTGGCCAACAACAACAGATGCAGCAACAACCACTTCAACCAAAACAATCCCAAAGTCTTCTTGGGATTCAATCGCAGCAGTTCAACACGCTTCCAACGCAAATGCCAAGTGCACAGACATTACCATCCATGTCGGATATGCAGCAACAACAACAATCTCAACAAGCGGTGATACTAATAGTGTATATAATTCAACAAAAATTGATTATTTCAGCGTATAATGACCATGCCATCAAATATGCAATATCCTTCGGCTACGATGCCCCATTCTCGAACATGGGGTGCTGCTCCAGTTCCTTCTTATCCTCAATCTATGCAATCGTTAGAGCAAAATATTCCAATGTACTCTCCTGTAAGTTTCTCTTATCTAGATTCATGTTGATATCTATGCTTATATAGCAAATGTCGGGTATTCTTCCTTCCTCATCGTCGCTTCCTTTCGGACTTTCATCACCTGTAATGGTCTCACCGTATGCAACTCTTCAATTAAATATGCCTCAGCAACCGCATCAGCCTCCTCCTAGCTTAGATCCTAGTGAAGCTGGATCTCAATTTACGCTTGAACACGTAAAAAATACTAAATGTAATGGTTGCTAATGAGACAATTAAATTTTAGTTGAACCAACAGCTGATGCGTTCGCAACTAGATCAAGCTCAGCAGTCTGTTCAAGTGGCTGGCTGCCAAGTTCAATTGCTACGAGATCAACTAACTTCTGAAACAACAGCAAGACTAGAAGCGCAGGTATTAATAACAATGCTCTACGAGTCTATAATTTACATTGTTTAGTCTCGAACTCATCAATTACTTTCTGCAAATAGGGAGCTTTTAGAGCAGGTACAGAGTTTGGTTTCAAGACTTCAAATGTTAGAATCGAAAATCACGAACGAAATTCATCAAGGAACAACACAAGTAAAAAGATAGTTATGTCGGATTTCAAGTAATGATGATTATTTCCAGACATCCAGTTCTCAAGGTCCGGCGAGAATAATTCCTCTCGCCATCGATCAATCCGACCCACGAATACCAACAGCTTCCAATATTCGAATGAATCATCCATATCAAGTTCAACCATTGGCAGATTTGCGTTCCGGCTCCTTGCCCCCCGTGAAGGAAACGAAAGAGCGAAGAAAAATTGAAGATGGAGCTAGAACTGAGCCAGAAAGCAATGCTGAGGACACCACGGATTATTCGAGCAGTGATCAATATGAAAAAACATCGGCAGTCCGCCCATCGCATTTCAATATACTCATGTCAAATCCACTTGTTGACATTAATGTGCCATCAGTTGCAGCAATGTCCTCGAAAGCCAATGATCCGGTAAAATCTCTTCTGATTTGTTTTTATTTCATGTAAATAAATTTCAAGGATACGGAAGAGCTAAATTTGACTCCGATCAAACGAGAACGACGCGGAACAAGCGGCATCTTGAAAGGCGACAAAGACTTTTCCCGAATGTCTTTTAACGCGAGGTGAGAAGAGACGCATCTCATCTCGATTTGTAATCATCGTTTCAGATTAATGCGTGAAAAAGAGAAAGAACGCGAGATTTTCGAAGAGCCAGTTGAACAAGAGTTCATCACACCAGCTGAAAAATCGCCGCCAAAGAAAACGACTATTGATTCACTATTTTCTCAACCAGATGATCAAAAAGTAGGAGAACTTGAAAAAGAAATATCTACTCGTAAAGAAACTGTAAGAAGAGTATATTGTGAGACGCATAATTCTGTATTTTCAATTTCAGCAAGCTCCACAATATCTTTTGGCATCAGGACCAGCAAGTTCGTCCATCGTTACTGCTATGTATCCACCAATGAAAAATTCGGTATCATCATTTGCCAAGGTAAAGCAGCGTTATTTATGATTATAATTATGCATCCTCATTTTAGCCCAAGGTTGATGTATTCCGCAAGAAGACATTAAAGACCTTATCGGTGGATATGCAAGATGAACCATCAAGCAGTGATTCGAATAAAAACCCATTATTCCTACATCAACAGCATCAGCAACAGCAGCAACAGCAAAAGAAGAAAGATGTTGAACTAAAAGACATTGAAGATTATATTAAGTAAAAAAAAACTTTATTTCAAACATAACATATTTGTAACTAATATTTCAGCCGAAATGTAGATCGATCGAAACTACCCGAGACATCATTGCTAACCCGGTTAACACGCCAAGCCCATGGCGACAGCAATATACCCAATGGATATCCGCAGTGATATTTTGACCCATCAATTTATAGGAATATGTTTTCTTTATTTATATCAACCTTTCCTCACTTTTCCGCAATATAGCAACTATATGGTCTTGCTATACCAATTGTTTAGAATCGATACTTGCTAAACTCAATAAGCCTAATGTTTTATTATTAATCAGATCTCGCCCACCGGTCTTGTTTGTTTCGTCATACTGATTGTATTTGGTTAATTGAGTAGAGGTTTATAGTGTTCATATGACTTTGTAAACAACAATTTTTGGGAGGAAAAACTGAACAGAATAAGATCAACAAACTTTGTTTAAACCATTAGAAACTATTTTTTTTGTGACATACTCTCGACACATTCCTAATCATGTGTGGTTTTTCACATTATTGACATACAAAATTATCGACTATCTTCAATGCAAAAATTCGACTTCTTCTGTTTTAAAGATGACGACAATTAATAAACTTCAAAATGAGCTCTATAATGTCGATAAATAGTGTTTTTTCCAAATAGTATTGTAATAAATTTTTAATTAAATAAATAAATAAATAAATATATTAATGTCTTATGAGCTATTAATATTCAGTTTAGCTTCAGAATGTATAAAAAATAAATAATATACATATGTACAGAGGTTTAAAAAACGTATTTCTGAAGAAGATGAAGAAGATTATGGAAAACAACGCTAGAATCTGCACAAGCATGTATGTACTTAAGCAGTTAGATTAAGCCATCTGGATTCTTACAGAAAAATAGCTCTCAACTGTTGAAAATATTTGTTGAAAAAAAAAATATATGTTGACCGAATCCAGAATATCGCGATACCCAAAAAAATGAAGAATAACATCTCACAGTAAAACAAAACATGCTCTATGCATTGTAATTTTACAAGTAGGAAAATATTATAATTCCGTATAAAGCGTGTACGGAATCATACAGTTCAAAGTATTCTTCGCATATTCTGAAAAAAAATTAGGTAAATAACCTTTGAAAAATATCATATGCAAAATAAACTGCGATATTTTTGTTCATTAATTTTTTTTTATTCATTTATTTTATTTCAGCTCCTATCTTTTCTATTAGCGTTAAAGCGCATATGATAAATATTTCATGAATCTTTCAGCATTTACTATAAAATAGTGGTGCTGTAGGCTTTTTCCTGCAGACGTTTTTTCAAGGTGTATACCGTTTAAAATTTTTTTCAATTTACAAAGTATCGTAAGTAATAAACTATTCGATAGGAGACACAAAATTTTATAAATCATTCGGCAGTATTCCTGCTAAAAATGATGTGATTCTCTCGAGTTCAAAAATTAAGAAACACGTGGTTTTGAAACGTGCTAAATTACAAAATGGGTGATTTTTAATATTCAGTTCTGAGCAAATAAAATATCACCTCGTCCAAAAAAAAATTTTTTCATTGCTTCAAAAACTACATCTTCCGCGTATGAGTTCTTACATAATTGTTAATAATTTCCTGCCTTGTCATTTTTCTTATCAATCACACATATTTGTAATTACCTAATCTGAAATGGTCAGTGATGAAACTTTTATCTCTATTCTACCCTCACACTTGGTATATCGATGGTTTTTGCCAACAAATATTTTGTAAGAAATGTCGTACGTCGCTTCTGAATTCATCTGATTAGACTCAACTAGATTCGGCAGTACTTGAGGCCTCGTTTGACCCAAATTATGTTTGGTTGTTTTAAACTTGGCCTAATTTAAAGCAAGTTTTATCTATCTAGTTTTTCAGAAACAGCGAGAATGCGTCATGAAACAATTTTCATTACACTACAAAACCAAGATATTGTTGAAATTGTACTAGTCCTCCACGCAACCAACATTACAAACAATGTTCCGCGCAAAATGATTGCAATACAACAATTGAGGCATATAGAACGAGTAGTTTTGCTTCAAATTTCTTACATTTCTTAGTCGAACCAGTATACAACACCAGTGTGTATTTGGTGTAACCGATTGATGTTTTCGCAGCTCTTATCAAAATAATATAGGTAATGCGATGTTATGTAATCATTCTTACGATAACCTTTATCACTATTCATTTACAAGTAATAATTTTTGACCAGTTAACGGACTCGTTTTTACTTTTTTTAATTGTATTAAATATTGCTATTTTTGTTGTATGCACATTGTTTTCTTTTCTTAATCCACATTTATAATTATATTTAATATAGATATTCTAATGGTTTGTATTAGTTAATAAGAAGAAGGCATGAAATAGGCGAAAAACGACACGTATCCGCGCATAAAATGTTACTGACGTCACTTCATCCGTTCACTGCTCGCTGTTTATTTTTTCTCTCCTCAACACTCGAATCTTGCAGATACGCGCCTAGTTGGCTGGTTTATGCTCATATTTCCGATTTTCTTTTATTTTTACAACTTTGTTTAACAATTTAATGGTACTATGCAAATTTTAGAAAAAAATCTTGAAGATCAACAAAAAACTAGTTCTTTTTGCAATTTGTATAGGACATTTACAGTTTTTTGACGGTTCTTTGCACAGTCTTTAATTTTTCTTAAACATTCGAATAGTACGACAAAAAATTTATTTTGCAGGTTAATTCATATCAAAATTGCCTCATGAAATACTTGTGGTTATTTCTCGTTTGGGGAATTGCATCATGCGAGAATGATGTAAGTCTTGTGGCTTTTCCTTACATTTCTTTTTCTTTAGATTAATATGAAGAAAGATGTCACTGATTTTCTGAATGATTTGTCAGTACGAACATCAGAAGACAATGTGGATCATTCAGCACATCACATGGATCATTCCTCACATGGCAGCCATACAAATGCAGGTCAACATGGAAAAGATGATCACTCCGGGCACCATGACCATGGAGCAGGCCATCATATGATGATGATGTGGTTTCATGGAGGATGCAATGAGGTTATTCTCTTCGATTTTTGGAGAATTGACTCGTGTTGCGGTAAGATGACATGTAAATGTTTGATTTTAAAAGCAAGATTCAACACTGCAGGTCTCATTCTTTCCTGCGTTGCTATTTTTATAATGGGCGCGGCTTATGAAGGTCTCAAATGGTTCCGTATTTATTTGCAAATTCAATATGGTCGTTGTGCAACTAAACAAATTCCGGTTTCTGTAACTGCGAACAGTGCGTGTCATAAGTCATTAGAAGCGGGAAATGGAGCAGAACCATTAGTAAGCGCTCATGGAAGAGCCAATATCGTAAAAGCGTAAGTTTTGTTGCCGATGAATTAAAAAATGATATATTTGCATTTGTAGACGCTCTGCATTCTCCATGCCACGGTTAATTCAAGGATCTTTATATGTCGTTCAACTTATTTTGGCGTACTGGTTAATGCTTATTGTAATGACTTACAATTCATGGCTCAGTAAGTGTTGTAAAAAGAATACATAGAAAACTACGGAAAAATTATACATTTGGAATTTTCAAAAGGTTCAGTTCTGCATTAAATTATTTTTGCAAGAAATAGTAAAAAAATTAAAACGAAAATCATGAATTGAAGGGATTCATCTAAATTACAAATTGATGCAGTTTGGTTCATTTTTAATTTGAAGCCAAAATAACGGTTTTCTGTAATCTTTTGAAAAAGGTACATATTTCTGTCGTTTAATTTCGGACAAATTCATAAAATATGCTGTATTAAATATATGCGTACCTGCGACACATGAAATTGCCACTTATAATGACTATATATTTGCTTTTTTCAGGCATAGCAGTTGTTCTGGGAGCCGGCTTCGGTCATTGGCTGTTTGCCGTGTTAGAGCTTGACTCGGTTGATGGAGCTGCAGCAGATAGTTTTGCAACAGATGCTTGCCACTAAATTCTCAATTCGAATCATTATTTATCATTTATAGAGCTTATTATATTTATCGTAACCAAGCCGCCAAATTATATATGTGCAATGTGGCATTAAGATCATTCGCTGATGATGTACATACATATAATTTAATTATATTTACCTCATACACCCCAAAAACTTTAAAGACCGTAATATGAAACTTGTCGTATTCTCTGCTGAATCATGGCTATCTTTCATCACTAGAACTTCATATCAATTCCATCATTTGAAATTCTTTATTAATGTTACATAAACATTACTGTTGAGATGAAGTATGTTGATTTGACGACAATATTGAATTGAACATTAATTTTAGCTGCGTTTTGCTGAATTTAAGTTTTCGATTGCTAAAATTAAAAGCGTTTAATCCGATTGCAACAGCCAAAAATTACCCGTAGAACTGCATATAACCAATGGAGCATCCAATGATCATGAAAAGAATAAATAGGATAATTGGAGCATAGAGTTGGTCTAAGATGTCGCTGGACTTGATGAGATTTTCTTAAAGTAATCAAATTTGTTCGAAATTTCTAGGAGTCTCCGCTCATATGAAAATTTGTTTATTGAATGGGAATTTCATGAATGTGACTCCCTGTGACTAAAAAAAAAGTGTTTGCTGAAGTTTTGAACACGTATGAGAAAATATACCATCGTTTAAAATAATCCGTGAATTGTTTTGAGGGTCAATACATAGAAATAAAAATAATCAAAAGCAGAAAAGAGAACAAATTTCTACGTATGTAGAAAAAATAGAAAAAATCAAAAAATGCTTTTGATGCATTGAAATTTTTGTCATTTTTCTTTCGTTTTTTTTTTTTAATTTTCTTTTCCCTGCATTGTCCCTTTAATAAGTTTATATTCGCTATTAAGTGGTATCGAATTTTGGATTAATGTATGCTGTTAAGCCTTGAAATTTTAAACGCGCTTAAAAATATAACTGAACATGTAATAATTAAATGATGGAAAATATTTTTTACATTTATAGAATCTAAAATAATAATTGAATGATACTTCGAAGCCACATTTTTCAATGTTTTATTATCAATTATTCGACACACGTTCAACAGAAAAAACCTGTCTTTTCTTCACATTCTATCACTTGATCTTAATTAAATCGAAATCGTCAACTCTCTGTCAAAATGTTCGCTTTTTTTTCATAAAATTGAACATACCGCGTGAGGTCTCGCTCATTTTCGCCATATCTGCCATCACCTTGCTTTTCGTTTCGTATTCGAGCTCTTCGAGATTTTTATTCAACTTCGAAATTTGCATTGGGCACTAGTTGATGGTTCGACCTGCGTGCAAATAACAATTTGAAAATGAGCTGTTTTGACCTCATAAGTTTACGAAACCTGATAGTCAGCTTTTTTTGATCGTTCAGTCAAATAAACACTCCAAAATGAACGAATTCTTTATTAAACAAACTATCACAAAATGAAATCGAAACATGCTCGCTCACACATGGAAACACAAATGGACGAGAGAGCTTCTCATACAATTACCGTAAGCGTATTCAAATAAGGCCTCATAAACTTTATCGGGGAAGAGAGAGAGAGTGGTTGCAGAAAAATAATCGATTGTGAAAACCAGTCGTTGAACATGTTTTAAACCATATTCAACATCTTCTAGATGAAGAATACGTGAGAAAACGGATACAACGATAAAGACGGTAAATAAATTAAATAATACTACTAAAAGTTGAACAATTATTTTGCTACATAGTGATTAGATGACCTGTATAGGTGGACATCACAATTTTTCAAATTTCGAAAAATATTTAACAGGAGAGAAAAGAAAAGATTATGAAATTCGAAACAAAATCAAATAAATGCCAATAAAATTATATCAGAGGAAAGCACTGTACATAAATAAAAAAAATGCTCGCTGTGGAACAAATTATGAGTTGTTGCAATTCATTTTAATTGTTAATGAAATCGAATTATACCGTCGAATTGTGTGAAGTTGTGGGGGATACTAGTAATACAATTTAGAGGGAACAGATGGATATGAGTTGGTTCAATCAAATTGAAGAAGGTGGAGCGATGCCAATCACTTTATATACCCAATTTCCCATTAACCGCGTATTTACAACACAGGGAGTCGCTGACATAATCGGGACCCAGCAATTCATTGTCCATCGGAAAGTTGAAGGCCGGAATCTGTTGTGTCGTTTCCGTCATTCATTTCCTACCAAAAACTTGATGTAATAATCGATAGTTACTTTGACTGCTAAATGATACCTTTGGGCGTTTCTCATCAGTTTCTGTTGTCGATCCCTCTTCGACGAGATCGTGAAGGGCTGGAACACGAACAGCCATATCAGCAATGAGTTGATTCATTTCATCTGAAGCCATCGACAACGCATCGCCATTGGAACAAATCGAAGCGTGGGAGTTCTGAACACACACACACATTTTTAAGAAGCTGGATCAAGGCATAGTTGTAATACCGAGTCATCATCAACATCGCATACACTGCTTCCTCTGAGTTGATTCTGAGTCCACTTTTCCGCTTTTTTGAGTTCAAGCTGCGAAATGCTCGAACGAAGCTCTTGAATCGTCTGCATCGCTTCAGAATATCTCAATCTATCGTTGATGCGCTGCTCATTCAGATCGCTTTCGCGATTTGCCATTTTTTCCTTCTCGGCTTTCAATTCAAGCTCAACCTCTTTCTTCTTTTTTCCCAACGCTTCTAGCTCTTCCCTCACTCGTTTCATTTCTTCGTCTTGACGCTTCAGCTGATTCGTGCACACATGATTCTGCGTCTCAAGCTCCATCACCTAGAAAAAAAAACAATTTATTGCGGGAATGACAGTTGGTGTGTATGTGTGCATGTGAGTGGGTAGATGCGTACCTTCTGCCGCATCTCCTTGAGCTCAGCTTGGGTATCAGCTTCTTTGATCCGCACACCCATGAGCTGGTCTTCAAGTTCGCGGACGCTTATCGCGCTGTCATTTTCCTCCACTGAACCGCCAATCAGAGATGCTGTAATTTTGGCAAGGCGTTGACGAGCTGATGTCAATGGCGGAGATGGCTGTTGAGGAGATGTTGGTTGATGAGAATCAGCTGAGGCAGCGTCCTTTTCAATGGAAGCCGACATTGGATCGAAAGCACGGACATGAACGTATTTCTGAAATGAAAAGTTGTTTGATTAGGCATTTCATATACTTGATGGAATTAAAATGTTTCATTTTAAATCGTTTTTTTTTAATTGTTGGTAGATTTTTGATGTTTTTGATTAAATAAACAATCGTTTGTAATTTCGTGTTTTCGAGTTCTTGTTATCTTATGTACTAACCGCCCAATGCTGCTCAAGATCGGCTAATCGTTGTCTCATATCCTTGAGTGCCAAGCTGCTTTCTGCTTCTCGCATTTTCACGGAAATCAGCTCTTCCTGGAGACCAGCAATTCCTTCGGATGGCTCATGCTCTCTCAAACGCTTGTTGGCCATTTCAAGCTCCTTCAAAAATATTCATATTTGCTTCAGCTTCACCTCATTTGCATCTAAATTAGTCGAGCAAAAGACCACCGCAAGAGCGTGGTCGTTTTTTTTTTCAATTAGAACGTACATATAAATTTAAAAAATTGAATTGGAAATTGGTACTAACCGACAAACGCAATTTGGCTTCGCGCAATGAGTTTTCACTGTCAGCTTGTCTGGTGTGAGCTTCAATGAGCTCTTGCTGGAGAGAATGAATGTGTTCAATCATTGAAGTATCATCGACCTGGGTTCCCGTCTCAACCAGGTTGCGTTGACGGTCACTGGACAATTCCCTGAAAACGTTTGCCATATCATATCATCAATTATATTACGAACAACATGGAATTTGATCGAAACTTGCCGAAATGCCCTTTTCTTAGGCATGTGATGGATGCATGCGAATAACGAACCAAATATTTTGCGAATTTCGTACAAAACAAATTTTAGACAATTTTAGAATCAAGGCAGTTTTCAAACATCGCTTTCGAAATTCATCATACCCATGTGAATTGTAATTATGTGACGAAACCAGTTATTCGTTTCATAATCAATCATTTTTTGGCGAATACGCCTTGTTGTACAATTTACAATCAACTGGAAAAATGCTTACTGTCTATTTAGAAAAGTTTAAAGAGCCCTTGTGCAGAGTCGTTTTCAAGTATTTGTCCTTTGGCTCGATTCAATTTTTTCACACCATACATACCTGATTGTCTCATATGCTCCTTCTAGTTTACGATGAACATCAGAGTTGATGTCGCGCAGTTTGTTCAACTCATGTGCAATGTTGATACAGTTTTCGGCCTCTTGCGCAAGGTTAACCTGAAACAAGTAGAAGATTGTTTACGAGAATCACGGAAGAATTCATTTTCGATTGCCGAATGCAAAAACAAAAACTAAACAAGTGGAAATAATCTAACCTGTCCTTTTACGAGACGGTCGGCGAGGGCCGACGATTCTGCTTCAAGGTAGTCAATTCGCTGTCGGAGAAGGCGATTTTCGGTGCGAAGACGCTGAAATTCAATACTTTCCCATTGAAATCTTTTCAATTCCCGCCAATAATTTTCCATCACAAAGTTTTGACTATGCACGCGTGTTTGTTGGTTCATGAAATGTATTGTGTATTTGTCTTTGTTACGCGTCGAGGCGCGCGTTCAAACAGAAAGTCTTGTTTCAACTAGGTAGCTTCCTTCTTTATCAGCGTGATTCGCTAAAATGCTTGAGGCAGCCAGTGAATGCTTATGCACAGATTATTAAACTTTTCTTTCCGGGCAATTCAAGTACCACAAATCATCATCATTAACATCAAATGAAGATTGAGGGATGAAGAGCAGCCGCGTTTCAAGTGTGTAAAACACGCTATTTTTCATTATTCGTGCAAATTTCGCAAGCCGACCCGTCAATTTATCGTGTTGTTTCATAGAAATACATTCAAAACATTTGAGCGATTGTTTTTTTTTGGCGTCTCAACGACAACGTATTTTTTTAGAGCGTTCTTATGCATTTTTGAATGGGTTGACAAATGCGCAAAAAGCCGGAAAAAATTAATCAAAAAATTCATGATCTACTATTTCAATAACTACTATGGTTCGGTCGAGTTAATAAGATGATTGTTCGATTTGCATTCAGTGAACCGAGCGCTGAATTTCAATTTGTTTGCGGCGTACACGCATACACAAAGAAATAATTGAGTATCGATTATCTCCATGTGAAACAGTTGTATACATGTATGACTAAGGCTATACGAGAAAAGTAAACACAATTAAAATGGTGGCTCACTTTTTTTGGAATAGAATTTTTCTCACCTTTTTCGTCCATCTGAATCGAAATCTGTTCAATTGTGCGCGCGTTTTCATCATTGTACAGATGTGGCTAAATTCAACAGGAAAATATAACAAGGGTAATTAGCGAGATTTCAGAGAAGATGAATAATTAAGACGATAAATGAGGTGACGTGTTTTCAGCAAGCCACCAGGCGATGAAGGGCAATACACGCACGCCGTTGCCGCCGCCGCCACCGCCACCACAGCAGTCGTCGATTGTGGGCGTGGCGGGCGACCACGCCCCACGAGAATGAATAAATCGAATAGAAACTGAACCCAACCACCGGACCCAAACGTCAGCCGAAAAACTCTCCATCTCACGTTTGTTCAATGCAATTCCATTCAACCGTCAACTACTACGCGGGCGGAGCACATGTAAAAGTTGACAAAACTCGGCCAACGTAAACGATACGTTACGGTTGGCAATTGGAGAGTGAGAGAACTGCTAGACGCTGTATTCGGTGGGCGCAGAGAAATCGGCAACGATGTGCACAGAAACCAAAAGATATCGATGACTAGCAAGAAATGTCTCATCGGGAATGAGAGTGGGAGCGATGAAGAACGGGAAAAAACTACTAGGCATATCAAATCAGAAGAATTGAGCGATATCAAATTGATTGATGGAATCAACATGGACACGGCTTGATTGATATTTTGTGGATTTCGAAATCGGAAACATGTCTGAGACACACCCAATAGGTCAATTTGGGTTTTTGAACTTTTTTCTTCATCGGGAAACAAAAGGTTTTAAACTATTTACGTTTCGCCGCATATAGGCTTTTGTGTATTTTAAAAACTATTTTTACCATATTTACTTTATAAGTGAGCATTCCACTACAATAAATGAAAATAAAGGTGACAAGTTGAAAAATAAGACAGTGTGGACTGCTTACAAAACTATTGATTTTCGATTCTCACGATGATTCATAAAAAAACAAAAGAAAGAAAATCAAACAAGAATGAAGAGCGAGACACATGAAAATTTCATAGGCACATAATTTTTTCGCCGCGACGAAGACAGCGACGATGACAACCATGTAAACCTTCGCTACTCATTCATTTGTCCGGAGGGACATATGCTTGGCGAAGAGAAAAAAAATGAGGCTCTACTGGAACGATCTCCCAACACAACCACTCACACATATGCTGTGTGCACATTTTTCTGCGGGAATTTATTCACATTCACGGTTTTAATGTGAGCGCGACACCACGATCAATCTTGATGCGATTATTCGTCAAAAAAATAGTGTGTTTGTTGACTAGTGGTGTTTGTTTGTTTTTTTTCTCAGCAGCAATCAATTGATCGGCGAAAAGAAAAGAAAGAAAGGTTAAAATTGATAAGACGAGCCATCAAAACATGTCGAAAACTGCGAAATAACCTACTCTTAATTCAACGGCCTCCTCTTGTTCCTTCGTTCTTTTGGCCATATACTCCTTTTCCAACCTACAGTATAATAGGTTGCAATTATTTGGTCATTCACCAGCAATCGAACTCACTTTTTCATTCGTTTTGAATTGAGTTGAACTTGATTGGCAACGGCAAAAAGCAAATCGGCGTCGTTCTCATAGCGTTCCCGAATTTCACGTTGGAAATACTAAAAGAAAAATTTCCTGAGTTAAAAAAAAAACAAAGATATTTACTAGTCATCTCAAATCACATATCGGTTCAAAATATCGTTTTTTTTTTTGAGAAGTTTGTTTTGCAATATTAAACTTTACTCTTAATCATCGAGTGGAACAAATTTTTATTGACAATATCATTTGAACGACGTAAGAAGGTTCAAAGCTTTCGGCAAATAACTAAATAACTGCTCACAAAAAAATAATTGTGCCCTTGTTATCATGTAAAATTATTTTAATCGTAACAATTCGAAATACCTTCAACATTCCCTCCATATCCAAGCGCAATAATTCAATTCTCGCCTGTTGAAGGATTGCAAGCGCAATGCAGAATATGTAGTCCATTCCCTAAACAATAGCAGTTGAAATTTTTTCACCAATCAAACTGAATTCACTTCAACAAAGAAACAATCCATTATCCGATTGGCAATGTCCAATGGCATCGTGGTGGTGAATAGGGTCAGGAACCAGGAAGAAGCGTACATTGAAGTGTCGAAGCCCATATTATTGAAATGAGTGTACAAGTCGGGCATCTTGAATTAATGATAATGTGCAAATAGAAAAATGGAACTGAATTACCTGCTCCTGAACCAAGCATTCGAGTTGGAACATGCACAATCCCAAATCGGTCATTGTTGGTTTGTAGAGTTCGCGGAGACGATAATTCTCCATGAGACGAATAAGAACAGCGAACGCCTCTTCTTCTGGCATTTGGAGAAGCAAGAGACCGACGATGAACGCACTACCTTGACAATAGCCAACTTCCTTGTCATGAAGGGAATAGGCCTGAAAATATTTTAAATTGGAATACAGTATTTTCGTTTTTTTTTAAACCTTAATGACATTAAAAAGCAGTGCTTGCCCGCGACCGCCATCTCTGAAGAAATCCAACTCTGGATATGTGCGTGGAATATCACGTTGAATGACCTACATTTTTTTATTTCATTATGTTTAATATTTAATTTCTACCTTCTCATAGACAGAAGATTGTCTCATATAATCACTGTACAAGTCATGAATTGAGGTAACCGACGCATTCGACAAATTCTGCCATGCGATCATTCGAAAATGCTGCGGTATTCCGCGCTTTACAAGCTCTTTGATATTGTTGGGCCGCTTCTTGACTTCAACGTCCCAATTGTGAATCAACTCACCCCAGACGGACCATAAATCTTCCTATAAATTTTTTGGTTGTTTTAAAATTTCCTGTTGGTTTTTTTCAGCTCACTTCGTCTTCTTCGGGCGGCGTTGATTCGCGTGCGCCTTTTTTGCTACCACTGGATCCGGTTTTTTTCGACGCCACACTTCGCGAGTCCTCTTCATTTGATCTTTAAAATTACTATTGTTGCGTAAATTTTGAAACTATTGGCGTTGCCTCGATTTAAATTCTTTGTACAATAACGGCTGAGCAAACATTTCGGATTCTTTAGATAATTTTTGCTGCTCGGTATTATTTTAACAGTGGCGTCGATTTCAATAAACAAATTTAAATGCCACGTCTATATTGTAAGTAGGAATTAATGGGGATAGGATAAATATTTAAACTCTAATCAAAATTTTGAAAGAAATGAAAATAAACTGAATTATAATTGATTCATTTAGAGGAGGAAAAAAAGCAAATTCCATAGAAAAATAGTCTAAGTTTTTATAATTTTTAAAGTTTTTTTTTCTATGCTTGAATTGAGTTTTAGGCAAATCATAATATTAGAATTACATTATTAAAGTTTTAAAAGAGTCTCCAATTACTACACCTGTTTAATTGCTCCATCTTTGCCAGCATATCAACTTCATTAAGTGGTAGTGGTTCGCCCTCGCAAGATCGATCCGGTTCTCCGCACTCGGTGTCCGCAGATCCTGTAATCCAAAAATAGACAATTTCTGTTTGTGAGCAGAGCACAAAAACATTTGGCGCGCGAGCTCGCGGCGAGAAAAGCACCCTAAAATGACCAATGCGTTCGTTTCTCTGCTCAGAAAAAAATACACACGAGACAAGAAAAAAAAGAACCATTGATGAAACGGAAGACAACATTTCACAGTCTTGCGAGACTTGCTTTCATGAATCAACGCTTAATTAAGGCACACGGAGCAAAAAAATTCCGGATATCTTATTTGAAAAAAAAATGCATTCCATTCGTATATTCATTAATCTTCATTGAACAATGAACCCGTCAAAATCTATGTTTTTGGCGCAAAGTAAAAAGGACTGGGGAACAAAATAAAATGCCGAGTGCAAGCAACGAATATATGACAAATGACGACACCCATAGCCAACAGAATATGAACAATTTGACCAGTCAGTCAACCATTGTGCTCGCTTTGCTACTCATCTCTAATACTTCTCTATTGCGTAGTTTTTGGCGGCCCGTTTTTTTGGAAAGGCTCGAAAATGCGACAAGCTATCGCGTTTTTCGATTCTTTCTTTTTTTGACGACATTCAATGGGAAATGAACAACGCTAGGCGCGTCATGAAATGACTTTCTTAAGACCACAAAAACAGGACAAAAAAACCAAAAAAAAGAAGTGACCAATGTCATGCAATTATGATTTTTTTCTCCGACCTGCGCGCTCCCGAGGTTCCTGGTTACGTCGAAAATATTTCGACGAAACACTTAACACATTCCTTTTTTTGCGCTAGTCACATCATCCCCATCAAAACAGTTATCTTCACTCAAGGTCAAATACAAATGTGGATGCTGTTCGAATGATTTATCATCGACCCAAAAAGGAGAGGGGGGGGGGTGAATTCATCTATTTTGCAATATTTAGAAGAGTCTTAGTCATAATAAGAAATAGTGGAATGGGCGATTCCCACACAATGAGAACAACATTTTTGAATTGATCGGGCGTATAATCAAATTCCACCAACGCTATCGCATAGATAAGAAAAAAGTGGAAAAAGTTTTATTAGTACCATTGCTGTTGGGCATTTGCGGAATTAAATATACGGAAAGCTTGAGGAGTTGTGAGAGAGAGAGGGGGTAGCATTTGAAAAACAAAATACTATAGATGAAATTCACCAGAAGGTGGCGATTCTCTCGAACAATAAAATAGCAGTTAAAAATCGATGAAAAAGTGATCAAGGTGTGCATAGCCGTGCAAATATGAAAATCAATATACACTCGAACATACATCTATATATTCATACGTATTTTGTTTGGCGCCATCCACTTCGCGTCGTGTTGTTTCATGTTTATTCAAGACGGTTTTTCGCGCAAAACAATTAATGAAAATAGTTGGTTGTGTTATGATGAGAATGGCGCCAGGGGGTGAGGACGAGAAACCGACCAAATTCCGAAAATCAATAAACATAGAACAGTGAAAATCGCTGAGAAAAACAGGAATTGTTTGTTCAGAAATACATAGTAATCACCTAAAGCGTTTGTAACATGCCGAAACCCAGACAGCTAACTAATAACCGGTTATAATGGATTATATCATTGTTCTATAAAATTGAATGGATACGTTTACCTCTAAAATAATATGATGAAATAATTTTTGTTGTAAAAAAAAAGAAATCTTTAAAGTTTCAATGTTGCAAAGTGAATGAAAAGATGCTCAAGAAATGTGTCGCAGCAATTTATTTGTCGCCACGTAATAGAAAAAGCAGTTTTCAATGAATTCCCAATGAACAACTTTTTTGAAACTGGACCGCTAAATAAAAATGTATGTCCTAATACCGAGTGGAGTCACCTCGGTAATCCCTCTTAAGCATTTGCAATACATTTGGCAACAAACCGCAATAAATATGTTAAGTTTCTTGACGATGTGCTGCCGCCATTTAAGAGATATTTTTTTCGCTATAAAATACCTTATTCCTATATAATTCAATTCAAGTATCTGATAGCAAAATTAGGGTGATAGAAACAACATATTATTTATCGAAGAAGAATTACTAAAAGAAATACGAAATGTTTTGGATAATTGAATCAACACGTATTCGGTCAATAGTATTACGTCCATGTCCGATTTCAAAACTAAAAAAACTTGAAATGGAAATTAAGGATTCAGTTGGTCTACCCCGAATACCCAAGCAGACACAATGCATAAATAAATAGGACGCAGCTGAGCACTACTAGTCGTCCATTGATTAATTATTAGTTTTACTATTTTATCACAATATATAAAGTAATAGAATTCAATAGAAATGATAACAGACTTTTGAAATTTTGAAGATTTTCCGAAGTAACCAAGAATAAAAAGTCAGTTTAAATAACAGAAATTTTCTCTTTACGAACTAAAAATACCGCAATTAAACCATTAAAACGTATACAAGGTAACTAGTACTTTCACTATGCAGAATTTGGAAAACAAGTCTGAGGTCTAATATTGTACGTGTATCCAATTATCCTGAACTAAAATTATTATGCTCAGCTACTGTAATAGGTGGCCTTTAAACATCTGCGTGCATTTTAATAATAATTATTTAAAAAAATACCGTAATCTGAGCTTCGTCGAAGTGCAGCAGTGGCTGCCATTGGTGGTGATAGTTGCGACAATGAATTGCGTGGTGATGTTGTTGAGTTGGAATTCGAGCGTGACTGCCTGAAGAAGTTATCAATGAGTGTTCTTTTTTATTGAATAAACAATGAATCGGCGGAATTATCAATGATATAAATTTTAGATTTTTTTCGGTAAAAAAAATGATGTTTTCATAGACATGTATATATGAATTTAGTAGTGAACAATTGCAATACCTCACGAAGTTGCAATCAAATTCGAAATACATACACATACATGTAAATAATGGCGCACCACAACAACAAACTAAACGTATAGATAACATGAAAATTGAAAGCAAGCCTGATCTACGTGTCAATCGGAATCTGCTCGATGGGTCTGTGATTGTTAAGAAATAATTTGCGTGCAGTTCAAGGATAAATTTGTTAGATTTGTGACAAAAATGTCGTTTTTCCGTGCTAATTGAATCAAGTCCTTTCAATGTCACATTTATCAGAAGAAAATTGAACAGAAATTTGAATTACTATAAGTTACCTATGAACAGAACATTGAAATTTCGGATATCACAAATATCATTCGTCTGAGGAAATATTGGTTTCCGGTTGTAAATATAACACATTTTTGATGCGACAGAAAAACATTCATAATCACTGGTGGAAAACAACAAATGAATATGGAACATGTCTAGTAATGCAGAGGACGTATACAATACCAGAAAAAAAGATGAAAAACGACGATATGCGAGGGATGAATGACTGAGTGAGGTCACTCCGCTCTACCATAACACGCAACTAATCGGCATCCGTTTGGATCTGAATTGACCTACACATGATCGTTATATTACGCATACCATTACTGACTCTAATTTTCTTCTTACTAAGATTCCGAAAAGAGAGGGAAACGAATTTAATGGAATGAGTTGCAACTTGAAATGAATTGTCACATTATTACAAATGACAATTGACCCAGATTGTTATGCAGAACAAAGATCATCCATTGTTTTCGAAATATGCAGTTGATTGAGACATACATGACAATTTATTGTTAAAAAATATTATCACGTATTTATAATAATTCAAAACATATGTCTATTAAATATTTCAAAATTTGAAGAAAAAAAACAAATTTGATGATAAATTTAGAAATTAAAAAAATTTAAATGTAAAGAAAATTAAAATCATTATTCCAAACTTTTCACGTTGTCAAAACCATACTTAGTGCGTTAATATTTTCGTGCTAACTGATGTATGTGCTAGCTGCTACAGTTTGTTCTTTTCCGAAAACTATACGATTCCAAACGTTTGCTTTTTTTAACCCGTTATTCCTCGACGAAATCGTTGTGCCCGTATTTGGTCACTATATCACTCAAAAAGACAGTTCGTGTGCGAGAAGCTTTTCGTTCGACTAAAAAAAACTGACCAACACATCATTATTTGTGCAGTCGCTCATAGTTTTCAATCTATACCAGGATGGTTTCTATTTGCTCGTCTAGGTGTTGTCACGCAGAGCCAGCGAGAGGAAGCAGCTCGAAAAAAAGGACACGGTGAGCCAGCCGTGTGGATAGCGCGTTGAGCGGCCACTTTTCCGAAAACACACAAACAGTTCCTTCTTTTGCGCGCGCGAGATGCCACAATTGGACAGTGTTCCATTTTTAGCCTAATCCGTCTACTCGCGTCCTCCAACATTCTGGTTTGGCATTTTTTTTTCGCGAGGAACGCACACATTGGGCTAGCATGTTGATATTTTTGGCACCGGCAATGTCCGAGAGGAAAAAAATTGACGAAAATCACACGAATTGAACGCGGGGAAGCCGAAACAATGAAGCGCAATGAAAGTCAAATATGGAAATTTGCTCAATTCGAAACAATGCAGCACTGAAAACAATTGATGGGAAAAGGAAATGATTTGAGAGAAGCGTTTAGAAAAAAAAAGAATTGAGCAACAATGCAATTAAGAAACAAAATAATTCAGGCTGAAAACGATAATCAAAAATCCACAGAAATGGTAATTTTTTTCCGAATTAGAATGATTATGGTAATTTAGTAATATAGTGTTGCTCAGATGAAATGAGAATTTTTGCCAAAAAATTCCTCCTTATAAAAACGTGCTCATAATCCTCGGGTGTTTTTTTAAGTGACCACTCTAAAAAATTGATCTATTGATTTGTATCAATTATGCACAAAAACTCACACCGATTTTAAAATAGTTTTTTTATGCGATATTAATTTTCATAAAAAAAGGAGCTTGATTAAGATGTTCAAATCTAAGTTTTCTTTTGCAAATAAAACTTTTAGTTTTGTAAAATCTGTCCGAAAACCGTAATGCACAATTGGTAGAGGTAGGATATTTGATAGCCGTTTCTGAGACTGAAGAACTGCTTTCAAAATGTATTGAAGAAAATGTTGCAGACAACACATGTTGCTGACAAGACAAGGATGCGCGCCCTATTGGGACAATTGTCTTACAAAAATAATTTGTGTTTTGTTTTCCAATGAAGAAACATAACATAAATTTTTAAGAAATATAAAATAAGATGATTAAACATTGGCTTACCAAAGTCGATCCCAATCGAGATTGAAAAAGCTGGCAGTCTCTTGGAAAAACGATGTCGATTGATGGTGTGGGAACACCGATGGCGTTCCGACTAATGCCGGTGAAGGCACCATCTTTATAGTAATACGGTAATAGTATTAAGAGGTTGGGGGATGTTGGTTTATTATCTGGAGTTGATTGAGCAGCTTGTCTTTTAGAGTAGCGTTGTCACTCAACACTTACACAGATGGTATTATGAAAAGCGAACGGGGCGTTTGAACAGTGAGAGATGAGAGAGGCGCGTTTGCGCGGCGTCCACTCTCCGAATAGGCGTGACAAGGCGCGGGCGCGCGCACCTCTCGCGCTAACTCTCTGGAATCGAATTTTTTTCCGTTTTTGGGCAACTGATTCTCCCTCCTCAAACGACAAACACTATACGTTATAGTTAAAGCAGTGAGAGGAAGGGAGGGAGAACAAAAACAACAATGCGATAAGTCAACAATGTGGTTTGTCAGTGTTCACTGTATTTTGTTACGCATAAAAGGCAGAAAATTTCAATCAGAATTGTATATGTGCCGTGCTTGCTTCTGATCGAACAAATATTGCAAACATATTGATTACAGTGATACCTACATACTAACTATAAGTAGTTGCCTGTAATGCTTTTAAAATGCACATTTGTCCTGAAAAAAAAAATATCCATTTGCCCTTTGCAAAATATTACATATATAATTTTCCCATTATTTATGATAACTTTTACAACCTGTTAGACAACAATCTGCATTGGAAGATTCCTATTTCGAATTTTGGATCACGAGGTTTGTCCTTATCTAGAAATGTCTGGAACATTTCTGGCGATCTAGGCATTTTTCAATTACATTGATTAGATCTCGATGTAAATCTTATCGCGTTTTGACAGGAACTTCAATCTATTTGAAGTGAAATTGAAAATCAAAAATGTAAACAAGACGGACCTGTCAATGACTCGTTCGAGGTGAAAATTGGTAACGAATTTTGTAACCAAACCGAGCAATTAATCTGTACGGTAAACGGACTATAGCTATAGTTTTGCAATTTTATACACAAATTAAAGAAAATGTGCCATAAGAAGGTTGATTATATATAAACATATATGTATATGACGACGTTGAATGCTAAGTTTCCTGCGATGGTTAATAACATCAGTTGCAAAAGTTAGTCACTATGCAGCTTGCAAACTAATGAAGAATTATACTCAATATTTAAAGATGATCGCTTTTTTCCCACCCAAGAAGAAAAAGTTCACGATTGGAAAAAAAACAAGCATGCGAACATGTATTTGCTTAATAGAGAAGCTACTAGTCACGCAAGTTTAGAATTTTCCTTGGAACTTTTGATGAATTATGTATTTAAGGGAAACGCGCAATCAAAAAAAAAACATTTGGGGTGTGCCACTAACTTGATAAGATGTAATACGTTATATTTTCGAAGACTGATAAATTTGATTTCTTTTATCATTTCTTTCTCTCTTTCTTACTAAAAAAGAAATTGGACTTTTTTTGTTAACCAAAGTCAGACTTTTTCAAATTGGAATGATTGCAGTTTGAGAGTTTTGTGAGATATTGCAAAAAATTAAAGTAGGTATTTTATATTTGATCATAAGTGTATTTCCAGAAAAAATAAGACTTTCCGGAAATATATTGCTTAAAAATGTGGTAAAAATTCCGCTAATTTATAATTTGATACGACATGGTAAAAAAAAAATAGCAATACAATTTTAGAACAGAGAAACATTAAGATCAAATGCGATAAATTTCTAAATCTGCACTAACATATTGCTAGTCGATTATCAAGTTCTTTTTGGCGTTCTGAACACTTAATTTTTATCACAAAAAGTTCAACGAAAAAGAGAGTATCAGAAAATATAGATTCTATGAAATAGAGACAATGAGTCACTCTAAAATATTGATTAAATCAGTCTTTCGTTTTATGTTTTTATTTTCACTTTGTATGAATCACGAAACGAGAAAATGTTTTAGAAATATTGTGCGATCAATATGATTATGCAATAATTGATAGCTCATATGTGATAGTAGGAAGAAAAAATAATATAAATGTTTTTTCAAAACAGATGTTCAACAGATTATGTTTTGGATGAAATTCAATAAAAAAAGTTTATGGTACTAATAGTATAGAAATAAGAAATTTACTTTGTCGGAATACTATTTATTGATATCATCAACAAAAGTTTATTCCAAATTTAGTCCAAATAATATTTGCCTTTCGCGTGGATACCGCTCAGTTTATGTGAATCGGTTGACCCGAAAGAGAAGGCAAGAGCAAAAGCTAACACAAGCAAATTTGTTTATAAATATAAGCGTCTCAACTACTGTTCAATCGCGCTCGGCCACCAGGCAGAGTTTGTTTTGTCTTCTGTCTACAAAACACTTATCCACTATTTTTCCGCAATCACTTACATTTGGTCAGAATGTTGTTTGCGAATATTGATGAAGAAGAAGTCGGCTATTGTGAATTCGAAATTACGAGAAATATTATTGAAACGTAGCAAGCAACATGTAAAGTTGGGAACGAAAAAGTCGAAGTTTTGAAAGAAGCAAAACCAGAGGGCAAGAAAGGAAAGGTTACCCAATTAATTCCACTTGGTGTTGCTGTCTCTGATGTATAATGTCTTAATTTGAACTTGTCCGTATTATACGAATTCGGATTAGAACAAAATTAATCAAAATAATATAATAAAATTGACTATTTGAATTAAATTTTTTGAAAACGGAACTTGCAGTTTTGTCGAGAAATCAAATTATCGTAGACTTTCCTTCGAATATTTATTTCATATAAACGTGAAATTTTAAAAGTTCTCAGGAAAATATTCTATATAAAAAATAAACAGTTACTCTTCTCGGGAACTTCATGGTGACGTGCATATAAAAAAATATTTATGTGATTGAATTGGATGCTTTGAACGGATTATGAAAAAAGTGTCTATTTCAAAATGAAAGCCCACCAGACAATAACTGGCTTTCACTTTTTATTCTGACGATGCACTTCATGAATTCAATGGTTTGATGGAAACGAATAAACGAAAGGCAATTGGTCAGATAAAATTTTTAAGACAAATAATCGCTTTCTCATCTCGCGTCAATCCTGATTCGTTGAAAGCTTCAACAATCATAGAAAATGACAGAAAGCGGACGAGAAAAATACGGGTTGGACTTGAACAAGAACAGGCCTCCGACTATTGTATTCATCCGATCATTATCATTGCCACACATGTGGTTCGTGTCCCCTTTCATTATTCAAATCAACTTTTTTTTAATGAGTGAATGACGAGAATTGTTAAGGGGTAGCATATGGAACACTAATAACATATTCAGCTGTAAGGTTTAATGTCAAACATAAGAGAAATGTGAATGCAGCCTGGATAAAAATAAATTGAGCGCGGTGAAACAAAGACAACATTCTGCTAGACTTGAGGGGGCGAACAACAAAAAAAAGATTGGGCTAGGTTGAGGATATTGTATTTCCAATTGACGATGAATTATGAGTATTTCCGTAAATTTTAAATCATTTTTGTTTTAAACGAATGTTTGTATTAAGAAATTGAAAGAAATGTTAAATGCTGTATTGATTTGACATCAATTCCCATAAGCGGCAGAATGCAGTTTAGATGGCTGACCATGAGAATTCGAATCAAGAACAAATTTCGCTCAACGACAATGGTTTCAATGTATTCAAGTTTGTTGAATGAAATGTGGCCGTAGGATTTTCACAATTTAATTAAAACTAGAAAAGGGCAGAAAAAGTTAATTTGAGAGCACGTTGGAACAATCTTGAAAGTTTGCCGTCATTGTGTTTCTTTTTTTGAATTCTTTTCATTTATTTCGATTTAGTTTGAAAAATGTTACGCTCGGTTACCTTTTGGAACATTAAACTGGTTACTTGTCCTTTTTAAAAGCAATGATAATGACGATATCATTATGAGAGCGAAGAGAAATCAACAGATGACGTACACTTATAAACATATTCACACCAAACACAAATGAACGGCGAGGCCAACGATGTGAAGGACATTCACCTAACTATGGGGAACCTGCCAAACCACCATCTACTGAAGCGATTTCATGCAATTAATTGCAAGTGAAATCCTCGACAATCTTAAAGGAGAAAGTCCCTACTCAGATTGCGCCAATCGTGGAATGTAAGCTACTAATGGAACATGTAAGTGGGAAGAAACGACCAGCTTGGTGTGTGAGAACGGTTGCTTGGCAACTGGATCATTGGTGTAGTGGTCCAACTACTCGAATGTTGCGAAATAACCACATGGAGTTGGTCCAAGGATTATACACACGCAACTGCAAGCAGAATGTAATAATGATGGAAAAACAAATCAACCTGAAAGTTCTAGAAAGATTAACACGTGCTTCTTGAGAAAAAATTCTATACATATTTAACTCTTCTTTATTATCATATTGCGTCAGATTCATTTGGATAATAAATATGTTTGTTTAAAAATTATATTGAAAATCCAATTTCGTACAAATTTCAGAGTTCAATCGCATTTCATAAATCAGAAATACACTTTGCGAGCACTTTTTAAATTTTTATAATTCCTCCTATATCCTATTATTTTGAAGAATTGCGTTCAGCCCTTTCGTTAGTTTAATGATTTCATACAGCACTTTGTCCATCAACAGCTTTTCAATTCACATTTTTGTTTTTTGAAAAGCCTAATTTTTATATTATACTAATGCTTGAATGCATTATATCAGCTGCTCTTTCCTCAATTATATATTAAAATTTAATATAATTCTGTTGAATTTATATTTTTTGAGTATGAAAGGCTATCAGATGAAAAAAAACACCGAGAACGCAACATTTTCATTTTTTCTTGAAATTGTAGTCATGACTATCGCAGTTGGGATTGTTGATTTTGTTTTTTCACAAGATAATTTAAGCCAATAAATTCTTTTATTTTTGAAAACATTCATACAAGAGTGTCTATATTCTTTCCATGTTGTTTTCGCTCGATTTTGTCATATCTTTCATAATAATTATCATAGAATTCAACCTGAAATTAGATACAAAGAGCATGAAAAAAAAAAACAATTTTGTGTATTATTATGTGTGAGAAGGGCATGCACTTTAAGGAATGCATCGACAATTATTTTTTTTTCAAAAATATTTCTCTAAAAGCACGTCTCTTATAACATAATATATTGATGTGACTATTTAAATCCTGTTTTGACATTAGCGTGCCAAAATTATTCATGTTGAAAAAGCTTTAGTTTCCATAGAGATAATAATTTATCTATTTTTTTTTCTCTTTGGCGAAGGAAAAAATGCTCATATTCATACCTTCAGCACTTATCGCTTTTCCGTTTTGTTCAAAAAATCTAACATTGAGACAAAAAGTGCAATTTCCCAGATGATTAGGAAAACAACCACAAAATGAATTAAAATTTCGTTTGCCCTTGCAATGCGTATTAAACGCCAACATATTTTGTTACTAATTTTCAACCATTACGTACTTCTGATATATTTTCATTTCGCCATATTCTCGATGCGCAAAAGTTTAGCTTTCCTTATATAAGTGATATTCCTAAATTGAATATTCCGAAAAATCTTTCTTCAGTGAATTTTTTATAACTTCATGACCTCTTGTGCATAATCAAATTTTGACGTTTTGCTGCAAAAATATATATAAAACTTCATATACATAAATGTGGTTTATCGAATTTTTATCTAAAGGGCAAATTTATATTTCATCCACAGTGTTGTTTTTGGTTACATAAACTAGTCTCTCTATGTTTCTTTCTTTTATTTTCTCTTGCCTAATCACTTAGATATGAATCAAATTTATTTTGAATATTAATCGAAGGTATTATGTTTTTTTCTTAAAGATAAAGAGCAATTTGTGACCTTGTGTTTTTTTTATAGATTTTAATGGTTAATTTTTTAAGCCATCAGTTTCATGATTCTCAGAAACTCTTCGTATTATGTATATGACGTATTTAGACTTTAATTTATTCATTTTCATTCTTTGATGTTTATTCAACTATATTGCCATTTATAAAAATATCCACATATTAATTTTTCGCCGTCACGATAAGGCCCATTAAATTCGTTCCAATTTATTTCAACGTCGCGTAACTATCCATTTAAAAATTGTCCCTGCCATGTTCTCCATGTTTCAATTTTGCTATAGCAACCGGATTATACAATATCTGAAACTGAAAGCCGAACCACTTTAAAAGGATTATTCATATGAAAAAAATAGATATCGCAAACGTTGGAAAACCAGAAAATAAGTACACGTCTCGTGGTTTTGCTCCGTCTCTCTATCGACATTAATATTTTGTGTTGCTGATTGGATTCAGTCTGCATAAGAGCACTAAACTAATTTTAACTGCATCAAACACGATGTCACAAATTGATGATTCAGAGTTTCTTATGCATATATGGACATCGAACCTTGAAAAATTTAATCTCCACTAGATGTTTTTCATTAGTATTGCTGGTACATTCAATTATTTTCTTAGAACGATGCGTTTAAGAATCATTGCTTCTCTTCGAGGAATTCATTCTGACAATTTTACGTCATGTTATTATTATTATTATTATTAATATTATTTCAAATCGCTTACCAAACTTGGTAACCTGGCAACACACCCGTTGTTTGTGGTTTCCAATTTTCTTGTAATCACTGTTTTCTCAAAACAATGCCTTTTGCTCACTTTTGCGTTTTCGATGATGGAAACCCGTCTTGCTATTTAAATAAATAAAAAATGCAATATTTTTCAACAATGTTTTTTGGAAAAATAAAATCATCGGTAACGTTAAAATTTCACATGAAATTATCAATAGGATCCATTCTGGGGCTCAGCAGCTTTGAGTCTCTGGCCGCAAGAAATTTTGAGCTTCTGACTGAGCTCATAAGTACTCACCTTGCCTGTTCTTCCTGTGCCAACTTATTTCTGTTTGACCGTTTTTCCAAAAAGATTTTGATTTTTAAGGACTTTTGATTCCTTAACTATTATAAATATGTAATTTCGGCTCTCATAAAACTTGCTATTATAGTTTGCCTCAAAAAGACAATTGAAGAAATAAAATATTTTCTCTCTTTACAATATATACATGACGAAAACTCTTTTCATATTTAATTGCTACCGGGTATGTTTTTTTTTCAGAAAAAAATATCATTAAGGGAACCAATATGAGTGAGTCGCCAAATCTACCAGCTCCGACCGATCAAGCTGATGCTCAAGCACCATTAGGTCCCGATATTTGGGAACCTTATATTGATCAAGTCAAGTTAGTTAATCTCACATACATAACAAAAATAAGAATAAGAGAAATAATAAGATTGGTTTTCCTCACAGAATACACACACCTCTTGACATTTTGATAATTATAATTGGTTCGACAAATAATGAAAAAATGAGTAATCAGTATTTGAAGTTTTACCTAACTTTTAAATTTCATTTAAAGCAAATTACTATTCCAGCGATCGTGATTCGTGGAAATACTATGACCTTGAACATCCGCAGTATGTTGAGCTTGGAGTAATGTATAGCTTTGAAATTCAGCTTCAGATTTGATTGTTTCTAACTTTCAGACAACCAATAAATGCCGAAAACAACGTAAATCACAATTTGGTTCCACCTGAGCGAGAAGCTCATGAGTAAGATTTTTTGGTCTGTTATCATTATCATAGTACTAAAAATATTTTGAGTATAAATTGCTGCATTATGATTACATTTTCAGTCTCTACGAACTGTTCGACTCTCATCGTTCAACCGATTGTGACGTGGCCGCCTTGTACCGCGAGGCATTCGTATTGGCGGAAGACATCAATGACCCAAATCTGGAGGTGTCGTTTGATTTGTGTGCACCGAAGCGAAAACGTACCGAGGAGACCGATGATGAAGACGACAACGGGGATAACAACGAGAAAAAACCGCGTGTAGAAGAATTGCAAAGTAGTTCGGCAGAGTTGTACTTGAAAATTGCTCCCGTAATTGAGCAACACCGCTTCTTTCAGGCAGAATAACAAATGATGTGTTGAAAGAAGAAAATACGATCCCAGTTAATAATAATGTAAACTAACCATTATACCTATAAAAAATAAACATAGTCGGGGGTTCGGCGGCTTCTGTACGCGCAAATGGCCCTTTCGCAGTAGTCTATTTATATTTGTAGGTTTAATTTAGAACTGTTCGTGTTTCTTTATGCATCTTTTCTTTCGTTTTTAAATATTTTTGAACTTGTAAAAAGGAAAAAATTATTCAATTTAACCTTTAAATTTTTTGAATAGGTCCACTAGTGATTGAGAAGAATACCATTGCAAAGGCGCATGCCAATGAATCTATTTGCAATCAGGATTCGCTGACCCCGACTAGTAAGATCCAAACTACCTGACTTGTAATTTGAAAAATATGGCAATATTACCATTGAAAAGAAAACGAGCGCCTTGAATAAATTAAAGCATCGCTCTCTTTCAAGGCGGTAATTCAAATTTTCAAACATTGGGAATTTGAGTTCCTTACCTGTGAAGCTAACGCACTCCAAATCGGCAAACGGCGCTCGATTTTTTGCGAATATATTATTTTAATATTAGTTTTTTCCTACGTGCTGCAATTTAACTAAAAAAAAAACAATCTTGTCAATATATCCAATTATCAAATATTACATACGTTTTTTTTTCTTTAATAGTCAATGTTTTCATGTTTGTATTCGTTGTGCAAATTATTAATGAAGATTAATAAACGAACGAAGCAAAACTGAATTGATATTTTTTGTGACAAATAGCTTTTGGTTTGTAAAGGGATCTTTTAAAACATGGCTGCCGTGAAATAAATCTCACGAAAGTTCAGTGAAATGATTAGATTTTTTTTACAGTTAAGCCTATTCTGGATAATTTCCTTTGTTCGCAGGTAAACCATGAAAAGGTCAAGAAAACAAATTTCCATATTGTTCTGGAAGAAAACGTCATGTTCAATGTCTATATTTTTCGTTTAGTCAATTATATCAATGTATGAACCCTTTTAAAAAATTTGCAGGTTATGCTCAATAGAATTCATTTGCAAACCTTTCGAAACCGAGTGAGATATGTGATTGAATAGTTTATAAAAAAGAATGAATTTACTATTTTCGATATTACAAAATATTACCCTTGTAAGAATTCGAAACTCTTTCAGAAATTGCAATTTTCAATTTTTTTTCGAAACAATAGAACCTTGAAGACAAAACGTAGCAATTTTCTCGAAAAGAATTATGAAAATTGCATGGAAGTCGAAAGGGAAATAAATTTCTTTTCAACGATGCTTTTATTTCCAGATACTGCTTTTTGAAGACAAAATCAAAAGTCAAAAACTGAATATGGTTTGCCTCTATCTCACAAGATTCGCCGCGCTATGAATATTTTATGGAATAACCGGATTTGTTTGACTCATTCGAATTACCCATTCAGTTTTTTTCACTTTATGAATAAAGTCCAAAGAAAATGAAAATATTGAATATTGAACACCTTTCACAAAGCGTCTATATCAAAATAATTTTCACAGACAAACCATTGAATGTCTGATTTTGACGGCAGTGAGCATTTCAAAGTAGTTCTATGAAAATTTGCGTGATGATTGCTCATTTAGCGACAAAAAAATGTCTAGAACTCGCTACAAAAATTGGAACATTTTTTTCGAGTACTCAATTCGTTTTCTGATTCTTTCGCGGAATTCTTACGCAATTATCTCTGTCTAAAAGGAAAAACCTCATTTCTTAGTAACATGCGTATGTGTAAAATTCCATTGCTTGAGGACAATCATATGCGTTGAACTTTCAAAGTAACATATGTGACGGGCTGCACAATGTTGATCGGAGGGCATGATCGGCTATTAATCGCATGTTCACAACCGTTTTGCTAAAATTGACACTTGCGAGAAGTTGCAGAAGCGTTTTCCATAATGCAGAACTTACGCTTCAACTAATGCAATTTCTTCACATTTTCAATTATTTTTGTGCAAGACTTTCCTTTAGTTCAACTTATTTCCTCGTGGGAATGATTGTTTTTGTGTCTATTTCTTGGAGAAGAGTCTGACTTTTCAATTTTGTTCCTCATTTCTCAATGCACTAACTGAATGCCATTGTGAATGAAATCATTCAAGGAATTCTTATTATATGCCAATTACACACATTGTTAGTAATATCGTGGTTTCAATGTAGTAACCACATCTCAATAATATCACTTACGCTTTTACTCTTCAATAGATGAGTGTCCTTCAAAATTTCAACATTCTTTGGATGTATCGAGTTCTATAAGGCCCATCATCTGACTTATTCATAGACTTTTGGCTGATTTCACAAAACCACGCTTTTTTTTAAAGAAAACATTCATCGGTTCACAACTAGTTTCTGTAGTCAAATTGAAACACTTGCGCTTTTTGAACTTGTGGCTTTAAACTGGCACAAAACTTTTAAAAATAAATGCAGCCGTCAAGGCAACAAAAATTCGGGAGCAAAGAAACCAAGTTTTGAATACAGAATCAATGTTGTGGTTCCTCATTGTGTAAAAGTTTTTCGAGTCCAAAACATCCACTTTGAAGAAACTGTGTTTATGTTTTGAGCCACCATTTTGTCACTAATCATTTTTTTTTGGCTTGGTAATTTCAAAACACTTAAAATTTGTTTTTAATTTCGGAAGAGACTTGCTAACTTGTTTTGGATTCAATTGTTTCGGTGAAAATGCTATTCACAACATTATATTTTTCTAAAATTATTAATTTCTTTTAATTTAATGCTACGATATCAATAGACTTGATAATTCAATATTCATCCGCATGAATTGTTATTTACTCGTTGGTCTTCATAAAATGCTGCTCCGATGATTTGGGCGGAGCTTCAATTCCAGTTAAGCTGAACTCTTTCATAGCAATAATTTCTTCTTTTCCTAGTGACTCAATTTTGCACATCAAAAACTTATTAATAACCATTTTTCCTCGACAAATTGAATATAAATGACGATACACAAGGTTGTCATTTTCAGGCATGTTTATTTTCATTATTATTACGACTTGGTCCACCTTTATCGTTTCAAAATGTTGATTTTCTTTCTTCTTTTCCTACTATGCTTCCCAAAAGTTATTATATTGAGTACCACAATGGTTGGGATGTGAAATAAAACTGAGAAGGTTGGAATTAAATCACTCAGAAACATTTGGCTGTTTCCTTGATCCTTTAAATAGAATAATAGGCGCTTATGTGATTCAGTTTTTGGCATATATTTTTTTAAAAACAAGAACTATTTTTCAATATTATTCTTTGAACTAATTTCGCTATGCGTCATTTTCAGATAAATCAAAAACGGTAATTATGTGGAAATCCCCTCGTTTCCTTTATAATCAATTTTATAGATAATTCATTTTTTTCATAAAGAATAGAGCAGGAAATTGAGAGAAGTAATATAGTTTTATAATGGGGTCTTGAAAATGGAATTCCTTTGAAATAATCTCTCGTATCAAATAACTGGTATTGAAATTGCAAATTTTTGGAGGAAAAACAAAAAGTTAATTGTCTGCAATTCGACACCGTTCTCTCAAGTTTCGTATTCTTGTCGCATTAAAAAGGAAGATGAAAGTTTGTAAATTCTTTCCACTTTGCCGCTACGTAAGCAGTGTTATTTAAAAAAGAGATATGCATTCTGAATAATTCATATACGCGCATCGGAACGGACCGCCTTCTTTACAATTAGTTGATAAATTTGCTTTATTTTACTAACTGGCTTTTTCGCATATATACACAGTGAAGTTCCTGAAACTTACTTGTCATGTTTTTATTTGTGTGTATACGCGCCCACATTCGCATAGCTGAACATTAATCGTAAATTTAACAATAAACCCTGATTGGCGGACGATCATGTTTAACTGAAATTTTGTGCCAACTCTATTCAGTTAATGCTTTGTGAATATCAAACTGCATGACGCGATCCAAGGTTCGAGGTGTTCGACACAAGAAAAACGAACATAATATTTACGAGCGAGTTTCACGCCGTTTGGCTGCCACTACATTTTGCAGATTGCTATTTTACAACCCGACATAGCTTACGGACAACTCGATCCGACACCATATTTATTTTTTAACGATGTTTACTTTCATAACTTTTCTTGAACTGATTATTATTGTTTCGCTTTTTTTTCTAGAATGGAATTTTCAAATGCATTTTAAATTATAAGGCGAATTTCAGGTATTCACGGCACACAATTTGCCCCAATGTTCCAACGAACGTTCGTCGCCATTCTCTGCTTCATCTGCTTCACAACAACGTTTGCGCAAAGATTGGTGTACAACCCAAAAGTGAGTTGTTCTGCTTTTCTAGTATACCATATGAACCCTTTCTTCTGCAATCCGAGATTTGTCAAGTCACGTACACATTTTTTGATACCTATTATTCCAGGGATTATAGCTTAATCTGCTGAATTGTTTGATAGCATCATTCACGTGTTTTTATAAACATACTCTCTACAACTATTCAAGGAAATTAAAATTATGGCGTTTATGGGTAATCGAACATTATAAGAGGGTTGGTTCAATTTTTGACAGAAAAAGAACGCTTCTGAAGAGTTAGTTAGTCTAGACTCTAAACAGCAAAGTGAAATACATTATAATATTTATATTCATTTGATATATGTTGTATCTATATATGAATAAATATGCATATTACTTCCTTTTTTATTAATGGAAGAACCATTTCATGCATAAATATACCTTCATCAGACTTTTGGAATTTGGAATTCAGTTTGGAAATTGAAAGTGATAACAATAACCAGTAGACTTCAGATTTTCGGGAATCCTTGTTTTCATATACATTTTAATATATTTTACATTCTTCTTTTTGTGATCGCCGTGGAAAATGTCATATGATCTTCCAAAATGTAAAACTCTAAAATTTGCCATTTGCAGTTTTCATCACTCACATACAGCGATGATGGATTAACCGAGCCATCAAACTTTGGCGAACTTTTCCCGCAAAAAAGGTCCTTCTCATTCCAGGGAGCGCGTGGCAAGAAGAGATCGTCTGTTGAAAAACGGTACTTTTCTTTTTGATGAATATGTGAATTTTTCCCTCTAGCCTAATTTGCAAATCGTGTTTTCATGTTTGTCTTTTCTTTTTTTTCATTAAAAACACACAAAAACACTTCAGATATTCCTACTTTCCGGCGAGAGGATAATTCGAGTTTCACATGCGACACTTAACTGATCCACCACGCTGTTTTAATTGCATATTGTTTTCAATAAATGATACCGTTATGTTTATGCAAGCTAGTTTTCAAGTATCCTTTCCGTCTTTTGTTTGCAGACACTTTAAAACAGCTGAGCGAGCTGTTAATCATAGCCAAGGGCAATTTGTAGAAAGATTTGAAATAAAGTCATTGATTATAAAGAAATGTGTTTGACAATTCGAAAGAAGAACATCCCGTGAATAATTGAATCGCAGAAAACCGCTATAAACAGTCGATAGAATAAATTGCTTGAAAAAAGAATCCAACCGGAAACATCATTTTTTGACAAGTTTGATTTAAAATTGATAGAATTTCTCAGAATTCTTAAACTTCTGGATAACGTAAACAAGTTTTTGCTTCAACAAGAACTTCGAAATTCGTAAGATTTCTATACAAACTAGGGGAGATTTTTTCAACATAATCCAGATATTTCTGAAAATAACTTTAAACTAGTAACAGTAAGAACAATAACAATATATTAAAACTATTCATTGGAAAATCATCAAATTTTTTTTATATAAAAAAATGTTTACAAAAAATACAAATTTTTTAAATATATCTATAGTGGAAAGTAGAGAAAAAGAAAAGAATACGGTAAATTTGAAAATTTACCAACGAATTAAGACGATAGAGTTTTTTTTTAATTTATTCAATTTTTTGATTTTTAAAATTTTTTTTAAGGAACGTCGATGTTCCGGGAATTCAATATTTTTTAAAAATTGTATTTGGTTTTCTCGAAACCAAATTAAAATTGTTTCAATTTTATAGCTGGAGAAGTTTCCTTAATATTCATTCATCCAGTATCATTTCGATATACAAAAAATAAATTCATTCATATGTTTCTCTCAATCGTAACTAAACAAGGATTAACATTTTTTTTTGAGATCAGTGAAGTATATCGCAGCGTTATACCGTTATTTTCATCTTCTCTTAAACAATTTCAGACCTGATACTTATTGATTTGCTAGCAATTTACAATGATTTTTCATGTTTTATATCAGAATTAAACTGATAAGGAAATTGTCTGAACTCGAATAAAAACTTTTGAGAGTCACTCAACAAAATTAACAATTAAATCACCAAATGACAAATATTTACACTTAAAATCATATAGTGAAGCAACGAAACATTTGACAGTTGTCTCAGATTTCAGCAAACACTTTTAAAATATTGAAAATAATCCAAAATGTCGTCTCATTTCACGATGTTCGAAACCAGATGCTTCGTCTCAAGAGCCCCCATTCAAATTGTTACACAGGGTGTTGGGGTTGAATTCTCAACATTTCAATTCAACAATATGGAGAATGTAGCATCTTTTGAACAGGTTAAAACCACTAGACGTCATTGTTTCAAGAGGAGTTTCAAGAGAACATCACGGTTCATCCAAATTCAGCAGCCAACATTAAATGAAACCCGACGAAATGAGAATGCGACGACGACGACGACGACGACAACAACAACGACGATCGAAGAGGAACATTGCGAAGTGGAAGAATAGGAAGGATGCGAAGAAGAAGAAGACGGCGACTGACGTTTTGCACAATGGACACCAGTTGGCCGATGAGGCAAGCAGATTGTTGATGAAATAGTGTGTGTTACACGGTGAGCGGAGACACAACGGGCATAGGGTGGCTGGGCCCGCACCGAGCGTCGACGAGGGCGCACTACTGCGTTGGTAGTGTTTCTGGCTGTGCGCAGTATTAGCTGCTCTCTGCCGTTTGTTTTACTCACTTTTCGCTACTGATGGCCTGCCAAACTGGAATCAGAGGTATCCCATTTTTTTGTCACTTCTCGAGTGTGTCCAATACATATTAAATTCATGATTAGGTTTCGGGGGGAAAGATGCGAAAAAAAATATTAGAGTCCACTCGAAAATTGGTGAACTCGCAGAATGTGCATATCGATTAGTGTCTTTTTACATTAGAGGGCATCTTGTATTTATACAAAGTATTAATGAAAAGGAAACTAAAACTGATATTTATATTAATATGAATAATGAATAGTAATAAAATGACGACACAAATAGATATTTGGAGCACGCGCGTCGAAACAAAGGGTACACATTTTTTTCAAATTCTACTTTTAATTTATTTTATTTTGCGAATCGTATTTTCTATTTGTCAAATAAAAACTCAATTTCATATAAATATTTTAAATGGTTTAATATTTGGCTGACAATCGCTTTTATAACTATTGAAATCGTGGAAATAAAAGTTTCCCTTTCAACGAATGTAATACGATTTAAAATTGCCAACAAAAAGTGTGAAGTTCCCACAATCATTATTGACATTCAATGGGTATTTAAATGTGTCCAGCAGAAAGCCACGGGTGGTTTTTGCTGTTTCATTATGGAAGAATCGCATGCGGTTTTCGAAGTCTCTTTCCCCTCATTTACCTCCTCGTTGGAAAAAAAATGGAACGTACGTCTGTCTTTACACTCACACGCATACATGAAGAATGTATAACCTTGACGGATAGCAATGCATTCACTATTTTGCCGCCAAACTGTGGATTATATACAGTTGATGGACACAATAATTATCGTCTTAGTAAAGATATAAAGAAGATGGTACAACAAAATTTGTTGGAAACCATTTCGTGGTTTTCATATTGTTTATTCAGTTCTAAACAAATCTTGTTCGGCCCGATTTCATACATTTTTAAACAGAGGGATGAATTCTCGTTTTCAATTTTTTCGGTCTTTGTCATTTGTTGACCTCCTACACGGTCTCATCGTGATCCGCAACGTTTATTTGATATTATCCGCGTTGCACAACAGCGTATTTATCCCATCCGACAGCCAAACCGGGTTCGGCGAGAACCATACCGCAAAGCCTCTCCAGACGTTCCTGAACATTCCTTATTCCTTATAGGAATATTGAATGCAAGATACTGTGGAATTTGCGAGGACTCATTCGCGAACAAACTCCGAGAGTGTCCTCAGCAAATATCCCTCTTTCGCAATCGCAGGCTGTATTGAACAATATAACGGCAGCTGTCCATAAACGCATTTGGATTCATAACACCTCGCGATAGCTTCTCTTGGGAGGCACAATCAAAACAATTTTGACACAAACAGTTGAAAAAAACACTATGCAGATTTATCGATGAAATTCGTATACACATTAAATCTATTGCAGCTAATGCGGCGCTCAAAAACGCTTTAAATCTTGGGAAGCAAGCGAAACTGCGTCTCATCAAAATAGTCGTCAACAATGGTGAGAGAACTCATTTGAAGAATCGATTAACATAATTCATAATTTTAGAGGAAATGACGCCAAACTATGAATATGCGGGAACCACTAATTGGCGGGATGACTGGAGAGCGTGCCTTCCTGAATGTGTTGATGCCTTTGAACCATGTTTTATCTTGTTCCGACTCAACACTATCACCGAATGGGTTTTGATAACGTACAAAGGCACTTTTGATAGTTTTTGGAATGGATTTTGCAGGTTTGTCGATGATCGAGCCCCGGTCCGCGAAAAAATGCTCCTCGCCGCAACATGTGCCACATTCAAAAGCGAATTTGGACAATGCTACATCGAGCATGAAAAGCATGTCACCGATAGAAAAGTGAGAAACAACTCTTGAAACACATAGTAATCCCAAAGGGATTGTCTTAAACAACCGAATAAATAAAGAGGGGTTTGAAAAATAATTTTCTGCCATATTTGATGCTAAACTACCTCAAATTTGAGATTTTTATACTATTTACAAGTACACCAATGTTTGGTAAATATTCGATTATGGTCGCAAGACGCGCCGAGTGTATGTATGTATGTGTGCTAAACATCATACCATGAATGGAAAAAAAAACTTTCACTTTGATTTCTCGGCGTTTTCGTCATTTCAGTCATCATTTTTTCAACTTTTTTTCAGGATCTCACTCTTGAAGCTTTTGAGAGTTGGTTGAAAGCTAAGACCGAATTAGGACCAATGAGTGATGTTGAAAGAGGTGAAGTTAACCCCCTTTTCTTCATGCTAATATTTTTTGTTGCAGAATTGCACAATGCTCAACAAGAGAGAGCAGCAATTGCCCACGCAGGGCCGCAGCATATGAAGGTTGATTTAATTGAGTTTGATTGGATTTAATTGGAATTTGTTTTCAGGGTGTTGCATTTCCGGTCGATCGCAATGCGGAGGAGGCTTTGAAGCAGCTTGCGCGTGGCCAACTCAGCTTTGTGCAGCTTTCGGTATGTTTCTAAGACGCATATCGTTAATTAAATGAAAAACGGCCATACAAATGCGTCCAATTTGAGGTCGACACGCTCAACGAAGCTATAAAGCTTGAAGGAATACAAGAACATCTTGAACCATCTGCGTTGGCTTCAAAGGTTCCACGAGATAAACCGAGATACACTTTTTATAATTTTGATCATACATGGGAAGGAGTGCCGCAAAAATGCACATGTGAGTATAAATTTGGATAATTTATATGAAAATGTGTCAAATTGAAAATTTCAGTGTTCATCTACTCTCTTCCATCGTCTGGAAGCTCAATCAAGGAGCGAATGCTTTATTCAAGTTGTAAGGGACCATTTTTGAGTGCCGCGACTAACTCCTATGGGATTGTCATCACTACAAAAGTATAAAAACTGTTTTTAATTATTTATAAACATAATTTGATTTAGATGGAGGTTGATGCTCGTGATGATCTCTCGGAAAAAGCTCTCCTTGAAGTGATTCACCCATTGCCAGTAGAAGCTCAGAAACAATTCGCGCGTCCGGCTCCACCGCGAGCTGGCCCACGCCGAATTACCAAAGTCTGATGTCATTGTCATTTTAATTAAATCTGTTTTATAGCTTTTGTTTCTGATTGTCTAGGAGAGCTTTTATGCCTCATTTAATTTGTGTGAAATTTTTCGATCGCTTACGAACTTTTATTTTACTAATTTAATCTTCTTGTTTTCAATTACATCAGCTTATTCATCAAAAATTGCGGAAATCAAGAAACGGCACTCTCATTGTATAATTTTATTTTAAAGCCGAGCGCATGCATTTTCATACTATTTTTTTGATTAATTCCGTGGTATTCCATTGGCAAATTTAATAGCTAAATCAAACTATTCTTGATTCTGTTTCGAAAAAATAAATCGTGGTAAATGCTTTCGTCCTATGTACTGATCATTGTCTTTTTTGCATAAATACTTTCTGACGCAAACGGAAATATCTTAACTGATGCGTGATTAGAGTATATCTGGATATTCTGCACCTTAATGTGAGGATTTGAAAGATTTATATTAATGATATGAAATAAGTGCATGTAAATTCTATTTTCATTTTCCAATGAAAACTATTTTTAATTTCATGGAAGAATTCTTGAAAATTTATAGCTGAAGGATTATAGTATGTGGATGGATTTCCATACGCGTTCATTAATGTTTTTTTTTGCAAGAATTAAGAATATTCGTGTTGTTTCAGAACCTGTTTGAAATTGTCAACAAGCATAACATTGAATGCAATTCAATTCAGAAACATTCATTTTTGTTGCAGGTTCTTGTCAATATCTCTTTTTCTCCAACTGACCGCAATCTCAATCTACCCATGCTATAATTGTATTCAATTATTTATTCTCTTCCTCGAAATTCAAGGAATTCAAATATACTCTAAAGCCTTCAGCAGATCCATGTATCATTTACGATGTATGCTCTTTTTTTGAATACACTTAAATCAAGAGCATAAATTTTCAAATTATTTGCTGGCTACGTTTTAAACGTTTCGCACATTAACTTTTCCGTTTTTTTAAATTTTCATTTCATTCTTCATAAACCACTTAATCCAAGATACCACTACTATAAATAACATTTTGAAGTGAGAACTGAACGTAATTCCGCAGACTCAAAGCCTAGAAAATTCTACTTGAAAACTCATAAAATTGGATAAGTCGGGTCGAAATGCAAATGATGTAACTGGTGAGTGAAGGGGGAACGGCATAAGAGTTTTGTGGTCCAACACGCTGAGCGGCAACTCAACTGAACAGATGCTCACCTTCGTGATTGAGCCCCACACTTATATTATTTCCTCTTTCTTTCATTCTTCTTCCAATCTATCCTTTTGTCTTGCTTCTGTTGCATTTTAACAATTTCGCGTCACTTCTGTCATTTCGCTGTTTGTTTCTCGTTTTTTTTCACTCTTTCTCTTGAGTTTCTTGCGTCAAATTGTAGGATCGAAACATCTGTAACGAATTATTATCTTTTCGAAAATGTGCAACCGATCGAATTTCACAACAAATTTCGGCCAGCTGACCAATAGTTTTTTAAGGGTCCGAAGCAGTCTTATGCTTACTTGATGCTACTACGAACTATTATATTCTTATTCGCATTGTTCGCAAATATTGAGCCAAATGAGCAGGAAAATGAAACGAGGATACGCTTCCGACGATATTTTAAAGCGTCAAAAGCCGGAAGAATTGCTCGCGCTGCAACGGCACGGAAGGAAAGAATTTGGCCAGAAGGAATAATTCCTTTTGTAATAACTTCTAATTTTTCAGGTATACAATCACTATTATTTTTTTTTCTTATTTTTATTACACGATATACAATAGTCTAAACTTGCGAAATCGCTTGCAAATACAACAGCATTGCTCATTTTTAAGTAATTATCAAGGTGTTCCTTTTAATACATTTTTGTTATATTCTGTAATATCTGGAAACGTTTACTATTATTCATTTGTATTGTTCATTGAATAACCTCGAATAGTTTCCTAGTTATACATAAATTGAAAAATTTCATTTACCAGCTATTAAAAAAACAAGAATATTCAGGCGACGATACGATTTATTTTTCAGTTTGACACATTTTTGTTTGTTTCTCACATTTCAGGAGATCATCAACACTTATTTCTGCGAGCAATGCGGCATTGGGAAAACTATACATGCGTCTCATTCGTACCAAAAGAGCCTCATCATAAACATTATATTACTTTCACGGTGGATAAATGCGGGTAATTTATTAAGATGATCATCTTAAAGTGGTAAATTTTCTATAGATGTTGTTCTTATGTGGGTAGACGTGGTGAAGGTCCACAAGCAATATCAATCGGAAAAAATTGCGACAAATTTGGAATTGTTGTACATGAACTTGGTCATGTGGTAGGATTTTGGCATGAGCATACAAGACCGGACCGGGACCTCTATGTTGATATTTTCTACAAAAGCATTCAAACAGGTAAATGGAAACATCTATTGTGAATGATATGTGTACTCTCATTTCGAATTGGACCTTTTTAATGTAGTCGCACAAATCCACAATTTTCACGCTTAGTGTACGATTGTAGTGCAACCACTTCACATCATTCGTTCTAGTCATCAATCATTTTGAAAAATGTATGAATCCGTATTAAAATAATGAGGTCGTTCATTTTCACATCAGCATCATATGCCGCTCCTGTTTTTTTTTTTCAGGTCAAGACTACAATTTCGAGAAATCGAAACCAGAGGAAGTTGATTCGCTTGGGGAACCATATGATTTTTCATCGGTTGGTTCGTGATTTTCAATTTGCATGAGCAAATATATCAATTTAAAGATAATGCATTATGCCAGGGATACGTTTTCTCGAGGGGCGTTTCACGACACGATATTACCTAAACCAAGTTCAGGTACATTTTGAAATGTATATTCATTATTAGTTCTGCATAAAAATCACTACAAATTGCTTATAGAAATAAATCTGATAAATTCAAAAGGTTTTCGTTTAGTTTTTTCATTATTGTACTTGATATTTTTTGTCTTGAATAAAAAATTAAGTGAATTTTTCACTATTTTGGAAATATGCTCTCGGATTCTAATGTCTGTTTCAAGTTTAAAAAAATGTTTTTGAATTTTTTAAGTGAATTTCCTTTTTACCGCAATCTAAGCAGTTGAAGAGCTCATTGTAAGTCGCTAGGATCCAGCACTAAATTTTGGTAAATGAGTTGTTCCCCCATGACATACTAGTTTTGAAATTGTTAGTTTGGATGTTTGAGGTTTCCGATCTGAAATTGGCCAACGAATTCAGCTGAGTGAAGGTGACATAAGACAAACCAAAAAGTTGTACAAATGCGCTGGTAGGTTGGAACACCCGTGAAATATTAATGATATTCAATTGAAGATTGTGGTGGAACCCTCATGCAAGAATCCGGAAATTTGATCATAAGTCATCCGGGAAAATGCGTTTGGCACATTATTGCACCATTAGGTCATACAATTTTTCTCAATATTACGGGTTAGTTTCTTTCTCATATTTACTTTGTTTTTTTTTTTTTAAATGCGTATACAAATGCTTGTTTCTTATTTGACTCTTGTGATCATTTGCGTGATCGTAGAATATTGAGCCAATTAGTTCGGACAGAGTAGAATTTTCTTTAAAATTAGGTATCTCATTAGACTCATCAGTCGTTCTCAACAAACAAAAACGCATGATTTTATATCCCACAGATAATCTCATTATTTGAAGGTTCTGTCTTAGCTCCAACTACAAGGAATTGTGTCGAGGATAACCAAAATGTGATAACTGTACGAGATGGAGTCTCCTCAAAATCTTCCATTTTAGGTAGAAATTAAAACATGAAATTTGAAAATTCGAGATTTCCAGATCAGATTTGCGGCGGAGACGATCATTATCGGACAATCGCATCATCGACTAATCGAATGCTAATTGAAGCAAGATTAGTAGCACCCTCACCCTTACCATTCGCAACTTACTACGCTATATGTGGCGGTCCCATTTACGCAAACCACGGTGTTATTCAGGTATATCGATATACATTAATTAATTTATTTGCCTACGTGTGTGCATGGAACAATTTTTTATTGCGTGGGTTGCTGGCATAGTTTCTCATCTCCCTTGGCACACTCCTTCTGTTACAAACTATGATCTTTGACATAGGCTTGATAATATTTTTTTGTATTATTTTCAGAGTCCAAAGTATCCTGAATCATATCCACCAAATAGTGATTGTCAATGGACGATTCACGTCGAGGAAAATAGCCAAGTTGCTATTGAGATAGTGTATTTTCATGTAAAATTAATCCCATATTTCGCAACTGAATTTTTGATTTTCAGCTTGAGCACCACAAAGAGTGCATTTATGATCGGCTAATTCTCACAGAAGGCGCAAAACCAAATGAGCTCAGCGAAACACTTTGCGGTCTTGTGGAGAATAAAACAATAATCACTAAATCAAATCAAGTTGCCATGAGGCTAGCAGTTTTACTTTTTCAAACTAGACTTTTGACCCATTTCAGATTCTTTTCTGATAATTCCGTGCAGAAAACTGGATTCGAAATTCGCTTCTCGAAAGAGCTCAATGAATGCGCGACAGACAAGAACAATTGCCAACATTATTGCGTCAACATCGTTGGTAGACATTTTTTCAAGCCAATTTTCAACGGATAATTTAACTTTAGGTGGATTCCGATGCGAATGTCGTGTCGGTTTCAGTCTGAGCAAAAATGGTTATTCATGTGAGAGCACTTGTGGCGGATATTTGCGAGCTTCGAACGGATCTATATCGTCACCAAATTTCCCACGACCATATCCAAGCTCAAAAACATGTATCTGGGAAATAGAAGCTGATGACGGTTATCATATATTTTTGAATTTCACCAAGTTCAATGTTGAGGTATGCTGAAATATGGCTAAAAACAGAACGCTTGAGAATTAGAAGACCTCGTGCTCTCTTATATGCTTAATTAATAAAGGGCTTCATGCCAATTGGAAATGATTATTACATATTGCGGATCTATAGAACTGAATAGAAAAGAGCACTTAACGAAACTATTTTTAATGCTTTTGTTTTTATTTGTTTTTAATATTATTATTCGTAAAACAGATATCGAATTACAAATCTGAAAAATTTTTTATTGTTTCTGCCATCGACGTAATTTCTTTTTTTATACATTTTAGGGTATGCGAACTGAATGTGCATACGATTATGTCAAGATCGGAGATAATGAAAAATTATGCGGAGAATATAGTGAGTTCATCAGTTTTTATGATCTGACATCATTCGATTTAGATGAGCCGTTATTATTTACGACCCCTACCAACAAAGTACGCATCGAGTTCAGTTCGGACTTATCCGTCGAACGAGACGGGTTTTTTGCAAATTTTATTGCTGATTTTGATGAGTGCCAGTATGATAATGCAGGTTGCGAGCATTCTTGTCAAAACCGATTAGGTTTGTCGAGTAATTGTGTCGAAAGCTAATATTGCTTCTAAGGATCTTATGTTTGTACATGCAATTCCGGATTTGTGCTTTCGGAGGATAAACATAATTGCAAAGAAGGTAGTTGTTTTTTTGAGCTTAACGCGCCATCAGGTATCCTTCTAATAATTTGATATTAGTATAGGCTGTAAGATTTAGGAGAGATCAGTTCACCAAGTTTTCCGAACGATTATCCAAAAAGCCAGAATTGCTCATGGCATTTTGTTACAACACCCGGTCATAGATTGATGCTGGTAATCTGTCACTTGTTTATTTATTATTCAAATTATTGTATTTCAGACCTTTTCGACATTCCAAGTAGAAGAGCATTCTCAGTGCAAATATGATGCTGTGGCTGTATATGACGGAGGGGATTCGCAATCTCCCTTAGCGGGTAAACTTGTTTTTTTTACACGTGATAAATGATCGCTTTGAGGACTATTTTGTGGCCTTACACCTCCTCCGCTTTTATTATCTTCGTTGAATGAATTTTTCCTGACCTTTACGTCAGATGCTTCGGTTTCAAGAAAAGGGTTTGAAGCTCAATATACCTCAGGTGTGAAGTAGCTTTTTTTTGAAACCTAATTAATTGTGATCATCTTCTAGTATGTGGTGGTAGTTTGATAGCGGAATCGCTGCCTGGACATATCTATTCTCACGCAACCTTCAGTGACAGCAAATATGGAAAAAATCAGGTTCGAGTCATAAGATATCACTTATGTTTTAATCATACATTTACCTGCAGTATCATTCTCAAATTTCCTTCTTTGTTATATATTGAAACAATTTTTGGTTACAACGAAAATTTCATTCAAAGAATTCCAAAGAACATGTTGTGGCCACAATTTGATGTGATAATTCTAGAAGACTAGCAACCATATAATTTAGAAAATTGTTGAAGAGAGCCTTTTAGGATTGCTCTTGGCGAGTATCCGCAAAAACTCCGTCACGCGGAGTGCGACTTCAATTTTCTTCTTTTCAGTTGGAAGGGGAGGATGGTTGCTTATATGATTACATAGAGGTTAGTTGGAAGCATTCAAAATTACAGTAAGGTTGAATTCAGATTTATGACGGACCAGAAATGACTCCTGATTCGTTATTTGGAAGATTCTGTGGAGATGCAATTCCTGAAACGTTTACAAGTTCGGGTATAACATTAATGCATATTAATGCATTATTTCAATTGATAACTACAGGGTCTGAAATGCTCCTAATTATGCACACAGACAACGCTGAGGAGGAGAAAGGATTTGTTGGAGAATATCGAGAAGCTCAGAGAGCAAACCGAAGAAAAATAATAAACACACCTGTACATCCACCGAGAACTGGAATGAAAGAGCCAATCAATGAACAAATGAATGCCAATTGATAATAAAAAATGATATTAATCGCATAAAAAATCAATTATATTTTCGTTGATGAATTTCAATTATTTGTTATTTCTGCAGCGTTCGTTCTACTGATTGCTAAAATATCTAATTTTGTTCTATTTTTTTTGTTATGAACACTTCGTTTTAGTGTCGACTATGAATCGTTGGATGACAAATCTGCCCGTTGAATTAAAGCGGAAACCACTTCATAAATTATGCATACCAGGTAAAAATCAAACTGGTTAAAATTCTAAAAGCATATTTCAGGGTCGCATGATTCTGGCGCTTATAAGTTGAATGTGTCTCTTCCGGTTGGTCACGATCAGAATTATTGGAAACTTCTTCATCAGATTGCAAAAATCCGTGGAGTCAAGACCATTATTAAAAATTGGTCGGAAACTCAGACGTAATATTCTTAAGAAATTTTGATTAAAACAGCCTAACTTTAGCCTCTCCATTAAAGAACAGCTGAACATTGGCGTGCGGTATTTTGATTTACGTATCGAGTTGGTTGAGAAACCCCCATTTTGCTCGGTACTGAATTATTTTAATCTAACATTCAAAAAATAATTTTTGCCTTTAATGAAACTTTATACTGAAAATCGTGTAAAAATATTTTTTTTTAGTTTGATGACATATTTGCGGTACATGCCTTATATGGAGAATCGGTGCCCTCATTTCTAAACGACATCAAAGAATTCTTGGATGCCAATAAAGAAGAGGTCTGTAATATGAAATCGTTTCAGTTGTAAAAATTGCGTTTTTAGGTCGTCATTCTTGATGTGAACCACATATTCAGAATGAGTCATGTCGACTTTTTGCACATGTTTGTTATTCCATTGCAAGAGCTTTTTGGTCGCGATTCATTCTGCCCAATTATGGTAGATATCGCTGATTCGACTCTTGAAGAGCTTGTCGAAACAAATCATAGGTTGCGAAAAAATCAATTGAATTAAAACAATATTAGTAAATTCAGATTGATCGTAGTCGGTCCATATGAAAATCAAGTAATGGGTATTGTGTATTCAAATGAGTATATTACCAGTCACTGGCCAAATTTGAACTCAATCTATGATCTCATTGCTTTTATGCGCAACGAGGTTAATCAGAAAAAACCTCCAGTGTTGAATGTTCTTCAAGGGATGATGACTGCAAGATTATCAGACATTGTAAAGTTTTAGACATAATATGCAATTCATTATGATTTTTTAAGATTCGCAATTTGTTTGGAAATTTGAGAGAAGACTTTGGGTTACCATCTCGTAAAACCACAACTGACTTTATCAATTCTCTCACGTTCAAGGAGAAGGACAATGTGAACATAGTCATAACCGATGAAGTTGACGAGAATTTCACAAAAGCCGTTGTGAAGCTAAATACTATGCTCCCTGATGAGCTTTAAACCGCTTATATATATATATATATATTTGTTCCTTTCGAATAATCATTTCATAATAGTTGCAGTGATTTCCTATAGAAATTACAAACGTGTAGATTACCATTCCATATTGCATTCATATATATGATCTCGAAATGTAGAGCAATTTTGCCAGCTAGACATTTATTTTCGAGCTGTTCGCATTTTCTGCAGTTGTTTGCTTTTTTCTGCCGTCTCGCTTCAAATAAAGCTATGTGGAAAAAGTGTGTTAATTATAAAGAGAAAGACAAAATAGGAATGTGTTTCCCAAATAATCCAATTCTGAGCATGCATTAAGGTTGCCTCTTTTTACATGGTTCTATGCTTTTATAAAAAAATGTTCACGAAAATCAATAATAGATTATTTGCTGCTCACTTCTTCAACAATCCTCAATTTTTGCACATTTTGAACCATAATAAAACATATTATTATGGATTTGGATTAAGTGTCATAACTCTTCGATAATTTCTCATTTTAACAATTTTCAAACATTAACAAAAACTCAAAATGCAAACTCAACTTAAAAAATCTGGTCGAAGTGGGGAGTTGAAATTATTGAAATTGTGTACTAACAATTTTGAATATAAATTAAAGTATGTAAATGTATTAAAAAAAACATGAAACCTCTTACAAATGTTGCATCCTACGCATTGCAGAAAGGCTCAAGATTAACAATTTTAGAGGCAGCTCCATGAAATATGAAATCTTTGATAAATCAAAAAGTAAAGAACTGGAATCGTAAATCGTGATTGCTCTAACAATACATGTTACCAGTGGGTTTGCTATTAAGGATAGAGATAATCAGAATTATTATTTCGATTTAGATCCCCCAATAAAATTAGCTATTTGAAAGGTAAATATAAAACATTTGCCATATTTGTTAATTTTGATTTTTGTTTTATTTCAAATTGTTATCGCACTATTTCGACTATTTCAGCCTCATTTTTAATGTAACGCATTTCGACATTTTATTGATTCGTGAAAATTTTTGAAAATAAAACAACTTCGAAGGCACAAAATCAATAGTTATAAATCTTAAAATGCCTCAAAATATTCAATAACTGAGGGTGATCGAAGAGATGTACTGAAGAGAAACGGCAAATAATCTATTACTAAAATTCCATTAAAGTGTTAATTCATATTTGATAAATCACTTATTCAAGAGACCGATTTTACCATTCACATTTAGATGTCTAATTTCCAATTGAACGTTGTTGTAGGATACAATTTTTTGCACAATTCACTTGCGAAAATTAGCTTTCAATGACGTCATTCGATTCTCAAAAATCAAACCAGCAAAAGAGCAAATCACTAATAACACAAATGCCTTTTTTTTAATGCCACAGTTTTCTTTGGGCTGTCGGAACAATTAATCTCATGAACGCTTTATTAAATTTCAAAACTATTCTATATATAACAAATATTTTACTGTGGCATGAATCATTACTGTTTGTTTAATGACATGGAAAGCTCAAAGAAGAATGGATTTCTAGTAACAACCTTCCGAAATTCGAAACTTTTATTCTTTTAATGCCTGAAAGTAGACTGATCAAATTGAACTCGGACGTAAGCATATTTTTTACGTTCCTCACCTTCTCCGAGTTTAAACAAACAGCACTTCTGCTCCGTGCGGCAACATTTTTTGACGTACCATTGAACATTTTGAATGCAAAGTTCACGTTTTGAAGACCCACAAAATTTGAAGAAAAAAACCATAGCGATATATAAATGCAAAATTCGAAATTTTCAATGGTCTAATTAATGTCCAAAAAGAATGCGATTGTATTTTGCATATGTTGGAACAAAAAAATTATGCAATGAAATTTGAATAAACACCAAAAAAATTTTAAAAGAAATATTCAATAAATAAAAAAAAAACAACTAAATTAAGAAATTTGTAAAAATAATAGAAGCCGCAAGAATTTGAAATTTTAAATTTCTAGATAACTTATTATGAAAATTTGATTAATTATATAGTAAGATATATCGGCTTCGACTTTCCCGGAATACATTTTTATTTTTTAGATTAATTTTTTATGGTTTGCCAAATTCACTTTAATTTTGTTAATTTCAATTAAATTGTCCATTGTTAATGAAAGATGTGCCAAATTTAAAAGTTATGATATTTCAATCAAAATTTTATTCGGAATACTTATTGAAATACTGAAACTTGTTGAATAATTAATAATTTCTAAACTTCAGGAGTACATATCACAATTTTTGCATATTTTTTTGTATGATTTGCTTTTTTTTTTTTTGCAAGTGAGGACTTCGATTTCAAACTATCGAATTTCTAATGGAAATCTGGCCCATATTCATCTCATCGAAAAATATGACGCATCTGAACACTTGTGGTTTTTTATTCAGTGAACACTGTAGTCGAAGTTGAGATCAGAATATCATTGATCGCAAATTTCCAAATGAAATTAGTGTGCTAAAGGTCGGTTCATAGAACATTCGGGAGAGTATAGGGTCGATTCCAAAGAACGAACAAACATCTTCGAATAGCCCATCTCACGAAACATTGTGTCACCGTATGAATTAGAAGCTTCTCGAGTTTTTTTTTCAGCGTATTCATTGCGAAGTGAACGCCCCTCGCGGAATTCGTAAAACTCATTCGACATTCAATGCGCTGACGAGCAATTTTCTTGATACGGCAATGGCTAGCTTTCTGACATTATTTAACAGTTTTGAAAAAAGTATGTGATGCAATGATAGAAATTGAATAATGCCTCTACGGTCTCCTTTTTCTAATTGATTATCGCATTAAGGGGATTTAAGCGATGAGCTTTCAGAATCCACGTGAAACTTCTATTCGTTTTTTTTTCACTTCTAATATTAGATTTCTTCTTTTGCAGTTAATTTATATTAGTTTCTTCCCAAATATCGCTTAGCCCAACACATATCTACAAAAAAGCAGCAAACAAACAAGAATGAACAGCAATTCCCACGAGAAGCCACGCGGAATCTCTCCTACGCAATAAATTCTGCGACAAATATTTGGAGCAAGCGTTTACATCTTCCTTATAGCTCATTTCAACATTGAACAAAATTAAATGCAGCCAAATTTAATAAGCGTTGCATAAATAAAAAAAATAAATAAGCTTGTTCGTAGTTTGTTTAGGTTTTTATTTATTTTCTAGCTCCGTCTCCTTTTTTTCTCTAATTCAATTGACTAGAAGTGTCGAACATTCTAGATCTAGCAATACCTTATTTGATTTGTTTTTGCGAAATAGGCGATGTTATCATATTGCGTGACTTAATGGTGTGAAAAATGTGCTTCATAAATGTGCATAGCATATTCGAACAAGCCAACATCAAACATTCAATGGTTGCTATTGGACACTGTAGAAATTCACGCAAAACATCTAATTTTGTGGTTCAACATTCCATGGAAATATTACGAAGCAGAAAATAAAACATGCGAGAATCAACTCTGGTTGTAATAATGTTCTTCGGGTCTGGTATAACTTGTGATTTGGAGCTTCTTTGCATTTTTTTCAGAAACGAACAACTGTTTTCATTTTGAAATGTTTGACTCTCATATGTTCTCTTTGTACATAATCCTTAAAAAAAAACTTTGCGACCTTAAAATTAACAATTTTTTAACCTATAATTTTTTCAACATTTTCTTAGAATTTGCGCTAACATACTTGAAGAGCCCGCGGCATTTTATGTTCCGAGAAAGAAATGTTTTTTTCAATATATGTCCTCCCACATTCTTTCTTCTTTTTATTCCCTATTTCCTACTTGAAAGAACTTCACCTCCTTTTTTGCTACTTCGCCTGGGTCGATTTAGGATGACATTTTTTGTCAGGTTTTTTTTTAAAGTTTACTATGCATAAATTCTATCGTCTCCATATGAATATAGGAAATTTTATAAAATTGAATTTATGTGAAACATTATAGAATTGAATAAACACTCTTATAAATCGAATAGATTTTGGAAATGGTAAATAAAGTTGAGAAGGCTAGAACTAATACACTTTTGCCTAAAAGGTGCTATGAGTCAACTTTAAATTGAACAGATTATCATTGCTTATTTCACCGATAGGGTAGAGCACACAACATTGAGTAAATAAACCATCTGACATTTTTTTTCACACTCTATAAATATTCTTGAGTTTCATATGGGTTGAGTTGCATTCCATTTTCTTCGGGTGTTTTTTTTTTTCATTTTTCCTCGGATTCGTTTTTCTTTTTCTGTCATTTCTCGTTTCACGTCGGAGGAAAACGGCGACGAAAAAACGAAAATGCAAAAGAAGAAACGGCGGGATTGAAAAAGGTTTATTGTCAAAAACTAAAGGTTTCATGCTCCATTTGTTATTACGTTTCAAAATTTTTGAATTAGAAATGGCGGAACTGATTTTTTTTGGGCAGAATGCAACATACGTAAGTGGGCTACGGTAGTTCAAAGAACATTGGAGCCAAATTCTTCCTGTTATGAAAATAAGCTAATTTTGAACGCGACACACTGCTAATTATTTTCAGCATTCGCGTATAGAGACAATATCTCGTATCCCTTAATATGACTAGGATTTTTCCTACTAGTTGAGCTTTCCAAAATTAGACGATATTGAGGGGAGATTTATAAACATTGGTTTGTCTTTTTTGTTCTCATCAGTTGTGCTACTTGGCGACTTGTTTTTACGCGTCCTGCTTTCAAGAAATAGCGCATCAATCATTGGACTGCAAAACGTTGGCGACTGAAATAGCTTAACTCAGCATTTGCTTTGCTTCTTTTCAATTAATTTCTTCTAATTTATTTTTATCAATTTACTTTCAATTCCTCTTAGTCATTTTCGATCGGAAGTTTTTTTTGGCTCTTCCTTTTCCGCTCCAAACCAGGTGTGAATGTAGTTAAAAAAATCTCGCTGGAGTCTAATGTTCAATGGAAAAGCTATAGTAGGAGCACAAGGGTTTTCCGTTTTTCATGAGAACAACGTTCGAGAAAAAAGTCCTGACGTAAAGAGCAATGTGGCTTGGAAATAATTCGGAAAAACAGAAATGTTCCTTTCTCTTCTCTCATTTTGAGCATAACGGAAGTTGATTTTGTGGCACCTCTAATTAAACAACCAAAAACTCATTATCATCATTTTATCTGGAAACGCGTATGACCGTAAAACATGTTATCTGTGCTCTTTGAATTCATTTTTTGTTCATTCATTCAACTTTTCAGAGACTCGCCTCTTTCGATTTGTCAATTGCAAGAATGACAGGTAAAAATATATTCCTTACTTATTTCCGAGAAGGTACTTGTATTTCATATTTCTCATTTTAGGACATTGGAGCTATAACGATGACGACGAATGCGGTAATAATTGAATTACACTTTTTGATGTCGACTAAACGCGGCAAATTATGTCACTTCCGTTAATTAGTAGCAAATTTGAGGTGTCATCCCACGAAATTGAAATATGAGAATTTTCTAGAAATTCGCGATTATCCTTTTCGTATTTTTTGGGTGTGTGTTGTCGAAATTCTTTAGACAAAAAGATTTCCAGACGAAAAAGAATTTTGAATTATTCATTGTAGAAACACGCGTTTCTTTTAAATGCAATGATTATTTGAATGATAAAAAACATGACAATTTATATTTACTATGATAGTTCTCAAAATAAGAAAAGACAATTTTATGAAATGAATGGTAATTACTAAATAACAATTCTCACTAATCTCATGATAATCGTTTTTGCACTTGTCAAAACATGTGCGCACTTTTTATAGGACCACGACATTGGCCTTCGGGAAAACACCAATCTCCAATCAACATTGATCTCGGAAAAGTTGAGCGGAAGGACACCCATGATTACATTAAGTTTGTTAACTATGATCATCCAATTCGCGGCGAAATCGTTAACAATGGCCATTCCGGTAATATTTTTCGATTTTTGCAAGCTGTTTCTTATCGCAACCTGATTGGTTTATCAATCGCATTATTTTACAGTGCAAATGACTCCTGAAGTTCGATCGGAGCATCCAGAAATTTATGGCGGCGGTCTCGATCAAGTGTACCGCCTCGTGCAATACCATTTTCATTGGGGGGAGAATGATAATGAAGGTGATTGGCATTCCAGACTAAAAATAGCAACAAAAATTTGTAGGATCGGAGCATACTCTGGGAGGGCTTCGCTACCCTGGAGAGCTTCATCTTGTGCACCAAGGTGTTGAAGATCCAAGCAAGCTTGCCGTTGTTGGAGTGTTCTTGCAAATCGGACGGCATGGAAAAGCTTTGGAAAACGAGGAAAATGTATTGGGAAAACTTAAAGATCCTGGTATAATAAAAATACAAAATATTTTGATATGTTAAAGCTATTCAGAAGCGGTTACGCAAATCAAAAATGTAATTTTAAGCAAGAAGCTTCCAAAAAATAGACGATCATTCTGGAGGTTGCATAAAATCGCGTTTTTTTTTCAATAAAACTCTAACTACAGATACGAGGGATCTCTTACCACACCGCCTTGTTCGGAAATCGTAACCTGGACAATTTTCACCGAACCCGTAGAAGTAACTCATAGCCAATTGGAGCTATTCCGTCAAGTCGAAGATGACCGTAGGCGTCCGATTAAGAAGAACTATCGCCCAGTTCAACATCTAAATGATCGAAAAGTTGTCCACATTGTCGCTAAGTAATATAAATAAAACTGGGAATGGAGTTTTTTAAAACAACTATAACACATATACTAATATTACATTCCAATATATTGCCAACAGTAGAATACATATGTGTAGATTTCATATTTCCGCCAATATTTTTTCACATTTATCGACTTTAATGAATAATAAATCATTCTAAATGGTAATTTTTTTCAAAACTGCGCATTACGTAACAACAACGATGTAACATGGTCTATTAAGCGGCAGAAGTTGTCTCGCCGACAAAGAAAACGAAAAGAAACGCGGAATTAGTCAAAACACGCAATCCGACTCGTTTAGTACACTTTGATGACACAATGAATATTATGAGTAACACATTGCCAAATTATTTGTATTGTCTCATTTTGCTTAAGTAATACATTACGTATTGTCGATTTCATCAACATATGACTTCGAAATTTCCCACAATTATATAGGGTGAGTTCGTAAAAGCAAAACCAGAAATTCCAAACGCTAATACCATATAAAAATCGGCAAATTTTAAGTTTGTTTAATCAGGTTTTTGTGAGGAATTCGAATTGTTTTGCTGCCTTAGTTTTATCGCAGTGCTTTCCACGTTGACCTGTTATCAATCAAAAAATACACACACACAAATTCTAATTGGTTTTTTCGATGGTTTCATCGGCATCAAAATACAAATTAGAAATGCATAAAAAACAACAAACATTAATATATGCAGCAGTAACACCTAATAAGTTAAAATAGTCAGACAACTGAAAATAAAATTCAAAGAATTGGTACTCGATGATATATAATACGCGTTTAACTGGATTCGTAGTGTTAATGCAGTTCAAACAATTTAAAAGCTTTTAAAAATTCATTGATATGTTTTGTTTCTTTCCGCTGTTTCCAATTATTGGTCCCTGATCCCGCGGCATATCGCAACATTCGATCAACATACTTTATTGACTCCATCAAAACCCCAGGAACAATTTATTCTAGAATAATGGCAGCTCATAAAAAATCGTTCGTCTTCTCGAATCTCGGTTGTTATTGTGGTCCGATCCCTCTGCTGACCTGACAAGTATAAGAGTTATTATCCTGAGCCGTCGACAGCCTCATATCAACGCGCGAGACACACACACACACACACACACACACGTAAAAGCCGATGCCGCCACGCTCTGTGTAGGTGCAACAGCTGCCTGTTTTCGAGAATCGCTCTATCCGTTTGAGATCCACGACGAAGACAAACCCGGAGCAGCAGCAACAACGACAGCAGCGGCAACAGCGGTAGCAGAAACGGCGGCGGCACGAGCAGCAGCGGCAGAAGGATAAAAAATCGCAAAGAACTCCGCTACTGCCCACCTATGACTGATCAACTTAAATGACCGCCAATGACTTCCTGCTCAAATTTCTTTCGGAACGCAAGAAAGAATCAAATTACTTAATCAACCGGACGAACGCAACAATAACAGTTGCCGCATATTATACAAAATTTGATGAAAATCTATAACCTTAATGGAATTCGAAGCTACTTATTATATACAGGTGGAAAATTAGAATGAGAACTGCGTTTTAAATTAGTTTGAAATTATTACTTTTCGTTTTTTTTTCTTGATGGGAATATGTTGAACTAAGTTTTTATGATGCACATTGAATGGCACCAGCAGATGTTACATTGTCCTTTTTTCAACGTAAATTCGACTCAATGCTCAACTTCTGACGCTTATATTAAATTTTTCTATTCTATTTTTTTATGCAAATTCCCAAAATCGAAAACGCCACCAGCGGCGCGAAAATATGAGCATGCGAGTTTAATGACGATGGAACATATTTGCCCCGTTCTAGTACCTCTTGAAAGTGCTGCCTGCGGGGAGCTGTAGTGCCGTCGAGCCGATCTCCTACCTGTTCAACCTCTTTTCGCTGTGCGACTTGCGCGCGATTTCTCATCACCCTATACGATATCTCATTATCTTGAGTCGAAAAACAAAAATGAATAAACGGAGAATGAGTGAAACTCGGCGCTTGATCTATTTCGCATGCACCTATTTGTTTTCGTTCTTATTTTTTTGATCTAAACTTTTTTTAGCAAGTGGAAATTCTACCGTAAATGGTTGTGACCGTACTTAGCTTGTAATTTATTCAAAAAATATACAATGAAAAGTTGTTAGATGATTTTAAAATGAGATTTGTTGCGAAATCCTTTGAAATAATAGATTTGAAAAAATTCAACCGTCTTTCACCTACTTATTCATCATTACTCCTAATTATACAGTATATTTGTGTGTATCTTTGCTCATGAAACATAATCAATCTTTTTTGGTTCAACCTCTGTTTTTTTGTTTCTAACTTTATTTTTTAAAATTATTTTGAATACAAAGGTGTTACGAATAGCTTGTTTTTTAATAAGACGCCTAAATCGAATCATTTTTTAAATGACAATTGTAAGAAAAAATAGTTGATACAAAATATAAGATTTTGTAAAATCAGTAGAAAAGACAAGAGCGGCTCTCAACGAGAAGATCGAGCGAAAAAATAACAACGTCACCTCGCCAATATTACATTGACTTTACAAAATCTCCAAATATTTTACACAATCTCAGTCTCGACGTCCACCACCGTGAGAAATTACAGTGGAGCGTGAGAAAATGTGGACAGAGCAGCCGGATGAAGATTTTCATACTTTTTCATTGATGTTTTTCTTGCTACATTACTGTCTCATCAAAGAACATTGCCATTTTTGTGACTGCCTTTGTTATTATAAGTATTATGTCATTAATGTCTCCTCACCCTGCCCTAGCCTTTCCATTACTGTTTATTAATTTGATATATAACCAAAAAAAAACTTTCACATTGTTTGAAAGCTCCCCGAAAAATGTTCGGTCCGCATTCTTTCCAGGGACGGAAATCGTGCCAGATGCAAAACAGAGGTCTTGAGCTTTGACAAATGTCCTGCCAATTGTTGACGGGCGAGAAAAGAACGCCTGGATTGGCGAGAGCAGATACGAGTACGTGATAACCTGTTAAGAGCGCATCATGATGGATGGCAAGGTCGGACTTCTCCGATTGTGAGTGAGACACTCAAGCGGGTAAACATTCTGGTGATGTCCGAACTACCCATTTCCAGAAATTTCTCCAAAATTAGCTTACTGGTCAAGGAAAAAAACGGCTTATGGTTTATCTCAAGCCGAACATATTTTTCGAATTTGAGAAACCGATGTTAAACAAAACTTGATATATTCTTGATTGACGTTTATCAATTCATTTTTTGATTAATAAATGATATGTAATTTGCTTAAAATTGATTGAAACAAAGTTGAAGAAATAGGAAAAATATAAATTTTGCAAAGCGTTCTGTTAATTGTAAATTAGACTTTTTGATTAATTTAAAAATCTTGTTTTAATATTATTTTTTACCGTTTACGGGTCGGCACTTATTTCCCTCTCATTGCTCACCATTTATAGGAGAATCTTTATTATAGTAATTTAATACTTCCATAAGGTTTCGCGTGCTTATTGATGAATGATTCACTGTTATTCTAATTGGTAATAGACATGTTTATAAATATCATTCTGATAAATTGCACGAGAAGTCAGCTTACTACATTCCCTCAAGATTATTGTTTCACACAGCTTCTCATATTCAGTTAACTGCGACGCCCCATTAAAAACATTTCAAGTCATAAGCAATGACAAATTGGTGTTCATTGCTCTACATTGGTTCGTGTTTATGATGTGTTCAATGCACATTCGATTTATGACAATCTTCAGCAGCAACTGACAGTTCTGCATCGAACTCCCCCTCCGAACAATTCATAACCAAAACTCTTCTAATGAGTGATGATATGCAGCAATTGTCACGAATCCCGCAACAGTTGCAGCCATTAGATTTGTGTGGCGAGGGCAGCAGCAGCGTCAGCGGAAACATTCATATATACATAAAAAAGAAACGATAGCAACATTCAGACATTGAAGCCGTGACAATCATCAGGGAAGTGATATCAAAGTGCTATCGGTCTTTAGATGAAGCGCGAAGAAATAGGAAAAAAACACGATATTGCTTAGATTGACACTCATTCGGCATTACGCAATACGTGTTTCGCTCTCATTTGAAGGCTTCGTTAGCAAGTTTCGACATCGTCCGTAAGCTTTTCTCTTTCATCAATCGCGCAATTGGAATATACGCAGACACATAATGACAAAAATGGAGATGGAGAAAACATGACAAGTTTCAGCGAAGCAATCAAGCTTCTGCTGCCAATTTGTGTTCAAGATAACCTCACATTTTCACTTTCTTTCCCGAAGACGAGGAAACAGATATCAGCATAAATGACGTAAAACAAGTTAGGGCAAATTAGGGGGGAGTCGGCGATATTCAAAAAAGGAAGATGTATATCTAAGCATTCTTAAATCGTTCATTATATTTTTTCACATTCCTCATTCTATTCTTTTTCATTCCAGTGCCGAAAACCCATTGGCTTCCATATGGATGGTTTCAAAGGTTATTTGGAAAATTCGAAACGATGCCATCCTCCTACTCCTCCTCCTCATTCAACTTTTCTTATTATCATCTGGACCTCATTATTATTACTCATTGAATTGGCCGTATCCAGATGTGTTGTATGCGCTTCTACTGGTGCATTTTCTCGAGATATGAAGATGGCGCAGCCGGAGAGGAGCACGCACATGACTTTTACGACGCTGAACTTTTTTCGTGTTGTTATTGAGCTCAATGCAGTTTTCTCATCCATCGCCTCCCGGGAAGAAATGTGCTGGAGAATAGTCTGACCCCGGCATGAGTTGAGTGGGCCCCCATAAATAATAGATTGGAATCGGTTGGTTGTTTCGGGGGCGGCATGGATAATGATTTCCGTTTGATTCGATTACGCCAAGTGCCATGCAATCTCCAAAGTTCGTTTTTTCCCCGATCCGTTTTCGCTTGTCTTCATCAAGCTTCTAATTTTCACTTTTTCCACTTTGAGTAATTGGAAAGTGCAACGATGCTAATATTTGATTGGCATCGTTTAAATTGAGAAAGTTGAAATAGAAATGAAGAAAAAATTGCAGGCTCTGATTATATTCTTGCATTTTTTTTTGTATCCCAAAATTTAAAGAGCTTTCTGCTCACTGAGAACATTTGTGAGGCGCAGAAGGTATGGCCGATCAACGTCTTCCTCTGTAGATAATAAAACTTTTAGTTTCTTGCACTTGGTTCAAGAGTTCTGATCTGGATTTCATTTTTCGTTTCCTTCTCTTTCTCCCCTTATTACATCATCATCATCATCGTGCGAAATCTGCAAACGTTATTTGAATATTTTTATCTCAGCAACGATCCAACAAAAATCTTTCATTTCTCCGACCTTCGACGAATCATGTGACAGTGTTACATAACATCTAGTAAAAGCCGAAAAACCGAATGACGCTTCTCCCTCTCTTCATTAATAAACTTGATTCCCGTTTTGGCATGACGTACCGCCTCCTTAACCTTACATGATGATATGATTTCGTTTTTGTTCATGCCGTCCGCCTGTTTTCGCCTTTCTTTTTTTGCTGCCATCCCTCTTTGCCAGCCGAGTCTCTTCCTCCTCTCGCTTATTCTGTTGCATCTTCGTTGCTTCTCGGCTTCGTTCTTCCGACGCCTTTCACTATCCATTTTGCCGATGGCATAACTTGTGGCCCCCACCTCCCTCAGCGCCACCGTATCCGGTACCCACTCACATTCTTCGATGCCATACCTGCCCGAATGCTTTAATCGTTTTCAACGTTTCTCATTAATCTTAAACCCATCAAGGCGAAACTTTCCTTCAAGCTTTCTTGTTTGCTTCAACGACGTCGCTGTGTCAGCCCTATTTGTGGCAGACAGGAAACTGAAATAGTACACCTGAATTAGCCAATGTTAACCTTTTCGCTTTAATTACTGATTCGTTTATTTTGTTTGTTGTCGCCACGTGATTTCCAAAGTAGCCCCCAATTTTAAAACAGGAGTACGTGTGATATTGTTGTCAGCGGTTCGCACCATTGAAACTGGCGCCATCAGATACCGCGCTTCAAAGAAGTGTACAACAATGCATTCCCGCACCCATTTTTTACCATGCTGTCGGCGGCAATTTGCGCAAAGTATCAATCGCTTCATACCTTTGAGCCCAACTCAAATTGCCGCAAAAATTGCACAGTTGTTCGATGGTGTCGTTCAGTTTTTCGTTTTAACGGTGCCCTCATTGAATTCACCAGACCCGTCTTCATAAATTTTCTCGCGAGCACATCACTTGCGTGCCTGTGTGGGCCCCCACGCAAAAGTTATGAATTGCAATTTGTCAAATATTATTAATGTCAGGCAGACGTCTTTTATTGCGATTCTTCATCAATTTTGGTATTGAGGAAATGTGACAATTTAAAGCTCTGCGGGTATAAATATCAAAATTGACAATAACATTGATTTCCGCAGGGAGAATTGTCGCCGAAATTTCCAGATTTTAAATCTAAAAATGTCACATCTATCTATTCTTAAATCCTTATATCTGAGTCAAACGGTATCGATGACCACAGCGGTTGTAAAAAAATAGTGGTATCTGGCGAACGCCTGCTTCAGCCAATCATAAATCTACCCCGCACATTTTATCGTCCAAGAATATATAACTTTTGCTTCATTATATCGGGACGAATAATGCCGAGAAAGTTTTTTTCTGTTTTTGCGTCGCCAATTCTCATATGCTGCTCGCCCTTTCGGCTTCTTATGTGTCTAAGGGGCCCGAATCGCACATCTGGCTCAGCAATATCCTTTATGGTTACGCGAATACGCTACGAAACCAGTCGTCATTTTGCATTAATACCCCATACCAACGTTTTTTTCTCATTTGATCCACTTACTTCGGCCATTTTTTGCATTCATCCCTCAGCTTATCAAATTATTTTCTGAACACCAAATCGGTTACGCCGACTTTAAATAATCGGCTTGTGCGGCGGCATATAGTAGTATCGAACAATTTTTATTTGACGACTTACAATATTGAGGAAGTTTGATGACATCAAAAAACATGGTGATTTGAAGGATGGCAGACCGAAACATAGCGATAAAATCGGTTGTCACCATCTTTCAAATTGTTGCCATTGGGAGAAGCTGAATCGAAACTGAGACAATATCTATCTATCTGTATGCATGCCATGTCTGTTCTGTATGTATGCAGATGTGTTGCTTGTTTAGTTGTTGCCGTCCTCTAAAAACCGGGTAGATGTGTCTACGTTATCTCTTTAGTTTTATTGATAATTCATTTTTTTCAAGTGTGTTTTCCGCAGGTGTTCTTGAACAGAATTTTTCCTAACTCTAACTGTTTTACTGCAAAAGCGAATAACAAAACTCATTTAGCTGATCAACCGAACATTATCCTAGTTCGCTACATTAATTTTTGGTCCGACACATAATATTTATTTAGTTTTAATTATATTTTAATTCTTTTAATTTTTATGAACTTGACTTAGAATTAAGATTGGAAAAGAACTGGAACCCTTAAATTCGAAGAATCAAGATGAAACATTTACTATTGTTTTCAAATCGGCTGCATTCATTCAAAGTGACCCGTTCAATTGCTCTTTGGAATCGATAAAAATTGCCAATGGCGTCTAGAATCAAGTTTTGGCGTTTTTTTGGACGATGAAGTCGGTGTTACAAATGTGTCCGCTGAACAAACTAACGGCGTTCTGCCAATGTTTCCAAATTAACCCCTGCTTCTGCCTCGAAATCGTCATAATTTCAAGATTCTTCCTATTTTGTTGTCTTTTTTTTATTTGCGTCTTCGTCTTCTTTTGCTGCTCATCCTTCACAGGTGATGCTTTCGGTGTTGGTATTTGTTTGTGTGTATGTGTGTGTGTATGTGGATGTGAGTGTATGTGGATGTGTGTATCTGAGCATCAGTGATTTCCCTGCGCCGTCTGGGTATCTGGAAATGGTCGAGAAAGCGGATTGAGTGACAAGCAAGTGATTCGAATGGCGAATGCCACCTGACGCCGCTGAAGCCTGCCCCAACCTCCCCCTTTGCCTAAGATGAATAGTTCGAGGCATATTCTACTTGCACACAAATACCACTTTTATTAGTGGCAAGCCGTGTGTCATAGCTGTCAGCTTTTCCATTTCCTCACTTAAGATTCCCTGATGCCAAAATTGGCAGAAAATTAGGCAAATCGAAACCTTTCAGCGCCGATTAAAACATTAAATTTCTAAAATTTCATCATTTTCTGTAGGAATTTTATTTAAGCACTCTTTTTGAATTTTTCGATCAACAAATGGTATTAAGCAAAGATGTGTGGTATGATAGTTACTTTTACATTGATACCTGATCAAAATGATATAATTATGAAACAATAGCAAAACTTACGATTCATTTACCATATGAGGAAAACCTTGAATAACCCTCGAAAAAATCATTATCGACACTATTTCCTAGATCAAAATCTTTCTTTTCACAACTTCTTTATATAGTATCTAATTGTTTCAGAAAAAACTAATTGAAACGAAAAAATAAAAACGAATTATGAAAAATATAAAGAAACACGAGCCAGCTTCAAAAAATTGTGGAATGATCTGAGGCAAGTTTGCCCGCATCAGCTGAACCTTGATGTTACACTAATTTTAAACAACCTCGCTCATTACATTACACAAAGTTTCCAAGTTTATTTTTTGCCAATTTCAATAATATTGTTTGTTTCATCGTTGTTCTCACAGGTGGGAAAGGGTGGAGTTAGAAGCAGGAGCGCCGCCAACTTTGGCAGACTCCGCCCCACTCTGTTGAGCTCTCTCCGCGCCGCTATCCCGACGAGCTCATTATCAGCGCAGTTCCCCCTCCTAGTGCGTTCACCGCCTTACAGTATGCAAACGAGCGGGGCGGGGCCGTCTGGTTGGTGGAGAGAGATGAGTACAGTTGTGTTATGACTGGTGAGAACGTTGCATTCCAATTTTTTTTCGTCACCCTTCTTTACTCTTCCTGGCATCTTCCACCTCCCCCACATTTTCGAACAAAACGAGTTTTGGGTCACTGTTACTTCGTTTCCTTTTGTCAACCTATCTGTTTTCAAAATGATAATCTTCTTTTCCAACCAATCTTGCTGATAGTGATGATTTCCAACATTTCAGATTGGACGTCTTGACGGGTGCATGCATTTGACGGAATTCGTTAACAACTCGTTTCACACGAACAAAATGGAAATTCAAACCTCAATGCTTCACCATAATCCGTACGAGATCGTCAAAAGCGAACAACCCTCAACCCCTCCGAAGCAGATCATCAAAAGTCCATGTAAGATATTAGCACTCCTTCCGTATGGCAGATATTGCTGTTTTATTAATAGAGGGCCTACCAAAACATTTTTGCATTTGATCATAAAGTGAATCATCAACGCCATCCCGTCTGATGCGTCCAACAAATACAATAATTGATTGCAGACCTGAATAGCTCACCGGAGATGGGATTTGGAAACTTTCAAATCCATCCCAATTTCTGTGTGCCAGCAAATAACAACACGGATCCACTGAATAACAACAACCATTCGAAAATCAACCCTAATGGTGTGTTTGTCTATATAATTGCTCTCGTGAACTTTAAATTGTTTTAGGTAGGGTTCTGGCCGCCGACCGTAAACGACCCTACCCATGCAATCTGTGCCCATCAAAGTTTGGCTCGAAAATGGAGCTGGAAGAACATCAAAATTCTCACACAGGAATGAAGCCGTTTGAATGTGATGTGTGTAAAGCACGATTCAATAGAAGGTCGACGCTGTGGAATCATAAGCGAATCCATTCCGATGCTAAGCCATTTGTATGCACCGTTTGTCAGATGACGTTCAAGTGGAAAAATAGTTTGAAGGTACAAATATTTCAACTAAAATTAAATTTTTGAACTCTAACTTTAAGCTTTGTTTTCGATCAAAAATCTAAAAGGGTAAGCTAGAACTGTTGTGATGTTCAGTGTTGTTTATAAGCTTTTTTGGTTTATTGTGTAAAATGATACGAATATAAAACGATAGATTACGTAATCTATGGATAATCTAGTCGTCATTCTTAATATAACTTTTTTAGTGCCATAAAGACATGCATCAAAGGAAGAACGAAACGTCCGCGCACTTAGACAACGACTTGCGACAATTAACCTACGCAACAGCCGCGAAGCGGAAATTGGTGTGCATCAGCGCCGCAATAACTTTGATGATTGCAACTTTTGATTTCAGCTGATGGAGCAAGAAGAAAACGGAGGGGCTCCGGCAACATCGACATCGACATCAATACATTCAAATCCACTAATCACAACGACAGCAGCGTCGAAGAAAAAGAATCAGAAGCCAAAGATGAAATCTTCGCAAATTACGCCTGGCGCAAATCTTGGTGTTCATCTTGCTTCACAGCCTCTTCAAGCGGTATATTCTCTCAATTAATTTTCATCCGTATTCTTTTTTCAGAGCGCTTTGATTCCTCCTTCCGATCATCAACTTGATCTCGATACTTCTTCACTAGATACTTTAATGCATAGTCAGAGCCAAAATATTCTAATGCAGCTGTATGGAGAAGTCGACGGGCCATTGAATACTCGCCATTCAGGCAATATGCTTTCCGGGCTTGATGATAATGGGATGTTGTCGAGTCTCGCAGACGTTAAGAACGAGAATGCAGCAGTTCCGCTCAACATGCAGCTCCCCATGCAAATCAATATGCTCAATTTCCGGCAGATCAATTCCCAACAGCTGGTAAGTTATTACTCATTTGATTATAAATATTCAAAAAGTATTCATTCTAGCCGTCCGTTCATCATCTTACATCGACTTCACTCCCATCGGTTTCATCCAGCATGGATTATGGAATTCAGCACGATTCGCAACAAAATCTTGGTCACAGCCAATATATTGTGACGAGTCAGCCGGATATGATGTTATCCCAAGGATATCAGCCACCGGTACAAACAAATTTGTCAGTTTCCGATTGAAATTCGGCAATTTTTGCAGATTGACAATTGTGTTCTTTTAACCACTGGCCAGGATTACGTGTCAAACTTTGACTATTCAATGCTGAACTCCCAATATCAGATGAACATTTCCGAGCAGCAGCAACAACAACAACAACAACAGCAACAGCAGCAACAACAACAAAACGCGCAGCAACCACAGCAACAGCAATCACAGCAACACCGCGCAGCCGCGCATCGCGAAGGAAAAGTTCTTCCGTATGAGCAGTGGTGAACTGTCGCCCTACTTTCCTTAAATGTACTTTAATTGTGAATTATTAACTCATATTGCCGATGAACGCTAGTCGTCCATTATCCCCTTCATTACTTCAACCGTAAATGTATTGTTTGTCGGTTATTTACGTGCTTCCTTCCAATTTCCACTTGAAACTTTCCGTTCCGTTCCGTTTCATTCAGTTGTGACAGAAATCAGTATTCTAATAGTATATGACCGTACCGTAACAAACAATGAAGAGTGAAATCAGACATAATCATAATGTTACCCCAATATATTGTTTCGTCATTAATTGTTAGCCTTATAATTCTCAAAAAGTGTCATCTAACGACATTTTGATTTCAATTGTTACACAAGTCATACCGTCACTCCGGCTTGCTCCACCGAACCCTTCCGTATTTGACATTCTAAGTTATCTACTTGAATTATTACCCTTTATAGCAAATTATGAATTTGCGTGCAGTATTGCAGATAATGGTATATTATCATTATATCCGTTTGATCCTGTTTTCCCCATATTTTCCAAACTAATTTCTCAGAGCACGCAGTGATCTCCATTATAATTCTCCACCTGTATTTCTCTCAAGAAAATAGTTTTCACGTTCACGTGACACTATCCATTGGCCTTTCAAAAATTCTAGGATGCCTTTATCGAATGCTCATATGCTTCAAACGCCATCAACTAACATAATGCATTTATTGATTAAATCTAACGGTGCTTTTCATCTTCTTACATGTTCAATGTTTGTTTGTATATTTTAGAGTTTCAAAAATTCTTTCTTGATCGTGCCTATGTTCAATTTGCCATCCAGATATCATTCTTTCTCTTAACTGTATTTTATCACTCATAATTTTGTCATTTTATCTTTATAATAAATATTGAACACTTGTTTTTAAAAAATTGTTACAGAATGCAAAAAAAATGTTTACGTCGTCATTACTTAGAAATCTGACAAGAATTTAGAAAAAATAGTTAAAAATAGTCTCTAAAAATAATTGTGCCGTATAATTCCACGTAACAATAACGGTTGTTGCGAAAGCGTAACAGCCACCCGGTTTGCGGCTGCTGTTGCCATAGCTACGTTGGAGCTCTAACGCGCAAAGCACTTGCAGAGCACGTTTGCATACTATGCGATGAAACTCAAATATCTGACAACCGTCGTTCCTCAGCAGGTAATTTTACACTATTTCTATTGTTTTAGTGTAAAGCAATTAGCTAGGCGTTTTTTAAACAAATTTTAATGGTTAAAAAATGCCGTAAAAATTTCAGGAAGGTGAATCGAAAATCGCAGCAATTGCATGCTCTCCAAATGGTCTTCGTGTTGCTATAGCTTGTGCTGATCGTTCAGTGGCTTTAATTGATGAAAATAATGAGCCCAAAGACAGGTTTCCATGCAAACCGTTGGATTCGAAAGTACACTGCATGATTTTTTTTACTGAATTACAAATAAGAATTACAGTATGGCAAAAAATCATTCAGTATTCTGTCGATGGCTTTTTCTCCTGATTCATCATGCATTGCAATCGGCCAAAGCGACAACGTCGTATTTATTTATCGAGTCGGTACAACATGGTATGTAAAATTGGATTATAATTGCCGACACCTTGTGTAAACGTGACATTTTATTAAGGAACGAGAAGAAGGTAATTGTTAACAAATTTGTGCAACCCTCCGCGGTGACTTGTTTGAACTGGCCGTTTGATGACAAAATTCTCATCGGTCTTCTTGATGGAAAGGTAACGCTTTTAATTGCTCTCGACAGCAGGAAATGATTGAGGGAACATTTTCTCGTTGCTTATTAACATTTTCAGGTGCGAATTGGTTTGATAAAGACTAATAAATGCAGCTCTCTGTATAAAACTGATCAGTCCGTTGTCAGCATGCAAACCCAGTGAGTCCTTTTATGCCTCTCCTATCATCAAAACAACGCTGTTCTACGCCCGTTCGGTTGCCCCTCAACACACGCGCTTGCCTGCACATAAACGCAAACGAGCGGGTAGACAACAGAGGGGGTATAGCTCAGGGGTAGAGCGCTCGCTTTGCATGCGAGAAGTCTGGGGTTCGATTCCCCATACCTCCAGATTAGCTTTTGCTTTTCAATTTCCGCTTTATTTCGCAGGCATCTGGTTTTGTCACTGCGAATAGGAAGCGTGCCATATGTGGGGGTATAGCTCAGGGGTAGAGCGCTCGCTTTGCATGCGAGAAGTCTGGGGTTCGATTCCCCATACCTCCAGATTAGCTTTTGCTTATCAATTTCCGCTTTATTTCGCAGGCACCTGGTTTTGTCACTGCGAATAGGAAGCGTGCCATATGTGGGGGTATAGCTCAGGGGTAGAGCGCTCGCTTTGCATGCGAGAAGTCTGGGGTTCGATTCCCCATACCTCCAGAAAGTTTTTGTGTCTTTTTGACATACTAAATTTAATCGTTTTGTAAAGTGCAACTGCTATATCCCATATACAGTCAATTCTATGTTTTGGTGAAGGTACCAGAATACTTTCTGTGGATTTTCTTTCAAATAACTGTGCCGATTTTTCAACAAAAGGCAAACTTAGCAAAATATATACAATTTTTGAGAATTTTTAATTATTTAAATCAACGTGTTTATTGAAAATCTTGTGGTTTTTAGCTTTTGAAATAAAAATACTCTCGCGTTTGGCGCCTTTCTATGCAGTGCGCACGCGTTCTCTCGTTGCAGCGTGTGGTCTGCGCTCTCGTTCAAGTCTTCTTATTCGGAGTACACTACATGCCATGTGTGGGGGTATAGCTCAGGGGTAGAGCGCTCGCTTTGCATGCGAGAAGTCTGGGGTTCGATTCCCCATACCTCCATAAAGTCTTTTTGTTTTATTTTTCAGTCCTAAGAGAATTTCATTTGTTTCCGGCCACCAGGATGGGTCCATTATTTTATACAATTTCAGTAGCAGATCACAAGTATCATAATTTTTGAAGCACAAGTAATAAAGGATAATATTACAGTCAAAAATATGTACTCTTCAAGTGCCGCCTTACAATATGGCATATACAAATCATGGACTAATGATTGCTGGAGCAGACCGAAGAATTCTGTCTTACACTGGTAATTTAATTTTTATCTAATATTTCTACAACCTAATTGAAGAAAATGGAATTGTACAGCAGCAATTCGATTACAGTGATCAGAATGAGAAAGAGTTTGGTTGTATTATTTGCGATCCTACCGCACAAAACGTGGTTGTAGCCAGTTATGATCGGTATTATTATTATCATTTACAAAATAAATAATTCAGAAACTTAGGCTTCGCTTATTTTCTTGGTCTTCGCGAAGAGGCGCTTGGGACGAAGGAGCTCCGTTGGAAATCGAGAACGCGTACATCATAACAGCGCTTGGTTGGAAAATGGACGGTTCCACAGTATATGCCGGCACTATTTGTGGAACCGTATTCGCCGTTGATTGTTGTCTTCGACGCGGAATGCTGAAAAGCAAATTCGAAACAACTTATGTCGCCCCGTCACACGTGATTGTTCGTGATGTCACGAATGATTCACGAACCAATCTTATTTCAAACAAAGGATTGTCAATTGATGAGCTTAAAGTGACGTTTTTCAATGATTCATAAATTGATGTCAAATTTCAGATAATGGGAAAAGACCGATATGTTTTGGGCTATACGTCGTCAACATTGATTCTGGCCGACATTGAAACACAACGATTTTCAGAAATTGAATGGCAATCGGGCGGCCATGAAAAGTATGACAATTTTTCTAAACTTTGGACTCTCTCCCTCTATTTCAGGTTCTATTTTGAATTCGCCAACACTTGTCTCATAATAAATGCAGGAGAAATAACAGTCGTTGAATATGGAATTGATGGCCCTTTAGGATGGGTTCGAACTGAATTAACAAGTCCTCATCTCTTGAGTGTCCGCGTCAGCGATGAAAACGTTGAAGATCACAAGAAAGTGAAAAAATTTGCCTACTTGATCGATCCAACAACTATCGCGATTGGTTAGTCGAACATACGTAATTGGAAAATTACAACATTATTACAGTAAATCTGTTCAATTCCCAGCAAGAGTGCATAATCAATCATACGGGGACAATTGACTGGATTGAGGTGAGGTTTTCACTATCAAGTTTTCTTGCAACATGAGATGTTTGAAGGCTATTAGAAAAAAAATAGTTTTTTGGGGATCAGCGAATATGTTCCATTTTTCACAAAATAATGCGTTTCATTATTAGATTTTTAGCTGAACATTTATCATTAAAATCATTATTTTTTAAATAAGTCGTCAACGTGGTCGAGAAAATTCCTATGTGGCCGTGAATTTTAGTACGAGAAAACCGCGGCCATGAATTTAATTTTTTTTAATCACAAGACTAATCCTTTTTTTAGCTAAATGAGAATGCCACAAAGCTACTATACCGTGATAAACGGTCGAAAGTGACTCTGGTCGATATTAAAACAGACATCAAATCTGTGCTGTTGTCGTTTTGCACATATGTACAATGGGTACCGATGAGTGATGTAATCGTTGCGCAGAGCGGTGACAATCTCGCTGTCTGGTCAGTTTTATTATTAGATTATATGAATGCAACAGACGCGTTTCTTTTAGGTACAATCCTGACTTGCCCGAGCAGGTCACCAATATTAAAATCAAGGGAGAAGTCGAGACTGTTCTAAGAGATGCCAATCGAACGGAAGTTATTGTTCAAGTAGGTATTTAGTGAATTTCAGATTTTCAAAAACCTTTCAGGAGCCAACGGCCAAAGTTGCTTATGAATTGGACAGCACTCAAATTGAGTTTGGAGCTGCTTTGGAGAAGCGCGACTTCGAACGAGCTGTAATGTTTCTTGAAAACAATCCGATGAATATGGATTCATACTCAATGTGGACACGCGTTGCTGAGATGGCATTAGAGCATCAAAATTTGTTTACTGCTCAAAGATGTTTTGCTGCGATCAACGATATGGGGAGGTCAAAAATGCTCTTCAACATAATGGAAGAAGCTAATCTAGCTTCTGAAAAAATTGGTGGAGACGGATTGCATTTTTATAAAGTCAGAGGGTTATTGGCAATTATGCGAAGAAATTTCAAAGAAGCAGAGCGAGTTTTTCTCGAGCAGGTATGAGGAATATATCGCTACGAAATGAGATTTACTACGTAGAACGATTTGGATTCGGCGATTGAAATGTACACAACGCTTCACAGATGGGAAGAGGCGTTAGAACTTGCAAAAGTCATGGTGCGTTTTATCGTTAATTTATAGATAAAATCATTGAAAATTAGAATTTGCTATGAGCTTTTCCACTTTTATATACATATGTAATCCTTCAGAATTACCCCGGATACGATATGCTCCGAACCAGTTACTTACGTGCCTTGAGCGATACTGGACAAGACGCAAAAGCAGCAGAGGTTGGAACACTAGTCAAGATAACATTTAAAAAACTGAATTTGCAGTTGAAATCATCGGAAGGTGATCCATATGCTGCCATTCAACTTTATCTCAAAGCGAACAAACCACTTCTTGCTCTCAACGTGGCTAATAATAATGAGAATCTTGCCAAAGACGATGCGTTATTGAGTCAAATTGCTGATGCTTTATTGCGCGTGCAAATATATGACAAGGTAATAATTTTCGAATTTTTTAAATTCATAACATTTGAAATGGTTTAGGCAGGAACGATATTTGAAAAACAACGGGATTTCGAAAAAGCACTAGAATGTTATAGGAAGGGTCATTCTTATGCAGCTGCAATTCAAGTACGTTCAATATTGCTAAACTATTAATTTAGTCTTTGCACTCTCTTGTTTTATCTGATGATTGAATGCTTTGCTTTTCAGTTATCAAGATTTGCTTATCCCGAAAAAGTTGTGGAGCTTGAAGATGAATGGGGAGACTATTTAACGTCGATTGGGTCCCACGAAGCTGCAATCAATCACTTCCTAGAAGCAAATCAATCGCATAAAGCCGTTGAAGCCGCAATCCGAGCAAAGGAATGGAACAAAGCTGTGCAGGTCCAATATGAAATAGTTCCCGTGTCTAACAATGCTGTTTAGATTGTTGACATTATTCAAGATCGAAATCTGAGCAAGCAGTATTATGGACGAATCGCAAATCACTATTCAAGTGTAGGGGAATACGACGTAAGTAATTTTGATTATTTAAAGATTAAAATGAGCAATTTTAGAGAGCTGAGCGACTGTTTATTGAAGCGGAACTTCAAAAAGAAGCTATCGCCATGTATATAAAGAATAGTCGTTGGTCAGATGCGTACAGAGTACCGATATTCGATTTAAATTTGATAATTATCATATGATTTTCAGCTGTCTGAAGAATTTTTGGGAAAAGATGAAACGCTAGCATTATATGAAAAGAAAGCAGAAGAGCTGGAAGAGCAAGGAAGATTCACAGAAGCTGAACAACTATATATTTCAATAGGAATGTCGAACAAAGCAATCCAAATGTACAAAGCGGCTGGAAGAGATGAGGATGTTTTAAGATTAGTAGAGCGTTATCATGGAGATCATCTTCAGGTTTTTTCGAAATTCATTTGTTTTTACTTTGAATATTTTAGGAAACTCGTAAGAGATTGGCAATTGAATACGAAGAGCGTGGCGATTTTCGCGCTGCCGAAGAAGAGTTTTTGAAAGCGAATGACTGGAAATCAGCAGTTAACATGTATAAAGAAAACGAAATGTGGTCGGATGCTCATCGCATTGCAAAATCCGAAGGAGGCTCAAATGCGGAGAAACAGGTTTGCTAAATTTGCCTGATGAATATTAAGCTTGAGTTTAAGGTGCTTTTCCTCTGGGCTCGCAGTTTGGGCGGCGAAGCTGCAGTGAAACTTCTGAATAAGAATGGGTTGCTATCCGATGCCATCGATTTTGCTTGTGAAGCAGGGTATAATTTTTATTTGTTTTATCGAAACTTTATACAAATTTAGAGCGTTCGATTTTGCCTTTGAGCTTGCTCGTATTGGAGCAAAAGAAAGAACTCCAGAAGTACATGTACGTTTCGCTTCTCAATTAGAGGAAGAAGGGCGACTTAATGAAGCTGCCAAGCATTATGTCGAAGGTCCGAATAATTTCGCAACAATTGTGATAAAATCTTTCAGGTGGCAAAGCAGAGGAAGCTGTATTGATGTTCATCAATGACAAAGATTGGGCTGCTGCTGAAAAAGTTGCACAGTAAATATTGCTTCAATGAACGATTTGTATGTCATAATAATTTTTCAGAGAACATGCTCCGAAAATGCTGCCGGACGTTTATACCGGAGAAGCACGAAAAGCTCTCGAAGACGGCGATCATGCGAGAGCAGAAAGCTTTTTGTTGCGAGCAAACAAGCCCGACATAATTCTGCGCTATTTCAAGGAATCGGAGATGTGGCCGGATGCTCTGCGTATTGCAAAAGAATATTTGCCACATCAATTGCCACTGATTCAGGCATGATTAATCTGAACTCTCATTGACATTTTCTGTTGTATTTATTTCAGGAGGAGTATGAAAAAGCTGAACTCCGAAGCGGTGCGAGAGGTGTTGATTCCTTCCTGATGCACGCTAAGGAATGGGAACAACAAAGTGATTGGCTGCGAACTGTACAAACATTGCTGAAAATCAATTCATCATCAACTGACAATCACGATCTCATCTTGCAGTCGGTTACTAAAGCCACTGACATCACTATTAAGTTTTTGATGAACGATGATCAGGTATTCAACTTTTTTCATAGTCATCACTTCTCTCATTTTTGTTTACAGATAATAAGTGACGTTTTGAACGCGCTGGAAGACGCAGGGCATCATGAAAAAGCTGCAGAGTTGTTGCTTAATTTGGGACAAACCAGACAAGCTATAAACGCATTGTGTAGTGCGAAACAATGGGCAAAAGCTAAACAAGTTGCAACGGAATACCTTCCAGTAATGATACCGGAAATTGAACAATACTACAAAGAAAGCTTAAAAGTAAAATTATATTATCAAATTGAAAAAAAAAACAACTAAAATTATTTCAGACTGAAGGAAGATTGGGAGAGCTGATTGACGTAGATGTCATTACAGCGATTGATTTAATGATTGAAAGAGATCAATGGGACAAAGCCTTAGAAACAGCCAAACAACAGAATGTAATCAAACATAAACAAAAGCAAGCATTACTAACTATAAATTTAGTATCGACCATTACTTGATAAATATGTGGCGCAATATACGGCAATCCTTGTTCATCGAAATGAAGTGAATCGTGTGACCGCTGTGTTGGAAAAGTATGGAGCTTCGGGAAATCCAGCAAACTTTTCTATCTATAAACTGATACTTGAACAGGTGCCACGGCTTATTTTTTTAATAAATACGTTGCGTTCTATTGAGGTATTGGATGAGCAAAAACTTGATTACTCGGATGTCGCCCGTGTCCGAAACATTCATCTTGAAGTATATCAGGATCTGAAAAGTCAAAATTCCGAGCATGCAGAGGTAAAATAAATAAATATTAAATAGTATTATAGTCGGTGTCGACAGTATATTGTTATAACAAAGTGTAATAATTTCAGCTTTTCTTGCGATATGTGTGGTCACTACATTTGATATCCTTACGTACAGCATTAGAGGTTCACATTTTGTTTCATTTATGGTTTTTAATTGTTTTATTTGTAGGAGCTCAGTGATATTCCAGAAGTTCCACGAATCCGTCTTAAGCAATCATTATCATTACTTCGATACACCGATATTCTTCCGGCTGATAGAATATTTTATGAAGCTGGAACTAGTGCAAAAGAATATGGAAGTCAATATGAAAATCTTGGATTTCTTCTTTTGAATCATTATTTGGACTTAGTTGACGCTATTGAAGAGGGAAATGCTGATTTAGTTGATTATGCTTATTTGGATGATTCTGATATTCCCACCGAAGTTGCCATTCCATCAAAGCAATGGCTTGAAGTTAATTTTCTCACGAAAACGAATTAATATCGTTTTTTATCACAGAGCCAAACCCATGAAGATGTCAAAGAATGGGTTCTCGCCGCTTCGGTAGATGACGCTTCAGCAAAGAAATTGGTATACGACAAACGAGGCGTTTTTGAGGCTTCATTATCCAATAATCGCGGCGAAATTGCGGATCCCTGTTTGGTTACCGGTTATCCCATTATTGGGGACCGTGTCAGAATCGGAGAGATGTTCGCTGATCGTGAAGAATTGAACAAGTTTGAAAATTGAACCAATCATATAGTCAGTTTGTTTTCAGGTTTTTGGTAATAATAAAATCCCATCCAACCGATAATTTAATGGATTCACAAAACTTTGTTACAACATGGGCTGGAGCACCTCTATCAATTACGTTATAAAACAATTTTTGGAAAAAATATATCATGCAAAAAAATTTTTATTTATTTACAATGCAAATTTCAAAGAATGTGACATGTTTTGTGCAGGAATGCAATGAATTTCTTTTTTCTAAAAACAGGAAAAGCTAAAGTAAAAATTATTATCATTAAATAAACTACAGATGTAATAAAAATATTAAATATTTTCTCTTTTGTTTTTTTTTTACAAAATTTACATTATACCGCAAAGTTAGATGTAGCTGGAGCCATAACGCATGCTCTTCACGCCCGAAACCAAATCGACACCGCGGCGCTTCATTTCGGCCTCGAACTCCTGTTGTACAGTGTTGTCAAGTCTATCAATAAGACTGCATTTTGCCATGCTGACACGCTTCAGATTCTCAAGCTCTCGTATAATGCTGAAAAAATTTTCGATAATTCCTCAATGTTAATTTTAGTTTACTTATAAACATTTTGAAGTTGCGAGCTTGAGCAGAAGAGCATTCCAACAATCTCGACAGACTGGAGTTGAGGGTGGGCTTTCACGAACTCACATATTTTAGTGGGCTGTTCCGGGTTCGATGTTCGGAAATCGAACTTCACCGATTCCAAATTTTCCATTACAATGTTTTTACGCTTCAAATCGTTGACAAATAGGGTTATAGTTTTGCGGAGACAAGAAATTTCTAAACTCTTCAAACGGCGCAATGTCTTTCGTGGAATGATATCTTGATTATCATTTTTCTGAATCCGTCGTTTACAATTTTCTTTCAGTGTCTTTTGTCTCACAGTGCGAACCGGCGTATAACCAACGATCTTGAGATCTGTCAGATTCCTGAATTTGTCCAATGCAAAAAGCGATTCCTCTTCAAGATATTTTGATTGTTGCTCGTCGATTTCCAGTTTTTCAACGTGTTTTAAAATTTCAGCTATCTTGAATTCGATTTGATTTTTCGGTTTTTTCAAGACATAACAACTTACTTTTTCCAATCGAAGTTTAGTAATATCAAACGGCAAATTCCGCAGAGACAGGTATTTTACATTTTTAAACAACGACAAAAATTGGAAGAGCTGGATATTTTTAACATAATGTAGGAATTTTCAATTTTTAAACCTCATTCAATGTTCCCCTGTTACCACGGAATATGTATGTCAGTCCGTTCACCTCCAACTCTTCTATTTTGCTTATCGCCAAGTTTGCACGAGCGCACATCAATTGTGATACCTGAAATTTACTGTCTGTTATTTATGGTAATTATGAACAAACCTCACGACACCAACAAAGTGTTTTCTTGTCCAAATTTTCAAAAATTTTGACACCAATTTCATTCGGCAGTTTGTCCAACATTTTCTATAGATGCTGAAAACTATACAGTGAAAATTTCCAAGGAAAAATAGAATTTGAATGAAATTAATATCAATAAGTTTTATTATCAGTAGAACCCGGGAACAAAGAGCTGTTGATAAAATTTAATAAAGCGCTACTCGAATTGAAATGCAATGAAAAAAGGAGAGAGCGTTTGGATGCAAAACGAATGTAAGTGGAGGCAACCGATTGAGACGGAAAGAGGCAGGACTACGTGGAAATTGTGTCCTAGGCGAACGCAGAAAACATCGTGCACTAGCAACTGGCACGAATTGAATAAGACAATGAGGAATCAAAACGAAAAAACGCGGCGATTAGCCTTGAAAGAAATGAAAAAATGTCATTTCAGGGACATTCGACCCGTTTTATATGTTTGAGACGTTACTAAAAGGATATTGATGGTGATTTTTCTAGTGTTATGTAAAAATTCTAAAGCCAGGAACTTCAAATATGATGTGTTTTTGAAAAAACGCATCGTGCGATTACCCATATTGATTATTTTTTCAAAATAAATTCGAAATGTTTGAATGATGTTGCAATACTTTTTACAAGAGCCCAATTCCGGTTTTTGTGTGGACGCTGATTTAAAAACGAATTTTCTTTCATGTTTGCTTCCGAAAATCTCGACAATCCTTTCCCTTTGTTCAGCTTGCAATTGAAACTCTTGTTTTCTTATTTCGAAATGGCCGCGTTCATCTTGAGCAGCTGTGTTCGTCATGTTTTTCCTTATACTTGCTGCCTACTCAACAACAAGTGTTGCGTGCTCACGAACATTCAACAGGGACAATTGATGTCCACCATATCGCCGTGAGACACTACCGTCGCCGCCTCGCGTTTAACCACTTGTCGGATTATCACGCCTGTCTGTACATGTTCGTTTCACTGATGAAGAGCCGCGTTGGACGACAAAGCACTCTCTGCCAACTTCCTTGCAAAACGTCATGAATGTTCTTTCGACGAGAAAATGGCCAGTGTAGATAAATAAGGTGGTTGCCAGAAATCTAAAGAACAAAATGGACATATGCCGCATAACTTTTGCGACTACAAGTAATTCAAAAGACGATAATATTGTGATAAGCGACATGCCGAAGCGAGGGGTTTGCAAATCTAATTGCACATTGTAAATAATTATGAAGAGTGAAATTTGTTATGATACTCTAATTATTGAAATTATGTATAAAGCTTGCATTTATTGTGACATTTACATGTTCTTTAAGCTTTTGATAATCCTATTATCAGCGAGGACGAACTTTTATACCAAAATCCAACAGAATTCGAGTTTAATGGGTTTACAAAAAATTAAAATTCAGGTATCAATAATCTCAACGTCTGCAATAGTCGTCATAGTTTCTTCTTTAATTTCACTGTTACGTTATTCTTATTCCCGGTCACAATCCCATTTGTTGCTCTTATATTATGCATAGATATTAACTCTACTTGTTTGCACAATCGAATGTTTTTTCGTACACCAAGAGCAAATATCCACAGATGATTGGCAGGTAGACAGTTTTGTTGATTGCCAGTCAAAGTATTGGTCAACTTTGAGCTCTCTTCAAAGTGCGCAGTAATGGCCAGATAAAAATGTCGTTAAAATTATCAAAGATTGATTTGAATAAGCAGATGTAGTTCTAAAAGGATATCGACGGCCAGCTAAAATTAGACTGGTGTTTCGCCGCTATGGCTCTTGAGCAGAAGAGAGTGAGATATTGAGGGATCGAGGAGATAAAGAATTTCGGTACACACACAATCAAACAAGACTTTTTGAAAAAGCGATCGGAGCAGGTCACTCAAGACCACCCTCTCCGGGCATTTGTTTGTGAGCTCAGAAGGATCGGACAGGATATTTGGAGCAGGTGGTCAGTAGCTCTGAGTTTTCCACTGTTCTTTTCATTTTGCTTAACCATATACATACATATGTTTGCTTATAGTTTTCACCATCGCTGCAGCTTCTCACAAAAATGCAGCGCACCCCCGTTAATCATTATCAATCGTGAGCATTATAAATACTTAATTTTCGCGCGTGAGGTGCGAACTTCAATCCTCTTTTCATTCCGTTTTTGTTGCCGAAGACGGGGTGTTAGTCAAAGGCTTATCACAAATGTTAAAATTACGCTTCTTAAAATGTTCATATTATTAGATTTTTACATATCAGGACTCTTCATTTTCTTTGGTGAAACATATTTTCGCAGCTCATTGTTGTTCGAATCGTTCCCTAAAAACTAGGTTTTTTCGAGCCAAACCGAAACATGGCCTATTGAATTTGCTGAAGCCTTCCAGCTTACCGAGCACCGCTTTTTCATATTTTTTCCGGAGTTCGCTTCACTTGACAATAAGATTCCTGCGTCGCGTTTCTCACCTATTGTTTTATTTCCGGCTAACGGATTAACAGAAAAACGAATATCGACGACAGCGGTTTTTTTTGTAGAAAATGCTTGCTCTTGCTTACCCACCTACTACAAACAAGGAGTTTTGTTTTCTTAATCCGATCTGTCGAATCGTCGCCTATGCCTCTTGCCTAGGCGGGCGACGAGGTCGAGTCTTGGCTCATCGATCCCACCTCCTCCACACAGTCTTGTCATAACATCACGCACACCGTTCGTCTCGACTCTACCCAGTTTGGATTCCTCGTCTACCAAGGGTTTGAAGACGACCGCAAGCGCATTCATTGCACTCGTAAAGTCAACAACGGCGACCGACGAGGTGCTAAAATCCGAGCCTCACTTCCAATACCTGGGCGATTTTTTCTTCGCTATCTCGATGAGCACTATGCAAACAGATGACCAATGCCTTGAGTTTCGCTAACATAACCGGTAGACATATGAGTATTCATTTCGTCATCTTTTATTTCATCTTTTTTGAATTTCTGACATTAATTTCGACGTTCAAATAAAATGCAAATAAGGCCGCCGCTCATCTTAAAGTGCTCCACGATTTGCGAGACTTGTAAACAAGTCGAGTATCACGTCTAGTGTACTTACGTATTCATGCATTTCCTCACAGTAACTTCCGCAATTCCACCTTCCGATTTCGAATTTTATAACCGTTCATATTTTGTTAAACATTGGCTCACGATCGGTAATATTTTTACTTTTTTTTTTTTCAAAAATACTCGTATAAATTTTTTGTACTTACTTTCCTCTTCTTTTGTCTTAATTCATAAATCTTAGTGTTTCCTTTAACGAAATGATGATTACGTTTCCCGTTTCAGAATTTTTTATTTACTTGTATTCATTTTTTTATTGCTGACTATATATAGTTTCCAGTCTCGCCAACGACAGAAATATTACTTGCGAGAGCAATCAGCTTCACATCACAAAGATGCGAGTGCTTCTCGCTTTATTCACTATCAGCCAAATCACTATAGGTTTCATTTTCTCAGCTCTGTTTCGAATATATTTTTTTGATATTTTTTTTTAGCGCAAAAGGTTGGAATCAATGTTCCATGTAACAGAGAACTTGATGGTTTATTAACAACAGATCCTGACGGCGATGAACGAGCTTTCATGAGTTGTCAAAGTGTAGGAGTTGGGTAAGACTTTTTTTTCGTTCTTTGAACATTCTTTGAAATCTTCGGTTTTAGTAATATTGGTTTCTGGGAGCGAAAATTGTGTCCAAACAATATGGTGTTCGATTTCATCAACCAACAGTGTAAAGAATTGAAGAAAAAAGCGCGCAAACAGCAAACATTGAGTATCGGTAAGCAATACATGGTCATTACTCAATTATTTGAATTGGATTTGAAGTGAAAACACACGAAGAAAAAAACTATTTTTAGCAATCCTTAATAACAGTTGCGCTAATGGAGAAACTTGCATTGGTGGATCTGTGTGTGATCTTGATTCTCTAAGATGTATGTGTCCATATGGAACGATTCCAAAATTGGATACACTATCATGTGAATCAAATCAGCCAGCATTCGTTTCCGCAACAGTTGATGGGCCACCTCAATTTTTCAATAATTTTGGATCGTCTACTGTAATCTTTGCCCTTTTAGTATGCTTAATACAATACCGATTGTAGAATCGAATGAATCCGTTTGGTCAAATTGATGGCCCAGAATTTAAACCAAACACTAACGCGTACAACGGTAACAACAATAATTTCAACTGGAATCCAAACAATTTTAACTGGAATGGAAATAAGCAACAACCTCCAATGAACAATGTGAACCCTGGTAGGTGTCACGTACTTATGAGGCTCTGTTTGCGATCGACCGTTTACTAAAACCAATTTTTTCTCTTTAAAAAAATGTTTTTTTTCTATTATTATTATTATGTTAAATAATAGCAAAATCGTAATTAAAACAATTTTTAGGTGGAAACTCCGACTTCTCAAACGCTTTCAAGCCAAACCCAAATCAACAATTCGTGTTCAACTTCAACAAAAACACAAGTCCTAAAGCAAATACGAATGAGCCGACAAATAAAGTCACGACATTAGGTATCCATGAAATCTTACCAGCATGCACAGTTAAAAAAAACTTGTTTACAACGTTTCCGTTAACCACAAATTCTTCTGTTTTCAATATCACTCATTCGGTTTTTTTCTCGCAGCTTTTCCGGGCGGCTCCTGTAAGAACAACGAGCTATGTGTTGGTGGATCAATTTGCACGTTACCTATTGGCATTTGTCTGTGCCCGGGAGATTTAGAATCACGAGATGGAGAATGCGTACTGCCTGCTGCTTCGACTATCGCGGTTTCTAAGGGTTAATATTTCTTATTTCTTTTTTTTTAACCATATTGTCGTTGTAATGTGGAAAATAGCTTTTGTTAATACGTAAAGGTTCGAATCAAAACAGAAATTTCTGAAAATGCGACAACGGCAATATAGGGCTCTAAAATTCAGTCTTCACTTTTACTCTGTTTTAAAATCACTTCAAACGTTTTTTTTTGCATTTATAAAAAAAAATTCAATTTCCTTCACAGTTTTCGGTTCTTTTTTTATTTTATAGGGATATATGCATAGGGTTTTAGTATCCAAAAGCCATTTTCAATATTTCTGAGTTTCAGTTGGAATTGGAGCTTTGTGCTCTGATCTTGCTGAGTGTGATCATGGAAGTACTTGTGTTATGGGTCGCTGTACCTGCGTATCTCCATTGGTTCAACATGAAGGAAAATGTGTTCTTCGTCAACAGCAGAAACTTGTCGGTTAGTTATTTTATGCAATTATTTTTTATACTTGATTTTTGTGAGTCCCCCTAAACTCAATAAGATTTGAAGTGTTTATTAATCGCTTCCCAATTATTAATTATGCATAGGACCTGGTGAGCTATGCGATAATGGCGAAATTTGTGGCAAGGGAAGTGTGTGCGACGTAATGATTCCTGTATGTGTGTGTCCAGCTCACACCGATCTCAATAACGGCGAATGCATCTCAGTGACTGCTTCAGTCACGCAACCCGGTATGAATATTTTTCCCTGTGTGGATTTTTCAGGAAACACAATGAATATTAGTGAAATCCTGTATTACTTCTTGTAGTGATGACAATGCCACCGCCTGTAACTGCGCCACCAACGACCGTTCAGACAAGACCACCATCCCCATCTCCAACACAAGCGCCAACAATGGTTATATTTAATATGAAAATCGTTTACATATCGTTTACAGCCTCCAATGATTTATCAAACGTTCCAAACTACACCGCCACCAATGCGACAAACATATGCCACAGCTCCACCACCAACTCCATTTGTTCCAAAGAACATTTACACAGCTCCACCGATTCAGAAGCCATCTGTGAAGATTAACCAAATGAAAATAGGTACAGTGTGAACTAATATCAAAATGTGTTTCAATTTGTGAATTTTACACTGCTTTTGAGTAATCGATTTCCTTTTTCTAAAATTGTGTGGCTTGTTTTCATTCAAGGGCTTCTACTAAGGATTTAGGTGGAAGTAAACAAGCTGGTGTTGGTGTACGGTGCTCCTTGAATACTGACTGTATGATTGGCGCATATTGCAATGGCAACACAAATCCACCATCATGCCAATGCCTCTCAACCCATGTGAATATTGAAGGCCGTTGCGAGAAGGGTAAGTTACTCTAATGCTTGTTTTCTATGATTATTTTATTGGGAAACTCCTCATTGCATTTGTCTTTTCTGTTCAGTTATTTACCCGGGTCAAGTTGGCTGCCGTAGTGATCTCCAGTGTCACGCAGCTTACACCGGAACTCATTGCATTGATCGAATTTGTGTTTGCCCGGATGGACAAAAGGCTGTGGATCAGACATGCATTTCAGGTTTCGGCTACTTTTTTTTATTTTTCATTTAATTTATATTCCGCTCGTTTGTTTGCAGAATCTTCCCTACCTAACCAGAAGTGTGGCTATTCAATCACTAATCCATGTCTCAACAAAAGTGTGTGCTTTCAAAACACGTGTGTCTGCACAGATCGTTTTACCCTTAATGAATCCAACCTTGCTTGTGAACCTCTTCCCAATTTTCAATCCCAGTGCCTCCAAGCATGCACCTACCCGATGGAGTGTGTTCAAAGCTCGTGTGTATGTCCCGATAATCGGGATTGCAGAAGTAGAAAATTACTTAAAAGGAGAGCTAGATGTGATCCTTTTGGTAACGATTGTGGAACTGGAAAATGTATAGAAGGGGTATGTCAATGTCCAAATGGATACGACAATGATGGCAAATGTCGGCAAAATCAATGTTCTGTAAATGTCCACTGTGACAAAGGATGCTACTGCAACAACGGCAGATGTGTGTGCCAAAACGTAAATGAGCGAAAATGTCAAAGTACTCGATCCTGTCCCGAGTTTCATGTTTGTCAAAACGGAATGTGCAAATGCGAGTCCGATGAGTACGACCTGGTAAGTATTTGATGTAAAGGAACATTCCACATTTCCCATTGTTGTAGAATCGGAATTGTTTGCCGGTAATTCTCAACGGCGCATTCAAGAACATCAATAGCCAATGCGCTCCAAAGGATCGATGTTCGGGCGGTTCAAAATGCAAAAACAATCTTTGTCAGTGTGTTGACGGCAGCATTGAAGTCTCCGGAAAATGTAAACAATTCCCAGGCGGTCATTGCTCGAATGGAGAGCTATGTTCCGGCTCAAGCCAATGTTCTCTTGGCATTTGTCGATGCGATTCATCTCGGATTATTGACAATCAACGATGTGTGCGCACTCAGGTAGCCATCGGATCAGCCTGTCGCCGCGGACAGGATTGCATGAATGGATCAGCTTGTCGCTTTGGAATATGCATGTGCGTGTCAAAGACAATTGCCGTGCTCGGGAGATGTGTACCGATTGCGGATTCAATGAGTCCAACAACAACTGCCCAGATAACGACTGAAATTTCGAAATCGATACAGGAAAAAAGCGGCAACATTTGTGAAATCGAAGGAATAAATGGTATCGAACCCAGTTGTAAAGCCACAAAAGCAGCCAAACCGTCAAAAACAGTTCCTGGAAGTTTATGTCGAACCACATCGGAATGTCCATTTCGAACAAAGTGTGTCGAAGGTGTGTGTCGATGCAAAAAAGGAGAAACCATTGTCGATTTGACATGTCGCGCAGCAATTCATCAAATCCTTCCTGGCTCAATTTGCGATCCACTTAACGGATACGACTGCGTTGGAGAAGCACTTTGCATTTATGGTGTGTGTAAATGTGGAAACCAATTAGCAAGCGACGGATCTAAATGTGTACCCGAATTCCAACTGCGACAAGTCGTTCCAGGAAAATCGTGTCGAAACGGAGAAACTTGCGGTGGAGGATCTTATTGTTCCGTTGAGAAGATTTGCAGATGCGGAAAGGATGAAGTACCAGATGTTAATAAAAAGTGCGTCCGAAAAACCAATGTCGTTCCAGTTTTCAACAAAATAATCGCATCGACAACCATATCGACATCTACACCGCAAATGACAACTTCCATTGATTATACGAACTTTGTTCAAAAGTTGAACGAACTAGAATATTTGGAAAAAGAGTTCAAAATGAATGCTCTAACAACAACGGCTCCTACTCCGAGAAAAACGACTAGTATTTTGGCCGGCCATACTTGCAAAGAAAATTCAGAATGTCCACCATTTTCCTTCTGTTTTTCAAATGTTTGCAATTGCATGACTGGATTCCGAGCTGCATCAGGATATTGTGAGGCGGCAATTCCTATTGATGGAGCATGCATTAGCTCGAATCAATGTGAAAACAATTCGGAGTGCTTGTTGGGTAAATGTACGTGTATTCCTTCAAAAACGGTGGTTTGCAAGGATGTCACGATTGCTCATCCTGGAGAAGATTGCACATCGAACAAGAAGATCTGCAGTTTCAATAGCTACTGCAGTTTGATGAGCGGCGTTTGCGAATGCCCCTCAGGAATGGCAACAATTGGAAGAAGTTGCGAGAATACTTTTGAGTCGATTGGAAAGGACTGCGTAACATCACGTAACTGTCAAAAGTCCAGTTATTGTGATAACGGATATTGTGTTTGCAAAGAAGGATATTATATGGAAAATGACATCTGCCTCGTATCAAAAGATGAAGCTGACACTCCCAGTTTTCAAATTCTTACGGATCGTAAGAATATGGGTGATAACACTCCACTTCAAGACAACATGAAATACGAGTTTAAAAGTGTTCAAGAAATGACGAACGATGGACTTTTTGAAACTACGTCATGGCCGTCAGCAACGACCCAATATCCATTCGCCAAGACGTTTCCAACATTTCGAAGCTTTCCTATTGCCTATTCTTCAAAGACAGTGGCAGAAGAGGAAATTAACGGTGGCTTAAAATATAAAATATCGTTTCCTGGAGAATACTGTGGAAACGGAGAAGTCTGCTTAGGAAATTCGGTGTGTCGCCAACAGTTTTGCCGATGTCTCCAAGATGTGTCAGCAGAAAACGGTATATGCCCTCCGCAAGTTGATGATCTTCGCTTGTTAGGGCTTCAACCATTAAAAGACACCATCAGAAAAGCGCCTGCAAAACCTTCACTGAGATCGGAATTGTTTCCGTTGGAAAACTGCCAAGATAACGAAGAGGGTTGCGTAGGAAACTCGACATGCCGAAGTGTTGGCGGGCTAGGGAGGATATGTCAATGCCTCGAAGATACAGTTCTCATACAAAACGAATGTATAATTATTAGTGAAGACATGAAGCTTGTTGCAATCGAAGAAGTGTGTGATGAAAACTCAATTTGTATGTCTGGAAGTGTTTGTAGAGATAATCTGTGCCAATGTGAAAGCGGAAAGCAACAACTTCTGGGAATATGCGTACAAGCTTCAAATCCGGGAGAATCGTGTGACAACGGTGAAATCTGTATCAATGGCTCGATATGTCTTCAAACCTTCTGCCAATGCCCTTCTGGAACTCATATCGATTCTGAAAACTGTGTATTGGATAGACTTGATGATGTCGAAAACGAAAATGAAGAGGATGACATTTCTACACGTAAAATTGTCAGAAGAGAACTCACTCATAGCAAATGTCTTTCAAATAGTGATTGCCAACCACACTTTGAGTGTGTGGACTTTGCCTGCGTATGTGATGATAACACAGAAGTTTGCTTATCCGAACTTTTCATGGATGCAGAATATATAGAAGTTCCACCTGGAAGCGGATGCCAAGATGTCAGCCGGAAATGCGGGAATGATTCAATATGTTTTAAAAATTATTGTGTGTGTAGTTATGAGGATATGCCAATAGATGACCGATGTGTGGCACGAGATTGGAATATAGGCCTGGGTTGGAATTGTAACAATCAAACGAGATGCCGCGAAGATTTAACATGCTTTGCCGGAAAATGCACGTGCAAGTTTGGTGATGTGAACTGTAATTGTGAGTGCTTCTTTTTCCCCCTATTGCTAACAAAATTTTCCTTTTCGTCATCAAACACGATTATCCCTTTTTAAAGATACTTTGTTGTGAAAAATGTTAAAATGCTTTGCGTTAATTAAAAATATTTAAAAATTCGATCTGACCTGTAATATTTAGCAAGTGAGCCAGTTACTTCACCACCAGGAGGCTCATGCTCAAATCTTCGCGAATGTACTGGCGGATCGGTTTGCAGGGAAGGTATAAATGATGAGACTAATGACAAACATATGCCGAGCATTATAGGTTGGTGTATCTGCCCAGATCCATCAATGATTGTAAGCAAAGGAATTTGCATCCAATCTGGTCCAAAACCAACACTCCCACCCAAGGTTAAAATTATATTTAATAAGATTTAATAGACAGGCAATTTTTGTAGGTGTATCAAAGTACTCCTCCTACCGTTCAACTTCCACCACAGGTTCCACACCAGCCAAAAGTTACCATAACCAAGGCACAACAAGTTATCACTCCTCAGCCCCATGGTAAGAAGATTGCTCCTGGCGGTAAATGTGGTAAGCATGATGTGGAATTTCTATAATAACACGGGTTGTTTTCTGTAACCAGGGCCACTTGACAGTTGTGTAGGTGGTTCGACGTGTATTGAAGGCTTCTGTCTCTGTCCTGCCGGATTACAGCCAAGCGCCACTGGGCGTTGTGAGCGTATCACTACGCGTACAATGACCACAACCACCACCACGATGCGTACAATCCCCATGACGACGACAACGAGCGCCCCACCGATCACAGGTACCACGCGTGTGTTCACCGTGTCTGAAATGCTGACCACACGGCCTCCACCAGCCACGATCGAAATTCCAACGCATGTCACTTTAACCAAAACCAGCAATCAGCCGGGAACAAAGGACGACGAATGTACGGCTATTGGCTTGATCTGTAAAGGAAATACTGTTTGTCGCAACAAGTCATGTCAATGCCCTGACGGGTATGTGCTTCATCACGACGGTTGTGTGTCACCGGAAGAAGCTGAGAGGCGGAGAGCAAAGAAAGCACGGCACGAAGGTTTGATGTGTATAATTTTCAGAAGCTTGAGAGTGTGTTGATGTGATTTGCTGTTAGCTTAACAATGTTATTATGAAAATTATGCACGCTTTGAAAAAAGAAAAATTGAACAGAAAAGTATGTTTTACTGCATGTGAATTTTCAAAATGCTTCCGAATGTTTCCGCGTTTGCAATAAACATTTTTATCTTACATGACAACGATAACGCTATTGAAGTGTTCTTTACGTAATATCAAAAATTGATGACATCTTTTAAGAATAACTTTCACATTTACCAGATTGCTTTAAAACAATTTGGAATCGAACTTGTATTATTAATTCTAAATTCTGGAAATGTAAAATAATATAACTTCACGATTCATACTAAAACATAATGAAAGCATGAAAAAATTGCAGCTGCAACCGCTAGAGCATTTGCGAGACCGAACGAAAGCTGTAGTGCTGATCAAATTTGCGTCGGAGGAAGTCGTTGTTCATACAGAAAGGTTCATCATCTCAATATAATATGTACTCACATTTATTCAGGTCTGCGAATGTCCTGATGAGAAGCCATTGCTTGCTGGTGGTCAATGTGTAGCGAAGAAAGTTGTAGAAGTGGTTCCAGGAGCTACTTGCGATGAAAGCAGTACATGTATAAGAGGAAGCCAGTAAGATTCAACGTAAAAAAGGAGCACGTGGTATTTGGTAATTTAGATGTGAAAATGGAGTGTGCAGATGTCAACCAGGATATGTCGCTGTGTCCGGAAATTGTGTTGCTATACCAATGTCGACAACACCCAAAATGAAAATGATTGCTAAACCTTTGGAAAGCTGCGAGAATGGCGAAACATGTGATGGTGGATCGAGCTGTGATGATGATACTGGAATTTGCATGTGCCCACCTGGACAGATTGTATTCAATGTTCAATGTTTACCACCCCCAACTCAGCCACAAATCAATCAGAAACTAACAACGCCACCAATTTCGACCACGTCTACAAGGACAGCATTTGCAAGTGAGTATACAGCCAATCACTCACTATATTAAGTGATTAATTTCAGCGGATTGTGAAAAAGACGAAAACTGCAGTGAAAACAAAATCTGTGTTGTCGGAAAATGCAAATGCCGTCCAGGATTCGTTGACAATTCGGGAACATGTGAACCGTTAGAAGGTAATTTTGAATCTCTTAACGCTTTTTTTTTGAAGTGGCAATTTTCCCAACACGTGAATTTGAATCCAGTCCCTAACGATGATAGACATCGTTTTCTCACCACACGAACTAAATTCTACCATTGTTTGTCAAATTATTATCCCACAATTTTTTTTTATCAAATTCAACAAAAAACTGTGTGTATGACGTGCTTTGCACTAACTTCTTTTCAGACATCGATGCGGTTGAGAGGCCAATTCCCGTCTCATACGCAAAACACAAAGTAGCAACATTATCGGAACGCGTGCACCCAAAGGAAGAGATGCAAATTTCACGAATTGAAGAGAATACGCCAGAGCCGGCAACGCCGGCCAGACAAGAAACTCAAAAACCCAGAATTGTCGGGCCACCAATCCGCAGGCCAAAACCGAAAAATAAGAGTAGCTCGGGAGGAAATGGAGGAAGTGGTGGTGGTAGTGGAAACCGAGCATACAAAACCGGAAGTGGAAATGGAAACTGCCCTCCTGGAAATGAGCCAACTCGGGATGGTAGCGGAAAATTAATAATGTGTAACGGCCTTGAGCCAAATTGCCCTCCTCGCTCATATTGTTACATTACCTCCGGAGGATTTGCAACTGAAGAATATAATTGTTGCAAATCGTGGTAATCGATTTCTAGATATATTTATCATAGTATTAATTTATTTATTTTTCCCCGATTGAGTGTGTGTGTATAGCTCCCAATTCTGGTAAAAGAATTTCGCCGTCAGAGTCTGTTCTACGAACACAAAAGTTTATTGTCTTTCCCTCAATTATCTAACATTCGGACAATTCGCCTTGTCTTTCCTTGTATTTTATCAATCTTTTATTCACTGGTGAATTCATGTAAACATTTTCTATGTTGTATTTATTAACATTAATATTCAAGTTGTCGTGCTACCGTATCCTTTCCGCCGCATTGTTCTTACTAAAATTGTTTTTTGTGTTAACTGTATTAATACAAATAAATAAAACCATGAAATGATTTTTATCATAAAGGAAAACGAACAAGAATGCTTAAATACGGTCAACCGTGCGATCGCTATCAGGACAAGTGTATCAATGGAGCAAAGTGTATTGATAAAGTATGCAAATGTGCTCCAGGATATTCATTGGGAAAAAGCGGATGGTGCGAAGGATTCATTTTACAGAAGGTTGAGAATCATCGGAGAATTAATTGAACGTAAGATTTTGCAGGCAATTGAAAATGCTAGGCTAGAACAAGAAGCTAAAATTACAAACCCACCAAAAGCAAATCGGCCAATTATAATAATTAAAGATAAGACAGAAGGTTAGAATAATCCCTTTTTATAATGGATTTGGATATATTGACAGCTCCGACGCCATCTCCACAGACTAATCAAACCCAATCAATGCAAACGACACGTGCTCCAATTTTGCATTCACATACTACAAAAAGACCATCAACTACCAGAAAAGTTCCGAAAGTAGCAGCTGTCAGGTCTCGATGTGACGCTGAAGATATTTGTTTGGGAGAGAGTGTGTGTATCGATGGATTCTGCAGATGCCCGGAAAACTATATCGAACAGAATGGAGTCTGCATTTCGAGTAGTTTTCATTTCGAAAATTTGAATGTGATCCCATTTTCAGAGAAAAGCAAACATAAGGTTGCAAAAGTTGGTCAATCGTGTAAAAATGGCGAAATTTGCGCTGGAGGGTCAATTTGTGATAATGATCAGAAGAAATGCATTTGTGCTGCACAACACATTGCAATTAACGGAGTGTGTAAATTGAAAAGTATGAGAATTCAAACTATAATTGCAATTGATGTATGATATTTTTTTAGCAGCACCATCATACAGCGCTCCAGGAGAAACCTGCAGTATGAAAGAGCAATGCACTGGCGGATCGACATGCTTTGAAGGAATGTGTACATGTGACGATCATCATTTTGCGGAAGACGGTTATTGTAGACCTATTGGTACGCAATTGAATTAGATTTAATCAATTTCGATCCAAACTTTAGAAGCTAGAAGTTCAAAAGTTCATTTTGTGAATGGCGCAGGACTTCGTTTTTCGTCTAAAGCAGTTCCGCAACGATCACGAGCTCAAGCTTGTAATGAAGCCGAATGCAAACTTCCCCACTGTTTCTGCACTTATTCGGGCATGCGTCGTTTTCTTTAAAAAACTGAAACTAAAATATACAATTTTGTAGGTAGACAGCCTCCTGGGGGATTGCATCCAAAAGAAACACCTCAGTTTGTGATTCTTACGTTCGATGATGCTGTCAATGGAAAGACATTCCCAGATTATAAAGATCTGTTTGAGCACGATGTCATCAAGTAATATTAGCAATTTATCACTATTCCATTCACTCATTTTAGAAATCCAAATGGGTGTGACGTAAAAGCCACATTCTTCATTTCTCACGAATGGACAAATTATGACGCCGTGAATTGGCTTGTGCAAAAGAACATGGAGATTGCTTCAAACTCAATCTCGTAAAAAATCGAAATAGAAAATTTGAATAACTCGAATAACGTTCAGCCACATGTCATTGGAGCATGAAGATACGAATAGATGGTTGAATGAAATGGATGGACAACGTAGGATCTTAGCTAAATTTGGGGGAGTTCCAGAGGAATCAATTATTGGAATTCGCGCTCCGCAACTTGCGCTTGGTGGAGACGATCAATTTGAAGTTGAAAAATTTTTTTTCTTTTTAAAAAATAATTTTTAGATGATGTCTGGAGCTGGATTTGTTTGGGATAACTCGATGTCAGCAAATCCAGGAATCAATGGAGATCCGTACTGGCCGCAGACCTTAGACTATGCGGTATCATGGCCATGCTTTGAAAGTTCATGTCCAAAAAGGTATAAAAGTAATTTCCAATTCATGATTCTCGAATTTTTCAGCTCCTTCAATGGAGTATGGACTATTCCACTAAATCAATTCTATGGATCATACATGCCACAAATCGATAGCTTCCGGAGATCTAGCATGCTCAGAGCGGCGGTTGATCTGAATAATACTGTCGATGAATTGGTGCAATTCAACGTTTAATGTTCTAAACCAATCTGTTTGGCTTCAGGAAGAGATCATAATGCGAAACTTCGAACGAAGCTATTCTTCAAACCGAGCGCCATACGTTTTGTCATTAAACGCCGACTTTTTGCAACTTGGCGGAGAGAAAAAAGGAATGAAAGCATTGAAAAAATTCATGAATTATATTTCGACGAAACGAGATGTTTATATTGTAACAATGAAACAATTGATTGATTGGATGCAACATCCAGTGCCTCTTAATCAAATGCAACAGGTTGATATCGTATGAATTTATTTTTTTTAACAAATTTCTTTCAGTCAAAAGCAGTCGAATGTCCAATTTCGTTCAACAGAAATCCCGGACAAAGTTCATACTGCGAGAAACCAAATAAATGTCTGTATAGCACCCCGTCTTTAACTAGTCAAGAACATCAATTCCTAACCTGTCTCCCATGCCCAACAATGTATCCGTGGGTTGAAAATCCTGCAGGAGCAATTGTCTAATTATTTTATAATCATTTCATTTATTTTTTAACGTTTAATTATTATATTTATGTTCTTTATTTATATCATAGCCAGTTATAATGATGTTTGAAACTTTTCCCATACTAATTTTCACGTGTAATGATAATAGTCTCAAAAAACTACTTAATATCGCTCAAAGCCTTTACTTAAGTTTTTTTCGAAACTAATTTTCCTGTATTATTGTTTTGTTAGAAATTATTCATAAATTCTTCAATATCTTCAAATGTTTTGCAAAAAAGAAATTATATTGCCATGAATATCCAAAATATCAAAGAAGTGTTGATTTCATAACAAATAATTAAATACGTGTTGGCTGAAAGAGTTCCTTCGGTTGATCACATTGCGAGAAGGAGGGACTCTGACCCACTATGGCTCGTGAGCACATGGACTGATTTTATTCACAGCTGCAGCACTTAGATACAACTGACTTCAAAGTATTCAATGTCAATAAGTAAGCTAAGTTTTCCTTAAAAAATGCATGGTCCGTTTTGAACAGAACAGACAGGGACATTGCTCATTTGATTTGTTTCGTCGTTACTTCTCCAACAATTTATTTTTGGTAAGTTCTATTGATAATTTATCGGACTTGAAAGTAGTGCGCCTAACGAATAAGTTCTAGACAGAAATGATTTATTTTTTTCCAAATTAATAATGTTTTGTTAAACCTAAAAATACATACATCCATAGTTTATGAAGGACCTCTCTCCTATTGTTACTTAGAATGCAGCACCGCTATCTTTATATGATAACGTGAGACCCACATGTAAATTTGTAAACTGATAAACCGATGTTGCTATCTGCAGAGAATACAAGCAATAACGTAAATCCACATTTGTTTTGCTTGTTTTTCGGACATTTTAAAATTTTCAACAATTTTACGTCTTTTTAATCAATTGAATTAAATTTATGTTGCGTTGTGAATTAAAATAAAAACGTGGGTTTATCAGAAGCGCTTTGGTCATTCGTAAATAAGTATATGGAGACAGAAATGCAACGTCGAAAGATGCGTATATTCAATCTCACAAATTTCCTCTCCGTCTCTCTCACAACGTCGAAGGCAAATATTCTCCTGAGCATTTCTTTTTTCCTCTCTGCGTTGCTACGCCAATTAATCGCCACGGCCAGAAATCCGTGTCAACCAACACCACCGAGTTGCGATTCATTAGCACTTCAATCTTTTCCTTTAGAAACGTGCTGTTATCGATTTATTTTATGTTTTATAAAACAATTTGTTCAATCCCGTTGTGCTTGCATCGACTTTTTTTCTCCATATATATATATATATAACTATTTGCAGTAAAAACAACATTTGAGATATGGCGACGATAAAGATTGACAGAGATTTTGAAGGAGAATCCTTCGAAATTATCGACATGCCCACCTCCAACATCAATAGTGGTAATAATTAATAAAATATAGTTTACTAAAAAACGAAAAAATTAAAAAAAAATCGAAAAAAATTAGAGTTTAAAAAGTTTTAGACATCAATATGGACGAGTGGGAAACGTTTGACGCGGAAATAAAAAATGATAACGTTATCCGAAATTACATGGGAGAAAAAGGAGCGAAACTTCGTTTCGAAGCAAATTTCAGAAAGAAGCAGAGGTGAAGAAGCGCATAAACATACACTAGTTAAATAATAATTTTTTTTAGCAAAATCCATCAATTTTTGCTTAAAAACAAACACTTTCTTCTGGCTAATGGTTCAACATTGGAGACCACAGGATTGGTAGTCAACGCTACCGTATTTCTTGACGTTCTCCGAATTTTGGAGTTTTCAAATGCTGATCTTGAACTTATTAAACAGGCAAGCATTATTGCATATTAAACATTTGGTAATCCAATTTTTTCAGAAAATAAATGGTTCTATAAGCGATTTTTTTGCAATGGGCGAATGGCTCAATAAATATATTATAGTCTCGATCGCAGCCCATCAACGATGGATCAAATTGGAACCTCTTGAAGACGACCAGTAAATTGAAAAATGTCCGAAAAAATTCCAACCGTCTCCATTTTTATCCCGTATTAAAATTTTAAAACATAATATTAATAAATGTGATTCCTGCCAAGTTTCTGCCGAAAAAATGTCTCACGTTTATCAAAAAATAAGTTTTTCAATATATTGTTTATTAATATTTATATTATAAGTGTAAATAATAAAAATATATATATATATATACGTATATGTAATAATTTTGTTATTTTATAAAAAATGTTTATTATATATTTTTGTTTGAATAATGGTACAACGAAATATATAGTTGACTAGTGATTTTTAAGCATTCTTGGAAACTATTTTGAGGTTTTATTGTTTCAAAGTTCATTTGTGATTCATACAATTTTATGTTTAATAACACAATTTTGCATTATTTTTCTAAAACGCAGAATTGATATACACACGACTAATAAGAGCCGACATATGATGTTATGACAAAATATTCAGCCGGAAGAAGAAGTGCTCATATGCGACACTAATGTGAACTCGACACCTACATCTTTATTTTTGAAAATTTGACTTATTGAACTTATCAAATTTTGCCCTAGCAGCTTGGATCACACAAAGTAACTATAATTTTCCATCATTTGAATGTTCTACGAATTACATCAAATCGGAAAAAAATAGTATAGAGATTTTAGAACCACATGCAATATAACGTAAATTTAATTATTGACTTATAAAGAAGAAACATTGATTTGTGAAAACCTGCACGACCCGTTCTATGCAGATTATTCTTATCAATTTTGTTATCGTTATTTTTGTGGTTGCTTATTTATTTCTATTTTGATTACAATCAATCTTTGTAAAACAGGTTCGATATGCCTAATGAAAATCTATGCGTTATGTGTTTTTTTTTTGGACTCACCTGTTGCAATCCGTCACAACTTTTATACAACACTTTCCAATAAAAAACATTGTGCTTTTTACGTTTTAAAAATTTTATGTAGATTTTTGCGGTAACCCGTTTCTCTATAACATTGCGCCTACAGGGTGTCATTTAAGTTCCCGCACAAAAGTTAGACGCCATGAAAAGCTTGGCTGTCGCACTTTTCGTGCACCAATACAATTTATTTTTGTTAAATAAGGTGTATTTTACTTACTTTTCAAGTTTCACTTCATTCGGATGTGTTTCCGAGAAATGGCGAAGGCTAACATCCATTGCGCTTCCATTATCGAACTTCATAAGCGAAATGAGCGCCCGACAGAGATCATTCAACGCCTCGGTGTGCCTCGTAGAACGGTTTAAGACACCAACAAACGTTTCAAGGAGCTAAATACGACCAGTGACCTTCCCAGACAAGGAAGACTCGTCTCAGTAACCACTCCTCAGAAGATCAACGCCGTCAAAACGAGGATCAGGCGAAAACCGCACAGGAGCATAAGAAAGATGGCGTCAGACATGGGAATGAGCATCTTCGCTATGGAACAAATGGTCAAAACGAAGCTTGGACTGACCCCATATCGCGTCCAAAAAGCGGCAATTCTATCGGCCGTCAACTAGCAGAGACGCTTCGAAAAAGCAAAACGACTTTTTGCTCGCACGCGGTCTGGAGAACACCTCGCCACTGTCTTCTCCGACGAGAAGCTGTTCACTGTGGAGGCGGCATTCAACTCACAAAACCATTGAGTACTTGCCCAGACATCCCAGAAAGCTTCTGAGAAAGGAAGAACAATTCATCCAGCCTCACATCCTGCCAGTGTGATGGTTTTCGGTGCCATCTGCTCAACCGGGAAGTGCCCCTGGTTTTAGTGGATCAGGTGGTGAAAGTGAACAAAGAAGTCTACGTTCGGGACATTTTGGGGAAGCATATGATGCCCTGGGCCCAAACGCATTTCGGTGGGAAGATATGGGTCTTTCAACAGGACGGAGCACCCGCCCCTACTGCCAAAACTACTGTGGAGTGGTGCCAGACCCATTTTCCCGACTTCATCAAGTCATCCGAATAGCCTGCTTGCTCCCCAGACCTGAACCCGCTTGACTTCTCCGTGATGGGGTCTTGCAGGAGAAGGTCAACGCAAAACCCCACTCAAGTGTAGAGGCTCTGAAGAAGACATTACTGGCGGAATGGGACAATCTTTCCATCGAATACCTGCGTACCACAGTCACATCCTACCCGAAGCGTCTCCGCGAAGTCATAGCTGCGAAAAGAGGCCGAATCGAATAGAGTTAATAGATAATTATTTGTTGTACTATAGATAAAAAATATTTCGAGTCTCGTTTGATTTGGACTTTTAGTTTCAGAAATATACGTCTTCAAAGTTGTGCGGGAACTTAAATGACACCCTGTATATTCACCAATAAACTTCAGGTGTTTCTCTACTAATATAGAGTTTCCACGTTTTATGACGTTGGAGACAACATTTTGAAAAATTTTCAATTACTAGTAAACCACTCATTCTCTAAGTTCCTAGGATTGTTTTGTCTACTTGAAAATGGGCATATCATGTCTGCTACAAAACTTACAGCTGAAAAAACCACAGGCGGGTCTCTTTTTGTATGTTGTACCGCGTGGAATGTCAATACCGAGCCCTCCGATATCTATTAATTGCACAATGAGATGGCGAGGTCAACGCGCGTATGTTCCGATAATCTTCCATCTCTCTATTCTCACTAGCATATTCCGTCGTATCGATTAGATGTTCTCGTTACACAAAATACTGCCTAGTCATTGATTAATTTTTCAATTTTCATATTACATCTCGAGATTTCATTTCAGAAATAATATTTGAAATGGCAACGTGTAAATCTGAAAAGGATTTTGAAATTGTCGATTCGGATCTAAGAATTGTGGATGACGGTAATAAATTGAACATCTTCTGAATATTATTATATTTTTGCAATTTCAGCCACTCTTGGTGACGACTGGGAGACATTTGAAGAAGAACTGCGGAACTCACGATTTCCGAACAAGCTAGTTGAACAGCAAAGAATGACAGACTTCGTATTATGTTTAAAAGAAAAATTAGGGTAGGCTTAATAAATAAAATAAAAATCACAAAATGTTTCAGGGGCGTTCACAAATGTTTGTTGGATAACAAACATTTATTGTTTTTGAAAGGAGTTTCAATAAACACCACCGGAATCGTTATCCGCTCAAATCTTTTTGTAAAAGTATTGCGACTGATAAGCTTTCCTGAGCGTCATGTAAAAATGATCGATGAAGTGAAACAGAATCTGAAGTTTCGTCATTTGTATGGCTATTTCTTTTTCAGAAACTGCATGATCAAAGTGATGAATTCGCAAATTGTTTGGAATGGTTGAATGCATTTTTTTGGTGTTTTACAAGTGGAAATGAGCGATGGATTAAAATGCGCCCTTTGAAGGAAGCAATGCAAATGTTGGATAACAATTAATTTTCATTCCCCCAATATCGCAACTTTTATTTGATTTATAAAATTTCTATTCCAAATTTTCGAAATTGTCGAATCTGTCATTTTTATTATTTACAACCACGAAATTAGAAATTCATATTTCAGCTGTTTTGTATTAGGCTAAATAAAAGTTTATTTTTCCTTTAACTATTTGCCACTCTAAAATCGATCACAATGAGCATAGTTTATTTGATGATGTAGTCCTAAGGCTATAGATAGCTGCAAATATGTAACATCATGCGAAATCTCGTTCTAAATAAATACATTTAATGGATTGTTTACAGAATTCAAGTTAAAAATGTCACAACCACAAAGAAAAAATCAGAAAACACACTTTAATTTGGATTATTAATTAGCAGAGTAATACACTATTAATTTTTTGGATTTGTAATTTTCATTCAGATACGTAATCAAAAACTGTAGACGAAATCGCAATTAGTTGCAATTACAAAGTAAAACCTCACTCTTACAATAAATAAAAAAAAATTAATCGTAACGTTTTAGAGAACGTTACAATTAATTTATTGCTAAATTGAAAAAAAAATGATTAAAATTTAGGTACCCTATGGCACAAATCATTGTTTTTTCTAGACGGCAATGGAAAACAACATGAGCAAATTCTAGAAATGCTGAATTATTTAAGAAGATATGAGAAAATTTTAGTTTATTGATATCATTGATTTCATTGCCAGTTTTTAATCAAAAATTTGCCAGGTTGGGCTTTTTTTCAAAATCTCATAAACCTTTCTTGATCGTAAAGTGATCGAAAGTTTGCATTGAGCGCAAAACATTTTGTTTTATTTTATACGTAAATTTGCTACTAAAATTTTGATAGTAATTTTACAAATATAAAATAAATATTCTTTAATTAGATCATTAAAGCATAATATTTATTTAATACACAAACAAATCCTCTTGCGATAATAATCCCAGAGATATATAAATTGAAAGTGCGCCCTGTTGGTAACCTACATGCCAGTTAACGCCGACCACACCGTGTCATTCGAATAAGCGGGTCGTCAGTTTACTGAGTAAACAGCGGCAACCCTGCTCGGCACGAAAAAAGAACACTAGTTTTTTAACGCTATTTCTATTGCTATCGTTTGTTATTGCTAGCACAAGAGTGATGGATTTGCGTCACATGAATTAGAATTCATAATCAGTTTTTGATCAGACTACACATTTTTGCATCAAATGTAGACCTTGACCGGTATGCCCTTTCACCCATTTCACGAAGCACACAAAATATCGGCAGTCGCCTCTTGGTGGCGTGATTTGTTGTCATTTGTTTCACTCTTCTTCTCATCAATCTCTTGTCCTATTGCATTTTCTAAAACGTTTCTTCCAAATTCTCATCATGTTCCACATCTTATCATTTATCGCTTCATCATCAATCAAAATCATTCCAAGATTATTAAATTACATGATTTTTAGCAATTATTGTCTCAAATGCCGGGAATTCACACATTTTATGATGGTTCAAAGCTCTTGGAGCCGCTTTCAGAGAGTTTGGGAATTGATGTCGATAAGGTTGCAATTTGTTTCATTTTAATGCACTTTTAAAATTCAACATTTCAGGTAAATTTCGTGCTCTCTCTTTTTGCCAATTTTGGCTTTGCGTATGCGTATCGAAAGTTTTGTGCGCCGGGATCGGTAAATCGTCAAGTGCGAACGGTTATTCCCGCAGTTATTGGATTGTCCCTCTTATTTTTTTGTTTTGGAAGGTAAACTGTTAAATATGTCGAATTTATTTCAAAATCAAATCAAATTTGTGTGTGTTCTGCGACTGCTGGGTAGATTTACGAGAATTTATCTTTCGCTATGGTCTCGCTCGAACTAACCGACTGTTTTGCGATCTAGCACTAATTCCGATTGTTCTATTAGAAAAAATACAAGCGCTTCAAAATATATATAAAAATTTTGCTTGAACATTCCAATATTACCATATATTTGCGACAAGATTTTCCCCTAATGATGCACCTTCAAATCTACCCTACAAAAATTGCTTGATGTCTCTAGGGAAAATTCAATAAATGTCAGAAAATTGTAGAGCAATTAAACATCTGCTAGCAAATGCTCTGGGAAGTTATGCGATAATGTATTTTGCTCCCTCGTCTCAAGTGCACAAGTAAGGATTATCATTACTTCAATTAAAAGAAACCAATTGTTAAGGCTAGTATTGATGTTTTCAATGGGATATCTCTTTTTTATTCACTCGTATCGGTGGGCTATTTTAGATTCTTACACACTTGACGTAACTGGTCCGATTATGGTGGCCGTTGAAAAGGTTTGCTTTTTTTTTCCAAAAAATGGTTGAAACAAACCAAACATGATATTTTATTTTCAGGTCACAATGATGGCGTTCAATTTAAAGGATGGAAAAACGAAGGACCAATCTAAATTAACCGAAGAGCAGAAAAAAGAATCGTTGAAAGACATTCCATCGCTTCTAGAGTTCATGTCGTTCATGTTCAACTTCCAGGTAAAAGAAGAAGATCTCGAATTAGCTGATTTTTTATTGTTTCAGACATGCCTTACTGGTCCTGCAAACAGCTACACAGATTACATTCAATTTTTAGATGGAGATCATGTTACTCCAGACAGCAAGGGAAAAGTCCGAGACATAAAATTCAAAAAAAATGTGACAAAATGTTTTTTCAGCTTCCTTCACCAACCAAGGTTGCGTTTAAGAAATTTGTTGAATCTCTTTTCTACCTTTCAATTGTGGTGACGCTCGGTGCGAAATACAAAGTTGAGGATGTTGGAACTCCAGAGTAAAAGAGAACTACATTTTTTGAATTACGTGAAAATTTAAGATATTTTGCTCTTCCAATGTACCAATGGTTCTTCTGGTGGTTCTTTTCTATTACTTTAATTCGGTGCTCATATTATTTCGCTTGGGTTCTTGCTGATGCTATATGTAATATGTCCGGATTCGGATTCAGCGGCTATGACAAGGAAGGAAACGCACAATGGAAGCTCTGTACCAATGTGATTCCATACCAAGTTGAGGTAAGCTATTATATTTGTGAAGAATACACAAATTTTTGGTTACAGATGGCTCAAAGTTTGAAAGAAATCTTGGATGCTTGGAATATACAAACCGGATTCTGGTTGAGAAAGGTCGGATATGAAAGAGCTCCAAGGAAAATACGAACAATCGCTACCTATACGTTATCTGCAGTTTGGCACGGAGTTTCGATCGGTTATTATATGGCATTCTTCACTTGTGGGCTTTTTACAATTGCTGCGCAAACTGTATGTTTAAAATGAGCTTTTGAAATATTACAAAACGTATTTTGATTAGTTCCGACGATGCATGCGATGGCGATTTTTGGGAAATCCAAAGGTCAAATTGGGCTACGACATTTTCTCCTTCATTGTTTCCAAAATAGCCTTGGCTTATGCAACTTATTCATTTGTCACAATGAATCTTTATCCAGCATTTGATGTTCTCAAGTATGATTATATATAATTTTGAAACATGAAAAACTAATAAATTAAGGAGAGTGTATTTCATCCCGCATTTTATTGCATTCGCGGTCATTCTAATACTGCCAAAGTTCTTCAAACCTCTCAAAAAGTCGCAACCAACAACTCCAGCAGCAACTGATGAAATTGTACAACACGCTAAGAAGGAATAAATTTGTTTTCATAATTGAATTGTGCATTATTAATTATTTACTTCCACCCTGGTCTAAATTGAAAACGAGTATGATAATATTGAGAAATAAATTGATCTTGTTTTAACACGCCCAAATAGACAACACTGAACATAATTATACATATTTTAATTAAAATTGGTGCATTGCTAATTTTTTAGAAATATAGTGAAGAAGCAAACGCAAAATTACTTATTATCATGAATTATTTAACGGTATCACTTCGACAAATAATAATTAATCTTTCAAATAAACCAAATATGTGAAGGTTTTTCTTAGTTCAGCACTGTACGATAAGTATTTGGCATGATTTTTAATTTTTCGACTTGTTCGTCGTTCTTCAATAAACAATAATTTTCATTTTTTCCAGCGGTAATAGAGTATTATGTCTCCACTTCTCAATAATTCAATAGCTATACGAAATGCAAACACATACACCCGTATAGTGTATTATTTCATCGTGCATCACCATTGGCAACATGAAGTCTTCCATGACAACGATATGTCACAAATTATATTTTGAGCCTTCGAGATTATTTTTTGAATATTATTTTTCGCAGTTTTCATGTCTCGGGCTGTTGAATTTTTGGTTGTTGGAATAGAAACAAACGCTTTAATTGGATACTGTAAGATGAACTATTAATCCATTCAATAACACGAAGATCGCAAAACAGCAAATCTTTCTTCGCAAAACAGCAGATTATTATTTATTTACTCATATAAAGAATATTCTAATCTTATCAATGCATTTTCCTTTTTAATAACTTTGAATAAATTTGATGAAATACCATTCAAGACATTCAGAAAAATGTCATTTTCTCAATATATTCCTCAATAAATAATAAATTTCATATTATTCTTATGTATATGCAACTCATTTCCAAATTCTTCATTTTAACATATGAGGTAGAAGGTAGATTACGATAAAATCGCCCATAATCTCTTCATATGCGTATTAAATATTTCGATCATTGTTGATTTAAGACGAGCTAGGGAATGCATAATTAGACATACATACTATTATTTTTATTAATTCAAAACACCAACCGATACCCCTTCTCAACAATGATCCAATACATCGTATTTTAGTGTAATTTGAATTTACACGCTAAGAATCATTTTCATTAAAAGTATTAAACTGTATTTCGAAATAATAGTTTTAGGTTAGCTAAAACGAGTTTCAAAACAGCTGAATCACCAGGGTTTGAATCATCGTGATACTTTATGTCTATTTACACACCATTACATTTATTTAATTGCCATCCGTGGTATTTATATTCTCTTATTTGATAGGTGTGCATGTATTCTCACTCAGGTCACACTGATCAACTGCACAAATCTGACATTCGATCCCTACCATAATTCGCTAACTGACCATACGCATGCCGTTTCTAATGGCGAATCATCGTTACAACTCCCGAAAATTTTTGTCGGCGTTTCTTTTGTGTATTTGTTTGTTTCGAAATAATTCGTACACGTTAGGAAAAAATTAAAATTTAATATGTGTTGAAAAAAAGAAAAAAATCAGCAATTATAGTAAAATGCAGTTTCGTCGACATCGATTGCTACAATGTATGTATTATACTTTTTGGTGAATCATTCTGGTGTTTTTTTTTGCGTTTCTATACAGTTATTGAATTCGAGTATAACACGAAACAAACATACAATTGAAAATTCGTTGACTTTTATAGCCTACAGGCAATGTAAGTTAAACAAAAAAGACTAGTTAGTATGTATAATTTGTTATGTATAATTTTTTTTAAATATTTTAATTCATGGTAGTACTGAAAAGAATGGTTTGTTACGCTGCTCATCTCATAGAGGAGAAGAGGCCAAATTCCACAAATTTTTGTTATTCTACTCAATAATTTCCATTTGTGACTAGCATCACAAACAAGCATCTCATGCATTGGCTGCAATTGGACAACACTATTATTTTGTCAATATTATTTAGTATTGCAATAAATGTCGAACTAGTTTGTCGATATTTTTGTGATTTGTACAGTGTCGCAGAACTCCTATTGTGACTCACTCTACATGTTTGTGTGCAATGTTTCGCCACTCTCTTCTAACTCTGATATCTCCTCTAAGCAAATAGTAAGTCCTACTGCTGTGCAGTTAATTCATTTCAGAATGCCAGTAAGTCGCATTGTATGTGTGTCGTTTCTAGAAGTATTACTCTTCATTCAAATTTGTAAAACCCTGTTCGAATGCTTCCCCATATCAACAATTCATATTTACATTCTTCATTTCTCACCACGCCCTTGCCGCTTCGCATCATTCCAATGTTTTTCGTCAGCAAAACAAAAGGAAAAATTTTCAAAAATGAAATCAACATTTTCCTTTGACATGTTGACGTGTTACGTTATTTTTCCAATTTTGCTTCCAGCATTTCAACATTTTCGGTTTTTCAGGCTTGATTCATTATGGCTATTACCTGCACCGACATTCCAAAGTTCCTTTGCGCGTTGCTCCTGCCGGTAAAAATCCGACTATTGTTTAATTAATTAATTGTTGGATTTCAGCCAATTGGAGTTTGGCTGGAGAAAGGATGCACATACCATTTGGCAATCAATATCTTGCTCACCATTTTAGGATACATTCCTGGAATCATTCACGCTTGCTACGTGATCATCGCTTACTAATTCATCGCCTTCTTATACTCATTACATATTTATGCATAAAACCCATTTTTTTTCGTAAATTGTCAAGTATAGTAGTATATAAAAGGTTGACGCTAGAACAGCTTTTTGCCCAAACTTGATTTTCTGCAGTTTTCAATCATTTTTGAACATTTACAACTCCATTTTGTGTCTTAATTACCAGAAAATGCGTCATTTTCGAAAAATGTCATTTTTAGGTCAAAATGCGTTTAGACCATTTTGCCCATTTTCCATTTTTCAACATTTTTCGAATATTTTTGGTGTTATAAATGAAGAATATTAATCTCCGAACAGATATGAAGCCATTGACAAATCTTGACCTCGAAAAGCTTGTGAAGGAGTTGAAAATAAAACATTTCCGCGGTGTTTTTATGAGAGATAACCTTCCAGATAAGGTACATTCCCAGGAAGTTGGAATTGTGAATCTCGATTCTTCGAATAATAAGGGAACTCATTGGGTGTGCTATAAAAAGATGAAAGAAAAAAGTTATTACTTCGATTCTTTTGGATTAGATTCACCTCATGAAGTTATCAATTATCTAAAAAATAATGGTAAAGAAGATAATGTAATTGAATGCTCCACATTTCAAATACAAGATTTTGTACACATATTTGTGGTTATTACTGTCTTCTATTTTTTTTTTTCATTTTCCGTCTAGAAATGGGTTGGGTTGTGAGCAAGAAATAGGTCAATCGAAAGGTTCTCTTACTTCCTTTATTTCAATCTGGCGGTTGACTTAAACGTATTTCTCTTACTTAAATACTTTAAGATACGCTACATATTTCTATTTATGTTGAAGACACTCATCATCTCTCTCTGTCTTGGGACTAAAGTACATGCAGGTACGACCGCCTTAATAATTAGAATAGATGGTTCGATAGTTGTGTATGTACATAAATACATATTTTTAAGAAGCATCGCCCCTTCCATCTTTACATCAACAGCCGCTGCTCAAGAAGGCCAAAGCCTCTCTTCTGCAAACACATCATCATTCTTCGACGTCGAACTGGCCAAGATAGCCGCTACCTGTCTTACCTCTCAAAACTACGAACAGCTAGCGGGCAACATTGTGCGGCACGGCGTCGTGCGATCATTGTTTGGCGTGTATTTAGTAAGAGAAAGCGTGGCTACAATAGGTCTCGAAGAGATGCGTGCAGCACTCGCTTTTGCGCCGCCGCGACCGTGGCAATACTTTAACGATACGAAACCGAGTGAAGACGAGCTGTCGGCCACACCGACGATCAAAGCCTACTACGACCTGAGAGAGCCGTGCTGGTTGGAAAGAAGTCTCAATAGCAATTACTTGCTCGAACACAATATGATTTCTGCCATCGCCTATTTAGACAAGAGGTTTCCAGTAATACGCATGATGTTTAGGCGTAAATTTGGAGATATTCTTCACCAAAATCCAGGATTAACGAATAAAAAATTGTTGATTGCCTTATGGACGAGTTTGTCGCAATTAAGCGCAAAACACTTAGCGCAATCAGGCAGATGTTTGCTAGAGGAGCAGAATGTTTGGATGTAATCGATTAAAGAATATTATGAATATAAATTTTTAATAACTCCGATTTAAGGATTATGTTCAGAGTTCATTTGAATCATATTGACTGTTTTTAACCTGTCTCTTAGGAAATTATAGCAATGATTCAATGTTTCTCATATGTTGTCCAATTGGATTGTATTGATAGTGTTGACCATATTACTCATCAGTTCGACTAAAGTGAGTAAATATCCCATTTTGTTTGAGCTCAGAAAAACCACTTGGATAATAATAACAATTTACGAAAAATCAAATATGATTTTTAAATGTTTAAACTTCGTCTCCTGGTTGCTATTGTTCTTTGATTTGCCTAAAAACCGCTTTTTTAAATATGATTGAACCGGAGGTTAATGTTCAAAGAAAATAATTGGTTGAAAGAAAAATATAGATTCGAATTTATTGTTGGCACAATATTAGGTGGCCAATATATTTCAAAATCAAAGTCAAAATAAAAATATAACATCGATCAGTGTAGCGGAGTTCAGTCGATCCATCAGAAGATCGCCGGGAGAAAGTGATTTGTCAAAGTTTATCAGCAATGAAATATGAACGTTCGCACGTGTATCAACATGCTTTCTATTCGATATTTGAGCCGTCAGGCGTCGTGTGTTTAAAACGTTTCCTACATCGCATCGTTCAGGACTCCGGAAAAGACCCATCGGCACGGTCCTGCGTGCGTTTTTCGCCGCAGACCCTATCATCTTTATGTTTGTAGAATTGAAGCAGTTGTCATCTGCATTAGCACCGCACATTGACTAGTCGCTGTGACACACATAGCACTCTACACTCCAGCCCAATTTTTTTTTCTCAATGTGTTGTTTTTTGTTCGGCGAGCATGCGCTATGGAAATAATATGGAATTACAAAATTTTTTGGGCAAACTTCCAGCGAACAGCTGAATCAATAGTAAAGTTGATCTTGATTTCGTTTTCATTGACGAATTGTCACACTTCTATCTGTCTTGTGTATTTTTCAGTGATAATCGCATTTATTCAATTATCAATCTGTTGATAACGATAGTTTTTTCAAGTCGGTAGTTTTTTCAACCTTCCAAAGTGCAGTAATTTCAATTTCTCTCGGTGTTTAATATGATTTTCATTGTTTCAGAACACATTTTTGAAAAATCTTATTCTTTTGGGATTTGAAAAATCATTCTTCACCCGAACACCAGGGAGAACGAAAAGAGTGACAAATCAAAAGGGCCGTTACCTATTTTATTTACCGTTGGGTGATAAAAAAGAATCATAAACGATTTTATTTTCAACTAAATTTCTTCGCAATGAAAAAACGCGTGTTTGTGTATTCGCCCAGTTTTTCGCCTCTGTCGTTGTGTGTTGATGACGAGTAATAAAAACCGGACAAAATACGCAAAAATCGATACAACACTGCCAGTGGCGAGAGCTCGGCCATGTGTGGTGTCAGCGGGCGTTGAATGCACCAAAACAAACTGCCTTTCGTTCTCTAATGTTTTGCCATTTTGATTCGTGCCTATTTTCATTGAATATTCTTTCTGGCAATATTGAAGAGGAAATGCATCACAATGAGAAACAAAATGTGTGAATTGGAAATACATAAATCAAAATTGTGGGAACATCAAAAATCTTTTGGGTTTGTTGTGCTTTCCGTTCGTTTGGTGTGACACTAGGTGAAACATCTGCTACTTTAGTTCCACACAAGCGAGACTGCTTCACCTCAATTTCCTTTCATTTTCAATGGCTTATACTACATCTTTTCCGCCTCATAATTTGCGCATAATTTCATATATTTTCCAAGAACGCTTCAAGTTGTATATAATTTGGAAATCACTTAAGACGAAAATGACTCGAATTTTTCAATACAGTTTCACAGATGTGAAAAAGTTTAAACGCGTCGTATTATTCCGTACATCCCGCCGCCGCTCGCAGTTTTATTGGCGAGAAGAATGCAAAAGAAAGATGCAACTTGGCTAATATCAAAAAACGATGTCGCCAGTCTCTTTAATTCATATGTTTCTAGTTATTCGATCCACGTTCTGTTGCATTATTCTCTCATTACTTTATTACATCAGACGCTGTCTATTAGCTCGTTGTTCAAAAATCATATTTTCATGAGAAAATGCGATAAATTAATTAATTGTCATATTAATTATACTATTTAAAAACTTAAATTACTTGATTTAATGATTTCGTTTTCTAAAAAAATAATTTAAAATTGTTTTTCTAACAAGAATCGCCGTAAAAAGACAAATAAAACAAAGAAATAAAATATTTATTTTTAAAACGATGGACTACTTTAACACACAATTTTTTTGGAGTTTATAATAATAACAATTATGTCCTTTTGAAAACCCTTCCATATTTAGGTGGCTATTATAAACAATGAGTTTAAATTATTTCGTATATTTTGATGTTCAAGCAACCGAAATCAAAATCCGGGAAGAAACACATGTCATGTTGAACATTAATGAGTTTCCGACTTTTCGAGTGTTCTCAGATTTATTAATATATACGCCAATTCTTTCCTCTCGCAATTACAACATGAACTACTTTACGATCATTTTTCGTTCCAATGTTGTCTTAATGTTGATGACGACGCTAGCTAGCCAAATTTTTCCTACAAAAATAACAATTTGGTTGTTCGTTCAGGAGACTTTACATTACTATATATCCAACATTCCGGCACCATCTACTAGTCCATATAATAATAGTGAAAATGAACAAAGAGGACACATCTGTCTCGGCGGATGATGAGTTACCAGCCCCATCAACGAGGTTTGTTCGGTGTTGTTGGCATTTTTGACAACTGAGAAGCACATTTAGCCAAACAAATGGGGATCAACAACCGAAGAAAGGAATTCTTAAAAGGCCTTCAATATTGAATGAGGAACGAAGAGATAAGGTATTTACAAGATTTTCGTCACATTTGATTTTGAGAAAGAAGTACAATAATTCAACAAAATATCATTTATATTGTCAAGAAAATATTTGTTATGTTTCTCAAAATTTAATGCAAATTTATGAAAATTTGTTATTGCATTTTGCATATCACAATCCCATTAATCTGAGACCAGATAATATATTGCGGTCACGGTTCTAACACATCTTTAATGAGCGATATTCTTAGCTAACACCACTTGCCGGTTTTCGTTCTTCGCCGGACCGGTTTGCCGAAAAAGGTCCAACACGAATACCAAAGTTAGTGACATGGTGGGAAAAGAATGCAGGTTGGCTGTTTAGTAAATTGTCGAATGTGAAACTAATTTTCAGTGGCGTTCATTGGCGAAACGAGCGATGAGAATAATACCGATTCGGAGCAATTAATGAGAGATCTCGGCGGTGGCCGTCGTGAAGGCTCGCTGAATACAAAACCATTGCAAATAAGGTTCCATTGCTAATAAGATATTTCCCATCAAAATCTTGATTTAATTTAGGCAAACAGCAATTTTAGACTCAGAAGATTCGGATATGAATGACGGGGAGCCGATATCTCCTTATAATGGTTGGATTCTCTTATCAGGCGAAAGAAAAGAAAAAAATGAAGAAATTGAAATTAAAATATCGAATTTCTTTCCAAAAACGCCTCCTGGCGATCTTATTTCATCTTAAACGTTTCATACATATTCAACAACTTCGTTTATATTGCAGCTCCCGATCTCGATGACACAATGAGCATTACAAGTTCAACTGGCAGTGCGACTTCTGCAGTAGTTGGAAGGTGGTGGACTGGAAAAGATACGAGGTATTCGGAATAAAAAATTTTTTAAAATTAAAGAAGAAACGGTCTGAAAATTCTAGATATGTTCCTCATTGCCAAAAGAAAGGTTGTAATCATGCTAATCATTCGTCGACAGGAGAATATATCACTCCAACGCAAAGAAGAAATAAAGAGTTAGCTCAACTGAAAAAAGTTTGAATTCATATAGTTTTAACTTATTTCTTTTTAAATTGTCAGGAACTCCGTCAGGCAATTGCTGAACGTGACGAAAAGGAAAAACATCTTTCAGATCTGCGGGATAAAGTTAAAGAAGTAAAAATATATACAATGTCGTTTTTTCAGGTTTCACTTTTTTCAGATTGAAATTTATAATGAAGCTCAAAATACTTTATTCGAAGGTCAGAAGACGTTGAAACAGGAACAATTTGAACGAGAAGCTCTTGAGAAAGAGAAGAAAATAATGGAGAAAAAGCATGCCGTTCGCGTGAATCAGCTTATTCAGGAGACAATGTCGGCGAGGTTCGTTCCCACTTTTGATTAATTCAACGATGTCCGATGACAAAACACGACAAGACCCCTCATCCAAAAAAAAAACACTTTATTTATTCTAGGGAAGAGGCGGTCAAATTGGGCGCGAGAGTCGCACAGCTCGAAGCCATTTTGAATTCGCCGAAAACCGATTCGCAGACCCAAACCGAAATGGATTTAGGAGAACGTGAGAGTCTTCTGAAATCCAATCCACCGGACCCATCAGATCCAAACCAACACGCTTGTATCAGTAAGTTAACAAATGCATTGTTGTTTCTATTTTGTTCATGAAAATGTAATTGAAATTCATGCAAGTTAAATAAGTTGCCTTTTCAAAAAAAATTAGAAAAAAAACGATTTCGTCTATAATTTAATGCAAAAAATGTTTGATACCTCTCCATATTTATACATTCATATTATTGTGATTATCATTATTATTATTATATGGTTTTCCGATTTTTTTGTTTACACATAGTATAATATTCTTGGAAAATAATTTTTGTACAAAGATATTTAATATGTTTTCTACTGTATTTCATTATTTCAGTATCGCAAACATTTCAAGCGGATGCGCCTACCCCAGTGTCTGCGCCAACCCCACAAGATAAATTGGTATTCCTCCCTTATAATTTATTGAATTCCATTTTAATTGCGTTGTTTTTTTAGCTGAGCGGCCCGACAAGTCCATTAATTCCTCTGATGCCACACGATGCGAAAGGTCAACCAATCTTTTGTAGTCAGGAGGTACTGACACATCTTCAAGCCTGTCAGAATGAGGCATATATTTGGCGCAATAAAGCGGCACAATTGGAAATTGTGGCAAAAGAGCAAATATTGAAAATCGGAAAACTTGAAGAGGAAATTGAAAAGGCATCGAGAAAAGTTGTGCCAACAGTCGAAGTGATTTTCTCAAAACTTAAATTAAATTACTTTCAATTTCTAGAACATAATTACGGTGACACCTCACGCCTACATCGTCGAAGAGAAAGGCATCAAAGTAGCCGATACTGAACAAGAATTGGTAAAGAATATATGAATTTATATGTGATTCGCTCTAAAATATTTTAAGACTCAACATATTGTGACTGAATGCCTCAATGAGCAATGCTATGATCAAAAAAAAATATTTTTTTTTTTTAATTTATTTTTTTTTTAAAAAAAAATTATTTTAAAAAAAAAAAATTAAAAAAAAAAAAAAAAAACTTTAGAAAAAAAAAAAAAAAAAAAAAAAAAAAAAAAAAAAAAAAAAAAAAAAAAAAAAAAAAAAAAAAAAAAAAAAAAAAAAAAAAAAAAAAAAAAAAAAAAAAAAAAATACTGCGAAACGATTACAGGTATAACATGATTTAAAACAAAACATCGTTGTGCTGGTATAGCAAGAAAAAAAAACAAAGCACCCCGCAATTAATTAAAAGGAAAAAAAAAAAAAAGTAAAAAGAAAACCTTTTTTTAAAAAAAAAATTTTTTTTTTATAAAAAAAAAAAAAAAAAAAAAAAAAAAAAAAAAAAAAAAAAAGTTGGTTAAAAAAAAAAAAAAATTAATTAATTAAAAAAAATAAAAAAAAAAAAATAAATTATTAAAAATAAAAAAAAAAAAAAAAAAAAAAAAAAAAAAAAAAAAAAAAAAAAAATTTTTTTAAAAAAAAAAAAAAAAAAAAAAAAAAATATATATAAAAAAAAAAATAAAAAAAAATTAAAAAAATTTAAAAAAAAAAAAAAAAAAAAAAAAAAAAAAAAAAAAAAAAAAAAAAAAAAAAAAAAGAGGTTGAGGAAATACTGGCGACTAAAGCGGAACTATGTGAGACGTTGACGAAGCAACTCGAAGAAATTCGAAGAGATCAGAGCAAAAATTTGAGAAAACAACAGGAGGAGAGAGACCAATATAAAAAGTTTAATAACGATTTCAATGAGATGTTGAAATTGAATTCGCTTGCAGGTCACTCGAGGAAGTATCCTTAATAGCAGAAAAGGTTCCTATTCTTGAAACACAACTGCTTAACCTCACAAAGGTATCGTTAACTTTTTATATTATTATTATTCGATCTTTAATTTATTTTCATAACAATTTTATAGAAGAAACATGATATGGAACTGGAATTCAAGCATGAAAAGAAGGCACTTGAAGATCAACTTGCACAAATGCTTGAAAACTCACTAACCAAAAACAAATCAGAAGTTGAATACTGGGATGAAATGATTCGAGCCAATCAATCCCAAATTGAAAAGCTGAAACTCGAAAATGCCGGACTGTTGAAGAGTCTTGAAGATCATAAGATGCAGAGTCAGATTCAACGAGTTGAATTGGAAAACAAGCTGATCAGCAGCATTGAGCACGTGGAAGAACTTCAAGGCAAAGTGAATAAGTCGCAGCGAGATGTGGAATGTCAGGCGATTCCAAGACAAATCAACAAATATGTTGGTTGCAAACCGAATGTGAAAGTAAAAGAGACACAGATACAAAAAGTAAACGACAAAAAATGATGAGATAGTTTTCATTTATGCTTTTAGGGTGATTTCTTTGACGAAAACGAGGAACGCTTAAAAGTTTGCAATATCGAACTGGAAACGACCAAGAGACAGGTTGGAGTTCTACAAGAGCAACTGATCAATATCGGTGATCAAAACGTTGGTTGATATTTGATTTTGTCTTTTAAACCGAGCACTTAAGGATGATTCTCGTATCAAAGAACGCATTCATCGACAGCTGGAGGAATACAAGATGTTGAAAGAGAGATTGACTGAAGTTGAAGAGAAATTAACAAACCAAGAGCTTACAAACTACAGCATGGCAACAAAATTACGCGAAGAAGAGGAGCTCAAAAACTTTTACAAATATCGCGAAAAGAAGACCTTTAAAAAGATGATGGATGAGTTTGAATCGTTCCGTGATAAATTAGATGCGGTAATAATTGATAATCGAATAATTGTTTGAAAAAGCTATTCACTTATTAAGGAAATGAAAAATTACAAGAAAGAAAAAGAATGGCTCCAATTTCGCATCAGCAACTTGGAGCATGATAATTCCGAACTGCAAAAGATGCTCGAGCATCCTGGAAGTATTCGTCAATCAACATCTACTGAAGAACATGGACAAATAAGGAAGGCCATGTCGGAAACCGATATTTTACAGGATGATATTAGTCTGAACAGCGAAGATGCGGCTAAAAACACAATGGAGTATGACATAATTTTTTGCGTATGCATTTCCTGTGGAAACTATTTCAATATTGCAGAGCAACTGAGGAAAGTGTCACACTTCCTCAAATCGTGTTACAATCTCAGCAGCCATTCTCGCAATTATCAGACGTGCTGAATGTGGTTCGATCTGATTTGGAGCAGGTTCTTACTCAAATCGATCGTCCGGAAAGCACACCAAAGTCAGAGGAACATCGAGATTCTCGAAAGAGCTTACCTCGTATTCCTGACGAAACTACCGTAAGACATCCAAATTTGGTTTTCTCTATTGGATGTTAGGTTCTAGTTTTGACCATTTCAGAATTAAATGAAACCTCTTCAATTTTCCAATATGTAAGGTTTGTATCTAGGAGAATTTTATTTCGGAGAATGAAGTTCCCTTAGTTCCAATGCCACATAAAACATTAGCATGTAGTTAATAATCATTAACGATTAACGTGCAGTGCATTTGGACTCGTTTTCTTCATGATTAATTATTTCGATTCGATGAAATTATAAAATTGAACATTTTTCGAATTTGTTATTATTTTAAAAATATTTTGCAGGATATCATAAAAGACGTGTTGAGTGAATGGGCCGAAGACGAAAGAAAACTACTTGAACGACAACTGAAACGATCGAAAGAGGAGAGATCAGCATTAAAGGTAAATAATTACATTCAAACTATAATTTAAATGTATTCACATGTTTAGAACGCAAATGACCGACTATCTAAAGAATTGCAAGTAGCACTAGCAGAGCTTAATGTCTACCGGCAAGAAAAACCACATAAAGATGATGAGCCAAAAATTTTGCAACGGAGTCATAGTTTCTCAGACTTCCACGTGTCCAATTGTTTGGACAATGAAACTTCCAAATGGAAAGCTAGATCTGGAATATTGTTTCGAGAAGTCAACCGCATTCGGAAACATTTGTCAGACACTTTGGAAGCTAATAATGAATTACGGTACCAAATTGCCATTGCCAGAGGAGAGAGAGAACTTTCTAATTGTTTTGAAAGGTATTAATCAGAAATTGATTTCTCATTTTAGTGCTCACAAATTTTTCAGAGAGCAGTATCCGCTGTCGCCTTCATTGAGTTACCATACCGCCAATGATATTCCAAGAATTCAAGAGTTTGTCTACAGCATATTGTTACCAGTATTAATGTTAATACTACAGAAAGGATGATTTGATCATTCACGAACAGCAAGAACCATTCCAATTAGGATCTTCTAAAGCTAGCCTTTCCTGTAGTATTATGATTCGTAGTCAAAGCGCTGAAAGGAAGAGCAGGCAGACGACGTACGAACCATGCTCACGGCAGCGCAGTCGTAGTGCTAACAGGAAACCCACGGTATCAAAGGAAGAGCTTCAAAAACGTGAGAAAAGGAGAGAAATGAGAGTAAGAAACTTTTTGAAACAATAAGCAATTAATTAATTAAAATAACTATTGTAGTTGCCAAAAAATGCATCACGATCTTCATCAGTTGTTTCTCTACATACGTCACCAAAAGAATTTGTTGCGTAAGATTATAACTGTTTTTGTTTGTCTAATTGTGTACAATTTTATAGGAAACTTCCAATAATGTCGCAGTCTTGGCATGAAAAAGCCAACGGCTCCCTGCCTGAGATGAACAGTGAATGTGATGACGGCGAAAAATATAGAGTGGTTTCGCTGCGAGAGAAAGTTATGAAACTCTCAAGAGAAAACAAAGAACTTCACTCAAAAATTAATTATTTGAAAGTGAGAACATCTGGAAATTTGTTATGATTTAAATATTTCCAATATTTAGTCACTTGGTGGTGATCCAACAAGAATTTTGCAACTTGAAAAGGAGACCGAAGAATTGAAGCAAACCGTCCGCGGATTGTTGGAAAAGGTGTCGTCGACGGTAAAAATTTCGAAAATTTCAGTTTGTCTGATATCGGTTTCAGAATAATAACAATTTCGAGAAACATCTCAAAATGCTCCAGGACGAATTGGATATTAGAAGACAGGAGAGTGCGATGTACGAGAAGAAAATAACGGAAATCGAGGATGAGCGCAAAGAGATGTATCTGCTGATGTTCAAGAAGGGACAACAAGCAGCGAGCTTAGAAATGAAGGATGTAAAGAAGAAACTAAAGCAATTTGAATGTGATTGAACGTTTAGGATAAAATCATGGATTCAATGACGGAGGATCGAATCACACTCAAGTTTCTTCATGATGCGTTTTATTATTATTTAATGAATCGTGGTGACGCACAAGAGCACTTATCGGTAACCAACGGCCTGTGTTTGAAAATTGACAAATATCTGCATATAGGTAATAATGACAATGCTTGGATTTTCGAGCGAACAGAAAAACGAAGTTACCAGCAAAAAACGTGGCCGCTCAAGCTAGAACGCACACCTTGCTCTGATCCACACTTTCATATCGATTCAATTGAAGTTTTGTGCCGTTTTTCTTTGTCAAAAAGTTTCTCATTCCAGTGTTTTGAGCTTTATTAGTTGTATTAATGATTGTTTAACGCATCTCCTTTGGATTGTCTTTATTCCTACGGGTTTCTTGTATTTGTTGAACAGTTAATATTGTTGTAATTTAATAAATGCATATTTATTCTTAAAAATTAGAAAAAACATCTTACGTACTTGAAACTTTGACAGATAAAAACAAATAAAGAAATATAAATATAAATTGAGTCGGATAAATATCAATTGTATATCAGTCAGTATGCGAAATTTAAAAAAAAACTATTGAAAAGAAACATTAAATTGAAGAAGTAAAAACTTTAAAAAATAATAAGAAAACCAAAATATAAAAAAAGATTAAAATTCGAAATTGAAACATAAAAAGTGAAAATAGAGAATCAAAATGAAAATAGAGAAAATGTGAAAGATGTCGGAAATGCACGAAATTGTTAAGTTGACGTCCCGTTAAAACAAATGTGATCATGAATAATATCTAACGGTCATTTGAATTTTCATAACAGAAAATTGATTATAAAAAACGGCGGGAAGAAAACAAGATAAATAGAAACATGAAGTAGTAATAATAGGAAGAGAAACATTTGAAAGAGACAAAGAAGTGCTAAAACTGTTTAGGCGTAACGTCTTCTACCATTGAGAGTAGAATAATGTTGCTGTTTTCCAATTATTTCAGTAGAAGGTAACGGTTGCGTCACAATTGGCTCAACAGTAGTTGGAGTCGAAGTGGAGGTAAAAGAAGAAGAAGAAGTTGTAGTTCCTAGCATCTCAGCAATAGCTCGATCAATGTTACCGCAGAATCCCTTTGTCGAGAACTCGGCCTCCAAACGTTGCCGCTGTAAGGAAATACTTTTTTGAAACGTTTTCTTTGAAACAATTTCGCAACTATTGACTATCTCAATTATTAATCTCTATCTTCGTGTTCTTTCAGTTTAATACCCAAACCTGTTTAGCGTATCCTTCGTCGGAATCTAGTTCGGGCCAGTCGCTCTTCTTCATGTGGCTGAGCATGGCTTCGGCAAGAAGTTCGCCGCAAGGTTTAGCAATCTAGAAATGATAGAAATACTAACAATATAATATAAATATTTTACTTTTGTTCCAGTAATATTTTCTAAAACTGTCTCTGCTGGACCACCGCTGTCGCACACAATAACCGGTCTACGCTGATCTAAAGCTTCGATTGGTACAATGCCGAAATGCTCGTTTGGCGGAGTATAAAGGGCAGTATCGCATTGCTGGTACAATTGGAATTTGACTTTGTCAGAAGGCGAAGGAATAAACGTGATGAGATCGGTAACATCAAGATCCTTGGTCATCTGTTGGAGCAAATCGTAATAGATTCGACTCTCAGGAATGTGTGGCATAACTGAGCCAGCAAGCTGCACGTGAAGCTTATAACCGCGACGCTTCAGAATAGCTAAAAATAAAAGATTTACTGAATTACAATTATCTCAAAAATTATTACCAGTAGCTTCAACGATGATATCCAAACGCTTCTCAGGCCAGAATCTGTTCATCGACAGAAATGTGTAAGTCTCATTTTGAGGGCGATTCTTTCTGCTGATTGGCTTGGCAGACTGAAATTAACGAATCCAACATCGGAACTTTATTCCCACTTCTCACCGCACTAACGATCCAATCGATATCACATGGGGGATACAACACACGGATTTTATTTTTTTGAATGTTTGGCATCACCTTGCAAAATTGACTTGCAGTGAAATTGCTGTTCACCATAATTTGATCGATATGACCAAATAGTTCTTCTTCGACAATACCTATGAGCTTGGCATACCATCTAATTAAAATCAGTAACAAATTGTTCTCATTTCTTTAATATATAACCTGTAAAGAAAGAGTCTTGATGGCGTCACAAGTTGCTGTGGAAAATGGCAGTAGAAAAGAACCTTGCACTTTGGAAAACGCCACTTGATCATTGGAACGCAACTAGAAACTCATTTAGATTCGATAGCTACAGTAGTTTTTAAACCTTGCAGAATGATCAACAATCGCCACATCAGGATTCAAGTTGCTGAATATCATATGCCATCCTAGAGCAACATTTTGACTCCACCAATCACCTGGATGAAGCTTAAGGCCGATTTCACGAATTTCTACAAAAAAAGTTTATTTGTAATCGTTTATATCGATCACTAACCAACGCCTTCAAACTTATGGTTTTTCCAGTACTCGTCAATCATTGTAGTAAGCCAAGTGACTCGATGACCCTGTGACACAAAGTGTCGTATTAGAGCAACAGTGCACCGGTCGGAGCCACCGTTCCATTGTTCTGGATGGACAATGACAACGTGCATCTGAAAAAAAAAGTGTGGTGGATTAATAAAAGAAGATGTTTTTGGATTTCATCATGATAATCGGCAATCCGCCGACTTGTTTCCGAAGATCGAAATCTGATGAGCGCTAGTGCACGGTATTCATTATGACTACAAAGATTCTTGTGCCGATTGATGAAGCGAGTTTCGAAAGAGAAGAAAGGGAAGGAAAAAAGAGAGAGTCGCGAAGAGATGCAAAAATTTAGAACATTGAAAGATCGCGTTTTGAGACAACACGACAATCCGAACCAATTATGGATTCGCCAAAGCTCCCTCGAACTCACCTTTTTAATCGATACGGAGTTGGACATCAGGACAAGTTGTTGTTTCGATATTGCGAGAAGTGTTGGCCGACCTTTCCTTGTCAGTGATGACACCAAGCTAAAATTTCGAATTTGCACAAACTAATAAAATTCTTTTCAAAAAGTTCATATCTACGAAACATACAAATACCTAAGGTTTTCGGCTGAAAACAATAAAAAATTAAAAAAGTCGACATAACTCATTATAACAATTATTACCACATTTTCAATCCTCGATAAAAGATGTTGGTTATTATTTTTTATTAGAAATTATCAATCAAAAAACCTATTTTTAAATCTGCTGAAAGATAAATCATTAACCACAAAATTTTCAATAATGAGACAACAAAAAAAAGATTAAAAATTAGTTTTGTCAGAACATTTTTTTGTGATATCTATTTATTGCTTTAAAACTGTTATTTTATACGTGATTCTTAGCGATTCAGTACTATTATAGACCTATTTTTCTGAAAATTTAAACATGGGTAAAGGCACTAAAATTTAAAGATTCAGTATTAGACTAATCTATATATATATATATATATATATATATATATATATATATATATATATATATATATATATATATATATATATATATTAAGTAAATTTGAAATAGCATAAAAGTCTCAATTACCTCTAATTGATATTTAAAAAACACAGAGTGTGAAAACCGAGTGTTTCCAAACAACTGATACAAATAAAATGGTGGTTTTTGTTAAAATAAAATATTTTAAAAATTACCTGCTTCTCGCCAGCGACCGATGTTTCGTTGATGAGCTCTCGCCGAACGAACCAGACAAGAAGCGAAAGTGGTACCGAGAAGAAAAGAGCACACGTGTAAAGGGCCAAAACTGTGAAACGCTTCAACTCGGAGAACATGAACGAACGGATGACTGCAACGTCTCCGATGAATCGAATTCGATGCGTTGCGAAGTGGTTTGAAGCAGCGAATTTAGATGAGATAAAGCACACACAGGCACACGTTCACACAGAGACACACGGAAAGGGAGGACGTCCGAATTGACTGTCTGTCGTATTTTTCGATCGAATGAGGAGAGAGTTGGGACAACGCTTCGTCAGTGGGAGGATTTGTGGATTCAAATGCTCCGCCCTTTTTTGAATTCAATTCTCCTTTCTCTTCATCGTCTCGATCTTTTTTCCGCCTGTTGCGCTCTTCCTCTTGTTCTTAATTTCACTTCCATGAGGAATTTTGTTTGAAACTTCACTCCGCCTCAATCAAAAGTATTCGAAATTGTCCGACTCATAAACCTGCTGCAGATGAAGATCAAAAAAGATGATCGCGTTTCCAGATAGACATGAGAAATGTTTCAAAGCCTGTTCAAATATTTAGGTGATTCGCGTGAACTCGCACACTGGCAAGGTGAGATGTCTGTGAGAAATTTCTGAATCGAGTGAGATCAACACACAAACATTCGATAGTAGCTTTCTGTATTCCAGCGTGAGACACGAATTTTTACATAGATTGCAAGAATTTTAAGGAAATAAAGCAGAAACTTGTCGTTGATTGTAATTAAATGACTGCATTTAACATTCTCAGTTTGGGATTTGATCTACTTTTGCACCCTGCCACATTTTCGGAAAATCCTTATCGTCTGAAATCTGATTTTCGTGCCGAATTCAGTACACCAGTCACTCTCGATTTCTTTAGAAGTTATCGCTCATACCGACAGTTCCGAAAACTTGCACTTTTGTCAACACACTTTCCGATGTTCATATTCGACTTTTTCGTGTCGGAGACAAGAAGGAAAAGGGCGCCGATGGAAATTGGCTTTCGAGCCAAGATAACCATCAAAGCAGTCTCTTGCGTGCGATCCGGTTTGATGGTGTCGCAAACCGTTCTACGAGGCACACCGACCCGTTGAATGATGTCTCTCGAGCTCACATTTTGCTTATGAAGTTCGATAATGGAAGCGCAATGGATGTTAGCCTTCGCCATTTCTCGGAAACACATCCGAATGAGGTGAAACTTGGAAAGTAAGTAAAATATACCTTATTTAACAAAAATAAATTGTATTGGTGCACGAAAAGTGCGACAGCCAAGCTCTTCATGGCGTCAAACTTTTGTGCGGGAACTTAAATGACACCCTGTAGTTGAAAAAAATGACAGGAACCAGAAGAAGTAAAAACTGGATCCTGGATCTGATAGCACCTTTGAATATTCTTCCAATAGACAAGCAAGTGGCAGGATTGCATGGACTTTAACCATAAAACGTCTGCGCAGATTCTTTCAAATGACAATATTTAATTACAATTGTGTGCAGTTTTAAAATGGAACAAAACAATTAGGATAAAGTAACAAAATGATTTCTGTTACCCTGAAAGATGGCTCGTCTTTATCTAAAGTTTCAGTTCAAATTGTTGCTTTTTAACTCTCAATAGTAAAAAGATACTTCCGTGAAATTTTTTAAATTTTCAATGTTTTACTTATGTCGAAATAATAGCTACTTTTCACTGCAACTATAAAGATACAGAAAATTGTTGTGGATGAGAAATAGATACTTCTACAGCCTGAACTGTTTTTCATGTCATTGATTATGGGCCAAAATTAAAAAAAACAACAACTGAGGACTATTTAAATTTAAACAAATTGTTGTGAGCACACTCACGTAAACTATTGTAATCTAGTAGGTTATAGAACATTCTAGAAGCCTCACGTAAATATCCCCACACGCGCATTGTAGAACATTCTAGAAGCACATCACCACTAGTATAAATACCCGGCCATCATACATCGTAGTGTTCAATCTAAGGATATAATGAAGCTATCCAACTCTACATCACTGTTCACTTCGATCCCCACGCTTCGGCACCATACACGCGGAACTCAAGGACACAACAAAAATTAAAAATAAAGAAGAGAAAAAGATAATCATTTTTCTGTCTTGTCCCTTTACATTTTTGATATGACTTTTTTTTCAACAAAACTTGAACTAAAATATGAAATACGAGTATTTAAAATAAAATTTTAGTAAATTATGACAATTTCGAACTACATGATTTTAATGTGTTGTGAATAGTGAACATTTATTCTAAACAACTAATAATGGAATTGCAGCTAAAGAATAAAACTATGAATCATGTTTTATGCCTAGTTTGCACAAGATATGTTAACTGTACTTTTTTAAACACGTGCACTTGTAGTGTAGAATTCGTTTTTATCACATCTCCGTTTCATTTTTCTTTTTTTTTTTTGATTTTTTTCGATTCGCTGATCTCGTTTGCAAGCGAGAGAAAACAACATGATTCGAATGGCATTTTGAGGAGCTCTCACGTTATGTGTAAAGCCTTCGGAATGATTACGTGTGCCGGTGAGGTTGCAGACTTGACGGGGGTAGTCGAGAGAAGACGGGAGAAACTCTAACGCTGCTCCTGTGGATGCTAGCAGACCGCGAACAATCGACTTTGAGTTTTCACGTTCATCTGTTTTTGTTATTCTATTACTCTCTCGAAATACAAATAAAATATTATTGGCTTTTTTGAACTGCCTTAAAATGCGATCAACCGAGTTATCGCCAAGATTTCAATTGGCATTCCGGAGATGCTTATTCTACACATTCGCACTCGTAATATGGTTGTTCTTGGGAATGATTCTCTTCCCAACAGTGGCAACTGTAAATAAACGAGTAGTGAGTTTTTTTTACTGAAACTAAGGAACAATGATCTGAGGGCTTAAAAATTTTTTTTAATTTAATACTAAAATTGTGATTATTTCAGGATGACAACGAAGCAAGTTTATTCCGTCTCGACGCAAAACGATCAGATTTGTTAAATGTCCTTTGGGCAGAGACCATTACAAATGGAGAAGATGACTGGTCGGAATTGGCGGATCAAAAACTAGAACTATACGAAAAGGTTTGAGCATAAAATGCATCGATGTAATATAGTTGAGCAAATGAGTTTTCAGGCTTTACTTCAACACTATGGAATAGATCTTGATAAAAATGATAAAACGTTTGCTGCGGGACTTCAAAAATCATTTGCAATTTCAACAACCATTGGACCGTTGGATATTGATGATTTCACTACTGTTGGAAAATTCATTGCGGTGCTTTATGCCTTAATCGGTATTAAGTTAGTTGATCTAAATAATTCAATAATATTATTCAGGAACCCCTTTATTTCTGACCGTAATTGGTCAACTAGGTAAGATGGTTACCTCACTTTGGCAGGTGGGTATAATTATCGGCATACATGTTAGTAATTCCTTTGATTTGAAGGGGTCCACGCTATGGCTCGTCACAGTTATCTATATTTTCATCTCGGCAATTATTTATGACATTGTAGAAGGAGGAACAGATGATGTGGTAAGTGTTCGTCTAACTAAATATTGTTTCAGTTAGACTCAATCGACTTAGCTCTGAAAAATACCGCCACATAATGTGAAGGAATGTAAACTCTGCTGACTACAAAAATACAAATCCGATAGACGAATTTTGAATGACCATCATCTGGCTACATCTAAATGTAGCTTGCAATATTTTACACGTTGAAAGAATTTTGTAGTCGGAATCGAATTCCGAATTTGAAAACTGAGATCTCACACCTGTTTTAACAAAAAACTTTTTAAACGAAAGTTAAAAAAAAAGAGTTGAATTTCAAGGACGTAATGTTAAGATTATTGAACATTATATTCAATTTTCAGCCTTTCATTGAAGCGATTTTCTCGATTTTCCTTCAATTTACAACTGTTGGAGAGGTTGACAACGAATTCCAGTACGATTTTATTTCCGTAAAAAAAACTAAAATTAAATTTCCAGTGGAGTCTTGCCGTATTGCATCGTTGTTCTCGGACTTGCTCTTATCACTGCCCTCTACCAGGAAATGCAACAAAAGATCGAACGCTTCATTCATCCGTTTGAGTTCTCTTTCAATAAGTTCGAGACTAATTTTTTTGCGAAAACTTGATCTCGTTCAGATTTTGTGGAACAATTGAAAGATGGATTGGTGAGAAGGAAGAAAAGAAAATGTCAATAACAAATAGGATAGAAGAAGAGAACGAGGAAGAGCTCAGCGATTATGACGACTGATTTTTGTAATTGCGTAGAAAAAGCATTTTTTTCATTTTTTATACCTTCCTTCAATAGTTATTAATCTTGAAGAGTGGGCTCTTCTTGAAGTGTAACGTGTACTAGTGTCTCTATCTAGAATTCCGACATGCTTTCAATTAATTTCCAATACATAAAATATGTGGCTGTACTGATCAATGCACACTCATGAAGGGCATTAAATTAATATCTTCGCAACTTATCTCAAAATCACATCTTTTGCTTCTGCCACCGATAAATGCCGGAATTCTAATGGCAATAGTTCAAAACATGAAAATCTTGCGAAACATCAAATTACATTGTTTCGTCATTATGTGGAACATTTTAAGATATGTATTTCTCTGTCTTTTAATAAGAAAATGGCAATCAAATAACAAAAGTTTGAAAGCGTATAGGTCAGTTTAGGTTCAGGTGGAGATCAAAGTAATTTTATCTTAAATGATTCTATTTTACGTTGATGTTGTTAATTGAAAAATTACAATATTCCAGAATAATTTGCCATTTTTTAAATTACAGAATAGGGTTATAAATGAAGCACCCACACAATTAAAAAAATAATGGAAAAAAATCAAATGTAAAGATTTTTCTGAAAATCAGAAAGAAAAAGTTTATTATGTGACTAGAAGAATAATTGATTAATCAGGTTTCGAATTATAAATAATTGGATAAAAGCTTGAATTCTCCGAGATATTGACGACACCATAGTAATTGATGTCTGTATGCCTTCTTGAATGAAATTTTCAAAATTACCAAATATCTAATTTTTAGTGGGGACTTTTTGAATCAAATGGCTGCACACTGCAAAATCCATTGAATTCACAGTTGGGCTGGAAAAATTCATTGAGCAGCAGTGGTGAACGCGGAGAATTGGATCGAATCACTGTTTAATAGCATTGGCACAATAGTAAGAACCTTGTCTCTTGGAAAGGTCTAGAGAAACACCTTCAACTTTAAAATGTTTTTTTTTTATATAACGTTTAATCATTTTTATTTTTATTCTGCTATTTAAAAAAAAAAAAACTCAATTTTAATGTAACTGCGACGATTCTTGAAACGGGCAACTTGAAAACATGATAAAAAATACATAATTTTCATTAATCTACAGAATTTTATTTTGTGAATAAAATTTAATGATGTTTTCAAAACCGTTTCTATAAATAATTGTTTTTATTTTTAGCCTTTTATTTAGCCTTTTTTTAGTCGTCTCGTGTTAAAATTTTCATTTTATTTAAAATTGTTTTTTATGGTAAACTACAAAAATAATTAACTATTATAAAAATAGGAATATTCAATTAAATTTGAAACATAAAACGCATATTAAATTAGTCGGCGTCCTGCAACTTACGTACGCTAGTCGATTTGTGAAAGTCTCTCTTTCGTTTTATACGAAATCACTTGTCCTTTCTGATTCTAAGGCTCATTTTCATTTTTTTTTCGTTTTTTTTTCATTAATTTAAGAAACGTTGAAAATACAAAATTCTTACATAATCCACAGAAAATGTCAGCAGTTCGTTTGAAAATAACAAAATGATATGTGGCAAGAAAGATGATCGTAAATCTAGTCAGGCATAGCTGTCGCCGATTACAGATCTCTGCGAACATCTCATAATTTGTATGATCTGGTTAAAAGGAATCAATATGATATATTAGTTTTTCTGATAAAAACCGAAGCATATAGGAAGCAGGGCTATACAAATTAATGCATCTTCCCAAGCCGTAAGGCATCGAGGTAAAACAATACTTGTTATATTCTTCTTTTCTTACCAATCGTGATAACTTATTAATAACATCGTTTCTTTTTTTTTTAATGTGTTTTCGATAACTTCGATAACTTTCATGTTTGTTGAACGATATTTTATATTTCCGGATATGAATATTTTCCATTAATATGAAATTGTTTCACTTAGAACAGTGATATCACCCTTCCAATTCATGAATGATTCAAGGTTGAATATGCAGAACAAGTCTAGATTGGGTTCTCACTCCTTATCATACCGTAACTCAATTGAGACTATGTTTTTGAAAAACACGATGCCCAGAGATTTCACGGTCACTCATACATCTTCATCTCAAATTGGCGAGCGGGAATTACCTCCTCGCCATTCAATCGTCAACTTATCAATACATTCCCGTCAACAAAACCGTTGATTTATTGAACGCTGATAGCTTGAAATGTGGGATTGTTTGGAATATGCATCAGGATGAGAGGACACAGGAGGCAAATGTGGCGAGCGCGGTTAGAACTGTTTTGCGGAAACAATTCGCCGTCATTGCCGTTTACTTCATATCGTATTCTCTAAATTTTCCCGTCGCTGGCCTTAACATGCGAACATCAATCAACCCGAGGGTTGATATAGGCGAGCGGATAGTAACGGGAGGACCCTTCACGACCCAATACTATCACATTGTGTCTGAAGCGTCTTTTTCCGATAAATGAAGTATTCCGAAAACGGTGTGTGCCTTGTCTACATTGTCTATATAATTAACATAGGCGGTATTACCGTATTGCTGGCTGTTAACTGGACACACACTGTTTACGACGTGGAAAAAAAAACCAAGTTTGAAAAAATTATAATCAACACGGACACCGTACATCTATACGAGACAAAGCTGAAATAGTTGTTTTATGTGTAAATTATCAATCAGTTATCACATGTCGACAGGTTAACAACATGAAATAATACACTGTGTGAATAGGTGTTCATATGATGAAAATCGAAATAACTAGTATGGTCTAACCAACAACAATAACTAATAAGTGAGGCCAAAAAAATAAAAACCGATGTTCGTGTAGGCTCAAACATAAATTTAGTAACTATTTAAAAAAAAAATATTTATAACCAAAAATGTTAACACACCAAGAAGAAATGATATACTTTTCAAGTACAAACAGTACACTTTTTCATATATATAAACTATTTGTGAGAAAAAATATCACATAGCATCTTACTGGAAGTAGGAATTCCCTGTTTTATAATATAAAATTGTTGATTTCCCATCGGAAGAATGTGCAAGGGAATTGCCTACTGGACGAATACTGCAGGCACATTTGCACCAGTTAGGGAATTAACTAAGAATATTAGATCTACTGTAGCCACATATAATTATGAGATTTCCTACACGGCCAACAATATACCATATACAGTTTATACTCCTTCAATAGATAATATGGACTAACAATTAAATTGATGGAAAATTCATAAAATGACAATTCAGGAAGATATCTGTATTGAAATTTTGAAAGCCAATCTGATATCTGATCTACAAATTGCCAATTTTGTTTTTCCTTTGAAGCTGGAGCACCTATTTGGCTTCCGTTTCATTTCGAATAGGGTTACCCTATGATATGGTTTTATTATCCATTTCTTTCTCCCCATTTTTTAATGAATTAATTAACACTTAAGACAATCGTTTTTTCACTAGCATTTATTTGAAGTTGCGCTCCTATCATTGCATCAAATAACCTATTTTCGAGTAATAAACGATTCCGTTTGAAAAATGTGTCATTTGCAGGAATATCCAGTAGTTTTTTGTGGTTGTGATCTCGCACTCAATTTCGCGGTTCATCTGATTGATTATCGAATCCTAAAAAGTGATTTAACTAAAATTGAGAAATAGAGATTATGGCTCCAGTACTGGCTTGTTCTGATACTACGCACATTTTTGAGTATGAGAAGAAACAACTACCCATGAAAATGGGCGTTAAATAATATTATTTTTTTCTAGAAATTATAAAATTTGAAATACACATAATAAAAATCACGTAAAATCTTGTTGGCATTGTATTAAACAATCCATAAGTTTAAGGATTTAATTTTTTTTCCACTCAGCTTCAACCCGGAACTATTAAAAACCCCATTACTTCATTAAATAATTCTTTGTTTCATTCAATAATTCCCCAATCAGTGTTGTTCGAATAAAAACTTGTCCACGGTCCCTCAACAACTTTCAACCTTTTACTACAAAAAAACTGCCGCAACAAGAAGAAAATTACCAGTATTTCCTGTCAATTGACACCCATATCATCGTCATAATTTAACTCGTATCATCAATTCTCGAGGGCGCCCTCACACCCTCTCCGCGTGTTATCACTCACGGCCTTGTGTATGGTTTTTTATACAGTATTTCGGAATTTTGTCGCCTTTAGAATTATCTTCTGCTTCATACAGTCGTTGGTTGTCGCTATGATGATGAAAAACTGCGTGCGATTGTCTGTTTTTTTACTATCATTTTCTCCGTTGTTTGCGTCAATCGAAAATTATTGAATCGACATCTTCCAAGTTGGTTGTTCGAGTCGACGAGAAGCCGAGGTCGCACGCGCAGATATGAAATACTGTAAGAAGGAACGAATGTTTGTCACGGAGAACCAGTTCAAATACTTGAGTATCAAATCTGAGCGAATTATCAATGATGATTGGATGTATTATCTATAACTAGCAGAATGCCTCCATGATTACCAAATTCGCTTCCATTTCGACAGCGCGCCAAAAATGTTATCTTCGTAGTCAATCGGTGAAAGAGAACTATTTTGTCATCAAGTTGAGTGACAGTTTCAACCCCAACTTCACTGAGTTTATCAAGGCAGTGGATAAGAAAATGAATAAATTTTACAAAGACTGATAAACATCTTAGATACCATAGAGGCAATGTCTCATGTTTCGAAAATCGATTCAAGTTAGTGCAATGGAAAGGGTCAATACATTATGGTCATGATTATTGAATTGAACCTCCAACAATGCAAAAATCACTTTCTAATCCTTTGGCAAAAATACGATTGCTTTTAAATTTTGGATTTCCTAGAGGCAGTGAACGTCACAAAGTTTATCACGTTGCGCAATAATTTGTAGTTCCAAACACGGCGATGAATGGCGACAATGATGGATGGTTATATGACAGTCTTTTGTGTCGAGCCGCTGACAAATCGAACCAGAGCGCAATAAAACATTTTTTATGACTACTTTCTACAGGAACTGAATACTCTCGGGCGTCTTATGAGAAACGACAAAATGAAAGTTAATCAAGATGCTGAAAGAAAAAAGGTAAAATTTATCAAAAAGACCCTTTTTACTTATCTTAGACATTAATACCACTTGTGACATTAATTGTCTCATCGTCACATAAATGTGCTATTCTTTCCGTCAATAGCACTTGCGTGAACAATGGGTTTTTTTTGGTTCGCAAGAGATACCTTCTTTTCGCACTTCCATCTATGACATGATTCGTTTCATAGAATCTTTATTATTTTTCAAAAAGACTGAAATATATAATCCGCTATTTACAACGCTAATACCGGATAAATATATATATATATATTTATATTCAAGATCAACAGATTATTATAAAAATACAGAAAAGTTGTTAAACGAGTTAATTAAGTTAGAAACATTTTCAATAGAAGCATCTGTGGTCATGATTTGGGGAATGAATGAACAAATGATATTAATACCCAATAATAATAACTCTGAAGGAAATAATCACTCTTATAAATATCTGACCAGATGTATTGCAACGAGAATAAATCGGAAGAAAACCAGCGAAAAGACCAGATTCGTAATATAGTAGCAATTGTATATATTGATTAAGTTTAGGCTTCCGCTGAATTGAGTCTGGCGAGCTGAAAAATTTTAGAATTACGCTTGAAAAATTCACTGTTAATCATTACCTCAAGTTGAAGCTTGAAGTTGTCAATTTTCAAGGCATCCAGCATGAAGGAGTGAGACATCATATTTGAGACTGGTGTCGTGGGCTGCTTGGCAGCTTTTCGTCCTCTTCCATCCTTCTTGATCTCATCCCCATTAGCAACGTGGGTCTTCTTATGGCGCAACAAATTGTCTTTGCGATTGAATCTGCAAAGTTACTTTCTTAGTACATTTTTTTCTTCGTTATCAGTGCGCGAAACACCAAAAAAGATGGAAAAGATCGAAAGAGGTCGACCAATCGCAAACAGCCGCAAAATTTGCGGTTACCCTCAAGGACAATCAAATATTACGGTTCTACCTCATGTGATTCTTTGTCGCTGTACAATACCTACCTCTTATGGCACCATGGGCAGACGTGGGGTCTCAATCCAGTGTGAATGAATTGGTGCTTTTTAAGCAAGAACTTGTTCGAGAAGCTTTTGTTGCAATCAGGCTCAGTGCAATCGTATCGTTTTCCTGAATTATAGTCAAATTAAAATTTGAGAAAAACTATCGGGTTTAATCACCTGAGCTGTTTTTGGAAGATGAAGTGCCTTTAGATTGAGACTTGTTTTCAACTTGGAATTCTTCCATGTCAGTTTGTTCAGATGGGGATGGCGGAGTTTCAGTATCATCGCTTTCAACGTCGATGTTTTCTTCGCGTGTTGGTGAGTTGCTCGCATCCGACTGACTTTGATTGTGGTCGACCCTGAAAAGTAGTGATATATAAACACAAGTTAATTGAATCGTGAACAGTTCGCTGCGGCGTTCTATTTGTAATCAATCTTCTTAATTAACTTGCCGCTTTCTATCTCTCACTCACTACAGTAACCCGCCCTCAATCCTCTCTCTCTCGAGAAATGGTTTTGATTATCAATGTCTATAAGTGGACATCCCCCCGAATAACTAACTTGTTATGGTCAGTTAATTGGAGTAAAATAATTTCGTTGTGAGGGCAGGGTGGTAAAAAAAGGGCGGCCGATCAAAAGAATTGAGATGGCTATCACTAAATCTAACACAAGTTTTCACATCGAATTAGCGTTAGCGTTTCTCATGCTGTTTAATTGCACATTGAATGCTGCTCAAGGGCGTTAAGAATTCATTACTCAATTAATCGCCTACTAGAGGGATAGATAGATCGATTCATTGATTGATTGAAATGTGTCAATTAATTCTGTCGCGTTATTATCCGTCATCGGAAAGTGAAAATCTCGACGACCACAATTGTTAGTTTGCCTCACTCTGACTAGGTAATATTGAAATATTGTGAGTGAATGTACCAATCAAAGCCTACGATACGGTGAGGTACAGTAATACCGCCGCACACATTTAAAACAAAAGGAATGAATCATATGGAAGCGCCTACTGATACTTTCATTTCTATTGCAACCCGATGAGCCACAATAGGCACGATACGGAAGAAAGGAAAGACTCACCCTTGGAAGAAGTGGCTAAGTGTGTTTTGCTGGAGAAGTGCCATGTAGATTGGATTTTGAATTCCATTCATGGCGTTGTTATTCATCCAGTAAGACATCACTGTTGCTGGGTTGACCAATGGGAATTGGTATGACAACAACGGCGATGGCTGAGATGATCCCGATGAATAAGCCGCTGACATTGGCGGCGATGGTCGCGCCGGACTTGGGATCTTGTCAGTAACTCCTTCTTTTTCCTCCCTGATCTTCTTGTCGGAAAGCTTCTGAACGGTGTCTTCAAGACTGCGTTTTGTCTTTCTGCGAGAACTCTGAAGTATGAAACAATCAGTGAAACTATCAACAACGAAAAATGGGTTTTTGGTATTCATAGATATTCTATGGCTGGGAAATACGTGGGAACTCGTTCATGAATATCAAAAAGCAAATAATAAAATTTGAAAGGTCTTTTGTGTTCGAGAACACGAAATATATACTTACCTCAGTGCCAACGTTTGCCTTGCTAGACTGGACCTCTGGTGGAGAATTGACGCCTTCTGATTTGAGCGATGGGAACTTGTCCGGTGAAGTTGTCGAGCAGGTCGAGACGTCACACGACAGATTTTCGGGCAATGATGGTGAAGAAGAGGCCGCCTGAAAATTGAATGGTCGCGCTAATTAGGTGGAAATAAAAGAACGCCGCCGGTATTGATAATTGTCTTACCTCATTTTTCTTTCCCAGAATGTCTTCCACGAGAAGAGACGGACTTTTCCTACAATATGACCAGTAGAATTCGAGAATAAAAACGGACAGAATTACCTTTCAAAGCGCTCCAAAGCATATTGTTTCATGAGATAATGCATTCTCTCAATATATTCAGTGAGCTTTTCGGTATTCGTTGAAGTGTGTCCGCGTTTCTGAAGGTGCTCGACAATTGTAGAATACATCGATTCCACAAGTTTTCTGTCTTCGTCGTTGGACGACTGCATCTTGCGATGAACTGCAAAAATCGAATATTATTACAGTAAACATGTCAAAAAAATTGCAGTAGCATGAGTTACAAGGGTGGGCAATTGAGAAAACTGTAGTTCCTCAAAAAGGAGGCGCGGCGTCGGTCGAGAGAGAATCGGACAACGGTGGCGTTTGCCCGAGAATGCCCGTCCTCCTCTCCTCCTCCTTCGCGTCGACGATGTCGCGGCCCCCGCGAGAGGAGGGAGTTTCGAGCGAGGAAGGCCGAGGAACACACACATACATACATACAACAATACTAAAGAAGGCGTGTAAATGATAACTGTGCCACCTATGGCGTGTTGGAAACAAAAGATAGTAGTGAAGGCAATTGATGAAATTTGTGAACAGGTATGGTCTACCCAAAAACAACATTGAAGTGAAGCAAGCCACAGTGTATGTGTGAGTGCGTGGTGCAACACTGGCCACACCACCGGGCAACGACTGGTGGACACTTCGCACTTGGTGGGCTGTACCAATTGGGCGTGTCAATGCACAAATTTGCCAAAAGCAAATGTGTATGAGATGGACAAATTTAGCGAGAGGCAATTAGCGCTACCACCACAAGATTCAAAAGGATGTTAGATATATATACACTGTTCCGGCAACAAATAAATAATGAATTTAACAAAATTGAAGCAAGATATAAACATTTTAAATTATACAGATTATAACTCTTGATCGGTTCAATCGCTTTGCGATCTATATGATTAAATATTTTTTCTTTTAGAAGCTTGAATAGCTTATGGAGGCATATTTGAGAGGAAATTTTAAATCAATTTTATCGTTTCTAAATTTAATTGCCAAAATGTGTGGGGATTTCAATGTTAAAACCATGGCATACAATAAAAACGGTCGCCTCAAGTTGCATAATAGTCGATTTGAGTCATGTTCACACTCATTGTTACCAGGTGCAATCATTTTTTGGTGACCTAGTCTTCACTACGAGAGGTCGACACATCCACTCTTTTTTGTATGCAATCAAAAAGAGGAAGAGCAAAGTGTAAAATTGAATGTTGCGGGGGGAAACAATAATTCTTATAATCGTTAACATGAGCAGTCCGGCCGTCTCGCGACCGGTAGCACACGATTTCGCAGCGCGACATGCGAGATACATTTATGGGTTTCGACATCAAATATCGGTTATAACCAACTGGCACCGTCCCCAGCAGCATTTTATGCAATTCTCAGGTAATTGCGCGATATTTATATGGGAAAAATTTTGACGAAAATATCGGAGCGATATTTCACCTGTATTCTTCGCACATTTTGCGTAAAGATATAAACAATATCACCGGGCATTCCTGATATGTCAATCAACCATCTGTTCGCACCTTTCAGCTTCTCTTCTTATTGCACTATCTACGCGTGCATTGGTTCGCACATTGTATTCTTTTGGAGACAAGCATTATTTATTACATTGTGTCGGTATTAATAAAAGTGTCCACTGAAGTGAAACACATCTCAGAAAGGTGTCGTCACCTCAGAAAATGATTGACAGTTGAGCAATAAAGACGAGAAGGATGTCCGACTAATTTGTCACTGTAGTAATAAAACAGTATATTGTCTCAAAATTGATTCAAATTTCATGAAAATATTTTACGAAAAGTTGGAACTTTTCACTGCATTTATGCATTTATGATTATTAAAATGAAGAAGCTGAATTGAATACCGATTTTGATGCTGTCTACGTATTTGTTTACATTTACATTTAAACAACCATTGAAACGAAATGTTTGATATCTAAAAATATAGACCAAACTTCGTCTGACATGATAATGAAATAAGGTTTAAAAATCAAGCAAAAATACAAATATGAGTTTGAGATCAATTTAAATATATCACTTTTTATCTCAAAACTATTTCAACAAAAAAAAAAACATTATTTTAGATCAAAGAAAACAAGAAAATAATTCTAGCCGCCTAGCCAATGTTCAATGTTGTAAATTCTACGTTCAAATGAAATAAAAAAAAAAATTATTATAATTTATATCAGCCACGAATAGCCTCATAAATAAAATTAACTTTTAAATGCTATATATTTTACTTAGTGTGCGTTTTCACCTAAAAAAAAAAAGTATGATATATTTTCTGTGCACACAAATCATTGTATTTCTTTTAGATATTTAAATGTGTGTTTAGTCTAATCAAAAGTCTCTTACTTTTGAGTAAACGAAAAATGATGGTAAACTATTCGATAATTAGGATAGAAAACGAAAAAATAAACGATATTATAGGTACGTGAAACAATAGAGACACCCCCTTATTGTTTTATGGGAATTTACACATGATGAGGTCAAAAATGTTACAAATACCCATTGTGTCTAATTAGTTTTTCATTTTTTAAAACTACAAGCTGTTAATTAATAATTCCATGACAATTATTTAATGGCATTTTGCATTGTAGTTTTAACGTTAATTTTTTTCATTCCTAATTACCTTTTTTTAATGGAAAAGCGCCGATCTCAACACTCGTACTTCAACAAATCTCACATTGCAAAGAAGCAGAGGGAACGCATTTCTCGGCGCGCTCCTTCCGAATAGTGAGCGCATTCAACTACTCTGTCTCTCAGCGCCCTTATAGCTCAGTGGCAGAGCGTTGGTCTTGTAAACCAAAGGTCCGTAGTTCAATCCTGCGTGGGGGCAGAACACTTTTGCCAAATTTGAAACATTTAAAATGTAAATTTATATATCCAGATATATCAACTTGTAAACTGAATAAAATATTGGATCCAGAAATGTTTATAAAATATAAAAACAAACGCTGTTGTGGGAAGAAATGATAGATTATGGACCTATTCAGCGTACATATTCATTTTTAGCGTCGAATTTGATAAATTTGAACTAAGTTTATGACAAAATCGATAATTTTGCAAACGCTGAATAGATCCATTATAAAATGATGTTGGCTCGTGAGGAACTATTTTAAACCGACAAAACACATTGAATATGATTCAGCCAAACGCAAACACGGAATGCTCCTCACTAATCGCAACAGATTCCATGAAAATAACTTTGTTTGGTGAATCTGTAGTAACGTAAATGGCGATTCTTAAAATGGGGACAACGAATTATCAATCTTATAAAGCAAAAGGTTAGTAAAGACGAAAAAAGAAAATCAAATTCGATAAAAATTTCATGCTTATGCACATCGGATTTTCCTGGTCATTAGTTTGGAAAAAATATGACCAAACACAATAGGTATATATTCGTAGCTTTTTTTTTTAATAAAAATAGGTACGTCGCTATTGTAATTATAACATGATCGAGTGAAGATAGGTTAGAATAAATAGACCAACAAAATTATAACTCATAATCGGAAAGAAGTAAAAATAGATAAAATTCCAAGAAATAATAACTTATTTTTTGATCACGAGAACTGTCTGAAATTATGCGTAACAGCGTATTGCGTCCATTTATAAAAAAAAGCTCAGAGTGATCGGAATACCATTGACAAAATTATACGCAAAACCATGAATTTATCCACGAAACATTCTATCCAGATTTTGCAGTTTTTTTTCAATAACACAAAAATCTGACATCATTTCACTTAATATTTTCAATAAAAAACCATTGAGGTATGATAATGAGCATTGATAATCTATTTGTTTTCTAACAAAATCAGCATCGTTTTAAATTTTGTGAGTTGTTGTGTTTGAAAAAAGTTCGAGACGCACCCACCACAAACCGCTGAGTTCATATGGTGAAAAAAAATCAACGTTGGAATGGAAGACAAACTTGCTTTTCAAGGCTTAACTATTCATCAAACACTGACCCTTTTGGCGTTTTTTGAAACTCTATCGAAAATATACTATTCCGAAACTTTTGCACTATGTATGAATAGAAGAGAACAGAGGAACATAAAGATTGAAAAAAGGAGTTTAAAAACGATTTATAAAAATTCATGAAGACTTTGGAATTTAAAACGGGTTTATAATAAAGTAGGTATATTTGATAATTTCATTAATTATTAAATTATAACGAATCGAAATGTTTCTTTATTATGATAAATCTTGCAATTTTATCCTAAATTTTACGCAATAAACATTTCGTTCCCGTTTCCTTCATACCGTATCCAGACGTGCTAATCTACACAGGATATCTGATTTGCCTATTTCACACATATTGAGGAACGTCTGTAAATGAGTGAGGGTTTTGAGTAGCCGCTGGTTCACAGCGTGTCGCCTGTTATTTGACGTTAACGCAAAAGTGACGACGAAATGACTTGTTGAGAAAAATATGATCCAGGCCACGGAGGAGGGGGGCATTCCCATATATCTACAAAAAATTGGAAAACATTTTTCCTTCATAATCTTATATATTTGTCCTGATTTCTGTGGGATATATTTGAAAAAATTTAAATAATGTTGACTTTTTAAATTTATAATATAAATTATGTATCTTTAAAGCTTCAAAGTCTTATTGGGCTAAAAAACAACTTTATCTTTTATTGAGATAAATCAAGACGGGACATTGAAAAGACAAAAAAAGAAAAAAAAAAACTTTTTGAACAATTAACTGAATACGAAATTGGCAATATACTTATGGTAACCAATTTATTTTTTACTCAAATAATACCCTCCCCTACCCAAACTCAATGTGCCGCTAAAACCGCACACATTAATTATATGATCAAGTGATAAAGAAAAAATAATCAAATTATCGTTTTTCTATAAACGTAAACGTGTCATAAATAGGATAGATGTTTTCACACATTTACCATTTTCGGATATTTAAAACATTAAATGTTAATAATAAAAACCAAAATATTAAAAATAAGTAAATAAAAAGATATGTTTTTGGAAAATTTTTTTAGATAGGTTGATATCTTTAATATATTTAGTAAATACTCATAACAAAAAATGTAATCGGTTGATGTGTAACACTTTAAATTTGAAATCGCTCAAAATAAACAGAAATGAACAGAATTATAGTTGCGTGTAAAATTTGAAAATGCAATTAATCAAGCTTACACCGTCAAATTGATTTCATGTGACGTATATAATTGATTAATAAAACGTTTAATCAGAAATAAATTTCAGATTTAGAATCCCACTGCAATTTTTATTTGGAATAAACGATCTTTTGCTTTTGTTTTTTTTTTTTAAAACATGTCTGGCCTTATTTTGGCAACGGGACTTAATAACATGTTTGAAAATATTGCGATTTTTCCGTTTGATTTGTGAGAACAAGGAGCCCAGAGAGCACCGCTAATTGCTCCAACTGTCATCTAACAAGGTCAAAATTTCTAATTTTCATCTGTACATAATATTACTCGTTAGTTCCTTGTGTCGGATCAAAACATTCATCGGCTACAAATATAAGCTCACGGTCTCCGTTCAATTGCCGTATTTACATTTGCCGTGTCGCGGTTTCTTTCTTGCGCAAATCAAACCGTCTTTTCTATTTTTTTTTCTTTTCTATTCTCGGCGTTTCCTAAACCACTTCAACGCTTTTGTTCAGTTTGAATAAAATCGCATTATAAGGAATAATTCATAAATGAATTTTGGAGAAAATTCTGGCATATATCCAAAAATTTCACAATTTCATTTTTTTTTTCAATTTGTTCTTACAATTTTTGATGAAACGAACATGACGAAAAAATTCCGGAAACACATAAAAATTGAAATATTCTTTGTTTTCTTTGTTAATAACCACAAGTGTGCTCGCGGCCCACATATTTTTTCCGAGTTCTGTCCACATTTTTTTTTGCAAGCCGGTTTTGTTTGTTCATAATTTTACTTCCTTTTCAATTATACGTATTTTTCCTTTTTTAATATCAAAAATTTTCAAAAAATAAAACAAAACAGTATGCCTATTGTTTCTAATAACTAAATAACATGAAACCAAAACAATGATATTTCAATAATTTGCAAAATTTCCCATCTTTACCATAAAAACCGCGTTTCAAAAACAAACGGCATTCAAAACACAATGCCAGTGAACGTATGACATGACATTTTTCATATGAATATTCATGTTGCTTGCAAAACTTCGACATGAGAAATCGATAATATTGTCGAGCAGAGTGCCCGTTATCAAAAAACAAACATTAGTATGTGTTCGTGGCACAAAATTGCGCGATTCTTTCATTAATTTGCATGTGGGCGAAGCGGACTCATTATTTCGGCTGTGCGCGTCGATCCCAGCGGCTATGCGTCCATTTTCGTCGATAACCAGCGCGATGCAAGCTGAACCCGTTTGCCGGCTCTGCGGCCGTTGCTCAGGGCCCTCGCTTCTCTCCAATTTCGCATTTCTCTGCGTTTCTTCATAGCGTATGTCATTCGTTATTCCTTAAAAAGTATACGTCATTTTCTCTGGAAAATCACTTTTTTTGTCTAAAAGAAGAAACTTGTTTGTTTTTACTATACCACATTTCTTTTTCCGATGTGGGGTCCATTCAGGGGGTTTTTCTTTTTAAATAAATTTCAAATTCTTGTTGGTGAAATGACGTTTTATTAGCTTATAGCTTCAATAAACGAACGATGCATTCAATAATTCATCCTCAAAATATATTTCTATTTTTATTTTAAATATGTATTTATTTGTATGCTCACCTGCTATTTCTCGGTGTGATGTCCACTATGTAATTCATTTTTGTTTAATTTCAGTATTCAAAAATGATGAGCGAAGAGGAAGCCGGCGATTTATTGGTCTCCTTAGAAGAAACGTTGAAATCTCAAAATTCGGAGGACACAAAAGAGGTCAACGATACATTGGATTTCTGTGAGTTCAAGACATTATTACGTAATAATTTTTCTGGTTTTCAGACGACACTATGTCTGAAACGGAATGGAAAAGTGCAAGACTTTCATCAAGCCACAGTGACGAATTGGGGTATAAATAATAAAAAAAATAAAAAAAAACTGCAATATATTTAAAAAAAACGAGATAAATGCATCATACCTATGCCATAAAATTGAATTGTCAAAACATAATGTCAAATAGGAAAGCGAAAAGGGCAGATTAGGAAATGTGACCAAAAAGAGATTACCAACTCTAACTTTGTATTTGAGCAACACAGCGAATATCCAAAAATATCTTACCAAAATAATTATTCATAATTAAGGGGAACTCTACTAACATAAGATTATAAGTGAGAAAGCAAATTAACGAATTTTATATGTGTCTGCATCCTTTAATTTTTATTTTCCATGTAAATATTTAAGTACAATATGGATTCACAAAAATGTGAGAAATGAGAAACTCTTCTTCCATAAAATCAGTATGTGAAAATATTGAATTGGCAGGTTTGCCAGTTGCTATGATACGTTCTACATTTCAATTTTTATAATGCTGCCTCGATTTTATAATATTACTGTTATTATTTAGCTACGATTGTAAGAGTTACTTTATTAATTTGCCAACGGCGAATCATGTCTTTTACAGAAGTCTGAACGACACACTGAGGGTCCAGCAATTGGAAGAAGAGCAGGAGCGCCTCAACAATTCATTATTCTCTCTTAGTTCTCATTTCGCTCAAGTGCAATTCCGAATCAAACAGATGAACGAAGCGAATCCAGAAGATAGAGAGGTGAATCAATATTGTTTTATATGTTCACGTCATAACTAAAAGCAATGTTTAGCGAATGCTCAAAGAATTACAAGAATTTGCGTTCAAAGGTTGCGCCGATATGCACGAATTGAAAAGAATGCGAAGCGAGAGTGAGGGTGGAAGCGACGTTTTAGAGAAACAGAGAGAGAGGTTTTTTGTGAAAACACAAAAAAAGCTATTCTAAAATCAATACATTTAAGACAAAATGAATTGTTGAAACAATTGAGAGAGCAGGTTGAAGATTTGGAGAGGATTGCTTACGAAAATGGCGAGGGAAACATGCCAAGCACATTGATCCTTCAGAAGCAGGTATGCGCGAGTGAAAACGAATAATCGAAAATGACAAGTTCATTTTAAGAAAGCCGTTTTGGACAAGTTGCGTGAGAAAGTAGAATTAAATCTCGACATGGATAAAATGTCGCAAGCAGAAATTCAAAAACACGTTGATGAAGCTTTGAAACAAATGCTCAACCCTTTTAAAGAGCAAGAGCAGCTTGTTGATCAACTCCAGACTCAAATTATTGATTTGGAACGATTTGTAAATTTTTTGCAAAAAGAAAGTAGTGAGAGTTCTAGTCAAAGCACTCCGGTTAGAGTAAGTTCGAAACATTTTTGTGATATTACTATTTTTTTTAGTCATTCGGATCATCTCTGATTGCTGCTGCAAAACCAAAACAAGTTAATAGTATATTCGGTTTGATGGGATGCTCTGCTGGAAGGTTCCAGAAAAATCAATTGAAAGCATCATTGAAAGGAAATCATTATGGGTAAGCAATAGTGAAACTATTCAAAATCATTGAAACGGTTTAGAGACGAAAGGGCCCATTTACAATTGGCGGTCGACGCAACTCAACAAGTTTTGGAAAAATATACGCTTCTCTCCGTTGATAATAGCGTTAAAGAAGAGCCTTGTGAGATTGAAGTTGAAAATGATGTAAGCTAATATATACATGTATACATTCGCTTAAAACGAGTTTAGGATGTTTTCGAAAGATCCGAAGAAGAAGTTGTTAGTGTTGTACGCAAACAGCTTTGTCCTGCACTTAAAGCATTACTAGAGCATGGAATGCTCCAGGAAACCGTCGTAAACAGAAGAATTCCGGGCTTTGGTTGCTTTATTGGCAAACCCGAGAACAATAATTTTGACAAACCAACAAAACTTGGCCACATTTGGGATGTTATTATGTTTTTCTACACTATTAAAAGTGGTATAGACACCACAGATGCCCCAGTAAGAAAGCTAAGTCAGTCGTTCAAGTTGGAAAGTGTTGGTGGAAAAAGCATTACGTCTAAACAGGTATCATTGAAATATTAATGTAGTAACATGAATATCGAATGGTTTAGATTCTTTTAACAACAATCGAAAACATTGTTTCAACGCATGCAAAATTGAGGCGATCCAAAGATGCGCATTGGAAGGCGTTTGTTTCAGCTGCAATGAATGAGAAGAAGCTTCCAGCTTGGTTGAGGTAAAATTTGTTTTATGAACCCGAATTGTATCTACTATTTATTGAAATTGTTTTCCGCATTATTGTGTAATTTGTAGCTCTATTCGCAAATTTAGTTGTTTCCTACTTGAGCAACCGCATCTTCTTGTTCCTATTCTTTCTCCGCAAACATGAAGATACTTCTTTTCAGAATAATTTTCCGCACAAGGCAAGTTGTAGAAATGTGTTACAATTCTTGGAGTTATGTTGCCCGAACAGGTTTCAAACAATTCATTTTCAAATGCAATCTTATTCGAATTCAATTTAGGGTGTGAGGAACTTTACACGTTTCTGGAAGGTCTTCACAAGTACAACGTTCATCTTCCTGTTGATTTGGCTCTTCGGCCGTTTGAGCAAATGAAAGATGCGTTCTAAGACATTTATATATATATATATATATATATATATATATATATATATATATATATATATATATATATATATATATATATATATATATATATATATATATATATATATATATATATATATATATATATATTGGCCGTTGGTGTTTAATCCAACATGTCTTTTTTGCTGCATTTTAGTCATTCTGTTTATTAGTGTTCGATTTGACTAGCATATGCCAATAATTGTCTTACCATCTAGTCATTCTACATTCTCTCCTTTTACTGGTGGATGGTGATAATCTAAACTATCAAAAATTGAAAAATACATGTAAAAAAATAATCAACCGCATATTTGAGGTCTAAATAAAATATTGCCCGTGCTAGTGATTTTTTAGTGATTGTGCTCGTTTCACCGAAAGCTGTTTATTTTTTGTTTTTATTCGTCGATGTTCGAACATCAACTTTTTATAGCAAAAATCTATTCGGATTCAGTGAACAATTGGTAAGATTTAATGCATGAATTGAAACAATTACAAGTTTGCTTCTGGTTAAAATTTCATAATATTTTCAATTTTGTTAAACAAACTTTTTATATATAGTTAAAGGTTTCATGATATGATTTTCAAACTACATTGAATATCAATAAAAAAAGGAAACCAATATCGAGCGAATTTGAAATATGGTTACATCTGGTGTGAGGTCAAACTTTGCCAGATTTTATTTCTTTCTTCTTCTGAGTATTCCACGGTCGTAGGCACTTAAGATTTTTTCTTCTAAAACAAAATTGTAATTTTTTCTAGACTTTATTTTTTTCTAATAGCGGTGTTTTATGAATACTGCTTTTCAGTTGCTGACCTGAAAAAATAGATCCGATTGAAAGAAATACTCATTATTGTACAACAAATCTCGCGTTGGGTCTCGCCCATTATTATGTATGATTCTTGCTAATAATAACTCTTGATGTTCGATATTAATGTGATGTCCGTGTACAACAATAATTAATACATAGGTTAATCCAAACAAAAAATTGTTGAAAAGATTAATTGCACTGCCTTTAGTAGTTTTGTCGTTTTCGACTGGTTTAATTCATATATCCCGATGGCGGCCGAGTTCTATGACGAGTTCCCATTAACATTCTTCATTTTATTTAAAAACACGTCAGTTTAATACATTATGTACAACTTATATTCCATGACTAATCAAACATTAGAATTGAAGGTTTCACTTTTTACATTATTTTCGTTGATTGCTCTAAATGCAAACTATTAATTACTAATTGTGATATATCATTCAACTATTCGCTGAATTAAAAAAAATCAACATTAAGACTCTAGACAATTAATCATTGTGAGGAAGTCGAATTCATTGGATTAGAAGCGGGCGAAGTACCGCGTCGTTTGGAATTTTCGAACTAGGGTCGCACTAGTATTTTCCGCCATATGTTTATTTAGTTTCCAACATTCAATATTTGAGGCTTGGTTAAAATGACAGAAACAATACATATGTTTTGAAACACAAAATTACGAAACCATTGGCTTTTTGGTATTTTCAATTTTTTACTAAGAAAATTTGTAATCTGACAGAGAGATTCTGCTTTTCGAGATATAGAATAAATTATTAAAGAATTATGACTGCAATTTTTATACTAAGAAATATTATTTTTTCGAGCATTTTCAAATATGTTATTTCCAATCTACTGGTTTGGTTTTCTTTTTGATATTGTTTAGTTTCAACCAATATATATATTTCTATTTATTTACAATTCGTCATTTTATCCGAACTTTTTTTGATCCCACGCATTTTGAAGAGTTCGACGTTAAATATGCATAACACCTGAATATGAGAGCAGCGAAAAAAAAGCAATTATTCGCCGAAACATTTCACCATATGCCATGATGTCAAATGCATAACAACGCTCTATTGTACGGTTTTTGTCACTGATTTTGTGTTAGTTAGACTGACTTGATCGGCGATTGTTTCGTGCGTCTCTGTGTGTATATATATATATAAACATGGGTGTGTACGCGTCCAGCAATTCATTCAACGCCTACATCCAACCTCTAGGTTTTCTTTCCCATTTCTCTCCCCATTTCCGTTACTAATATGAAGGAAGAAAACATTTAATGATAAAAAACCCTATCTTCTGTTCATTTTTTGTGTCCTGTTTTCCTCGTAAAATTGCTGCTACTTGCCGAGCAATGATTTCACAACAACTGCAACTGCGATTTTTCCTCACGTTTGTCCCACGCTCTCATCAATTTCAACCAAAAGATTTATCTTTGAGAACCTACTAATTCATTCATTATATATGACCCTACGAATGTTGTTTACTCCTTATTTGTCGGAAAATATAACCAGCCTTATTTTTGTCATGCTTCCATTTGCCAATGGCCGCTTCATGAGAGATCGAGAGAATTAGGCATCAATAGTTTATTGTTTGTTTGATCACGTTTATTGACTTTCGTTAAAAAAAAAACTAATGAACATTGCTTACCGGATTTCGATACCAGCATCAATCAAGTGCGTACAATTTTATAAAGGTCGTGTGTCTCGGTTGAACACCAACTGACACACTTTTTTTTTCGAGGAATGGATATAGTCATTTCGATCTTCATTCTTTGCAACATGACTTGTAAAACAGGAGGCCGCATCCCATGACTTTTTTCCTCCAAAAAACAACCCATTGCTGCAATTAAATTATCTGTCCGTCACTCAACGATTAGTATCATTTACGAACAAATGAAACAGAACAGTCATTTTCTTCACAATGTACTTCATGCAAAACGAGAACATTTCGGACGCTCTTCAAATCGTTACAAGTCAACAGCAATAGTTATTAATTTTGAATTGATCCGGCGTTTCGCTTTTTAATCTCTAGTTTAAGCAGTGAATACATTTTTTTTATATATTAGTTCTTTCATATATTACGTCAGCACCGTTTTTCACGAAACTCTAAATTTCCACGTTTTATTGAAAATAAACAAAGAAAAAGCATTGAAAACGCTCTGTTGGCTGCGAACTTTTTTATCGTTGTCTAAATGTAATGGTTTTTGTAAAAAAAATATCTTCATGTTGCGTTTTCCTTTTATTTTCATTTTTTCCAATATTTGTCATTGTTTCAAAGAATAATCGTGTTTTTTTCATACCACTGTTTTTCTCTTTCAAAACAAACACTCCGTTTTTCTCGTCACTATTATCATTTGACATCATAAAAACTTGAACATTTTTCTTCTAATACTTTTATAAATTTACTCAATTAAATGAATATATGATAAGTGGTGCTGCACGAAATGTACATTTGGTAGTTGAGAATCATAAATTTTTAATGCCGTATAACGTTTATGGTTGTTGGTACATTCAATTAGTTTCAGCAAAGCTCAATCATGGGAGATGATAAAACCACCGATGATTCGAACTTTCGTTCGCTGTTAAAAGGCACGCCCTTCAAGTCGAATGAGAAAGTAAGCTAATTATGGAAATGTTTTGTGATGACGTGTTCGCTGAAATCATAATCTACTTAACAACTCAAAACAGGAGGAGTTTTTTTTTGAACAACATGTACACTCAATATATATATATATATATATATATATATATATATATATATATATATATATATATATATATATATATATATATGCGTTGAGGAGCGTGTAGATTTTTGATCGCGTTTAGTTTATAAACCGGAATTATTCCTTTTGTTTTCAGATAACATCAATTGCCGGCACGATCACTAATTTGTTCATCGGTACATCTCTTGGATTTGTATACAACGCCAGCAAAGACAATGTTTCCGATGGTGAATTTCGTTACACTGGAGTTGTTCGAGTTTCCGTGAGTTTCAAACAAGTGCCTATTTCGAGAAAATATTGGTTCTGGATACATACATTACAAATGAATGAGCACGAATGAAAAGAAGAGAAAATTTGAATTGCGCATTTTTTAAAAGCAAAACTGAATCAGGAACTAGTCTCTTTTCAATTACTTAAGTTTCAACCACTCATATCATGAATACATTATTATTACTGGGTTTCTAAGTATTATGAGGTGAAGTGGCGTCACAATCTTTTAGTGAACCATATTATTATATGCTCGAAACCATCATCACACACCTCGCTTCGTCTTTGATCATAATAATGTTCAGACCAAACCTCATTATTCCTACGGCTCTTCCAACGAGAAATGTAATGTGCGTAAATGCATTAGAAAATTCATTGCTCTTCTTTTTTTCAATGCTGTGTTGTTCATGAAAACATCAACCCAAATATCGAAACCCATCTTCAGTATATAATAACAAACATTTCCTTAATGTGCAAGGCATTATTTTCTAAGTCATTCCCTAGTCTTACTAGCATTACTAGAATTAGAACATTTTCAGCATGACCACACTATTAACTTAATAACTTTTCATCAAGTTAATGTGTTGGTGTAATCTGTGTGAAAAACCAAAAGCTGCTATTGAATACTTCGCTATTCTTATTAACTTCGTATAGTCGTATTTTTCTGAAAAAAAAATTGTGTATCCGGGCCATACATTTTCCGCTATGTCTTCCTATCACACAAATTTAATAGAGCAGTATAACGCGTGTCTCTTCAAAGATTAAAACTCTCACACGAACAAATGCAACATTTATTAGCGTCCTTTTTTTATCAAATTCAACAAGTTCGATTAGTTTTAGTTTGAACACTAATTAAACCCGAAAATGCAAATTTTCTTCTATTTATGATGGGGGAAAACTTCTCTAAACCCTTAAGGTTTGAAATATATTATGATAGAAGAATTTCCTCTATTATTCATGAATATGTATTGCCATGTAAGCATCATTTCAGAATGCTCCGGTCACGCAAATAGAGCATCTTTCCGCTCTTGAGTTGTTGATGGTTATCAGTGGAACAACACTTTCGGAAATTAGTCTCAATCTTGCTACTTTCTTTGAGGTATTCTTAGCTATAGGTCTCGAGAGGAAATTAGTTTTTTTTCATTTGAGACCACCGTTTTACGCAAAAATGTTTGTTGCATTTCGCTAAACTCGAATCCATTATTTGATCACGATGATCCGTTCACGGTTCACCTCGCAATGGGCGGTGGAAAGAGTATTTATCTGTGCAAGAAAAGTTCGGAAAAGTCATTAAAACTTTATCAAAAAATCAATTGCACCGAAGTAGTCAGGACAATTGAATATTCCAAGTTAGTCTATCTACTGAAAAATATTAATTAATTTGTTATTTTTACAGTAATACCGTTTGCTATGCTACAGACACTTCATACTATATCCATGATGCCTTAAAAAATGTCACAACTACATTGTTTCCCGTTGATTATACATCAAAAACAGAAATTCGAAAAATCAATTCCGTGTGTTAAAAAAAACCCATTCTTATTGATAATATATTATACTATTTTAGAACGAATTCGCGTTATTCTCCTCTGGCCTTGCAATGATTGTGAATTGTGAGGGTATCAGTACAAAACCTCCTCTGCTGTTCGATGATTCTACAATTCTGTCGTCATGTTATAGATCACCAAACATTTTCCTTCTTTGCAAACAAAGCCTTACTAGCTTTGGGTAAGATATAATTTCTGTTGAATTCTGTGAAGATTGCGAACCTGTGTACATGTTTCGAAAATATTGCGCATGTGAGGTGCTTTGAATGAGCGAAAGCCGACTAAACCAATTTCACCGACCGACTCGTCCGAGTATTTTTTTCAAGTTCTTTTTTCTCTCGGACATCCGCTCCTATGAGATATGTTAGTTGGCCGAGCATAATTAGTACGTGTACACATGTCGTTTTTTGTTGTTTTGAAACGCGAAATGTATATTTGAAGAATCGACGATGTTGTAATGGATGAGATGCTTCCGAATAGCTGCGATCTAAACGTCATTGCCAATATTGAAGGAGAGATTTTGGTATGCAACGCGAATGAAGTGTTTATGTTGGCGCAAGCGAGTTTCAAGAGCCGTGTTGATCGCTTAATTGCGAAAGGACAACTCGAAAAGGCGCTCAAAGAATGCGAAGTCGAGTATCAGAAAGTGCCAGAGGACAATATTATTGAGGTAGGAATGGTTTCTTAATAATTTCGTAACATATCCAAATAACACTGAACGTAACTCACAGTCAGGCAAATCGACGATTTGACTTTTTTCTGATCCGTGTTTAGAAAAAAGTACATTCGAAATTTCAGCTTGTCCGCGAAATAAAACAAAAATTGGCATTCAAAATGATTGACGAACAAGATTGGAACAATGCCTATCAATACTTAATGAGTGGTTTGGTCAACCCATTGCAGGTTTCCATTCTCAATCAACGTTTTATGCTCATTTCGGGTTTTCAGGTTGTTGAAAAATATGAAAAGGATGGTCTTCAAAACCTTGAGTTCTTGGAACTCTACCTTTCCGACGTCCAGAAACTGCCGTTTGTTGATGCTGCAATAAAAAAGGTACGTCTTATTTCAATGATTTAATATTTGGGAATTTTTTTTTAGAAAATTGACGAAACTCGCATAAAACATTCAATTTTCATCGAAATGGAAAAATGGACTCCTGGCAATCATTTGACAATGGCCAACATTTTAAAGGAACAGAAAGGGAGTGCCGAAAAAATTGCAATGCATTTGATGGCGGCTCATCAAACTGATGAGGCTATGCGTGTCTGGGAGACAATTCCAAACTTTGATCCGGAAGAGGCGATATCTACGCTGAAGTTTATCGATGAAAAGGCCGAGAGAGTTAAACTTTTGAAATGGTTTCTCGACCACAAATGGGAATCATATGTTTTTCAGGTATATTTTGATGCAACCTTATTCAAATAACTTTATAGTTACAGTATTTGAAATTTTCTGATTTCACACCTCTTGAACAAGCTGCAATTTTTGAAAAATCTCCTTGTGACAGCACTTACGAGTCCTGGCTCAAAGACAATTACCATTTGCCTGAAATTTTGCCAAAATATGTTTCTTTCCTTTGTGAGAGAACGTTGCAAACTGGCTCCGAAGGCCGACGGGAACTGCGTCATGTTTTACTCAATTTTGTTGGAAAATGTCAGAAAATCGACGATGAAGTGAAGCGTAATTTGAACGTGAACGGTTTCACAATGGAGACGCGCATTATTGAGTATAAAGTGAGACACAACCCATTTGACAACTAGTCAATTGTTACTTCAGCCAACCGCTGAATACGCGGAACGAACTATCGATCTCCTTCTTAACGAGGAGGATTGTGAATCAGCTGAAATATACGTGGAAATATATTCCAGCGAATATCCATCCCTTATTCGGAGACTTTTCTCGTATTACAAAGAGAATCCAAATATCCCTGATTGCCGCGAGAAGATGGGAAGGTGCTTGGCTGGAATTAAAAATAGTGTTGTGGCTCTTGAAATTTTAAATCAAGTTCCAAATGATCTGAAAATGAAAGAGGTATGATTATATGTATAATTGCTTTCTGAAAATTATAATTTTAGACAAATGACAGTTTGAAGAATATCATTTATCATAAAATTGACAAGTTTGATAATGATGTTCTACAAAAGGCAGCACAACACAAATTCATCAAATCTCTTGCTGGTGATGAATTCAGACCAGTTCGTGTATGTTTTAAAACATTAGCAATTTATGCATTTTGCATTTTTAGATAGAAGAAAGCGCGATTTGTGAAGCCTGCAATAGAGATTTACAGCTATCCCCTGGAAATGTAACGTATCTTCCGTCCGGCTATGTAATTCATACCAGTTGCATTAGATATCCAGGCTTATGTCCCGTTACAAATATGATCTTTAACGCTTAAGATTAGTAACTGAAAGTTTTTTATTCAGTTGTCAAAATTTTACCTACTTTTTTAAAATTTTATCTTATATATTCACATTTTTATCTTATATATTCACATTTTTTTTAATCAAATTGAAGAAGTTATTGTAAGAAGCGGAAACGATGTCATCATTGTTTTCTCTTCTTTTGGGATTGATGGAGTTCCATTGGTGATTCTCACTAATTTTAACGTTAATGAGGCCATTTTCAATGTTTCTCCACCAATTACAAATGCATCAGGGCAGCATTCTTTCGATTTGTTTCATTTTGTTTGTAAAATTTTATTTTTTTGCATCATTTTTATGTCTCATCTTATTTAGTAGCAACGTGTCGTCACACAATTATGGTATTGTGAAATTGGTAATTATAATAGTTTTGTGTAAAAGTTAAACTCTCTTTCTTGTAAAAAGTACATATTACTTTGATGAAGATATGTTGTTGAAATCCATATGTACAAACAAATAAATAAATTAGTCGGTTGAGATTACCCAAAGAGATCGGTTAGGACATTGGTGATGTAATTGATTGGTGATGCCTTTCTGCATTTCGACCAGTCGGCATAGTGAATTGTAGAACTTCTAGAAACCAATCCACAACATGATAGCAAGGATATTACAAGTCTCACCCGGTCATATCGTTCATGAATCCTTCTTTGTATAGTTCGTTTTCAAGCCGATCCTTGTATTTGTTATAGAAGACTCGAAGATCGCGAACAAGGCCAATCAGAGGGAATCTTGCCCAATTCGACAGAATAACATATTCATATTGTTTTGTTTGCTTATTTACCGGTCCGACGAGTACAATTTGGTCTGAAATTGTTGTAAATTGAGAATGAAAACGGAAATCTGAACAAACATGGGCACGGATCATCCTGCATGTACACATATGTGCGTTCATTGTGAATAATACCATACCCGAACGCAACTTTTTCGCCAGAGTTTTCACTTCCCGCGCGAAATTTCTCTTGAAGGCTGAATGCTGAACTATTTCCTGATTCTGCCTGTGGAAGAACTGCAAAACAACAACAACCATTATTCTACCTAGTTAGTATATTACATTCAGTGACAGCACAAAATCTATTATGGACGGATGGGGTATCAAGCGCCTGAAATTCAATTTTTCTAATGATCTCTTGATAAATGATCTACGAACCCATAGGAATTTGCCGTATAATGATTTCACGTCGACTTTTGGCGCCGGCAGCAAACTGGCTAGATAGTCTTGTGCGCCTGGGATATTACGCAACATATTTTGGAAGAAGCTTGGTGACCTTGATAAAACGCATTATAATTCGAATTGAGAAAACAAGATGAATTCACTTGTCTTTGATAAGCGGAGATCCGCGAGGAAGGCATGATCCAGCGCCTGGAAGACTTCCAACAACTCCTGGCAGAACTGGAAGCCCTTCGATAAAATTTACTTTTGGTAACCCTTCTTTGAGTCTGGAAGTATTCAATTCAAACCGTCTCATAGCAAATGACAATTTCTAACTTCTTATCCAACTTATTGTTTGGATTCTTCTGCACAGTTTGAAGGTAATTGATCAATCCAACTGATTGACTGAAAAAAATGAGGTTAAATGGAAATCATGTCGCTATACAAATTAAATAGGACAAATTGAAACCTCGCCAGGTCATGGAACGGCTGTCTTTCAACTGTTCCCGCATCTCCTGTTGACAATCCGAAGATCTCAAGTAGTTGGCCATTGGCGTTGGCAATAAATGTTAGTAAAATGAAGGGGATCATCGATGGGCGGCAATGCGAGCCAGATAATATAATGTGAGACTGGGGGTTTATCTGTCTCCTATTTCTATTCATACTAAACACCACCCTCTTCCGCCCTCTAGGGATTGAGAGAAAAGATGAATCGCGTGAAGGAATTGGAGAGAAAATAAGCCGGCTTTTTTACAATCACTGCCTTGTTGACCATCTTGTCACCTAGACACAGTGGTGACCATGGCTTACATCTCATCTGTTACGTTAATCCTATGATTCGATTTTCGACATTTCTTTATCTGAAATGAAATGAAAATATCGCACGAATCGGATGGAACAGTTGGGATCATAGAAAAAAATGATTGATACCAAATGAATAGCTGATAACGTTCTACGAAATAGATATAGCCAAATTGTAGTTCGAAACAGACTGATTATATGTTACCATAGCCAGTTGTAGTCATTATATTTTATAAAATTTAGCCAGGTTATAACACATTTCAAAAAATTCGACCTTGTAAAAGCAGGTCCTTGGAAAAAACAAGAAACACGTTTTAACTATTAACCAACTCTTGTTGGCTATTGCCTAATATTTAGCCTCAAAATTCCACATTTGTGACTCTTGTTGTTGTTAAAAATGAACTAGACTCAAATTTTGAAATCGTTGATAACGCTATATAATAACATTGATAAGAGCATATATTCCACTTTTCAGCCATACTCCTCATCATTCATGAGCATTATAATCGATCCTTGCGATTCCCTGGTTCATGAACATGTCCATATTTGGATTCGTGATCTAGAACCGAACACAATATACAGAGTTGAGCTCAGGTTGGCCAATAATTCTCATCAAATTTTGCGATGATCTCGTTCCAGACTACTTCACCCTATAGGAATTTACCGTTCCTTCGGTGTTTTTAAAACTAATGCAATTGGCGTCATCGATCTTTCGAAAGATAGTCCAATACGAGGAACATATGCAGGTCATTTTCGATATAATTATATAAAATTATTGTTTAATTATGGAGTTCAGGTGTCCGTCGAATGGGACTGTTTGAAAGTGTTGAGCCTACTGACACAATTCGTCAAGGAGCATATTGTAAATGCACACCTCCTGATGATTTCAACTATGAACTTAGGTAAGAAACTTTGCTATTTTAATATTGTGTAGATGATTCTTAGAGTTACAAGCTCGGACGGTGTTCTTCGTTGCTCGAAAACATTGAAAAAAAGATTACTCCACCCAAACGTTGAGCGCATTGAAATCGATCATCTCGTCAGCGACACGGAAGGTTTCGTTTTCTATAATTATGTGATAATTTAATCATTCTTTTAATCAGGAACATCATCAGTGATCAATTCGCGAAAAGTTGTTGGAACGCTGTTCAAGCCATTTGGGGATGGTCCGTTTCCAGCAGTCATCGATATATCTGGAACTGGTGGGGGAATTAATGAGCAAAAAGTGCGAGAACGTATCTGGCATGTGAATAATTAAATGAGATTATAGGGTGCGGCATTATCAAGTCGTGGTTTTTGTGTTCTCAGTTTAGCATTTTTTCAATACAAAAATTTACCAGAAGTAATGCAAAAAGTCGATGTTCAATATTTTGAGGTATTCATGTTTAAAACTTTATTGCTTCACCATTTATCACATAAAACAAAATTTTGTGCCTATGCCTGATAAACTCATTGCGACCTCATTTTGATGGAAATTTGGGTGTTTGATCACGAAAATTCAAAAAAGGATGAATAGTTACGCAATTTGTATTTCTCTTGATTTTTAAAAAAGTGTAAAAACGGTTTTATTGAAGGTTTTAAGTGTGAACATGAAATGTAAAAATAAAACTTGAATTTCTACAGGATGCTATCGATTTTATGCGTTCACTACCATTCACAACTGACAAAATTGGATTTCAAGGAGTTTCTTTTGGTGGAACACTCGCCATATATTTAAGCACATTGATCCCAACAGTTAATTTTATCTATAAGAAATCATTAATAACCATATTTAGATTAAAGCAGTGGTTTCAATCAACGGATCATATAGCATGGATAACATATCATACATCACGGTTCACGGCGAAATGCCAAAGGTTGCAGTGTTAGTTTCCGAAAATTAATAAAATAGTAATTGTTTCGTAATTATAGGTTTCCACAAGACGGGAAGAACTTGTATTTCTTGAATAGTTTGATGTGTTATGACAAGATGGTTCGAAATCTTGAATACAATTCCGATGCGCGGTTCAAATTGGAAAATTCGTCACCTGAAACGGTTTATCGATTTGTTTCGTCTTTGGATGACCTTTCAACTCCAACTATTTATGCAACAAACCTTCTAACTGCAAAACTGAAAAAATTAAAACGCGATTATGAGGTTCACTTTTTACCTGGAGGACACTTAATGGATCCACCGTGCTATCCAGCTCATCCCACAGTATTTGCGAAATTTGCAGGTTTATTATTACTTTTCACCAAAAGAGTTCCCATTTATTTACTTTTTGCTACAATTATTTTTTAGGCATGCATCAAGCTTATGGTGGAGATTTTGCTTTACACGGAAAGAGCCAATTCGAAGCATGGGAAGCAACTGTCGCATTCTTTAAGAAACATTTGTCTTCTGACGGCTCATCATTTACAACCACATCAAAAATTTAATTATTGTGTGTTCATATTCATTTTTAATACAATAAATATTTTCCCCCAATTTATAAGTGAAAAAAATGTTGCATTTGATCAAATTCATTTCGGCATTCATGCATGTACGTGCGCACGAATATATTGGAAAACCAACACAATTTGAAAAAAATACTGTTTGAATTGCAAACTCCCTATCAACTCATAGTCGCATTATTTCCATAAAAAAGAGATGAAATCGACCAATGATGAATCACGTACAAATAGGAACTATTGGCGTGTTGAGAGATCAACAGAAACACTTGTCAAATAGTTTTGCATAATTAAGGACGCATCCCAAACTAAAGCACGTATATGACATTATGCCGTAATCCTTCGTAAAACCCGAGAGCGGCTTATACGGTTCTTACGTGACGAGTATATTTGAATACAACCTGTTTTTATGTTCCAAACCGATAACTTTCAATGGAACAGACTATAGCCCCGTCAAGTTTTGACATTTTTTGTTGCGATTTCGTTTTATGATTTCAAACTAACGTTTTTTTGCAATCATTTATTATACAAACGCCGATTGGTGACAATGTTATCAAAGCTCAAACTGTCAATAAGAATTGAGTAGTGGAATATTTGATTTCCTGATTGAAAGTGTGCCTTAGAATATACAAACATGGTCAAAATGTTAAAGGAATTTATTTATATCAGGCTTTTTTCTTGAAAACAAACATTTTCAGATCAATCTAAATAAAGTTTGAATTCAAAGAAATGGCAGTATCATTATGACAAAATTTTCAATAAAATTTTTAATGTGAACTGAGTTTACATTTTGAATAGATAACTTTTAGGATGCAAGCGTTTTACTGTTGGCCGGACATTCCGCCAACAATGAAACTAATATAATGATATTGTACTCATGAGGCATGTGGCACATTGTCATTCGAATCAGTTTTTGATTACCACGAAATTTTTAATAAGTCTAAATCGTAAAAAAGCAATGAATTTATTTTGCTGACGGAAATTCCTTTTTGGCAAAAGGTTTCTGTCATCAAATTTATTATTGTAATCTTGATGTAATTTTGTGATTTTATAAACCAAATATAAGTATTTTTGCGCAGTAGTTTCATAATTGTAAACTTTTAATTTGATTTGCGTCGCACAATTTTTCATGTTCCCTTCAATCAATTTTATTTTTAATGATTCATCATTATCAGCTTTTTCAAAAAACCAACCACGCAATTGACTAATAAAGCAATGCAAATAACACCCAATAAGAACTGTTGGGTATTTATTTTGATATGAGCCTATCATTTTTTGTTGTTGTACATACGCCCATCGCATTTCCTCGCATCCCCGCCCCGTTCTGCATATATTTCGAGCATTTCCATCGTATTTACATTTCTCTATTTCGCGGTATACTGTAGTATCAGTTGAAAAATTGTTGCATGAATAGTTAGTTTCAACATTTACATGAGTCACAATTCAATTTCAAGACATTCCCGGGTAGTTCGGTATTTTTTTTTCTCTTTCCATAATTGTTGTCATATTTTCTATTCGATATGTTCAATACCAAAGAGAGAGAGAGGTGTTGGTTTCGAAACACCCCCCGTACCGCCCACAAAACGTTGCCTCTATAAAACCTTTAAACCCCTCTAAACAACTAAATTCTCGATTTACTCGCCTTATCGTTTCGTCCCATCTTATACTCCATGTTTTATCGTAACAGTTTACGTTCTTGTTTGAACCTGCGTTTGTACGGAAAACGCTTTTCAATCCATTCATATACATATACATACGCGAAATAATTTGGCCATTCCATCGGGCATGTTTATGACATGCAAAAAATCGGTTGCAAAATGAGCGAGCGAAATCAAGTGAATAGATAGAATATGAATCGTTTTGGTAATCGTCCGGGTCGCTCTCCCGTTCGACGCCTCTCCTTTTATATAAAAGTAGCAGCAATCGGCAGTCGAAAAACTGGTGAATGACCATTGCTGGATTCGGCTTAGCTCGATTAAACGGTTATATAATCCGCGTTTTTGGCCTTTTGAGTAGTTTCTTTTTTCGTTTGATGACGGCTTGCGAGTGTGTGCGGCTAGTTTAGGTGAGCAATTAGGCATTTCATATATCAATCATTTAGCGGGATTCATACGCAATTGTAAACAAAACTAGGCTTAGCCATCCTTCAGCGTTTCTTTTGCCTCTTGTAGATTGTGTCGGCTTCGAGTGCTCTGCGCGTTTGCTTATCTAGCCAGCAACTTCGCACAATCGCATTTTTTGTTGTTCCACATAGGTTGAGATATCCGGTGACACATATATTCAAATTCTTCCATTTTCTATCTAATTTCAATATTATGAACGTGACATACTATGAGGTAACGTTGTTCTATTTCTGACCTTCCGATTCTAATATCAAACCTAATTCAAGAAATTTTTACCCATTTATTTTAAAGGAGATGGCCGAATACCACAGTTCGATCACAATGCGACCAACTTTCAACCGAACCATGCACTCCCAATCCACGACCACTTATGGAAGTACAATTTGTAAGTTGAAAATGCGATTTTGGTTTGTTCTGAAGATGGTACCAAAAACGCAAACATTTGCGTAAATGGCGATAGTAATACAAAATTAGATCAAAGCGGGTATTTACATACAATTCACTACAAAATACTTTTATGCATAACAACCATTGTTTTCCTATCAAAATTTTAGTTGTTGACCCATTCAATCTTGAAATCACATTACTGTTTAGCTGGAGGAACTAGCCGTACAATGAAAGTGACTGAGGTTGCTGGATCAGCTCTGACCTCTGGAGTGTCACCATTCGGAGGAAATGCTGCATCTTCAATACGCGAATCACGTGCTCGTGAGAAGAAGGAGATGAGCGAGCTTAATGACCGCCTTGCTAGCTATATTGAAAAAGTCCGATTTTTGGAAGCCCAAAATCGTAAAATGGAAAAGGATCTTGATTTGCTTCGCGGAAAATGGGGCCAAGATTCAACCAGCGTCAAAGTTATGTTCGAGACTGAATTGAGAAGCGCCAGCGAATTGATCCAAGATTCGGAGAAAGATCGTGCTAAGCTTGAGGATGAGATCCGTAAACTCACCTCTGAACATAACAATTACCGTAACAAAATGCATGAGGCCGAAAGGGCTCATGACGTGACGAAAAAGGAATTGGACGATGTTCTTGCTCGACTTGGAGCACTTGAATCTGAAATTGACCTTCTCAAAAGAAGAATCAGCTTGTTCGAAGAGAACGTCGGTCATTTGAAACGTGAAAACCACCGATTAATTGGAGAACTTCAACAAGCCAGGAATGTATGAACATTAGGTATTTATGTGAAAATTTGAATAGAATGTTTTCAGGCTGTTGAACACGAAACATTGAACCGCATCGACTATCAAAACCAGGTTCAGACACTCTTGGAGGAATGCGATTTTGTCAAAAGGGTCCACGACTCGGTAGAAATTTATTTCACACTACGGCTACATCGATGAATTGTTTTTAGGAAATCCATGATCTACTCATAATGGCATCTCGTGATACTACTATTGAAAACCGCGAATACTTTAAGAATGAACTTTCCTCGGCTATTCGCGACATTCGTAATGAATACGATCAAGTAAAAAAAAAATTCAAATCGTTAACTCTTTAATCATTTATTGAAGATTAACAATGTTCATCGAACTGATATTGAGTCATGGTATAAGCTCAAGGTTCAAGAAATTCATACCCAAGCTTCAAGAACTAACCTGGAACAGAATTATGCGAGAGTATGTCGCTTAATTACATATAATGTAATTTAAAACCAATTATAGGAAGAAGTGAAACGGCTTCGAACCACTCTCGGAGATATGCGAGGAAAGATGGCCGATATGGAAGGAAGAGTGGGAGAAATTGAAAAAAAATGCGAAATTTGTGGATCCTGATTATTTCAGAACTTGTTACTTGAAAAACAAATTGATGACTTGAAATATCAAATGGAAGAAGATATGAGATCGTACGAGCAGGCGTTGATTGATAAGGATACCAACATCAATAAGATGAGAGATGAATCCAAGATTCTCATGGTTGAACTTCAAATGCTCATTGATACTAAACAGGTAACCATTGAAACATGTTCTAGCGATTTTCTTTTGAAACTACAATTGCAGACCCTTGATGCCGAAATCGCCATTTATCGCAAGATGCTTGAAGGAGAGGAGAATCGCGCAGGACTTCGTCAGCTTGTCGAGCAAGTTGTCAAAACAACATCGATTTCTCAAACAAAAGAACTTGGTAACTTCGCCGTTTTTAATTTGATACCATCCAGCAAATCGGTGATTTCCGATCGAATTTAACTGAAATTAGAAAAACAAGTTTTTCTTATGATATTTGGGTGTGGTTGTTTTTGCCTTGGCCACATAAAAAGGCCCAGATTTTCAATTGTAAAAATTGTTGAAAATGCCTGGCTCTGTGTTTGAAACTATCACTTATGATGATGTGCCATACACCCATTACCTACATGGGGATAAAATTCGTCCAAAACCATACGGTATCCATTAATCTTTAAAATATTATTTTTTTTGCTCTGTTTTCAAACATATTTTTCAGAGAGCATGAGAGTACTCAAAGGAGAAACAACCACCCATTCATCCTACTCAAGATCTGCCAAGGGTAATGTGGTTATCCAGGTAAGCATTGTATTCCAACGAAAATTATTTTTGGTATGGCATGATTCTTATCGTCTGTTATGTAGTAATTATATTCCTTGCGATTTTTGTTTTATATGAATAAGGATTCATCTTTTCAGGAAGTATCCCCTGATGGCAAATATATTGCCGTTGAGAACATTTCCAGAAAAGATGAAAACATTGGTGATTGGAAGCTTCGTCGAAAAGTGGCTGGAAAACGCGAAATTGTGTTCACTTTCCCTCGCGATTTCATTTTGAAACCGCAGAAAATTGTCAAGGTATGAAATGAGTTCGCACCATTTTTTTGATTCTCTGAAATTCGATTCAAGATCTTTGCACGAGGCCAGGGAGTCTATTCGCCACCAGACAGCCTTGTTTATGATGGAGAGGATAACTTTGGCACTGGTACTGATGTGCAGACTATCCTCTACAATAGAGAAGGAGAGGTGAGAGATTTGAAATGAAATTCGTAACTCAATAGGAAATTCAGGAGCGCGCCTCACACAGTCAGCGTGCCTCGCATACTTAAACAATCCCCATCGATTTCATTGAACGACAAACTCCGCTTGCCTTTTCTACTTATTCACATTGTTCCTATTGTACTATTTCCTTCACATCAACCATTCTCTTCGTTAGCCATTCCTCATGATTGGTATTGTATGTCACTGTCATTTCTCACATGATAAAATAAAGCAGTTTGCCGTTGCCGAAATTCGCTGGCCAAGTGGCATAATTTTTTCGTTCGTGAAAAAGCTTATTTAATTGGCCCAATTCATTTTCGTTCGCTAACATTGCTTTTATTCTTTGTTGCTTTAAACCCCTCACACCGTCGTTCAGTTTATGAAAATAATAAATCGCTTGCAATTTATGTTTGATCATTGCGTCGTATGCTAGTGGAGACATTTTAACGATTACATCACTGGGCGTATTATTCAACAGCTTGAGTTGGTACTGAATATACGTATTAATACAGAAAAAAAACAGAACTGAAACATTAAAATTGAAAAGAAAAGTGAGCGAAAATGATCCAACGGAATGGGCTTGTCATTTAATATACATATATTGTATGAAGCTAAAGAGATCCAAAATAATTTCAGTAAAAATCTAGACAGACAATTGAGGTTGAGAACTACTGCCACTCGAGATGTTCAAGTCGATCGAAGTTTCGAGAATCGACTCTTCCTCAACGTTCAACTCTTCCTTCGTCTCATCTTCCTTGAAATTCTCAATCATCGCCATGAGCTCTTTCTCTTTTTCTTGGACTTTTAAAATGTCCCTGCAGTTGAAGAATTCACACTTATCAAATTGTTCAAATTCCTTACGATTTTGTTTTATCAAGTGCTTCCCTAGTGGCTTCAAGCGAAGCCCTCAATTTGTGTGATTTTTTAATTTCTTGTTGATACTTTTGAGGCCAATTGGCAGCAATCAATGGTTGAAGAATAGCTCGAAGGTTCTTCTGAACAATTAGTTATATTTTTGGTTTTCAAATGGTTCAATCAAACCTGTTGAACTAGCAGCTGCTGCAATTCCTCTTCATAGGCCATATAGTCTCGATGATTCTCTAACTCAGGATTTCGGAATTTTTCGACCCTTAGAATTGTTTTTTTTTTTTGCAGGAAAATTGAACAAAATGTTACCTTGGTTGATTCTCAAGTGTTTGCAAATTTTTCTGCTCCATTACAAATTTATAATCTGAAAAAATTGTAATCAAAAACAGTGAAAAACTATAATGAAATGTTGTAGAAAAGAAGGTGGCAATTCAAAAAATTTTGAATACTGCTAGCACGCGATTAGAGACCTTGAGATGACGACTTTCTCACAATTTGAGAGGTTTTATTGGGTCTTGCCGGTTTACTATTGAAAGTGGGTTGAAATTTTAGTATTGACTTTAATGTTATGAATTAATTTTGAGAAAAGATTAATAGTTTTCAGAAAATGTGAAAGAACACCATTGTGAAATTTCAGAAATTATTTTATGAAAACAGTGAATGCTCATTCATTTTAGCTATGTGTATTAAAACCTTGCGAGGTTAGTCACTAATTGTGTGCTTATTCGCTGAAACGATTAACACACACACCCAATTTTTATGTAAAGCAAAAATCCAGATTCTGAATTACTGTTGAAGTGAAGTTTTTTTTTTGCAAAATAAACGTGCCACGCCTTTTTCGAACGGGGAAATGAACGATAAAAAACAAATTTCGTTCGAAGTCAGATCTAAAAATGATGGCATAACGGCCTATTGATAAGAAAATGTTTGTAAACCGCCTTGTCGAAATTTATTGGTTTCATTCACAATTTGTTGTCATTGGAAAAAATGGTTGATGCGAGATTCTACTTAAAACTTCAATGTTTTGAAATGCGTGATTTCTTGAAAAATTTTTTTTCAAATTTTTTATTTTTAAGCGTTTGTTGTACAATGTTGTATTCTATATGGGTTAGAATGTTAGACGAGTTAATCAGAAAAAAATCAACAAGTACGAATAGCGATGTGTTAAACTGTAATACCTGGTGGTGGTGGTCTTCGTGTCGACCGTCCGAGCGTGCCAGTGACACCCGATGGGTAGGCTGGTAGCGAACAAGTGCTTCTTTGTCCATTCTCGAGCGGTGTCGCCTGTTGATGGCCAATCGCATTTCTTCCTTAATTGGCATTTTTGTGTAAAAAAAAGAGGAACGACGGAAAAATCGCAGCGAGGCAGAAGCTTCACTGAAGAGATACACCGACAGTCGGCCATTGCGTGCTAACAACACAAAACAATTACATAACCGCGAGTACGTTGTAAAAAAATTGAATGTCACTGCAATCATTTGCTTTTATTGTGAAAAAAGGGTGGCGGGCAGAATTTCAATAAGTTGTCCAACTTAAAGAAACTTTATTAGCAAGTTTTCGATGCAATAGGGAAACAATCCGGGAATTTGATTGCCTATTGTTTCTTGCAGGTTTTAAAGAACGTGATTGCTTATCAGACCCAAGGAAACCTAATCAATTGCTGTAAAATTCAAGTGGACTAAACGAACTGTAAATTATTTCGAAATCGTTTGTCTTTAATCTTTCTTCCTGTAAAGTAGTTTTCGAGAAAAAGTTTGAATAAAAATCTCATAGAAGTGCCCGAATTTTTTCACTAGCATCTCAAATTTATAATAATTAATCGAATATAAAAATGAACACTGTCATTTCGGAATCGATATTTACACACTGTGACAGAAAGTGATTAAACATCAAATGAAAATCACGAAAAGAAAATCTTAACCAAATCAAAGATAATGAAAACGTATCTTAGTTGTACTAACCCCTATTCCCGTCTAATACTTATCTTCAGAATGCGACATTTTTACATTTTGCTATTACGTATACATTTAGTTTTGTATGAACACGAATAGGAGAGAATTTCAACTTATTTTTCCCTTTTTTTCTATTGCATTTCATTCATAAAATTTTCACCTGAAGGGGCCGAAGAAACGCTACTAGAACTGGCATTGTTCCGCAACTGTGTCATGTTCAGAGGTTGTTCGACGCGATCTACAACAAATCCGAGATTCCATCTTTTGTCTGGCGAATAAAAACACCAACCGCAAATCTCGTCATTACTATTCACGCGTAGCATTTGAAATGTAACATTCGCCGCATGTTCTCTCCATTTTCGAAACGTTTCCAGTGGTCGGTCATTTGGCGCAAGGCGGCGTTCCTTACAATAGAATAATGCTAAAGTCAATGACATTATTGAAGGCAATTACCATGTTCCGATATTTTTCGACAATTACAAATCGGCCACGAGCGCTGATTGCATTCGCCAACGCATAAATGATTTGCGAGCAAGTCGTGTTCTCGTTAACTCCCGACACACTTCGTTCATACCCGTCAATTATAACTTTAAGCTCCATACCTGTAATTATGAGAATTGCTGTTGAAATTGCATAATAGGAATTCGGCGAACAAAGTGAGGGAAAGAAGACAATTGAGGGCACAATGAGAGATAGAGAATGAATCGAATCTCGAAAGCGACGGCAGATGAAAAATCGGAAAGTTTTGCGTGGAAAACGACGGGGCAAAATGCGATTCAACAGAAGATTAAGCATGATGAAGAGTCCTAATTATCCATCAAACCGCCATTAAAATTAAAGCGCTAAAATTTTCAAAAAAAAAATGCATATTTTATCACAATTATTTGTGGTTATTGTTATTGATGAAGTTATGTAGAGACCAACGACTGCAGTGTTTTTATGAATTTACAACGGTAGCGTTTTGATGAATTTTGAATTTTCAATGCATTTCACTTAAAATGATTTGTGTTCTTCGTTTATACGGCCTTCCCATCGAGGCAAAACTCGGAACGACAAATAGCTGAACGTTGAAAAAAAAAAACACTCGGACGAAATAGATAGCGCACATTTCAATACGATGCCGGCGGACGTCTTTCACAAATAATCGTACAACTATTAGCATACCACATGGAAAGAAAAACGCTAAGAAAAAAAATGACAGCTACTTGATGTAATTCTATCATCCCATCTGCCTTCGAACAAACCCACAGGAGCACATTGAATTCTGTGCGTGTGTTTACACAATTGGAAATTTAACACCGAATGAAAAGTAACAGCTCGGCAACAAGCCGAAACAAGGTGTACCTGATTTTTCAAGCGCGAACATTTTATAAAATACTGTCAACACTTCCCTAATGTCAATAAATGTATTGTTAATCGCTCAACAATGATTCATCATGAATATGTGAAATTTAGAAAGGAAAAAAATTTTGATAGTTTACCCAGCAAAAAAAAACGAAACGAGAAAGAAACGTTAAAATGTGAAAAATGGGCGACCAAAAAACATATGTACAGCACAAAGTATTGCAAACCTCTTGGTGCCTTTTGCCTTTCAAAACAATTTAGGTCGCATTCATTGCATCGTTTTGAGAATGTTGGCCTCCGACATTTATGAACATATAAATAAACAATTATGAATAATGAAGGCTTTTTGTACAATTTAACTCACAAAAATTGCGGAAAAACATGACTTTTTTATGTGAGAAATAACCGATGAACTCATCTGATTTCAATAGAGCAAAACTCATCAGCGAGAGATATCTGTCATAAAAAAACATGACTGTTAAAAAAGAATTGCATCAATTTGTGATGGATCTCTTCCAATTGCACAACCATATGGAATCAAATCAAATTCGTATAGCATATAAATGGTGGAAAGATGTTGCAAAGCAATCGATGAAGAGCAGACTAGTAAATGAAATAAACATCGGGTGTGCTAAAGGATGACATCGCGCGCGCACGACAAAACCAGAGTAAATGAGGGAGAGGGTAAAAACACCAAATGTTGGGTGCGATGGCGCAGAACGCCACCTCCTCGAAAAAAGTCAAATCGTGGACGGGGCCAAACGCGGACATGCGTGAAATTTGGGGGTACGACGATCATCGGAACGATGACAAAATTATTGAGGGTCGGTTTTGAATAATATCCGAATATAATTGCCAGAGCCTTCGAAAACAAACAAACTAATTATCAATATCCTGCTCTGGATAGCAATAATCAATGGTGCGCAATGCAAATAGATCGTTTTCCGAAATGATCACACAATGAAAAAAACAATGCGAGAAAGAACCACAGAATATGTTTATTAAAATCGTCAAGATGCGTATTCTATAATTAATGTAATGGAAAAATAATAAGTTTCATTTCCTTTGCCAAAAGTTCAAATGGGTCCCAATATTTTAAAATATTCATTTCCGTATTTGGATAAGTAGAAAATAAAAAGCATTTGAAGCAAAAGTAAGGATTAGGATATTGTTGGTCTAATATTCATGTTCACTTTCTTTTCAATAAACATCTTCTCTTACATATTTTAAACATTAAATTATGTGTTCGTGCGTATACGTAAGTAATAAAGCAAACCTCATGATAACGGGCTGTTGTTCTGGGCTACCTCTAATTTACGGCCTTCCGAAATGGCGACCTTGAACCAAATGGGGTCCATTGCTAGTTGTAGCCGTTCGTGGAAATTGAAATCGATATCGGATCTGTAAATAAAAAAGTGCAAGGAAGTCCTTCCGTTATCCCTTTATTTCAGAATCTATAAAGCTCGGACTAATACCTAAAATGTAAAATTAGTAGTTTACTTATGCGTTTTTCCCAATTAGACTACAATCACAATTCAAAATGTATGAACCACTAGGGTGGCCGAACAATCTTTCAGTTTTTAAATCATTTATATATATGTATGTATATATAAATTCAAAAATAATATAAATAGATGTAGGTTTCATTCAGCGAAATATTCACTTTAGCCTTTGATTCAAATACTGTCAAAAATTAAAATAATGTGACTCGTCTTAAAATTCTTGAAACGTCTAGTATTCAGAAGAAAAACATGCGATGAGTTTTAGGTTGCTTCCGTTTTGCGATCCTTCAATAGCTAAACCAATGAAATCCAATTTTGTGAGATATTTCCTTTATTATACGTTTGACTATTTTACACATACAACCTACGCATAAAATTCTTAATTTTTATTCCCGCTTTATATGACACGGCAGGTGTTTTGATATGTGTCTGAAAACTTTTCTTATTGTAAAACTCAACATAATTAATTCGTTATCTGATTTTCGCTCTTTTGCTGTTTAAAATTAAGGGTTAACAACATTTTTCTACTTCCAAACAGACCTGCTTTTTGATTTCTGCGCGAAAATAGTCGCATCAAATAATTTTCTGCGAACCTAGCAATCTCTAATTATGGGCTTCAGTTGTTGTTCGAAGTACGAATATCGAATGAGTTTTCTTGAAATATCGGCACTTAATCAAATATCAAGCTTTCCTTCTATGTATTGTATCCACGCATCTCGTATATCTTTCATTGTCCTTTTATATTCATGATTATTTCACAATAAAAACTATTGGATCGCAAAAAAAAAAACAAAAGATGTCGACCATTTTTTTCGCTTCCATATTAAACCGACGGGCAATATATGCACACATTTATTTTATTTAATCGATTTTTTCGTCTAGATGCTAGCCCATCGGGAAAATTCTCATTTGCCACTGTTGTCACCACAGCATACGGTGCGTTTCTCAACGTCTGCCGGTTCATCTCCTCAAGGCAATATTAGTCGTCCTAGCTCAATGAGCTCCCTCCCTATATTGGAGGAAGAAGTCTCGATGGAATCCTTGCAAGAGGATTTGGACTCTATCGAAGATGAGGAAGATGAAGAAGAAGAAGAAGAAGAGGAAGAAGCAGAGGACGAAGGAGAAACCGTTTCTTTTTGGCTTACAATCGAAGGCAATCGAACTGGCGACGATGCGACTTCTGAAAACAATCTGGAGTGTATTATGATCGAAGAACGTGCTCCAAAAACTGTGAACAATATTAGGTTGGTCAGCTTTGGGTTTTTGTTTTTTTTTAATCTGAATGCTTCAGTTTTGGCAATATTATATAATTCGAAATGAAAAATTTCCCACACTATCCTTTCATTGATATTCATTAATTAATGAATACATTTTTGCATTGTTGACTATTCCAGCTAATTTTTTTCAAATATCTCCAATTTTCGAAACGAAGAAGAATGCCCTTTAAGTGTTAATGGATTTTGTCTGCTCTTCATATGAACAAACAAATAAAATCGTGTAAAATTTAATGTGACACTTATTTCGGAAGCAAATGGGGTTGACAGAGACTATACGCTTTGATTCGATGTATACATATACATAAAAATTGAAAACGTCCAAAGATGAATAAGAGTTTTAAAAACATTTGAAATAATTGAACTTAAATGAATATGTATATTTCAATATTTTGAGTCGATCGAAAGGTTGAACATTCAATGGAATGTATAATATATTATTATCAATTATATACTATTTTCTAGCCATCCTTTGATCATTCTGAAGCGCAATGTTCGTGGCGTCAAAACTCTTCGCGATATGGTCGGCACAATGAATGTTTCATTGACTCGAGCGTATATATTATTTTTTTGGCTGAGCCCAACTGATAAATCTTCAGACTGATTCGCGACATGCTCAGTGTTTTGGATTTTATGAAATATATCGGAATTCACCAGAATATCTCTCTTGATACCATCCTCTACATCAATAACCGTTTTATGGTTAAATGTTTGAAGAAGTCGTAATATGTTTGATATGTTTCAGCTAACTGGATTTGACTTTTTCACGTTCAAACACAGGCTCGAGGAAGACATTCACTGGAATAGTATTATATATCAACCATATGCATTCGATTCGACTAATCCGTATGACTCGACGGTACTTCAGAATAACATAATAAATTATATAAGGCTTACTATGATTAATTTAAATTCAGATCGACTTGTTCGCATTCGGAATTGTGCTTCTTCAATGCTTTCAAAACAAAATTATAAACATTGATAACGAAAAAGAAGCAAATCGTGTATTGATCAAATGTCTCAGTAATCTTGATAGCAGACATGCTCATTTGGTTGGGCTCTTTTTGAGATCACGTGATTTGTTCAATCATTGCGCTATGCCAGCAGAACGGTTTCTATTAATCCGTGGCATATATGCACATTCAAATATTTCTACAGAATCTCTCTTCGCAAATTGGCCGGACATCCAGTGATGACAAACGAAATTAACTCGTATTGCTACAAATCATGCTATTTCCTTCACTCTTACTTGGCCAATCCAATGGTTGTTCTTTTATACTCTGAAAACCCTTTTAAAACCAATTGTTGAAGGAAGAATTGATGTATTACCTACCAGATGACACTGTCGGAGAACTGATAAAGCGCACAAAAGAGTTCTATTCGTCAAATAATGAAAAAAGGTAGAAAGATGATTTATGTGATATAAATGCATATCAAATTTACTAGGTATGTTTATGTCAATTGTGCAGATTTCTCAGAGAAGAGGAAGGTTCATTTCATCGACGATAATGAACAATTAAAAAATATCGATTTAAATTATTCGGGGGTATGGTAATGAGGAAAGTAACGTATAACATAAAAAATTTTCAAGCAATTCGCTATGATCCCAATTGAAGTTCGCCATGATCCATCAAGTAAATACAAACATCTCCTGATTGTGTTTATAAGAACTGAATTCTCATCAATGCCAATTCTCATTGAAACTTCTCTTCCAAAGAAGAATATGAGTGGACGCATTACTGGACCATTGGTCCAATATCTCCAAGAATTGTGCTCACGCATTATCTGTTATTATTTCATCTCAACTGTGACTATTCAATTCATGTCTGTTGCGGATGAAACTTTTCGTATTCCATCTGGGTACAGCCGAGGTACGTTTAATTTAATATTTAAATAACCTATTTTTCTTCAGAAAACACCATCGTGATTCATGCTGCATTCAAGCCAAGATCAATCGTCAAACAGAGACAACGTTTCGAGATCAACACATTCCTTCGCATTCCGCGTCTTACCAGCGATTTTGAAGCCGCATTTAAGAAAGATGATATGATCAGCTTTGCTCCACCACCGTGCGCAACAGATGTATTCAAAAATTTAAAGTAATTAGCAATCTATTTATCATTTGGAACGCAATATTCTCATCTAAAGATATTCTCATCTAAAACTATTCTTCTTAATATTTTTGTTAATGTTAATTCTATTCAACAATTGGAAACTTCTATCCTCTTATCATCTTGTGTTACACTTTCTATTCAAATACATAATGTTTTCCTTTATTAAGTAGTTTTAATAGCCGCTCGTTTAATAAATTATTGCATTATTTATTATTTCCAAATATCTCATTAATTAAGATAATAATCAAAGTATTATGATAAGAAAATACCACTAACAGAAATGCCACAATGAAAAATGTATTATGTTCTTCTCATAATAAGTTCATCTAATCAGGAGTTCATCCTTTGCCGCGGTAGAATAACATAGCTCAGCCATTGTCTTTAGATTGGTAGTAGTTGGCCCGTCGAGCAACTAAAAAACGATTAATTGTCGTTTATATATTATGTAAGACTAATACTGGTTTGATTTGCATCAATGTTTCAACAGCGTTCCTCGTCTGGGCAGAGTATAACTGAACAATCGCCTTGGTATTTAAAATCTTAAATACACATTTATTTTGATAGTTTTTAAAGTGCTACCTGCGGTTTCTTTTCTTCGTTTTGTATTCGGAAGATATAATCATTAGCGTGAGTGAAAGCTCCGAGGAAAATACTTCGAAATGCTCTGAATATATAGCAGTATGAATCAAATGACAAATTGTTATATTCATCCCACTTATGCAGAATCATTTCATTGGTTCCCGCAGAATACTTGTGCGCATATTCAGCTTGTAAATTCATTGATTTCTCGTCTCCGGCTTGCATTGCCATTCTCATCATGGCGCGTGTAATTTCGAGCTTTTCGTTCATATCGCTATTATCGTTTCGTACTTGCTCTAATATCGCCATAGATTGCTTGTACTCCTACAAAAAATAGACAATAAACTATTTATCACATATATTTTATCATTTTCACAATATTGCCGTTAAATTTTTAAAATGAATGTCTCGAACAAATACGATTATGAGGTGAGCATGCATGTTAGATCTTTTGAATAACACAATTTTTAACTTTTAATAATATTATTCAACTAGCAAATCATCACTTCACTGTGATTGCTTTAAGATTTACATTTTTAAAATTTAAACATCAGTCTTTGCGCTCGATACGAAACATTTAGTTCTTATCAATTTATTATATTTCCGGTGCAGATTTGCAGCATTTGGTACACATTTAGTGCACATGCAAATTTTTTGATAAGTGCAAACATTTCGAATCCTTACCCCCAGCTCATGCAAAACTCTGACGTAGACAAGTTTCACAGTCTCCAGCCTACTTCGCCAAGCTTTCACATTTTCTTCGGGTTGTTGGTCAGCTTCCATGTTTTTGATAATCGATTCAACGTCTTCCCATAATTTGCTTATTCTAATAAGACTTCTCCAAGGAAACGGTGAAAATCTCAATGATTCGGCATGAATTAAACGCATTGTGAATGGAACGTAGCTGCCTTAACATAAATCATAATTGATATGGTGTTAATTGAAGGGTACCTGTCTTGTCTGGAGACCGGTACTGATAATAAAGATCGGGTGCATCAAGTTCTTCAAATGGCGCAATTTCGGAAAGTAATTGTGCATGCATTCTCAAGTTGATTAATAGTTGAAATCTTAAAGACCAGACCTGGAAGAAAACAAATTCAATACCAAAATATCTAAAATTCCGCGCACTTCCATAGAAACTTGCGTAATTTCTGAAGGTCTCCCAGCTTTTTCTTTCCCTTGTCCCAACCATGTCAGCATATCAGAAGTTCCATTAAGCGCCGCTTCAAATAACCCTTTCTTCTGAAGATAAACTTCAACAATAATCGGATTATATTGCAATAATTCATACAATAAACCACGATAGTCCGCGTTGATTGAGTGGTATATCAAGGTTTGGAAAGAACTTGTTGTACAAATCCTGAAGAGATGTAAATTACAACATTTATAATAGAATTGTTTCAAAAAAACCTTGAAGCGAAAATCAATTGAACTTCGCATAAATTCTTCTCGAATTCCCGGCATTGTGTAATTCATCGCTGGCTTGTTTTCTTCTCGAGCTTGCTGAAGTAATAAAAAAACAAGAAAATTTATCCCCAATTATTGGTACGAAAATGTCATCGTTATCTAACCGTTTTTGTCGAATTTTGCATATTGTTCATACATTTTAGAAAATTTCATTAGATGTAATTTAATTGAACTATAATTGTAGGCACTTCCTTATCTCATTCAAAATGTTGTAACAAAAACTTTTTATCAAGAATATACTAAAATAAAATTTTTGTAATTTATATTTTAATAAATATACCTTTAACCTTGATGATTCCGGCCAATACAAAAGATGTTGGTTCTCTTCGTAGGAATAATCCAGCATTTTGCTGTTAAACGGCATTATTGAATTTCGACAAATTTTTGTTCGATAGATATTGGGAACCGAGCGTTCGACGTGTTTAGCAAACTATGCGCTATCAGAAAATAAGCGCGAAGCATTTATTGAAACAGAACGGAAAATATGGGAATGATAATAAATTAGAAGCACTTTGTATGCCAAAAATCACAAGCTAGATAAGCAAAAGTGGACAACCGAGTGGAAGAAACAACCAATAGAAAGTGAAATGTCCGGAAGGAGCGAGAATGCGGAGAATCAAAAGCGCGTAAAGCAATTTGCATGACAAGATCAGTTTTAAAAAATGCTCATAAAATAAATAATATAATCCAAAAAAGCGACGTGATTAATGAAAAATTAAGAAAAGTTCATTAGGATGAAGTCAACATTTGACGAATTTCCTCCTCTTCAGTGCAGTCAATAAGAGCAGTGCCATCCGGAGCCTTAATGTCCTTCTTGGCTCCCTGCAATTAAAAAAAAACATAATATTGCTTGATTGAGTTGTTTACATGAGAAAGAAGAAGCTTCACTACTTCCTTGTGACCTTCCCAAACAGCTGAGAGTAGCGGAGTAATTCCGTACTTGTCAACAGCCTGAATAGTACATTTTTAAATTTTTATCAAAAATTTTCTCATTTTTTAACGAAAAACAGGGAAATCGCTCACATTGACATCTGCCCCAATGCTGATGAGATATTCGACGATTCGAGAGTGTCCATAGTCGGAAGCGATTTGAATCGCAGTTCTTCCGTTGTGGACTTCGCCAACATTGTCAGGAGTGACATGCTCCTTCACAAAGTCAAGATCACCGTTTTGCACGTTCCAAGCAATCGACATTTTGGCCCTTCAATATGAATCATAGAAAAAATAGTGTCATAAAGTGCACGAAGATAAAATAATTGGTTGCAAACCAATGTCACTTTGCATGATTATAAGAATACACAGCAAGCAATTTTTATCAACGGTCAATGAATAAAATATTCTGTGGGAAACAAATGTACAATTTTTTTCGAAATGTTGGTTTTCTTTAATCAAGCGCCATACTAGTTGGAGGATACAGAGATGTATTAGCATATACCGGAAAATGACACGAAATTTCAATTATACAAGTCGGATTATTTGATTTATTCTGATGTGACATCGATCAATTCCTCAGACATCAAGTCTTCCATTCTCAAAGCAATGAGTTCTGAAATTTTTCTATAAAATAAGCAGAAGAAATTAAAGCTATACGTTTTTGTACGAGCCAAGATGGACGCAGAGTTTCATTGTACTCATTGCCAAGGAGTTTGTAAATAATTAGTCTAAAGTAGAAAGGAAGAAGTTTTGGCAATTGAGCGGAAAACCCATACCCAACATTATTAAGACAAGAGAGACTCCTTTGAACACGGTCGGGATCATGTGACGCCGGAATGCTGTTCTTGATTCTTCTCGAAGCCGATGAAATGCCTTTGAAAAATTTCTCGAGACGTTCTCTCCAATGTGGCTCAATCGAACTGAATGCATCATAACTTCCTGGACATTTCAACACGAGAGTGAAAATAGTAAAGAGAAGAGTTTCTAGGCGATAAACATTGCATTCATGCTGAAACTAGTTTTAATTGTTGAGACGTGTTTTTTATTTATTGAGGTTTACCTCTCCCTTTGTATAGTTTGGGACCAACATCCAGAAGTTTTCAAAGACAAAACGAATGAATTCGACTTCAAGGTTAGTTGGAGGAACATCCAGTGCAAAGGATGACAATAGCTGAAACACAAAATTACAAATCATTCAATATGAAAAAAAAAACAAAACCATAAAGTATTGGAATCTCTGGGCTGGAGTTGCATCTTTGAAAACCTTGTACTTCTCAAGAAGCATATCACGTGAAACTCCACCTATCACGTAGTTATGATAGTATGTGTAAATAATGAGGCTGCGAGTTAGGCCGTATAGAATATTAAGCTGCTCACTAGGCTGTAGAAAAATTATATAATCCGAAATTATGTGAATCTGCCTAAAAACGTACACAGATTCTTCCCCTAGTTGAACTGTCGGGAAAAATGTTGACCAGAAGAAAGTTCTCTTCAGCAACCATTGGCAACGCGTATTCGAGCAACATAACAATCGATTCGAATTCTTGATGATTGGCTTTGTTCATTATCTACAATTCATTACATTTCTTCTGATACAAACACTAGTTAATTTCTCACATTGATGATGGCGTTGAACAACTTCAACTTATAAATTGTGTTAGATTCCCAGCAATGCTTCACTCTAATTGCCCGAATTATCAAGAAATTGAAAGTGAGCATCCCAACAAAAACATTTTCGTTTCCTCTTTTTGCTATTGCATCCAAGCATTGGATGAAGTCGAAAGCGTCGGTCACTTCTAGGAGACTCAGCAGGTGCTCAACGTTTTCCTCGGCGACCGTGGCAATGAGCTAATTATTTTTTAGACATTTAGTTGAAGAAAAAATTGAAACCTCTTCATAGATTCCAGCAATCCTTTCCTTTAGATTGTACTTAAAATACGAAGATCTTCCAATTTTCAATTCGACAAATTTCAAAATAGTAATTCGATCGTCAATGCTCGCGTTTTCATGGCAAGCCGCGCTCAAAATTGCCTCAATACATTCTGACAAATCATCGATGAGAGTGGAAATCTTTCAAAAAATTACCTTCTTGATGATCGGACATAACTTTTCCAAGAGCAGTTTTCACAATGATAAGTTCTCGGTTGTCTTTAACAGTGAGAAGTTGAGCTAGAACGTCGCTCACTGGCCGAATGCAGCTTTGTTCTTTGGCAAGATTTGGCAAGTTGTTGATAATGAGCATTCGAACATCCCTATTAGGATCTTCAAGCAGCTTGTAGAGCACCATTTGAATCTCGCATTTATTATAGTTTTGAAAGTATCTGTAACTCAAAATAATATTAGAATCAATAGCGTTTTTTTTTTTTAACCTGAATAGCATATTGATGCCTAGCATTTTGACATCCTTGTCCAAGCTTTTTGTAGCATCTTTGAAAATATTAAAATACTCTTCATTCTGAAATTATAATAATCATCTAAGGATTCCATAAAATTATTGAATTCGTACATAATTCCCAGTTTGGTCAATGAGCGACGAAATGTTATAAATTTGATCAATCACTCTTGCTTTCTCAGGATCTTCTTCGTGGTGGTTCATGGTTACCTATAAAACATCAATTAATGTTGAGAGAGAGATTGTAAAGAAAATGGATATTTAAAAAGGGAAAAATCATTTTAACAAAATTATCGATTAATCCGAATGAATGATGACAAATTGCTGTGCACCCACACTGGCCTACAAATGAACACCGAAACATTTCAATTTACGACAATTAGAGAAATGCGTGATGACCATTATTGGTTTATTTTTCCCAGCCACGACTCATACGATACGACATTCTCGATCAATATCTTTGAGGACAACCTTTCAAACATCGAGAAACTATTTAAGGAATTTAATAGGAAATTGAATTCGAAAGCAGGACAGAGATGCTTTGCAAAAAAGCAATTTTCTGCTTTTAATGCAATAAACAAAAGAAGCAAACATTGCATTTTGTACGGATATCCAAAACACAATTCGTCATCTACTAAAACCAAAATGATTCGTTTTATGCCATATGGTCCTCGAACGAGAATTGACAAAATGGGAAACAAATACGAAAGATGCTTGGCGCCATTAGGGTTTCGCTGCTCAGTCGTTTTGCGTCAAAACAGCATCTTGCTATGGAGCCTCATTGCATCTTTCCCACCAGCTCGAAAAAGCTTATATTTAATAGTTACCATAAACGGCTTTTCTGATGCACACTATTAAAAAGACAAGCACGAGTAGAACCTTGTGAGTAAACTACTATATAACGAAGCTACTTTCAATAATTGAGGAAAACGAAAATAAGTAAACCGCACGATTCTTATTTGCATTAGTATAGGAAATTATACAACGCATCCGTCGGTTTTGTCGAGACGAATTAGTCCAAACGTATTCACAGAGCGAATTTAAATGGAGAAATACATTCAAAAAATACGATTGACGATTTAAGAAAATAGGCTAATTGTCGACGCTTTTCATTAATTTATGCAAAAAAATGCATTCAATCGAACTATGAATATGTGCTAAAATTTGAATTTCAAAGAATGACTATATTAAAAACGATATAAAAAAACGAATGCATTCAAAGAAAAAACAACAATCATAACCGCTCAAAATTTCGTTTCGTTGTGTTCGAAAAAGTCTTAATTTATTCAAAACATTATGAAAGATAACTAAAGTTTTCCATATTTTTCATTGCAGCTGCGACACTATTTATAATGACATGGAAAATCGAATTAATATAATTGACATTGTTCAGTGAAAGATGTTAACATGACATTGATAAGAAAATCAACAATTAATTAAAAGGGAACGGGGATTTCAGAAAAATAGTTGCCGATTGTTGTAGGCTAACACTGGCCTCTGCGATTGTCTCAATCGTCCCCCCAGTGTAACGTTCTTGCATTGTTCTCTAACGTCTGCGTTCTCTGGCTTGGATATGCATTTAATGGTACACTCTAGTGTTCTAACGTGTCTCTACGTTCGAACCCGGCAAAGCGCATCTCCGCAAGTCGCCCAATATTTCGACCATCTCAACTTACAACAATCTTTAGGAGATGTCTTACTAAGTACTCAATTTACTAATACAGAGGCGCCTCAGATTATATCTGTCCGTATACGAAGAACGATATTTGAAACCTAGGGATCGGTACGCGAATATCAAATTAAATTAATAATTAACGCAGAATTTGATACCTTCAGAAAATGGACCGATTATGCGACTACATCGACGATAAAGTCGACGATGGGACTTTTCTTCCATTTATATATGGGGCACATTTATTCATGCGCCGACTTGGATCTGTGAGTTCATATTTGATTAGAACTTGATTCAAAATTATGATAATCGAAATCAATTGCTCCGTGTTACGCTACTCATGTTAGAAAAATCTTAATTATCTAATTTAAAATTAAATATGGAACCAGGAATACAAACGAGAACAAAATAACATAGATTCAAACTAAAATAAAGAATATGATTAAAGGAAAGATAATTTTTTGCAGATGTTAGTATATTTTGTCTACTTAATCTCATTCTTTCTTGCCGCTACGTCCTTCTTCATTATTCTTCCATATGAGCAAATGTAAGTTGTTATTATGTTATCTAAAACATCTTATTCAATTTCAGCTACAAATCAAAATACCTTCTATTTGCCCTGTCCATAATGGGTCTCTATTTCTTGATCAACATTCAGTTTCACTACTATAAAGCTCGAACAATTCCCCCAGTATTTAATCCAGGGGTTAAAAACAAAAATGTCTTTTATTTATATTTTTTTTACATTCAGGAGGAAGGTGACGCATTTTGTGAAAAGTGCAATTACTTCAAGAGCGAGAAAACGCATCACTGCTCAGTTTGTCAGAAATGCGTTCTTGGAATGGATCATCATTGCATTTGGATCAATCAATGCGTCGGTTCTCACAATCATCGTCATTTTTTTCTTTTCATATTGAATCTTGCATTTGCATCAGCAACTATTCTCATTGCTGGGTTTCCTTCTCTCTACGATCATATATTCATTGTACGTGGGTTATGTTTGGAGCAAATTAAATATTCTTACATCAGGATACTGCCGAACATAGCTATTGCACGGAAGTTTTATCATATGCTCCACTTCAAGGGTACATTTGTGATTATGATGGTATGAGGACTAAATAGTTGACAAAACCTATCATGATGTGTTTTAAGGTTTCGCCAAAACATCAATAATATTCTGCTATTTACTTAGTGCGGTTCTTTTTATTATGGTTGGAGGACTCACGCTTTGGAATGTTTACCTTATTTCGCATGGGTTCACTTATATCGATTACTTGGTATGGATAACTCTTGAATCGTTCATCAATTTTTGATTTATTTAAGCGGGAGAACGATAGAAAAAAACGCCCAGCTTCTCGAAATCGAATAAACAAAGGGTTCAAGAGTAACTGGAAAAACTTCTTAGGACTCCGACGAAATCGATCCTTTTTCCAATGTGTCATCCTTCCAACAAGCTTACCACCAATTACTTATGACCAAATTTGCAAGAATGATTCATACGATATTGTTTAATTTATACGGTTCCCAACAATGCATTTACGTTGTGATATAAGATCAAACCCCATTTACGGATAACCTCCAATTTTTTTTCCGTCAAACCTTGCCAATGTAATTGAATCAAAATATGAACTTTTTATTGAAAGACGTGAAAGGTAGTCAAAAATCGGCAGACTAGAGGGATAATTGAAAACAAATGCAATAACTGGATTGTGAAAACATAAAATGCAGAAGAGAGAACAGGTAGATAACGGCGTGGTTAGATTTATGTGGGGACAATTGACTTAGGACGGGGGAAAGGGGTAGGGAATAATTTCTAGAAATATATTTACGATTACACGTTGAAATAACGTTCTTCATGAATAACTGGGAAATCAGAAATATACATTGATACCCGTAACCGAGAAAACGATAGAAAATTTCAATGTTTCTTGTTGCTCCAGAACTCATCCAACGAAATTGCTGAAACATTGTCAAGAACATTCATAACTGGCCGATCAAACATTTCGCGAGTTCGGCGAGTACGTAGCGAGCTGCCATCCCTGAATGTTAAAATACTATCAATTTAACTTTTTAAAACTTTTTTTACCTTGTATTGATACTCTGAAAAGTCGTTTCTCTTCCAGGCATTGCAGGCGGCAAACTTCTCGGTGCTGCCTTAGGTCCTTCAACTCCTCTGTCGTTGTTCCCCATTATCTTTGTTTCTTCAATATGTCGCTGCTCCTCAGAATGCTTCTCGGGCGTTATAACTTGTTTTGGTTCCACTGAGAGTGGGAACTTCTTATTTGAAATATGTGTACTAGCGGCTGGAACTGGCGCTACTGCTGCTGATGGTGTTGGTGCAGAAATTGGGGCAGGAGCTGTGTCTGAATCAGATGATTGCCTTCGTAACGTGCTACTGCTTTTTTGCGATTCCCCGTCAGAGGATTGATGAACTGGAACGGAAATGCCTTAATTATGAATTGCTTGATCGTTTTGATTAACCTAGCTTACTATTAGTTCCTGGGGGATTAACAGTCCCTACTAATTGTCGATTTGGTTCGTTCATAAATGCATTTTGCTGTGCTGATCCTTGTTGAGTATGAACTCTTGATCGTTCATTCTGTTTCCAACACACTAAATTTAATTTTTGCTATTCAATTCAACCGAATTGACTTACTAAAACACAAAAACGCTAAAATTATCAAAAATAATATTCCTGCTAGGAAAAGAAGAAGCCATAATGAATATTCGGTGTTTTTTGAAAAGTGCCCTTCGCGAATTTCAGCGATGAACGGAGTTACTGGCACCGTGCTTCCATCTTAATGCATAAATTGTGAATTTTGTAATCAAATTAGGTATTGCCTGATTTCATTTTGCATAAATAGGCTTTTTTTAAACCACACAATGCGAATTGCGGATTTGCACCTTGGTTATTAATATATACGCAATCGTTTGCATCCGTGTTTCTCTCGACGGCAGTCGAACGAAAACTAAAACTTGATAAAATATAGGAAAAAAATTAAAAATCTCTTGCCGAGGAGATTCGGTGGAGTTATCTTTCTGAACGATCGATAGGACCCTTCCTTCATTAAACGAGTCGTGGTAACCAATCCAGTATTCTTCAGATTGTGTAGCTAAAACTTTGTAATATTTAAATATATTTATTTATAAGAACAAATCGAAATTACCTAGAAATTCGTCATCCGATTGGTTTTCTTGTAAAGTTAGAAGATTACTATTTTGCAATGCGCAAGCATTCTGACGCAACAGTTGCTAATTATAATGTTTTCAAATAATATTTACCTGAGCATCTACCCAAGATAAGGGATACTTATTTTCCGCTTTCCAGCATTCATTTTTCTTATTCAAATTCCAACCTGCTGGGCATTTCCCAATTTCTTTAATTGGGGTATTTTTAACTTTCAAGGATACAATGTTTATTACCATAATATCGAACGCTGACTTTTCCACCGGAATATTCAAAGAGTTCGTCAGTTTGAAAACGAATGAGCGCTTCGTTGCCTCTAGTAATAACCTAAATCCCAATCTCAATGTAAGTTATCTAATTTTTTGTTAGTCATACCGTTGCTTCTTCAGCTGACTCACAAAATGATGCGATCAGGCTTGTTTTCTCAGTGTCGTTTCCTGAAATTACAAAAATAAAATGTCACATTTTTAATGATTAATCCGTTAAAAGGATTGTGTAATGTTCACCTTATAAACAAGATGAACTTTGGTCATTTATTATTTATTTTTTAATTATTAAATATAGCAATACATAGTTCAATTGATTGATTATACCTGAAAAAATGAAGGAAAAAAAGTAAACGTCTTTTTCCATTCAATTCCCAAAAAAACTGTATTTGATTATTGACTGGAAGCAACAAATTTGCATCTATTGTCTAGTAAGAATTTCAAGCAGGTGCAGAATTGTGTCAGAATTGCCTGTCCCGCAAAAGAGCATTTTAAGAGATCACCATTATTCCATTTATGTGATCCTGCTTAAGGAAACAAAATTTTCTCATTACGAGAAATGTTTAGGAAAATAGGATTTTCAAAGACGGACGTCGTTGTGCTTACAATTGAAGTTGAACATCAAATAGAAACGCTCATTATAGAGAGTCTTACGTTTTCCAATAAGCATTATCATCCTGTGAATACTCATTTTTTTTAAATTTGTCTGTCCACTCAGTTTGAACAAAAAACAAGAAATCAATTAAATTTCCCGGCATTGCTTGAAAAATTTCACAAACCTTCAAATATTGATATCGAATCTGTGCATTCGGAGAATAGTTTTGGCTCCATTTCAAGATCTTCAATGAAAATCTCAATTCTTGTTTTATCGGGTGCCTTCACAATATATATGCAGTCTAAAAAAGGTGAATATCCGCTCTTCGAAATAACTTCTTTTTTCTCTGTTGTTGCGTTTACATACGTTGTGCCTGAAACTAGACAATCTTGTATGCAAATTAGAGTTAATAGAATTACCTTGGCAGTTATCGATAGCAGAAGTTGGCAAGCTGAATACCATCGATATGATGAGAGCCCATAAAGGGCGCATCATAATAAAAGACGGCCAGTCAACGTGACGATTGATGTTGGCTAATTGGTGCACGAAACCGAAATACGAAATAAATACGGGGGGGGGGGTCAAGCCCAAATCCCTTTGTTGAGCTGTTTGGCAGAGAGTGACCAGCTAGAAAAGACGAAGAATGGCGGGTGACTCGCGTCGCTAAGTAACCGTAGTAGTCGCCAGTAGAGCCTCAAAAAGGAACACGCTGACCAGCAGCAAATGACCGGAATAATAGTTCAAAAGCTTTTAAAAAAGAAACGTTTCATTTTTTTTTTTATTTTTTATTGTGTGAGCAAGTTTCGGGAACATAAAAGTTTTGAAATATGAATGTCTCTTTTTTTTTCAATCTCCGTTAAATGGTGAACTGAAATTTCTGTTTATGAGGGTAGAATAAAATTGTCTATAGTGAAAGTACAGAACATATCATAAAAACAGAAAAAAAAACATATTGTCTTTTCTGAAATTAAATTAGACAAATGCAAATAGAATTCAGAAAATAGCGAAATAATCAGTCAATCGTGTTCGTGTGAAAATTCCGTTAATATGCATTTCTTATTTACTATTTATAAAATATTTAAAGAATGTTGTGCTGCATTGAAAAGGGTAACTGGTTTTAGATCTGTTCAAAACGCAGCAATATATAATTATATAGAAATAAGAGGGCAAGGGCGGCCAGATTACTTGCATTTATATATGAGCCATATGGAATATGTTGCTCGTTACGAGACGATTAACCTTTTGAAACATTTCGAAACCAAACTAGGTGTATAATATTTGAAGATATACAAAGTTGCTGCGCGTGAAACCACGAAAGACTTATAACGAGTGAGCACAGGAAATGGACAGCTCCGTGAGCAAAATTGGCGAAAACGAGAGTGGAAGGTGGACCTCAATTTATGTTGCCGCTGCTTCATGCGACATTTCGCCTCATAGCCTCTAATGAATTCCGCTCAAAAATTCCACGGAATGTGATAAGGAATCAGCTATGATGGTCGAGTTTTGAGACGAACATGCTTTCGCAACATATTCCTCAGAATTCTCGGTCGGATTACAAAAAATATGGAAGAAAATTGCGGAATGAGCGGACATACTAACAAGACATTGGTGTGTTGCAGGTGTAATCGGCACAAAATTCCTGCCTCCCGAGAATTTATACGAGAGCAACTCCGGAAATTCGCGCAAATGCATAAATTATGTACACGTTTATCAGACTACTAATGAGTGATAATTGAGAAATTGATAGGGGATTTACACGTATTCAGTATAGAACCAACAAGCTTAACAATCAAAATATGAATAATCTTGCGATAATTATGAATGTGACAAATGAGCTCAAAATAGTTGACGACGATTGTAAAATCTTTGGTGGCTGCGTTTCTATTTCTGGAGCCTCAGTGACACTTTCTTCGTTTTGAACTCCTTCGCCACAGTCGATAACATTATCACTCTTGAATCTGTTCTGTTCGACGTCGAATTCGTCTAATATCTTCTCAAGCTTATGATCTTCTTCTGAAATGATGAAGTAAATAAATATGATTTTCAAATCTATTACCTAGTATTGTTATCCAATATATTGTGCACTTCCCCTTGTAAAATTCACGAGTATAATCGACTTCAACCTTTATAAAAAGTCAATTAAGAAAAATCGAAATTGAAGTGAACCTTGTAAATTGGCACGTTGCAACGTTTCGAAATTGCTTTCTGAACTCCAACAAGGGTCAAATTAGATAACACAGTCCAACGGAATGAAGCCTTAAACAAGTAACTGGTATGATTCCATCCCTCACGTGTTACCTCAGAGACTTTAACCAATGGGTAGCATCCAATTATATTATTATTAGCAGAACGTATTCTCATATGTTTTCCAACCACTAAAAACTATATTATTCTTCTGCTTCATGGTTAAAAATCTGTCAATTGAAATTTATGATGAGCGAATAAATTTTTCGATTTATCACGTGTTTTGCTACCGTATTCACAACTACTGTGTCTACGTCGCTTCTTTTAAAAAATTTCTACCCGAATAAGGTCCCGATAAGGGGAGCATTTGAGCAGTCAAATGATATCTCGCATGCATCAACATCGGCTTGGAGCGATTTGCGGCACTTCCAATTGGGCATAATTCATGGCGTTGAGGTGTACACTCAGTTTCCTGAATTGCGTTCGTTTAACTGCCTGTTTCATGATAATTCCCACATTAGCATGAAATGGATTGAATATAATTGATGATTTGCATGTCATGTTCTGCATATTGACTACTTCCCAATAAATGCGCTCCTAAATATGCCAATTGAAAAAAATATGAAGGAGATTGAGAATATTCCTACTGGATTTGTTCTTGGATTCACGTCATTTTTATAATTCAGCGAATAATATACTTCCGTTGGATATCCGACCTCCCAATTTGATTCCGCGTATTGGGTCTATACACAGAGTCGATTAAATGCTTCATAATATCACATTGGTTACCAGTTTTATGTATCCTTGTAACGGCTCATTGAATTCAGCGAATACTATGGTCCTTTCACTTAACGGTTCAAAATGTCCGCAGTAAACTTGTTTTCCATCTTTTAATATAACTGAAGTTCCAATCATACTAGTACTGCCAGTAACAAAATTCTCATCTAATATCAAACTGCAACAAGACACTATTAAAATCTTTTCTAGGCAGTCTTGAATTTATTACCTTGAATCATTGAACTCTTTTCCAAGATTTATTTTAATATCGTCGATCCAGCTAACATTGGTGATAGCACCAAGGTTTTTTTCTCCACATGGAGGTCCCGTCGTAATAGTCCTATCGATAGGGCGGTAATGGGCGTTGGCTTCCGAGAATATTTGTTTCTTGTTTATAATGATCTGAAGGTTAAAAATGTGCTTCAACAAAACTTTTATTCCATTAAGAAGACAAAGACAAAAACGAAAGACAGCGTGACAAAGAAACCACACGAACATAAAGTGTTCACCTCTGTATAATTGTTTGCGGGGTATTCCAAAGCAACAATTGAAGCAACGGTAGGAGAATGAAATGGCGAAAAACGTTTGATTAAGGCATGCATTGTAAGTGCCCCTGTTGGCAATTTAGTTGCATTCGCGCACACCTTAAAGCATTTAATTGAAGGGAGAAGGAACAATGGTAGTTAACCTTCATCCAATCGAGATCCACTATTATAGACTTTGCATCTGATATATTAAACCAATCAAATACACCGGTCATTGATACTAAACCGACCAATTCGTCATAGAATTGAAATTGATTTTTACCTGCTGGTTCATTCTTTCCGACAATAACTGCTGCATTTTCGACTCTTGGGCAATCTTCGCAAATCATATGAGCGCATTTATATCCTGATGTTGTCTTGTTCGAAACTACTATCGTCGCTCTTGTCGATATTTCATCAAACAAATTCCTAATTTCGCCAGTTAATAGAACTTTATCATCGGTATCGACTAATGAGATTCTGGAAGATAACAATTCATATCAGACATGTGACACGAGTGGATCACCTTCCAATCATGGGGTGTATGAAGTTCGCAATAGCCACTGGGCGCGAAAATCTTGGCCTCAAAACGCTACACCGGTTTTTATGAACAAGCGACTGAAAAAGAAATGTTACAACGATAAATTGAGTTTTGACCAAACCTTGAGTAAAATGGATTCTGACCCAAAAATGTTTACAGACGGGTAATATGAATGGAATTCGTTGTGAATAGTTTCCGTTGAAATATCAAGGCAATCATCTCTAATGTTTAATTGATTCGGCGAATATTCCAACGCGCGAACTGCGTCGAAGTAATGTTCCTAAAACCGAATTCGGTATTTATTTTTGCTATAATTTTTTTTTACCTGAGACAATGTGACACCTAGAGCTTTCACTGTTCTTGGTTCAACCGTTTGAATGAGTGCGCAACTATATAATTGGTCGCTTTGAAAAATTGCCAAATAATGAAGAGAAATATTCTGGGGAATTTCTGTAAACTTCAAATTGCCTATTAATCATAATTAATTTTATTACCATAAACAAATGTCGCTCTTGAATCGACACCAATTTCGCTATAATCCGTATGTTGTGTTGCATTTTGATTGCATTCATCAACGAATGCCCACGTCAAAATTGCTTTAACCGGCTCCACATTCGCATATTTTTGCATATATTTTAAATCAGGAACGAGACGAATCAAATTGTTTTTGAGTGTTATGATGTGAACGTGGCCTTCTATTGGTTCCGCGTGGAAGACGGCGTGTCGCAAATCGGTTCCAGGAAGTATCACAGTAGCACACGCGAGTACCTATTGAGACAACACATCAAATCGAAACGATATAATAATTACCTCGCTATTATCACCGGAAATGACCAACGTGTTTCCAGCAAGGCCATCTGCCGTAATCGTGGAATCGCTTAGCGGTTTGTTTTTCACAACTGGCGGACTTTTCTTCACTCGCCGACAGTTATCTGTCATCACAGCCATGTCATATGGAGCCGAAGACATATGTACAGACCACACCAAACTACCCGGTGGTTTTTCTTTGATATCGAATGTGACAAAATACATCGATCCATTATTATCTGCAGGTGAGATCTGAAAAAAAGTGTCGAAGTCGAATTCAACCGAATGATTCATCGCCTCCCGCGAGCGAAGGTTAATCGTGTCTTTCCTCACTTTTATCAATATTGATTCTCTTTTTTTTAGAAAATGACTAGCAATCCGTTAAAAATCAAAAAATTTGGCCTTCAGTGGCGAAACGAAACAGACTCGTCAATATATATATATATAATAAACAAAATCAGGTTCCCTTACCGACACAAATCCTTTCAACTTTTCGCCGTAGATGAGCGTTTTATAAAACGGTGGATCAGCGACATCAGCAGAATAAGAATCAATTAATTGGATAGAAAACAGAATATACAAAGTTGACAGAACTCGCGAATTTGCGGCGGGGTACATTATCACTGACAACTTCTCCTCTTATTTCTTTTCCTTCTGATACCATAGACGCTCGCTAGTGGTAGTTTGAGAACGACTGCGCGAGAAATGCCACAATGATCAAGAGAAACGGAGAAACGGTGGGCGAATTCGAAAAGGGCCGATGATGGAGATGAAGATGATGATATGCTTGTGTGTAATACTGTTCCATTTTTAAAATAATAATAATCATACATTTGACAATTTTATTTTGTCTTCAATAAATGTTACATTTTATGTCATATTGCGTTCGGTGGTTAACATTCAAAAATATACCCGTTTAATGGGAACATAACACTAAATTTAAAAAAAAACCTGGTACAACAATAGAATAACCCTATAACAAGAAAGAAACTCTTCAAAAAATGATTGAGAAACCGTAATTTTGACAAGTCATTAAATACCAGAATATTGAGAAAGAATGAAAGGTAAAAGTTTAAGATGCAATTGCTGCTGGAGAATGAGATGAATCGTTTAATGTAGTTGAATGAGAAAGTGTCTGTATCGTCTCCTCTTCCTCAATATAATCTGAAATTTGGTTTATTATTCGAATAATAATAATAATAATCTACCATTCTGGAAAGTTTCATCCTCTTCTACGACATCTTCTGTAAGTTCTTCAAGCATATTATACTCGGACACGTCTCTGTTGCCTATAAATTCGTTATTTTTAATATCTATGAAATCCTACTTACAATCAGAATTATCAAACGGATTTCCAGTATCAGATGTTGAGGTATATCTAGATAATCGATGAGCATATCTGAATTAAAATTATTACTTTTACTCAATGGAATTAGTTTTCTAACTTTTCTTGTTGTTTAGCAATCAATTTTGGTGGAACTCTTGCGCGTTTTAGGCCACCATCCCAATCTAAATCAACAAGTCCTCCTTTGTTCGCAATTGTTTTCTTAACACGATTCGCAAAATCAACTGCGTCTTCTCCTTCCTACAAGAATATAATTTCAAATGAAAGTTGAATGAATAATTAATGCAAGAACATTTCGAACGAGTACATTTTGAAACGATTGCCTTGTTGTAAAATGTTACCTTCAAACAATCGCCTTCAAAAACAACAAGTTACTTACTTCCTTGATCATCGGCGGCAAATACCAAACATTGCAGATAATTGCCCACGAGGTCATCATTCGCATGACATAGCCAAACCACGACTGTTCAGAGCTGTTCCAGAACGCATCTCCAAATCGTGAGTCGTATTTCATTGCAATTGGGTAGATAGTAGTTCCAATTTCAAACGATCCCTTCTTGAACATCATCACTGACGTGTTGTTAATGCATGTTCCCTCCGGGAAGATCAGGACCGGAAGCTTGTCTGGGTCAGTACAATGCTCTCGAAGTCGTTGCGCCACGATCATTCTGTCTTTGGCTTCACTTCTTTCGAACCAAATATGACTTGACGCTCGAGAAAGTGCACGCTGTATAACCCCAAGAAGTCCGTCGTGTTTTTGCCCGATGAGCGCATAAACGTTGTCGATAGATAGAATCATAGCATCAATTGGAGAGGTATGATTAGCGACGCAAATTCCTTAAAAAAACACGGTTCTTCTAATTAATAGGTATCTAATTCAAACCTTGACCATTCGCCTTGTAATGATCGTCGTGGAAGTAGACGACAGCGGTGAGACTTCTTGAAAGAATTCGATAACAGATAAGCATGCACTTATAGTTCAAAACCCTGCAATCATCAACGTTTTTCGAACGTTTCGTTATCATACTTTTTCCAACTGTTCACTGGAACGAGACCTATTAGTGCAGTGGAACTGATCAAGAAAGTGATGCCAATACAGAACAAGGTGAATCTGAGCGGAAGCATAACACAGTAGCGGAACAGAAATCCAATAATCCATAGTGCGCTAAGTTTCCAGCTGGAAATTTGAAAATCATTTCTCATTAATTAATAGTAACATACTTAACAAATTGATAGAACTTGATACTGGTTCTTGTGAGCATGTTCCATGTCATAAGTTGTTCTGCTTCGAATCGGCTCGTCACTTCGTCTTCAATTATTGCTTCCATTCCAGCCTAGAACATCAGAAAATATTAAATAGACTCCTTTTTTCGCTCAACCTTGACGAAATCGATAGAATCTCGAATAGCAGCCCATCCACGACTTTTTACGAATACTTCCTCCGGAATATTTTCATCAACATTGTCATCAAGATTGATTTGCGTCTCTCTTTTTATGATTCCTACTAAATAAGTTAGCGTAAATTGAAAAAAATTTTACCCAAGAATTCATGCAGAACTTATGGTTCTAGAAAAAAAAGCAAAAACTATCACAACGTACATGTGCTGCAGTCCGACAGCTTTCGGCTCCGAATGCTGCAAACAGAACCCATCGAACCAAGACCTGAAGAAAGTGACTAACACAAACGCGGAGGCATGCAAAACATATATAGGGAATAGAAAAAAGCTAAAGATTCAAAAAAAAGAAGAAGCTTAACCAATTTTTTTTCAAATCCCTAATTGTTTAAAAACTCACTGCTTGTCGAGCCAAATTTTTTTTTGAGATTGCATTTATCGTCATCGGCAAAGTCCGAATCAACTGATGGGTTATCATCTTCTGATTCGTCGCGATTGGAAATCGAATCAAATGCGTCAATTTCATCTTCGTCATAATCCGATGTTGGGAAAACTGTGCTTTCTTTTCGTTTTATTTGTTCCGTAGTTTTGATTTGACGTGCGCCCCACTGAAATGATTATTGCTGACATTATGAATTATTATCAGGATTTTGCGTTTACAAACCGAAACAAGAGACCCGAAATTGGTCAGGAACCTACCTCAAAAATATAGATAAGAGTGTCGACGTAAATTTGTCGTAGTCCCAACGATTTTCCAAAAGTCGCCAGAACAATGCACAATAACACTGTTAAGGCAACCGGTGGAAAACAAAACGTCGATATCAGAAAGAGCACATGCTCAAGGCCAAGCATGTTTGATGAAATGCTGCGGTATCTTTGTTGGTGGTCTGTAAACGAATTAATTAGTTGTTGAAAAAAATGATGTACATATGATAAGAAAATGTCAGCGAAGAAAAAACAGTGTGACAAGATGCAGAAAAAAGATGAAGAGATGAAAAAAACAAGTCATCGAGCAAGAAACAAGAATAACGGCAGATACAACATACATTCGAGCAGAGTTCAAAAAACACAACATTCATACAAACAATATGCAGGTGCGTGCAATTGCGTGTAGGTCAAATTGCTACCCAAAAAAAACTGTGCGTCCAATGTCGTAGATTGTTGCGATCTTATCCAAGTAAATATGTATCCATTGAAAACCAAGTTTGAATGAAAATTTGACATTGATAGATAAGATTGAGAAGGCACGACGAATGCCGATCACACCATAGAACCTCGCGTGAAAACAAAAAGTCTCACTAGTCATTCAAAACGAAGTGATGTTGCGAAGTGTTTGTGGTGCAAAAACAGTTGTTCAATCTGAGGTAACTAAAAAAAAACATTTGATGCTACTACCTCCAAGAAGGGGCGTTGGAATTATTTTTTCGTTCCTTTTAGCGCTCGGCAATTTTCGGGTGCGAGAATTCAAAAAAAAACACACACACAATGCGCTTTGATATTGAAACGTGATAGCAATTGAATTCGCATAACAACAAACAACTTGTTTTAGATTAAAAATTTTTGTCTACCAAAAAATTTTTTCAAAATCGTTGTTTAAATGTCAATTACGTAGTGAAAGCGGTACCGTCGACAAAAAATGCTGACGCGTATTAATACATTTTTGTATGAATTTTTAATTGACACTAACTCTGGGGGGAGGGGGGGACTAAGAATTTTGATAAATGAAAAGCGGCAGGTACGTCAAATAGTATTGGCAGCGAATACGAGGAATTTTTGATGATTCAGTTTTCGAATTTTGTTCGTGGTGCATCGCGCTCGTCTCCGTTTCTTTGTGTCCGCAGAAATATGCGGCACACTCATCTGCAATATTGCGTCAGATTCGAGGCAATGCAGACTTTGAGTGTCGCGTGATGATGTTGCTCCTGCGCGTTGCGGATTACGAAACCGTTTGAATAGAAAACGTTGCGAATGAAAAAAAAACCGTAATCAATTAAGACCACGTGTGACTAATTAAATAAAATGAAGGGGGGGGGGGGAGATTTCGCATTGGTTACATGTTTGTGAATTTGATGTTTGAATCTTTAAGAAAAGTGTTCGAAAAGCTGTTAACCAATTTTATTCATATGATTTGTAACAAAAGTAGAAAGATAATTTAAGGATTTTGAGAAAAAATATATTGTGCGTGGAAATTTCTCGAAACAACGATAATCAAATATTTGATAACGAAAAAACAAAGAGTAGTCATATCGATGGAAAAAAGCAAGATTTTTCTATTTTTAGTGGATATAAGAAAAATCTAAATTCCAATTCCTAGTGAGATTTTTTCGTTAATCATAATTCTAAATTTATCAGTCGAATATGAATGACAGAAATAAAACGAAATAGACGATGACGTAAGCATTTTGAAACTGCGGAATCCGCTTTAGGTTCTCGTTTAAGAGGTTCAATTAAAAAACACTAGGAAAATTACATATTTTAGAGCATAAAAATTTGTGAGTGGCATGACAACCGTTTTTTTTTTTAAAGAGAGTTGTTTTCGTAAAAAAAACGAAAAACATATTCGCATAGATTTCAGTGTGTAGAATTCGTTCATTTTATGGACAATACATATTATAAATATTTTGCCGTTTACAAATACTCTCTCCTTCATCTTATTCACATTCTCTTATTTATTCAGAATGCAACCACGTCAGTTCATATAAAATGTTTCGAGTTGACAAATTTCTCGTGATCACATATTTTTGCCATTTTTAGCAATTTGACGCGGCGAAACGTTATAGAGATGAGACAATATAAAGTAGCTTCTGGAATATGCATAATATGCATAAGCAGAAAAGAAATGTGATTTACGCGGAATCGAATCCCCAGGGATATTTCTATTTTCAGATAATAGTAAAAATATTTTCAATAGTAAAATTATTTTAAATTCGGTTAAAAGAATATTGATAGTACTAATAACATCTTATTGCGTTAATGAAAAATAAAATGAGTCTTTAAATCGTAAGCTCACAATTTTAGGATATAAATATGAATATGAAATTGTATGCAACGTAGCTTTAAAATATATTCATTACTATTTCAACATATAATTATTTTTTACGTCATTTCATTTTGTTTGTTCACCAACACAATCTCATTTTCTGCGGTTGAATAGAAATCAATTGAGCCGACTAGCTAAACCTTTCATACCTGCTCTCATAACGTTATCTTCATTTTTTTTGCACGGAAGAATGAAAAATAGCTCAAACGAACCCATCAAGAAAGCACATTTTCCGCCATTTTGTTTTTACGATGACACTTTATTAATAGCACCTCAGAAATGTTTTGTTGTGAAGCTTTGTTGAAGGGTAACGATAGCAATTTGGCCTCATATATGTTGAAGTTGTTTGCTCAACTGTGAGGTTAGCTCTTGCGCACAATATACAGTTTTGTTTGCAAGTTTTCGTCTATCTAGGCAGTAATACTTATAGTAATGTATGTAATATTAATAATATGCTATCACAGTCAATTCCTCCCTTCGAATTTTATTTTATTTGAATTTTTATAAGTTAGATAGCAATAAGGAAACACGTCGCCACATATTTTTTACGACATTGTTTATTTTTATTGATTTATTCGAAAATAAAAGAAATCCTTCTTTTACCATTTTTTTATATAGCAGGCATAGAAATTTGAAAGCTTTTTTTCTTAACTTCGTTCGATTAGAAGAAAACGTAAATCGTAAAATAAAGAAATAATCTGATCAAAGTGATAGTAAAAATTAAATATTCTTAGTTTTTCGTAAACAATGGCTAAGATAATGAAGAAAGTCATTTTTCATTCAATCAAAACTGTTATTAACTTTCCCTCAAATATTATTGGTATTAACATTTTAACCTAGATATTATTATATCCGATCAGTTTTTTATGAGATCGTTGTGATGAGAGCGACGTTTTGCATTTTTGCGTCTTATCGATCCTCCACATAGTCAGGTTTTCGTTGGAATACCTCGTGCGGGAGTGTCCAAATGTAGAGGTCACACTCAAGCGACCCAGTTCCTGTATTCTCGCAGAACAACCGCTTTGCTTTCCTATATCTTGCCCGCGATTAGTTTTGACAACGATCTAACTAAAAATTTCGCTAATTCAGAATGAAATTTCTCCTTCTTGCCGCTCTTTTGTTGGTGTCCGTCAACGCAAAAGAAGATAAAAGTGTCAAAGATTTGGCAAACGGTATCGTTTTTTCTTGTTTTTCAAACTTTTATAAATTGCCAGTTGCAGGTTTTCCTAGTGCTATTGAATGGGTCGAGTACGACAAAGCTGTTGGTATTGCGAAAGACCTGAATAAACCAATCTTCTTCCTCATTCACAAAACATGGTGCGGCGCTTGCAAATGTGAGTGACTTCCTTTTCTCATTTTTCGATTGATTTATTGTATTGCATTGTAGCCTTGAAAAGAGAACTTCAAGGATCACCAAAGACCGATGAGCTGATTCTCCTCTCAAGAAAATTTGTTATGGTTAATGTGGAAGATGACGATGAGCCGGAGGATCCCAAGTTCGCCCCGGATGGTGGATACATTCCAAGAATTTTGTTCCTAGGTATGAACAAGCCGTGGATTATAGATAAATAATGCATTTCAGATACTGATGGAAACCCATTGAAGACTAACAACCAACAAAAATACAAAAATAACAAATACTTCTATCCATTAACTGCCCAAATCATTGATGGAATGGAAAGAGCTCTTCTTGAGTTTGGAGCTGATGACACTGTGCGATAGAATAGTTCTGATCTATTATAATTACAATCTTTCAGGAAACCACAAAGAAGGGAGATGACAAGAAGGTTGAGAAGAAGAAGGAGGAAAATAAGAAAGCTGAGAAGAAGGAGGAAACTAAGAAGGCAGAGAAGAAGGATGAAAAGAAGAAGAGCGAGAAGAAGAAAGACGACAAGAAGAAGGACGAGAAAAAGAAGGACGAGAAGAAGAAGGATAACAAGAAAAACGAAGATAAGAAGAAGGACGACAAGAAAAAGAAGGATGACAAAAAGAAGAAGGACGATAAGAAGGTTGAGAAAAAACAGAAGGTAGCCTTTAAAATTTTTCAAATTTATGTCAATAGTCTCTTGCAGAAGAACGTCGAGTTGTAAACGCGATTATTCATGTGATGTTATAAGTACTGGTTCAACAATGTTTTATTAATAAATTAATGAAGACTCCACTTAATCAGTTGAAGTGTGCACTTCCTCGTCGTTCTTCTTTGGTGGACGGAAAGTTTTCTTCCAAACCTCAGCAAAACAGGCCGAGCTGTGGAATCTGAACAAAATATTGTTTCAAACGGTCTGATGAAAGCGAATACCTATAGAAAATGATCAATGGGGAGCATCCACGAACGACAATAGCCCAATAATACGATCCATACATTGAAAGAAGTTCATCATTGATTCCGGCCTTTGAAAAAATTCGCTAGTATTTTTTATTCAAATGTAAAATACTTTTTGGGCTTCAAACACATTCATCAAGAATTGAGCGCAGTTCATCATCAGCAACATCGTGACCACTTGTTTTCCCGGTTTGTAACGCAACATATGTTTATCAGTTTCGTCAATTCTAAGTTTTGAAGCAACAAGGATCAATCCGCTTTGAACTGTGACTTGAACCTAAAAATTATACACTGTTATCTTCTCATTTTATTTTTATTACCAATCTTAGGATATTTGTGATGAAAATGATAAGTGGCAGGCCGATTGTCGCGTTGTTAATGAAGGACAAAATTGCGCCTAAATATTACTTTTGCAATCTTGTTCCAATAATAAAGCTTACCAAGAGCGAAAATGAGTTCTCCGATCAATCCAACAACGAGAAGGATTCGATCGAGCAGTTCAGCATTGTCATCCTCACGATCATCATCTTCTTCAAGATATTTAAGAAATCTTAGTCTCCAGAAAGCGAAAATCACAAGAATCGTGGAAACAATGAAGAAGAACATGTTGGTGCAGGAGAAAATCTGCAAGAGATTAGTAAAAATTGACGTCTGAATCAATTGGTGATTACCCATTGTGCGACATCTTTTTTGGAAGAATATGCATTGAAGAGAGCAATTGCGATAATTGTGACTATTATGCACGCAAAACCAGCAAATAGTCCTTCAGCAGTACGGGAACAGTCGATTTTCAGAATGCTTCTTTTCCGCATTCTGTTCTCGACCTTAAAGAGCATAAAATATATAAATTCATTTATATAAGTAAAAAGTGAAACCTGCTCTCGTTTGCAACGCTCGATGTTTGTCCAAAACACAAATGCTACTCCTGCACAAATTAGGGAGTATTCAACAACGCAAGTGTACCTACAGAATACCTCGTTAAATCCACAAACAACAAAAATTGGCTTCATTTGATGATTGAGGCGATCTACTTACATGAACTCATTATAACCTTCGAAAACACACAATACACCTTTGCACGTTTCAGTTTTATTGGAGTGGGTGATATCTGAAAATGATTTGACACGTTAAGAAATTTGATTATTGTTAACTACCATGGGTGTGATTATTTCTTTTTTCGTGGGTGAGATGACTAAAAAATAATATAACTCTAATTAGATCAATTTATATTCTTCACGTACATAATTTCCTTCACGGTTTCGACTTCTTCATAAATAATATACTTGAGCCACATCCACAGATTTGTGCCTGTTAAATGCATAAGGCCAACTCTTGCAAAATTGCCCGCACCAGTGAATATTATCTAAAGAAATAAATTTCAAATAATGAACTAATTGCTAATTAACCTTTCCGTTACAATATACAAACCACATTTGAAGGAATACGAAAACGGCCGCCATTGAATTCAACGTATCAGACCTATTGACAGAAAGTATATATAAGTATAAAACTCTCTCTATCATATACTTACATTGCGCTGCATTCACCTTCTGTGGTTGTCCATCCAAGAATGCAAATTATGAAAATTAGTAGGTAATATACCACGCCAATGACTCCAAAAACTGAAAAATTAATAATAATTATTATTAATTAAAGGAATAAATGTTACCAACGCATCCTAGACGTAAATACAAACTGCCAGTTGAGGTATTAGCGAGAACCTTAAAATCATGTTTTTTTTAATAATTATAAAATTCCGCAACCTCTGGCTCCTCACCAAAAGGGGTGGCACTTCGCCGAATAGTGTTTCTTTTTTGCTTTATTTCAATATGCATTTGATAAACTAAAAATGCACAATAGAGTATAAATGCTATCGAACCACCATGAAGCCAAATTCCTAAGATCTGAAAAAGTATAAAACTATCAAGATATCGTCATTATTTTTTATATTACCAAGTCCTTATAACCAGACTTTGTTGAAGATTCAGGGGAGCCAATAATGTTTGATAGCTCTATAACTATTCCCGTAATTACTATAAATATTGCGTAAAAGCAAGTGAATAACTTGAAAATATAAGATCTGCAATTACTTTATTTGTTTCCCTTTTTCGGCAATTTTAATTGATACCTTGACTTTGAGCTTGAGACCCATAATCTCTTCTTGAGTGGAAATCTCATCCTAACTTCATTCCTATGTTGCATGTGTGACGAATTTTCGCTGCTCCTATCAATCAATTCGAAATTTTCTTTCATTCCAAAGTGCATATCTAAACACAAAGGAAAATAAAGCATGAAGCGCAACTGGAAACCTTAAAAACGCGTTACAAACGAAGGAAAACCAATTTAAAAAAAATACAATCATACCTCATTTGTTTTAATATTTAATGTTTGATTTTGGAATATTATGAAGCATACGTTCGGTCGATGATAACACTGCAAGATAGGCATATATTTGAGGTGCGGACATTGCGTGCAAACACAACGCATATATTGTGATGCCAACTGTGAGTATTATATTTGCACTTCGAATAGTATTTCCAACGAAAGATTCACACATTCCTTTAGTTTGAAGTGTTACCTTATGAAGATCAAATCCTAAAACAGTGTTGATATGAACTGACGAAAGAAATGGTACAAATCAGTTCAACTTGAAAATGTACTCAAAAATTGTACATTTGACATTCTAGCGTGAATATTTTTGTAAAAATATAATCAACAATACATAAAAACAAGGAAGAACGAGGTTTGAGTGCGCAAACTTTTGTTGCGATTTCTTCAGCCTTTCAGGTACATCTTTTACGTTAGTCGTTGTGTAGCAAAGATTGATGGAATTCTGTTTGTCCAGACATTGAAAAGATTTTCCACGGAGTTGATTCTCCCTAACTTACAAAATCTTAAAAAAATTGTCCAATTTGAAAAAAAAATCAACGTTTTCATATATAATTGATTTGGAAATATTTGGAATGTCCCCGGCCTACACAAATTTTCCTTATCGCTCGTCTGTGTGAGCTTATCACAATTCGAAGCTAACATATTTAGAATTTTATTTGTTTTGTGTGTCATTCACTTAAATCTAAACTTTTTGCAAGTTTAGTTTATATATGTATGTATAGATAAGTATAAAATCATCAGTATACAATATATGAAATAGGCAGCATAATTACGGTATCGCATAAAGAGACCAAATATGGCGAATGTTTGTCCAGAAAAATACATAAAATTAACAAGAAAGAATACGTAGTGAATGAACAAATTGAAATCTACTAGGAAGAATTTATTACACAATTTGCTCTCTTCTAGTGGTTGTCGTCGTAGTAGTGGTGGTTTGTTGAACTTGTCCATTAGCCAAGTAGCTGTCCTATAAATAAGACTTAAAAGTAAACTATGATTTTTAGACGATTAATTGAACCTCGGTGCTTGGTGAATCTTGTTGTCTTGTGTAGTCCACTGTGGAATTCTGACGAGACGAACGGTCCTGGATATGAATTGGAACTGTCTCTTCAACACGATTCTTCGCCAAAATTCCCACTGGTTTTCTGCTGGCAATCGTACTAGTATATTCCACATTTTCAATCAATGGTTTGTCAGACCCATATTCCCCTTTGTAGTTTGTATCAATTCTAGAATTGTTCTCGTAACAATCCAAACGGTAGAAATGACTCACTTTCTAGTAGTAGCCGTATGCGAATCGTAATTGTCATTTTCATAGGATTCTCGGACGTATGTCGATTCCTTCTCTTCGGCAGTTCTTCGATTGAGAATGCTGAAGCAACTAAATAAGACAATTTTCTTAGTTTATAATAAGTACTAACATAATGTATGACAAGATCAAGCATAGAATCAGTAGGAGAGCAATTCCTAAAAGACAAGCAAGAACAATAGTCCATGTTCGGAAAGCATAAGCAACACCCTGTATGTATAAAAATATTTGAAAACTCAACAAGATTCACATACCGTTTCCTGAAGCACAATTGCTCCAGCACATGTACCGTTATAGACGCCGTGAGTGCAAACATAACAATCAACGACCTAAACATATTGGTAATTTAGCTTCTTTTGTTAGAAAGAAAAAGGGGACAATTTAATTTCCAGTAATATGATTTGTTGTTTTAAAATAATCCCCATATTCAGTTCAATTTATTGAATAGTCTCACGTATTCCAGGAAATATTTTGTTAACATAAAATGTTGAGTTTAATCTCGTTTAATGAATTCGTTTGATGCTCGATCATTAATTATACTTTTTTTTTCAAATTTTACCTGATTCCTATAATTATTCCACTTGCAAGCTGAAAATGTTTCAGTTCTATTACTGTAGCATATAACAAGTCTATTTGGCTGTGCATTAGTCGCGTTGCATGTCAAATCACAGAGTGGTCCCATCATGTTGTTGATGCACTGAACATTCAGATTCATTTGTAACCTGAAAAGACGTTCAATTTTCACTTTTTTTCCGATATTTATCTTACTGTGATTGCAAAAGTTGGCCTGTTAGTGTTAACGTTTGCTGTTGCGGCAAATTGTTCTCATTGAATGTTGACATATCAACAACAAATGAGTCAACCTGTAAAATGCATTACTCACGATATGCATAATGAACCTAGAAAAATACCAAGGAGAGATGGTTGAAGAAAAGAAGTTGGCCGGTAGTCTGAGCAATGACAACACCGAGATGCTGTACGAACACATCAATAGACACCTAGACGAATAATTATTTTCTGATTTTTTTTTTCGTGTGCCCTACTGGTTTGGTGTTCATCAAAAATGTGTACTGATTTGTCCAATTTCCCGTTGTCATGACACCATTTGGCGGTACAGGATAAAAGTTCGATTGAACATATTGAATCGACTGGCTGGAATTAAACGGTATTGTTTGATCTAGTTATCATTAGTCATTTGCTTTTATTATTGCGAGCGCGCACAATTTATCAGCTGATGGCTTAGAATTGCCAGCAGTGATAGAGATAGCAACTTACTCGGCGCACGATATCACGATCACGAAACTGAATTGGCATTGATTTTGCTGATTGCTAGGCACGAAATTACAATTGGAAATTGGACAATTGCACGTCGTGTCGTTTGGAAGACGAAGCCCAGAATTAGTATACGATGTCAATCTTAAATCCACTTGAGCCCCTTTCAGTAGATCAGCTACTGATCTTCCAGAGGTTCCTTGAATCTAAAAAAACAATATAATGACTTAATCACGCAACGCTCAGTACCCCTCCATAACCTCCCATTGCCCCGTACTGTCCATACTGAGTCATCGATGCGGCACCATATCCATAACCAGCCTGTTGCGCTGTGCCTTGAATACTGCAAACAGAAATGTCGCGATGTGTTCGATACAATTTTCAAAGTGCTAGAGGGACACATTCAAGGTTGGATTCCCATTCAACTCACTTTTCTTGAATATTGATTGTTCGTTGTTCTTTGAACTGACCACCAAAATTATTGGGAACAACGGGTCCTGGTCCTACGATAACATGTGATTGTTGGTACCTAGATCCAGATAAGTAATAGTTACGAAATAAAAAACCTTATCTATTGATTGAAGGGTGAACAATATTGGTTAATCGTGAGGAAGTATTGAAAATTAATGGTTCGCTGATGTTTCACAAAAATAGAAAACAAAACAATTGTGATTTCGCACTTAAAATGAACTAAGCATACCGTTGCGATCCCCCAGCCTGATATCCAGCTTGTTGTTGATGAAAAGTACCAATTTGTGCTCCAGCTCGATATTGGGTTTGTTGGTATTGAGCTCTAGAGGTTTGCATGATTCCAATAACCGCAACATAATTAAGCAGCACGTAAGCTCTCATGGCGAGACCAGAGGGCCCAAATCAATTCACCCTATAGTCGAGGAATCGCAATGCTATCGTACAAATAAGGGAAGGAGAGCGGCGCGAAACGAGGACGGTCGCTATCTTTTGAGCACGCCCACAATTGAAGAGGGAAAAGAATACAGTGCCATGATATATGAATAAATAAATAAATAAGGAAATGCGTTTGACGGTGAATCATCAAAAGCTCATGAACGGCGTGACCTTAAAAGTCGATTGAGGTGACCGTGATGTTGTAAAAATAATAACACGTTCATTTCAATGGGTGATGGAAAGAATGCTAATCATACAGAACATCAAGAGGCATCACGCATTAATTTTCGAAATCACGAACTATTTATAGGAATCTAAAAGTTAAAAAAATAGTATTTCGTTTAATTTTTAATATTCTTGTATTGAAGACTTTTTTTAGTACATTTTTTTTATTAACGCGAAAACCATTTTGAGAGTACTTTAACTTCAAATTGTAGGTAAAGTTTAATAGCCATTTCAAATTGTCAGAGTAAACATATCATCATGATATGTTGATACAGTTATCGAAATTATTTTCCAATTATGAATCGTTTTTTCATTACTATTAAATCTAATAAAATTTATTTCATTATTAATATGTACATTGATTATTATCATTTACACTCGGGCTTCTCTTCTTGGTTTTGAAGTTGGATAGTCGTCTATACTTCTCTGAAAATATTGAATGTCATAAAATTTTCCTATATTTTGCTCACCTCTTCATAATTATAATTATCTAATCCTTCTCGACCCTGAAAATTAATAATTTTTTAAAATACAATATCACCATTTCATTAAATACCACAATAAAAGGACCATCGCCTGATCTTGTGTCTTCATTTAATCGTTTTCTTTTTGTGTATGTGTAGCTTATGTCGCCATCGTACAACACTTGGTTTGCTCTTGGTTCGGGAGTTTCAGACCATTCATCAGTTGTTACTATTTCCACTTCATCTCGTTCTTTCCTAAACTATTCAAGGTAACTATCAACAACGTCAAAAATGTATTGGAAACAACGCAAACAGAATAGCGCGCTAATCTATTTGCTCGCCATCCATAAAAGTGCGGCCGCTTGGTGGATTATGAGAGCATTCGGATCCATGAAAACATGTTTGCGCTCAGTAACGCTATGAATGGCAAACTAAATATGAGTCACCTTTTCATGAAAAAACAACCGATCAAGATTATGAGAAGCAGAATAAGTATGGCACAAAGAATAAGGAAGGCAATAAATAACCAAAAATACAGGTTTTCCTTGCTCTAAAACATGTTATTTTTTAGAAAATCTGCATACAACCTGAATTACCTCACTACAATTAGCTGGAGTTGTAGAAATGTAAGTATCAAAGTAAGAGCAATCTTCTGCAAAAAATCAAGAATTCTATTTAAAACTCGACAATGAAATAAAATAGTCGCTTCAAAATTATATAATTAAGACTATTATTATTAAAAACTAATAGTTTCAATCCATTAATTTAAAAAACGTGGGAATTTTTATCCACACTCTTTTTTAATCTTAATACCCTAATTTAATTATAATTTACCTCAAACTTGAACTTTTTTCACTTTTTAAGTTCAGTTTCAAAAAAAAACACAATTTAAAATATTGATTTTTATATTTTTCTACTTTTAAACTCACTCTGATTCATATTTGATTCACAACATTGTTTTTGACCATTTAATCCACATGTGTAACAATATTGCGAATTAGCAGTCTGTTCACATATTTCGTTACAATTAAATCCATATTGTCCATTTAGGCATTGACGTTGAATTGTTGCATGAAGCGCCCTTAAAATGTTCCTATTTGCATAAAAGTTTTTGAGAATGCCAAAAAATTGTGTTTGTCAACCAACAAAAATCAGTCTTTGAAGAAGAAACTGATTTTTTTCTGATGAAGCAAACTATATTCTTACCACATGGTAACCGTTGAAATTGAATTGATATTGACTTGAATGTTGTTTTGATCTGGTTGACTAATATCTTGCGCGAATAATAGAAACGAATCCGTGTACGGGTGAATATAAGCAGAACATCGTAGTGATAATAATGATGATATTGCAACAAAATCCTAAAATTTTCTTTTTTTTTCATTAATAATATTAATTTTACCGTTGTCGACGGTATTTCAAAGTGAGAGTTATTATTGAAAATAACTTGATTCTCAGAAGCGTCTTGTTGAAATATATAAGACGATGCATAATTTGTGTAGCTAAAATCAATAAACGTGATGGGGTATAAGAATTGGGACATACTTTGATGATGTGAGCTGTACTGTGAAATCAATATCAACCCCTCTACAATTCGGTAAAAAATTGCTAATTGATTGTCCAAAATTAATTCTAATATTGGAAACATCGACAGATACTAATCCGAATGCGCATTTCTGTAAAGTCATTTTCATTGAAAGTGAAATGAAAACAAGACTTACTGCAATATATGCGAGAAAGAGATATATCAGCATTTTTTTCAAGCTTCTCTAAAATTAACAGAGAATCCAAAAAAATCTAATCGATATCTGCGTGGCAGCGGGAGAGCATAGGAACCATTGATAGCACCTACTATCAAATAAGGAATTTCTAGACAGTCGCTCTTCGTCACCTTTCCTCCTCCTCCTCCACTTGGTATTGTTGTGTACATACGCAGGGTAACACAAATTTTGGAGCATATCGGTCCGGTGCAATTGGTGCCTCCTCGATGGTTTACGAGCCTAGTGTATCATTCCTCAAGGTTTCATTGATAGCAAACAACATAGACGCATTCCATATCAAATGGTAAATTTATTTGTGAATGAATTTAATGATTAATTGCAGAAGTGGGGGGGGGCGAAGTTGATATATATATATAAATATTTACTCACAAAATCATTATTTTTTTCAAAATGAGTACAACATGGTCTCGGAAATGACAATCAAACATTTTTGGGAAAAAATAAATATTTTTGAACCTAATAAAATATTGATAATCGCGGTGTGGTGAAACTACAGAGGATTGGATAAACACCCAATAAAAAAATCAGCGGCAATCGTCTTATCGCAAAGCTAAAAATGTAGATCTACGGGCTAAACCTATGGATTTGTTAAAGGCATACACCGCGTTTTTGAGTAGGGTGCTTGACTTTTTGCAATAGAAACATGTTACTAACAACAATTTGATTTTTCTATCAAATGTTGCCTTTTAAAATGCGATCATCATAAACCCATTGCTATAAATATTTTTGTTGTGGTTTGTCATGATAAAATTATCCCAATTTTCTGTAACAATTATGGATGATATTTTGTAAGGTTACTTCTCACATATAAGTTTTTTTAAATCTTTTCAATGTTTGTTTTTGTCAATTATTTTTTATTTTAAATAATATTTTACCTGTACAGTTTTTTCGTTTTATTTTCGGTTATTTTGAAATGCAAAAAAATTTTAGAAAATAAAAAAAAACAAAAGAAAACGAAAATTTCAATGCAACAGAAAAGAAAAATAGGAGAAAAATAATATTTTTTCTCTTTTATTTTTTGCATTCCCGATTAAGGTGAAATTTCGAAATTTCTGTTTAATTAATAATTCGAGAAAAGTAGAAACAATTGTAGCCAGTTTTCATATAAATAAAATTTGTTTTAATATCGTTGTCTTAGTACAGATATATATACAATATATATTTTTTTTGAGTAAGTAAACTTCTATTCCCAACGGTGTATTTTCGGTTATTTGATGCTAATTCCTCATGATTTTATTTGACATAAATTTTACATGAAAGGTTTATTCTTCCAATTTCGCTATACGTATGAGAATTACCAACAAAAGAATTCAGCGTTCTCAATTTTCATACTCTTTCTTCTCTCAATTTATTCATAATTTTGTTTCATTCTAAATCATAGGTTTTCTCCTCATGTATAAAACGTCGGTTCGCAATAGAGCGCACTTGCCTTGCCGCCACATTATTAAAATTTCGAAAATCCAATATATTTGACATTTCTTTTTTTTTTGAAGTATTTCTTTTTTATTTTTATAATACATTTTCTCAAAAATACTCTTTATCCATCTCATTTCATCTTCTTTGTATGCTGAATGGAACGAAACATCGTGTAGTGGTTAGATTTTGTGCTGCTCGTTATTGATTTTTGGTGTCATTGGTGCTCCATCTCTGTGTTAAGCAGCTCATCCGTTTTTTTTTGCGCTGTTGGGCACACTACGCCTACATCCACCATAATGGTGTCTTTCTCTGTTCATCTGCTCCTCAATTCCTCGATGAGATTCAAATTTCTTTGACGCATTTTTCCAACATTCCATTGTCCTTTACTTTAGTTTGAATAGTTTTTTCTTGAATATATATATTTGTATTTTAAAGATGAACCAAAACTAAACGACCATGCATCATAATAGCGGATCTTCTACTATTCGTGACCTTGTCACACCTAAAAATTGCGTATGGGATATAACGTCTAATGTTGATGGTATAGTTCTCAAATTTCACTCAAAAATCAACAGAAAATATTTTTAGAATCGAACTCAAATAGTAGTGTGTCTTTAAAATCCCAACAAGGATGCACTTGTGTCGGAGAAGCGATTCGAAGAGTCGCTGCTCTTCGAAAAATGACATCTAATGAAGGTTTACTCATTATTTATTGAGAATTCCGAGCCAAATTTTTCTCTTACACAGAAGGCGAATACACAATGATTAACAACAACGAAGTTAAATGGGCGAAGCTTTTCATGGAATTTATTCTGGGTTCCGCATATTGTCAATCAAATAAATGTCAAGGTAGATAGACGCAGAGTTTTTTTTCTCATACTCTGGACGTCGTTACTATTTTCAGGACACTCGGATGATATGATTTGGTATGTTCACCATCCAAAACTTTCATCATCGTTCTACGTTCAAGGAGTAATTTAAATACAGTGAGGTTATGGAAAAAAAATTTAATTTTTCAGGCGCCGAATGTTCTTCAAGTTTTCCGCCGTCAAAGTAAAAATCAACCTGTTCCATGCGACGATAACTATAATTGGGAAGAGACCGTCTGCCTAAATATAATAATGCAACAGGTTTTATTTTGCTTTCTAACGATTTTTATCGAGCACGAAACCTTGTGCGTAAGCACCATATTTATGTGGGGCATGTATCACACGAACCTTATAATTATGCGCGTTTTCAGATTGATTTTTATGTGACATGCGCGGTTTGTACGAAAACTGGACCGCAGAATCTTCAAATAATCCGGAAGAACTGTCAAAAAGTGTTCCCATCACCTAGTAGACGTCGAATGGATAGTAAAGGAGATAATGAGGAGATCACATATCCTAAACTATATTTTGCTATCGATGGTTTTGAAGAGGTTTTTCAGGGAGATTAATTCAAATTGGCACTATAACAATCATTGTAGATATTCAATGATGTTATAGTACGTGATGGTGAATGTATTTGTGTTGAACTTGTTGCAAGAGATCGCCAGAAAACCCGCGAGTCTGTGGTTTTTTTGGGCTCAATACGTTATGAAATTCTGAAGAAGGTTTATGATACGAAGGTAGTCGTGCTGTTTTTCATTTTCATCTGTCACTCGTGAATTTTTCAAGGCATCTTCAACGTGGCAATGGGCGAAGAAATTAATGAAATCGGGTGAGAGACGGCAGGAATTCGTCAGAATGCGAGGACCGCAGGGAAAAGGATATGCTGAGATGGCTGTTGCGCGTGTGCCGAATTGTGGATACGAAACGCCTCTTACTGAGAATCCCGTTGATTTTTCGGATTTTGTTGGGGTATGCACGCATTTTTGAAAAAAGGTCGAAAATTTCAATTTCATTTTTGAATAGGTAAGAAAAAACATTCTAAAAGAGCGGCGAAAACAAGAAATTAAAGTTTATAACGAGAAAAAATCTGTATTTTTATCATTTTATTTATTCAAGAACAACAATTTGTATTTCTGAATTATTTATTACCCTTTTTTTTTACAAATAAGTTCATCAATTTTTCATCCAACCCATATAATTTAGTGTCATAGCGATTTCTACTTAAGTGACCTTGGTTTTTTGATTTATCATTGCCAAATTGAGGTTGAGCAAAGTCTTGGAAAGCGTCGAATGTCCGAAACTAATCTTGCTAATGGAACTCGAATGTTCCCATCACGTGCGGCCGCGACTCCATCACATTCGGCTCGCGGAAGACGTTGGCAAAGTGAAGCAGACACCGTTAATCAGTATCCCGAAGTGGAAGGAAGCAATATTGATGACGGTATTATGTTATTTGATATTGGGTTTGCATTGTTTTTGAGGTTGTGATTTTTGAAGGTTATTTAATCAAAAACCTAACATTGTAGTGATATCGGTTTTTTTTGCGACCTTGTTTACATTCCATTATTGTTCCAAATTTTTCATTTCTAGAACTTGATGAAGGCCCGGCAAACAAACTTTGGACCATGAAAGGATTCGCTCAAGTGTGGCACGGACTGCGCGAAAAGAAACGAGCTGAATGCACACCATTGAATGCATTTTTGACTTATGTGACACTTCCGTGGAACAGCATATTGAATGGTGAAATAATTTGAAGGCAATGTCATTTATAAAATAAATAAATTTTCAGATTTATTGAGTGATCGCCCAAAACGTCCCATACTCACGTTCGAATTTGACGCCCCAAATCAAGAGAACACACATTAATCTTTTACAAACCTATCATTGACATGATCAACAATATCATTTTCTAGTGTCCATGGTACCTTAATCTTCCCAGTTTTTGACCAAACAGTTAACTTCTGTTAGTTTGATAATAGAACCCCGTACCTTGCTGGTAATTCGATGACCCGTCATTTTCATCTTATGATCTCTGCGAATTATGTTAGACTTTAAATTGCTGTTATTTTTCTCGATATCTGTAACTTTTCTCTGTTTTCAATTTGCCTCATTATCATGTAAAAATATCCTGAACCCTATAAATCATTGAATAATGTAATATCAATAATTTTTAAACGAAGAGAAGGGAAACTTCTTGGAGAAAATTGAATGAAGAATAGGAAATGTTTAAATTTAATGAATGCTCTGTTAGGTTTTTTGAGTGCTATGAAGTAAAAAATTACGTTGAAATATAGAAATTGAGAATAAAATGGTATTTTAAGGCGTAAATAAGAAAATATTGACCTAACATTTTGAAATCGAGATCATATTTGTAACAAAAAAAAATTATATTTTTTATTTTTTGATTTTAGCGAAACTAACGCTAATTTCAAGCAAGTAGTAATCATTTTTTTTCGAAATTACTTTCAATATATATTGAAAGTACGAATTCAGATTAAAAAGGAGAAAGTAATCTTAATTCTCGAAAACAGGTGAAATTTGATTTGAAACTCGGCAACGTTCCAATTTTTTAATCTAATTAACTTTGGAAATTGGAAATTCCAGTAATGTGTTATCTCGATGATGAAACAGTCGAAATATTGTTGCAAAATTATGATACGATATAGTGTATTTCAGGTTTTTTCGACGTCCACTTTCAGTTGTTGAAATTTATTAGGAAAAAGAATTATATTCCCCTTCACCCGTCGACCATTTTCCGTTTTTAATCGCGATTAACTTTTCTCTTACTTGTTCATTTTTTGCAACTACCTCTCACCACCAACCTGAAATGTCTGATAAGCATCTGACGGGTGGCATCGCCGCCCAAGAAACATTCGTTTAAATGGAAGCGGCTCAACGCAAAATTCCCAATTTTAACGACATTTCAACCTTGACAATCGTCACTTTGATCGGAAAACTTTCGACTTATTCAATTTTGTTTCAGAATGAAGTTTTTTCATATTTTGCTAGCCATCAATGTCGCGGTAAGTCTTATCAAATACTAGATAGTAAACGATTTTTTCTAGAATTCTCAATACGTCAGTGAACCATTACTATACTCTGCTCCTGGAGTGAAACCCGATTCATCGTCGTACAACAATCCTGAGCATTCAATAAGACCCACTCCAATTGCCACTTGGGTTCAAAGGGTAAGTTGTCGCCATTTCATTTCAATTCTTTCTATCAACCTAATAAAACACGTTTCAAGTCATATGGTATATCATATCAAAAGGGCACAGATAATGAAAAATGAACTAAAACCTTTTATCATTTGTCTTTTGCAGTTAAATGAAGGTGAAGATGCTGAAAACAACCTTGATGGATCAGGATCAGGGTTGCCAGAAACTATTGAAGTTGAAGGCTCAGCTGCTGGTGAAGGATCAGCTACGCGTCCGAAAGGAATTGACAATCATGCTTCTGGCGAAGGAGCTGACGACTTTGATCTCCTCATGTCCAAAATGGATAAAAACATGTTTGACAGCGGAATTGGTTAAATAAAAATGATTGTCGAAAAACGACGGAAAAATTTCAGCTTGTCCAAGCGACGTAATGTTTGTTGTTGATGCCACTTCCTCTGTTAAAGATATTTTTAATCAATCAATCATATATTTACGAAAGGTAAATCAAAAAGAAATATTTTCACATCTTGCTTTTTTTCTTCTTGAAGGTAGTCGAAGGCCTAGATGTTTCTGATCTCATCGATCATGTCGGAGTGATTGTCTATAGCAGCGGAAAAAAACAAAAACTGAAGATTCGCCTCGGGCAGTATAACAAACGCTCAGACCTTGATAAGGCGATAACCGGTACACCAAAAAGTGCACGTGAGATTGGAAAAAATTCACCTTTAAACTTAGATCTTCCATTCTTCTCCGGCATTACGGCTACTGGAGAAGCACTTAAGTTCGCCGCTGATCACAGCGAAGATAGGAGGAATAATGTGACCTTGAACTACGTGGTTCTCACTGATGGCTACAGGTAACACATAGTGGATAATACTGAACTGTGAACTTAATTAGAAATTTTAGCTACGATCTCATTGAACAAGGAGCTAGAAAACTAAGATCTATTCCCAATTCTGAAGTTTTTGCTGTGGCAGTTGGAGACTCATTTGTCAAGTTTTAATTGAAATGTTTCACTTATTTAGTAGTAATTATGACAGGAACGAACTTGAAATGATTACGTCAAATCCAGACAACGTTCTTTATGGTCCAACATCTTATGGAACTTTGGTTCGGAAAATTAAGAGATGTCAAGCGAAATTGGATTTTCAAAGAGATGAAGAGGTTTTTGCTAGTTTAAGTTTAGCCTTCAAATAACCCTCCTTGGTTCTTATATTCTCGGACGAGTTTTTTACTCAACCAAATTGAAGGTTGAAACCATAACGGTTCGTTACATTCCCACTGCAACTGACTCTCAGGGCCGTCACTTAATTCCATCTCCGAGATATACCAAGAATGGGGTGATTCATTTCAACGACAAGGTGATTTTGACAAAAGAGCAAATTGCCGAAATTGGTGGGATGCAAAACATTTTTACAAATTTGGTTATCATTTTGCAGAAAAACAAATCAGTTTGAATAATTTGTCAGCAATTCCCACCACCGAGGAACCGTTGTTGACAAAGGATTGCGAATACGATTTGGGAATCATTTTTGATGCTTCTGGATCGTTGATGCAGAATTTTCAGAAACAACTGAAACTTGCTGACAAACTTATCGAACAGCTCCCTATTTCCGAAAATGATACACATGTACTTTGTTGACTTTAAAACATAATTCAGCTCTTCTAATCCAGGTCGGAATAATTCAATACGCCGGTAGAACCAAAATCCGCGTTTTGTCCTCTTTCGAGTTAGTCGTCCCAAAGAATTCTTTGAATAAGTTTGGTTTTTAGTGTTTTCTCGCCAAAGGCCAGTATCAAAAAGACCATTATGAGTGCGAAGTTTTTCTCAGGAACCACATTTACGAACCAAGCACTCAATAGAATGGCTAATCTCTATAAAGTAAGAACAATAAAGATTTTCCGGTTGTGGGAAATTTTAAAGTGTGTTATATTAAAAATTGATGTATAATGTACTTAACAGAATTCGAAAAGAAAAAACGCGCACAAACAAATGGTTATCTTCACTGATGGATACAGCGCTGAAGATACATCACAAGGAATTGAGCTTCTGAAATCACTAGGAGTTACAATTTATACCGTTGGAATAACGGATGGAACAAATATAAATACACTTGAGTTAGAGGTCACCGAAACAATTTTCTTGAAATTCTTACATGATTTTTTTAGGAAATGGCAACTTCTCCAAATTATTATTTCGAAGTCAACCAGTTTGACGATTTGCTGCAGCATTTCCCATCAACTCAATATTGTTAAGTTGCAAATCCGTCATGCTCAGTATTTTACCCCATCTTCCTGAATCTCAATTGCTACTTGAAGACATTTTTTTCATTTTATTAACAAATAAGACAAAAAAAGACATAAAGCGTGTTGTTTTCTTCTGAAAGATTAGAGGCAAAGAAATCCACAGAAGTAAATAAAAGAAAAAAAGAAGTTTGGGAGAGACCAAAATTGATGACAAAAAAAAAAGAAAACATTACATTAATAAAGTAGGGAATTCAAGTGAGTCGATTAAAACCTATATGAGAAATTGGCTGATAGTTTGCATTGACAAAACATTTCTTCGTTGAAGAGTTTTGCTTGAAGACACACCCCATAACTTTAAAGATTTCCTAACATTGAAAATCCTAATATCTGTTTTGCCTAAAATGTTCGGGGAAATTTCGAAATCACAATACCCTAAATGTGAAAACGAGTAAGTTATAGAGAATGTGAAGAGAGGAAAAGAGATTGAAGGAAAATAACGATAGAATAAGTATTGAACAATTGAATTAGGAACATATGATGATGTTTTTTTTTTTATTAATTAAGATTGCAGAGCCCTACGTTCACAATCTCAGCGTACCCGCCGTATCAAATTCACCAAAAGAATTTAGATGAAATGCATGATTTTTGTTGGGAATTTTGAAGACGCAAAATTGAAAGACAAAATGCGTTCAAATTCATTTATTATTCGAGAGACTGGTTTAAATTTTAAATTTAAATTTGAGCTCAAGTATTTACATTTTTTTTCAACTAGATTCATTCAGCGTTTTAGTTTTGTGAGTTCGATTCAAATCGATGTGTGAGTGATGATAAAGAAAACAAAAATTTTGTAAAATGAGAAACATATAAATTGAAAAATGTTTTGGGAAAAAACGTGAAGAGCACCGTTCGATTTGGCACGGCGATCAGGAAAGGGTGAAAGGGAATTCCAATAATTTTCCGTTGGAAATGGCAATTAATGTGCAATAAATTTTCCGAAATTGGGGTCAAACAATATACCCTGACAATTGAATATTGGAAATGACACATGCTCATCATTTTCTGAAATACATCAAAGGGCGAGTGGTGGAATTATCCTCGGATTATTTGATATAATTCAAAAAACAGTGCAATTAATCAATAATAATATTGAATTGATGGAATAACACAATTGAAAAGTGTCTATAGAAGAAATGAGAAAAGTTGGGAAAACAGGGTATGAAAAGTGAAAATAAAAGAAGTATCAAATTAGAAGGAGAAGGGGCTAGACGAATGTGAAGTAACCGTCGGATTTTCGGCGTTTCTTTCCGCGCGTTGGATTTGAACCGTCGAAGGGCGGCTTTGCCCTGCAATTCATCCTGGTTGAGAGGTAGGAATCAGTTGAATACGGTTCGACAGAGCATCTAACGAGCCGTCAGCATGCGAGAGCCACCATTGGCCTCCGCGGCTCTGCAATACAATAACAAAAGCCTCGGGAGCTGCGCTCGTTAGATAGAAGAACTAATAAGATCAGAAAGAAACAGTAAGGAAATGAAGTGTTGCAAAAAATACATATTAACTTTTGATCAATTTATTCGAGAGTTGATTGCTCAGAATTAGGATTTTTTCGATTCAAACCCCCATCATGTGACATGAGCATACCTCGTTTGGCCAAGAAGCCATGTTTTGAAATTCGCGTCTAATTTGCTTGGTGATTGAGTGACACCTCCTTCAAACATTTCGATCGGACTCTGAAATCAATTTGTTTTAAAATACGCAATTTCTTCGTAGTAGGCACACGTCAAGACAGCTCTCATTTTAGTCTCATTCCAAATAGAGCAGTCGTGACGTGACCTCACGTTAGTTGGAAAGTGATATCCAACGATGAACCATCTAGTGAAACAAAAGCAATGAATGGGAAACTGAATCATTTTCTGCTGAACATGCTTTTTGTGATATTTCAGATTTGAAACACGTGAAAATTTCATCAGCATAGAACAAAGGAACGACTCGGCACCGGGCACACTCCTCTCAAAACATTTTCTCCTTTATTCTCTTTTTAATGAAATTTTTAACTGACACCTATCTACATCCCAAATTTGATATTCACTCCAAGAAAAGCAAATCACCCATGCAAAAAAAGAAAATCAATTCAAAAAATTTCTACACAACATAGAATTACATGTATAGAAAAAAAGGGAAACCCATTCCAAAAAAATACCATTTAATGAAAAAAAAAAAAACCAAAAATTGTGGACATACGTGGTGTGATGGTGGTGATTGGTTAGTGGTTGAGAGACTCCGTTGAGTTGAATTGGATCTTAGAGAAAAATCATAAGTGGTTATTCTGGTTAGGGCTAGCAGGTGTGGTCTCCTCGCGATCAGCTCAATTTTGTGCGCAATTTGGTTGGGTTAAGCCTAGATGCACGCAAGACCATCCCATCACGAAAAAACTTGCAAAGCAAACTAGCAAGATTAATTGAGTTAGTGAGCGAATTCTCTGGTTTTTTTATGAATTCGGACTATACATGACCACATTGATGAAAACGAAACAGAAGTCGATATTCACAAAAAAAACCAAAGAAAAACCACACGCCACTTTTTACAATGTTCAATGTTTGTTATGACTTCTTTTTTTCTAGTTAATTATTTACAGCAGATTTTATAGTCTAAAAGTCTCAAAGGCTAAACTATTAGTGAGTGTATCGTGCGCCCGTGGGAAATTCCATTGTTTTCAGCTTTGCGGGTAAATTTGCCCAAAAAATGAAACGATGAATCAGTTCACTAAAGGCACATCGGTGTTTACAGGACAAGTTAAGTGGTTAGTGATAATTGGTTATTTAATAATTTTTACGTCAAAAATTCCGTACACAAGGCATCAGTCGTAGGTGAAATAGAAGCTCATTAATAAACGTGTGTGTGCTCACTGCTCAGAGACTTGTTCGTAATTCTGGAAGATTTTCTTGGGTTTTCAGCGACATGCCTTTAATGACGACCTAACATTCAAGGCAAAATAACTACAATTGGTTAATTTCTAACAGATTTGTTTCTTTTTTGTCTCGTTTTAGCATGTTTCTAGATTTATAACTATATTCATTTATTTTAAAATATTACCTTTCGAACCCGATCGTTGAAGTTATGCCATAAAGCCACTATTAATTCGGTGGCTAATATATCTCCAGCATGAGCTGAAATCATTCGCATGCAGAACACCTGTAAAATGAAAATAATAATTTGAATGAGTTTTGTTCTATCCAACCCCGTCATATCCCAGAAATTTGTGGACGAATTTTTTCACAGACTGCCTGTCGGTTGCGAGGTCAGTGGCCCTTAGATATTTTCGAATGAATTTCATGTGCTGAAAAATAATAGTATTGCAATCTGAATATTTCTCGAAAGCGGTACCTGTCCAGGAATGAATGAGATTACAATCCAGTGAAGCATTGAAACGGCTGATACAAATGCAACCATAAAGTACCAGAACCTTAATAAACTTGTATTGAGATGCGATCGTTTTGAGAATCAGATACCATAGGAAAAGGAAGATCTTTTCGTTGAACATGTTAATCATAAGAACGCATTGAACAGTGTGATGATGAACGTTTCCTAGTACTCGTACCTAAATTGGAGTGTGATGTGATTATTATAACAATTTTTGTACCTCGAAATCGCACATTGTGACACGCGGAAAATTCCCACTGACTTCCCATTCTCTGCCATTCAGCAAATCTTTGAGAATATGAAAGCCGTAGAAAAGATTGTCCGTGCCCAAGAAGCTGTTTAACATGAAAACCTGCAACATTAGGGTTTAAATAATAGAGTTTAAATTTTAAAAAAATCACCTGCAGCACCACGTTTCCAAGGTATAACATTTTGATGAACACGTATAATAAAGTGACATAATTAGCCCATCGTTTCTGAACACACATTCCCGAAACATCAGTAACCTAATAATAAGGTAATTAATTCAAATTCAGATTTTGAGCTATACTTCTCGTTGAATTTCCAGCGCATCTTCCATATGACCAGCAATCGTTTGAACTGTCGCTGCTCGAGCATCTGCATCCATCATTCGAGCATCACACGCCATTTGAGTCAATGATTGTACATTGATCCCTGTATTAATAACATTAATGTTATTGGTGATTTTTGAACAGTAGATCTCGTTCTGACAAATACACCAATGAGCTCCCATAACGATTGTTATCACATCGAAATGATTCATAAATCAAGAGCGCCAAGCTTTTTCATCGCACATCTCCATTCAGTACTAGCAATTTAGTGTCGGTGCTAGGCGCCTCATATGATATATTAGAATCGTTTACTCCCGAACCCATTAATCCCACTTTTTTTTAGCAGCTCTTCTTCATAGCGTTTCTTACCCGAATGCCAATGTAGTAGTCCTCGCCACATTATACATGGTATATAGAAGCATAGTGCCTCAAGAGCTAACACGAAGGGAACCCATTGATAGTAACTAATTTGGCGTGCCCTGAAAGAAAAGGAAATAGTATTTAAAATGAATTTCTGAAACACTACCTCCTGTCACCGTATTCTAGAGGAAATGCGCTTGTTAGAGGCAAGTAATAGGTATTTTCGACCCAGCAGTAGTTTTCCGTATATTGCTCCCAAGCATCGGTGAATTGTGCTGGGACCCAACATTGTATTGGATATCCTGATGAAACATTCATTGGTTAGAAGAATTTGTTTTTGAAGCGTTAATTGAGCTACTTACCTACGTACTGCTTGGCAGAAACAATTATAGCAAAAGCGAATATAATAGCAGAAGTGTAGTGATAATTGAGCTTGTCCACAAAATCGTCGTCGACTCGTGGATGTAAGCCTTTGAATATCGCCGCCAGATAATATAGAAGCATTCCGGCGGACAAGAACTGAATTTCGCTTTTTTTTAAACTTGGAGTAACATATGTATTAATATTTTATTTAATACGTTATTTCTCAATTAGACGTTCATTTACTTAAAAAGTGTATTTAAACAAATTAAAATACTCGTATTAAAAGTAAGTATAATCTTATACATTTATATAATAAAAAAAAGTTGAAAACAAGGCGATGAGAAAAAAGAAGACACCTCGTTGGCCATCTCTTTTGCCCTCCTCCCCTCCCTTTCGCGTGACTAAATTGCGCGGCTTTTAAGTGACAACCTATAGTTAGATTGGACTAATTTGTAAGGAGCTTTGCTCGTAACAAGATGGAGATGCAAAAAATTGTGAAATTACAGTATGAACATTGTGTGTTCTTTTTCTTTACTTACTTCCAACTATTTTAGATTCGGGTCGAGACAACGCCCGCACAGGAAATTAAATTAAACGAAGTAGACTCAGCTAATGTATTTTTTTGTCACTAATATTTGCAACGTAAGTAACCCTGAGTGCAATTGGTAGTGAAATAGAAAAAAAAAACAAAATCTTCTATTTCTTCCAGGATTGCCGTTTCAGATCTAACAATCTTGATGTCAAAAAATGGGGGGGGGAGACAGTGAGAAGAATGTGTGTTATGGGTCCATAGATAAATCGCAGTCATCCTACTATGTGGTTTCCAAAAGCATACAATTTAACTCAAATTCGCGATTTATACCATTTTTTTACTTACAACTCACCTTTCTGTCCTTATTGAGATAGGTTTTTGAGAACTTAGTGTCGTGTGGCGCAGCACTGCTTGGATGAACTGGATACCGTGCAACGTGGTTCAATCGTTCGCATTTCTTGAGATTTGTATGCTAAAATGATTGACATTTAACACATCCTTGATGTAGATAAACGAGGAAAAAAAACAACACAAATGAACTAAAGCCGCCTCGCTGAATAGTGTCAAATATCGTATCTCATGATTTTTTTTTCTGTTGTATTCGTTGAAACGACACGACTCAAATATCAAACTATTGTCCTTTTACACATTATTTTTTTTTGAGCTGAGGCGGCCATATGAAGTTGAGGAAATGAGAAAGCGAAAAACATGAAAATGAAAATATGTCCAAAACGGATAAGAGGTACTTCATGATGTTTCGATATACCCTCAAAAGGCGAGAACCGAGTGGGTGATAGTGAATAAATTATGATGGTGTAGCGAAATTTTTGAGAAAAAAAGTGAAAACAAAAAATATAATGCGCTCTATTTTCTCAGAGCTCAAATTTTCTGTAAATTTTGCGCGATAACACCCTCGTGCTCACTATATATTTGCCAAGAACCATACAGATCGTATGAAGTAGGGCGCGCTCGACAGCGCAATTCATACAAGAAACATTGATGTCGACAGCTCTCTCGTATTTGACAATTTTCGAGGATTTCGAAAGCGGAGTGTACAAAGAACAAAATCATTTAAAAAAATAAATTGCATGCCGACTTTTATTATTTCTACAAATGTGCTTATTCAGACGACAAGTAAAAGTTCAAAATGTGCAAAACTTTTGAGCTTTTGGTGTAAGCTTGACGATGATTGCTTGCTTACACACAGACTCAATAAGAAGAGCCACTAACTAGGGTGTTTCGGAAGTGACACTTGCAATCAAGCCATCTTCGGCTGGAGGGATCCTCAACCGCATTGTAATTGAGATGACTTGATTCGACCGCAAGGCCTCAATTACACAAAGAGCCTCGGCTCAAAAGTTTGGATGTGAGATAGCAGAAAAAATCTACACACTCTCAAGCAAACGTGATATTTTTCTTTTTGCGGCCTCCGAATTGAGGGCAATTTTGGTTGAAACATACCATAGCGTGAGCAATCCTCCGAGATATTGGAGGTGGTATGACACTTAACGCGGTCTCCATCCTTCATTTCAGCAGTCAATCTATTGTTCAACTAATCCGTTCGGTTGGGGGATGATTGGTATCAAATATATGTTGGGAAACTGATGTCGACAGTGTCTACGTTTGTCTGTATGCGCAAGTGTCAATGAGCCGAGCGCGATGCTTCTCGCCGCGGAGATTTGATCCGTCTTGCATAACAACACTGTTACACTCCTCATTTGCGCGCTTTTCTCTTTTTCTTCATTTGTTCAATGTCGTGTTTTTTTTCTCACCATGGATAGGGTGAAACGAAAAGAAAACTTGCGCGCAAAATGAGCCATTTTCGCGAGCACAAAAATGCTGATTTGGCTCATTAGACGCGGCGCACAAACTTGTCTCAGAATCCGATACAATACACAAGGGCGTCAAGTTGCGTTGCTCATAAGCTAAATTTGAGTACTTCGCGGAGACGGGCAATCAAGGAGACAACTTGATAGTTTTGCGAATGAGGGAATCACAACTTTCAAAAAATTTTTTGTTTGTTCAAACTTAGCATTAAAAAAGAAAAATATAAATATATTAATATTAAAACGGTAACGTTCAAGGTGAATTTATAATTTATGTTCTAGGATATCAATATTTTTTGAATTTCAAATGATAGATATAAATTATGGTTATTGCTCGTATCTTCGGCGTCAAACGACTGAAAGAAAGCGGGCTGTCAATTTCGCGAAATCAGCGTATATTTACTGTCACCCAATATGCAATAGGTAAAATGCAGCGTCGTGTAATTCTTTTTGCCTTATTTGCCTTGGCACGTAGCCAATATTTTGTTTTAATTTGACGCAATTAGGGCCGATAAAATAGTATTACACCGATTTTGAAAAATATAAACTAAAAAAAAGTGGTTAAAAAAGAAATATATAAAGGAAACAACTTTTTTCTTGAGATTTGGTGTTTTTGCCAAAAGTGCTATTATGTAATATGCACTGGAAATTCATGGCTTTATAAAAGTAAGAAATCGACTAATTTTGCCGAATAATGCAATTCTGAAACATACCGACAAATAATGTGGTCCAGCTGGAGGTAACATTCGTACATATTTTAGAATATATTCCAGTTCAAACACAAAATATTAGAATAGTTCATGTTTTGTTGGCGTCGTTATTATCTTGGTTCGACGCTGGATTGCCTGGTATAGAGTTGAGTGAGTGCAGAAAAAGTGGTTCTCAAATTATAGTTGGAGCGCGTCGTTGTCTAATGTGTAGGTAGTTCATGTCAATCGATTAATATTTCACATGCGATGTTTTTCCTACTACGTCAGACAACGTTTTTCTTGTCACATTCAACAATTCAAATTGCTCGACACTTGACAATTAGCGCCTCTTTTCTAATAAATTATTTATGGCAAAAGCCTTCGTAACCGTATTAAATTGCTAAAAAAAGCGTGAATGAAAATTACAAAGAAACAACACTTCTTTTTTAATATTTGAGGGCTCTTTGAGAAAAGAACTTACAACTGTCATTTTGTTATTAAATTCGAGGTTCGTTTTTTTAGCTTTTTAATACGAATGGGGTTTCCCTTTTACTTACGAGAAAAAAAAGATTTTATGATGATATACCTCCTATGAAATTAATAGTCGCATTATCACCCAAACATAAACTATGTATTTCAGAAAAAATAAATTATTCGATTGATTACCAATCAAAAATTCTAATCATCTAAAATTATATTTGAAATGTTTCCATTTGCATATTTGAAAAATCCGTCGAAGCCTGATTGAATGCGCCGAACATGTTGGAAACTTGGATAATTTAAGGTTATTGTTTTTGTAGGAATAATTTTATATCGGGGGTATTTATTACACTTAGAATAATGTTAAACTAATAAATAAAACCAGTTGATGACAAAATGAATTGCTTGTCGGCAATCACTGCAAAAAAATTCGCCGGAAGCAAATTTAAGCGGCTCGAAGTTTTTTTTTTTCAAAAATATACATACAAACGCATCTTTGGCGTGTTTGTGACCACTGCTTATGAAATTCGGATATCCGTGGGATAATAAAAGCAACGCTATGCTCGCGCGGGTTTGGAAAGAAAATGTTGCGCGTATATATATATATATATATATATATAGATGTAGCGTAGAGTGGCTCACAGAAATCATGACAAATTCAATTATTCTCCATTTTGATTCGCAAAATATGGAATATGTATATATATTTATATATATGTATATATTTATGTAGGAAAGCTTAATGTTGTTCGATGATGATCCAAGCAGTCACTACCAACCTCACTCATATCCATAAATAGTCACAAAGTGAGAAGCAAACATTTGTTAGTGGAGTATATGAGTGATAAATTTTACTCTTGGGTCCAACCCCCCCCGCACACCACTCCCCACCACTCGCTTTTCCGTACCACACCGCCACCAGCGAAGCGAAGAAATGATGTATGCGAAATGCGCGATACTCTGACAATTAAGGATTCATCATGGTTGGTGTTCGTCGCTGGTCGCGTTATGTTCGACTTTTTTGTTCCCTTTCAGTAGTTTTCGTCGGCACACGAACACTTTTTCCTGGTAGGATTAACATTTCTACAGGCTTAAAATAAAATCGGCATACGAATGCTTCGCCAACAAGTATCTTACACTTTGAAAAACGAATTGATGGAAGCCATTCAAGAAACTCAACAACATATGCGATTCTTCTTATAACATTTTTTGAGTAGAAATTAATTTTGACTCTATTTCGAAGATCGAATTTAGTACAAAAGATGAAAAAGAAATGAATGGAATTGAAGGAATAAAATTCGATTGCATAGGAAGACAAACGATAAATTAATTGAGATCAATTCATCAAAAACTAACCCTCTGGTCATTCCCCTAGCGGGAATGATTCAAAAATAAGGAAGCTGCGCCTCAGAGCGAAGATTGTGCACTTGGTCTGAAATGTATTATTAAAGTAAGTTTGGCAAATTGAGAACCCGCGACTAAAAAAGGAAATGAAGAAGCGAGTGGAAAAAAATGCGGAAACGGAAAATGGAGGACGATTCAATATGAATAGAATTGGATAACGACATCAGAATTATTAAACATGGTCTGACGATGAGTAAATGAAAATGGAAG